TATATATATATCCTATAATATAGGTATCATATACATATATGAAAGCTATGGACAGAAATTTGCAGTTTGAATTGTCAGTCTCAGGATATAGAAAATAAGTAATTTATGTTGCTTAAAAAAATTTCCTTCAATAATAAACTAATTATAAATACTGCTGAAACAATTCTTAAACTTTCCTTTTAAATTTTGCTAAGAATCTAAAGCTACTTATTCATAGCAGTTTATTTGGTTTTTCAATATGATTTGAATTTCAAAATCTCTAATCAAAATCAACAATTTTAGTTATGATAAATTGCTAATGTTTGCTAAAACTCTCAATTTTTACACAAAATAAACATTTTATCAGTGCTTTTAAATAAATAGTTTCTAAAAAACTGCTGCGAATTGATTTTTAAAAATATCGTAACTCCAAAAAGTATTACTTTATTTTCTCATTGAAACTGATTTAGATCATTAAACACGCACACAGAAAAAATCATGAATATTATATTACATAATACACGAATAAGAGATCCAAAAAAAAAAAAGTTTTTCCAACTATACCTTTCCTTTCAGCACTTTTTAAAGGTATTGATGCAGTCTCTGGTGTTTGAGGCATAGGAGATGCTAAAAACATAAGTTGTTATACATAGTTGAAAAAGCGCTAATAAATAGAAATAGGTAATAGAAAAGATTAGTGCACAAAAACTAAAATTGATCTATTTTTTATTTAAAAAAACACAATTAATTAAAATATATACTCTCTATCATTATGTACAACTGAATGACAACATGGGAGTTTGTAAGAGTGGATAAAATCCCTTAAAATTTTTAAATTAGGAGTAAGATGCAACCCATCAAAACTAAAGACTCACAATCAGCAAAAAAATTTTCAGAAATTTACAAAACTGTAATACTAATTCCCATGTTTAGTCTTTTAATTCAAGTATAATTGTCAATATCATCCTTATGCATCAAAAAAAAAATTTCTCATAAAATATAACACAAATAGATTATATGTATAAATAAGCCCTTTTTTTATATAATTCTCAAATTAGTTTAAAAAAAAAAAACAATAGATGAAACTATGTATTAAGTATTACCTTCTAACGTATCATCAGACAAACAACTAATCTCGTGCCTCATAAACGAAATGAGAGATGGTGAATCACTGTAAACAGGACCAGAGAAAAATACTTGTTCTGGAGTTCCAATGTGCTCTGTCAGTGATTCTGGGTGTTCTTCGACAGATTCTAGGATTCGCTTCTGACCGAAACACAATTTTTCTTTTTCAGGAGATTCTAATCTAAGCGTCATTTCAGATTTCATAAGGGTGAGTTCAGGTTCTTCCATTATTCCAGTCTCCTGAGCAAAAAGAAAATATATTTATAATTTTAAATAAAAATGATATATGTTCAAAAATAATCACTTAAGATTTGCAGATTCAACTTAATTCTAACAATTACAGTAGCAACCACCAACCCATAGGCAGAAGATCAGCCCAGAACCTTATTGCAGGCCCCATGACAGAATCGCGGCGACACAGCGATATTGTCGCAGAATGTTGCTGAGTTCTTGCAGAAAGAATTTTCTGTTAGGAAGTAAGGAATTTTGGTTTTCTTTTCGGCAGAAATTTTTTTTTCTCTAAAATTATATTTAAAAGATGCCTTTTTAGCACATCAGAGAGGAAAGAAATGTTTCTGATTTTTCTATTCTAATTTAAGAATGAAAAATATAGAATAATTAAGAAAGAAATTTCTTTTCTGCAGAAATGTTGAACGATTTTTTCCCCTCCAGAAATCATTCTTTCGACATGCTTATTATGCGCCAATATTCTTGTTATTCAACGCTCTATTTTCATATTTTTAAAAGAAACAAATCTGGATGTTTTTTATATAATTTAATTATACTCGAAACTTAAGCCAATTATTTACTTTTACTGTGACGATTTCACCGTTTTTCGGCTTTTTATTACATGTGCTATGCTACTGAATTCCATGGGATTTTTTAAATTTCTGTTATTTTTTAGTCAATATTATTTCTACACATAAAATTTAAATTGCGCTATTAAATAATCTCTTTTTGACGCTCTCACTTTATGCCGATACTACCACAAATCCATATAGTGTTTAGATTGTATTTTCGGCAGTTTATTGATATTGATTTTCCCATGATTTTTAAGTATCCCGATAAATTTCTGACAATATGGGGAATTCGAATTGTGCTTATGAATATTTAATTTTTAAAACAATGATTCTATCGTTTTTATTTTTTTTTGGGGGGGGCATTTATTTCACACAGTCCTTAAAATCCTATATTTTAAATACGATATTTATTACAACCGAATCTCGAAACGAAACAAGCATTTAGTACCCCCCCTCCACCTTGAAGAGTCCGATCAGCGTGATTTCGCTGTCGATCTTGTTTTCAGCAGTCACTGCTACGGATTACAAGATTTTTAATTTTTTTTTGATGAGATGATGTTTTACGAAAAGCGAAAAAAGAAATAATTAGTGTGATTTCTTCGTACAAAATGGAAGAATCTCGCCATTGTATTAGAATAATATATATATATTAAAAAAAAACATTACATATTCATTTAAAAATTAAATTATTTTATTCAAAAGTTTTTTTTTATTGTGAACGCAACGTTTCTGTTACTTCAAATTCAATTAATGACGTGCATACTTGTTATTATTAAAAGCATCTTGCAGAAAGATATTAGTGCTAGAGAGGTTTGTAGCAGAAATCCCAAGAAAATTCTGCCACAGGGATTGCAGGAATGAGTTTTTTTACTTTTTTTTTAATCTTAAAATAAATACTGGAATAATTTCAATGTTGAGAGTAATTTGATGCTAAAACTATCCACTTTTGATCCAGATTGTCATACTGACTCTTTTATAGAAGACAAAAAGCATCAAAAATTCCATAAAGATTATTTTAAAAATTTATCCAGATTGTCATACTGACTCTTTTGTGGAGGACAAAAAGCGTCAAAAATTTCATCAAGAGTATTTCAAAAATTTGATCAAATGTTTTGTAATTTTCAATTCTGACAGCAAGTGCATATACCTATGAAAAGTGTGTATAAATAGGCACCTATTACATAATAACCAATGTGTGTGTATTTATGTATATATTTTCGCAATGCATACATTATGTCTATTTGTCAAATTTTTTACTTGTATGTTTAATAGTTAGTGGGTTTCAAAGTTTATTTTCCATGATTGGTGGTCTCTTAGAAGATTACACAATCACAATTTAAAAGATTAGGAGCTGCTAAACTAAAACAATAAAAATTAAACTTAATAAAAAATAAATAAAAACATTTACACTCTCCTTTGCCTGTTGCAATAAAACACTTTGTTACATAAATTTATTTTTATTTGTCTAAATTTATTAAATGATAAAATAAAAATTTTAAAAACTGTTTTTCAAGTGAATTAAAAAGAACATATTTAATTATTCATGCTATTTTTTTCTTATTATTATTATTTTAATCACATACTTAAAATGAAAAGGGGGTGCATTACTTTCTTACTAAATTTTTATCATCAACAAAATTCCCTGCATACTTTTCAAAAGTGATGCGCAATTTAGGTCTGAAAAAATTAAAATTACTTTCTCCTTTCTAATTTACTTGAAGTTTTTTTTATCTCTTCAATTTAATACACTAGAACGACATTTCCCAACGTGTTTCAACATACTTGTCAGATCACTTTATGAATATCTACCTCATTTTTTTCAGAATCTACTACTAACTGAAAATCTACCTGAAATTTAATAAAATTTACTATCAGGCAATTCAATAACAAGATAACTGCATTTCCTTTGGCATTCCACTTTTCATAACAAACCAATTGTTTCAATGGCATTAGATAGGAAAACAGCATATTTAGTTTTACACTAGCAAAGCAATCAAAAGATGAACAAATAATTCAGAAGTTTATGCATGATGATGGCAATACCAAACAGCATGGCGTACTGGCCGTTTTAACTTTCCAGGCAAACTAGTTATAATTTGAAGCTGGTTATATATATGACACTACCGACAATATATGGTATCATAGAAATTGTTCATTAGCATCAATGCACTAACCATTTATAATATAATATTTTAAATTAAATTCAAGAATATAATACTTAATTATATCTATTATAATTATTTATTATTAAATACATTTTTTAGGCAGATAAAAAATTTTAATTTAAGCAACTAAATCACACAGTACAGTTGTAAACTTTAAAAACATGTTTAAGAAATGATTTAAATGCTTTCAATAAATATTTTTAAAAAAAAATGTTATTTACTTCAGTTATTTCTTCAAATGTTTTTCTTGCAGTTGACTGGTAACTTGAGTTGTAACTAGAAGTGCACAAAAATCATAATCACCAATAACATTATTTCAATAACTATAAAATTTTCTAGAGTTAGACCAATGTGACAAATTCTGATCCTCTGTTAAAGAATTTATATACAAAAACGGCAATTTTAAAGCTCAAATAACTAGTAGAGCATTTTGCCACTAGCTATGTACTTTATCCAATACAGTAGTCTCAATAGTTCAAGTCTCGGCTGTTCGAGTTTCCCAATTGTCCGAGCTATGGGGGGGAAAGGTAGTCTTGCTCTCAAATAATGACAAACACACACACAACACGTGGAACAATTATTACAATTGATTATATGACTATTACTACAATTAAATGTTGAAAAACGACATTGTGTGTTTAACACTCTAAAATATATAAATAGTGTGTTTGAACAAAAAACATTAGACAATTATTTTTAAGTAAAATTAACCTGATGTAGTAATAATGAATATTGTAACTTGGTTTAATGTAGTAAATGTTCCCTGATCCTCTAATGTAATTATATTTTCTTTAAATATAATATATTTTTCAACTAAATACTAAAATTTAAAAATAGCTTTGTTTCTTTTCATGGAAATATTTATTAAATTTTGAGTTTTAAAAAATTCGAGTTTCTGAAAGTTTGAGGTAGTCTTGGTACTCTCCACCTAGAATTATCGAGACTCTACCGTACATATAAGCTTACAATAGCAAAAAGGTGAAGAAAGCAAAAATTAATAAACACTAATTTGAGCTTCATTTATGATGTTTTTGCTTTAGTCTATATAGCACAATTAATTACCCTTTCTTTTATTATAAATAACCTTAATTTTTTAAAAAAGGATGGGGGAAAATTAAACATTTACGCCACCAGAGCACAAAATCACTATATTGAGTGAAACTAACATCATAACAATAATCATAATTATGAAATCATACCCAGATAACTTAATGAAACAATGTCATAATCTTAGTCTGGGGCAAAAACGAAATGAGGTAAAAGGGGGAAAGATTACTAGGTCACACTGGTGGGGAGGGACAGGTGAACTAAAATCTTTTTTTTTAAAACCAAAATGAATATTCAATTCTCAAAATAGGAACAATTCTTACAAAATGAAACAGATTATTGTTCATTCTCTGAATGATATATTTATATAAATTTTAAGTAATTTGGAACACACAACAAAATATTTAATAAATTAAATTGAAATCTGTATAAAATAGATATAACAGTTATATTATTACAGTTAAAAAGTTTTTATAGATATGATAACTATAAAAACTTTTAAATTGTTTAGAAAAATTTATTTATATTTAATGAGAAAATCTGATACTAACCTGATAGGAATAACGTGATGTTGAATAATGTTTTTAAGAATTTTTGATGACAAATTCTGAAATTGAAGAATTATAGTATTAAAAATTATTTTACAATAATTTTAAATGACAAAAAAAAATACTAGGAACAGAAAAACAGATCCTATATATTAATTGTGGTTAAATTTTTCATTTCTGCCTACAATTATAATTAATCAGTTTACTGAATAGTTTGGTATTTATATTTTCCATTTATAGCAGTTTAAGAAACCAATTCAAATGATTTAATAACAAATACCTATTAGTGACTATCCATGATATGAGAATATTAATAATTTATGAGATTATTAATGATTGTTGAGAATATAAATGATTAATATTCACATATCATAATATTTCAATTACAATTTTAAATAAACATTTATAGCAAACTAACAAATCCAAATAATTTATTAAAATAAATATTTACATCATTGAAATCATGTAAACAGATACTAAATTATACTTAGCACAACCAAGTAGAGTCTGTTACGGGCTCTATTTTAATTTCATATTATCTCAAATAAATGTTTTTCAGTTTCGGTTTCCTTATTGTTGTTTCTAATGTCAGCAAGTCTGCTTGGTGAAGCCAAGCGAATTTAAAATGGAGGGTGCATTTCTTGTTTTTCAGTGACGCTATCAATAACCAAGAATAAGATTTCAGCTAAACATACATCACAACCTGTTTATAGGGCGGCCACATTTATTTATCCACAGACTGAAATTTTGGCCTGAACCTGAGAACGATCAATATCTAATTCAGTACCTCTAGAGGTATTGATATGTTTTGGGAACATGGAGGACTTAATGAGTCGACAGATTTAACGTGCACCAGTCACCATTTACAACATGAGGAGTGGAGTGTTTGGCAGGCGAGGATTGAACTTACAACCTTTTAGTTATAGGGCCAACGTCCTACCAACCATGCTATCGCGGCTTCACTATTATTTATTAGCAACCATTTTTTTCTCCTTTTTTTGATTTCTGAAAATAGTATACTCTTAAAGTAGTATTGACAGATAACAAAAGAAGAAAATTTCTGAAAAATTACGAGGTGGAGTCAATTTTGTGATTGGTCTTGCATAAACACAAAGCTTTAAATTTTGAAATATATATATATTTTTTTAAGCTGTAAAATTATAAAAAAAAGGGTTACAAACACCTACTAAGGAAACTTTATAAAATAACACTTACGGACAATAATTGAAAATTGTGGGTCCATAATGAATCCCACTTTGCTTGCAACCATCTTAAAGTAAGAGCTAAACATCTTAAGTGTGCAAAGAATAAACTTTATATAGCTTCAATAAAATATTTTCAAGAACATACCTCTTTAGTTTTATCAGCAGATGAATTATTTCTGGTTGGGTAGTGAAATTTATCATTCAAAGTCAAAACTAATGTCTCTAATTTATTTTTAGATCCATTGCAGTTACTCAAATGACAATCCTTTCCATTTGATACCACATTTTTGGAATTTGGGCTTGTGCTTTCAGCAATTTTAGAATCTGGAAAGTCACCAGGTGACAGTTTTGGAACAAATTCAGCAGACTGGCAAGGTACAGCCATAATTTTCCCACGGTTTTTATTACAAGGTGCATCTAAATGTATTTCTATTCCTTCAAGCTGTGGTACAAAAAAATCTGAACCACACTTTTTGGCACCATCTTCAAAAGCTCTGTTTACTGCAATTTTATCTTCAATACATAACTCAGCAGCATTTTTTGAGTTCAACAGAAATTTTGTACTTTTTTTATCTTTAGAATCCAAATAATTGTTATGTCTCAGTTGTGCATCAAATCCTTCAGACTGAGACGACTTAATTTTGTATGAGTTTGCTTCACTATTTTCAACCGATTGCAAATCTTTTTCATGGAGCTGGGGCACAAAAAAACCCGAACCACAACTTTTTGCACAATCTTGTGATACTACCTCCGTTGATTTCTGGGCATGGTTTTCTTTTTCAACCAAACCACTTTTAGCGAAAGTAAGTTTATTCGCATTACGTGCTGCATCAGCTATAATTTCCCCTATCTGATTCTGTTTAAAATGAGACCCATCACCCATTGAAAAATTGTACTGAAAATAATGTGGATCACTTGGCGATTCCATATCAGGATTTAAGTCAGAAAACAGATATTTTGCATCAGTTGTCACACGAAATTTATGAAGTACATTCAAAAGTGGGTCTAAAAGGCTACTTTTAGATGAGGCAGAACTGTTATTAGAATGTAAAGAATGGAGGGAAAGGGTTTCTTCTAACAAGGGTACTGAAATGCGAGTGTTAAGATTACCCGATCTTGGATACTCCGGGCTCTTAAATGTCTCACTGGAATCCTCTGAATAAATTGACTCATGCTGATATTTAATATTTTCATCCATAACTTCACCACCTCTAGATTTAAAAGGACTATGTGGTCCAGAAGTTGCAGGGCTAGATATGTAAGACCCAGGTGTGATATTAGTAAAACTTTCAGCACTATCTTCCTCTGTCACTGTGCCAGATGGGATCCTTCTTTGAAGCTTTTTTGATGAATCAGGAATGGGTCTCGGAACAATTCTTTCTTGTGAATGACTGCTTTGCTCATTGCTAGATGAATAAGAGAAGTGTGTGGGGGGCTTCATACTACTTGAACTGTCTGATATGTTTTGATCGCATGCATGAGTCAATTTTTTATGAGCATATTTTTCACGTGACATGGCAACTTTGTCCTCTTGAGGAGACTGTGTGGATGAAGATATATAGGAGCGAGGTGCCTTGAAACTCCCACTACTGCTTTCATATTGTTTTTCCAATAATGCATCTACTTTATCAAGAATGCCATCTCGAGGAGAATGACTTGAAGATATGTAAGGTGAGGCAGGTTTGAAACTTCCACCACTGCTATCAGGTGAAACGACTTGCTTGGAGCCATGGTTTTTGGGAGCTATTTCTTTATCTTCAATTGGAAGTTTAGGGGGAAATGATGGAGCGTCCATATAGCTTGACTTAAAAGGTGTCATTTCAAAGCCACCATGGTATTTTATAAATCTATTACTTTGTTTCACAGTGCTTACATCTTCGAAATATTTTGGCAGAGTGTCTACATCAGTCAAATATGGAGGTCTTCTATAGGAATCTTGAAAACTAGACGAGTAAGGTGTTCTCTGAGAAGCCGCGAGAAGTGATGACATGCCAGATTCAGTTGTTATAGTTCTGTGCTCATGTAATTCTCTACCAATCCGTGTTAAAGATGGTGGATGCCTCGGAGTTGATGTTTCTATATTCGATTTAGGAGTTTGAAGATCTTCAAGAGTTCCAGAAACTATGGGTAATGACTCTCTGATTCTTTTTGAATCAGTTGTATCTGAAACAAATTTTATACTCTTAGCTAATTCCGATATTTTGGAAGAGGGTGGCTCTAGGAGACTGACAGGTGAAACATCCATATCTTCAGGACATTTTCTATCTCGAACGCGATCTCTGCCACCTGTACTCAACTTTTTGAAAGATGAACTCAGGTCAATAAAAGAAGGAACTGTATCGTTCGTATAAGCCGAATCGATTTCAAGAATTGTACTTAAATCACGAAACCTATGGGGATCACGGGATACTTTGTCATTTGCAGCTTTCGTGGGAGGTGTAATGACATTTGTAGATTTAAAATAAAATTCTTGGTCAGTTTTTACACTATTTTCTTCTCTCTGATATGGCAGTCCACCCCAGTAAAGAGACATAGGCACTCTAGGATTTTCTGGTGATGATGATTCTAAACTCACTGAGCCCTCAAAAGAAGATCGATCAAGAAGTTTTGGACTTTCTTCTTGTGATATCCCAGCAGATGAACTTGCTTTTGCTTCTTCCATTCTCTTCTGATAAAAAGAGGAGCTCAGTCGGTCACTTCTAGTCACTGCGTCATCAACATCACGAGAAGTACATGGTGTAGATGCTTTTATGTAATTATTTTCTAGGTATTTATCAGCTACTTTTTTGACATAATAAGCAAGTTTCGATTTTCTCAATGATTGGTCAAGAATCTGCCGCCCATCTGGTTTCTCGGTCGTGGGCGAGACTTTCGTTTGGTCCAACTTTTTAGTGGGAGATACCTTTTCCTTTGGGAATAGTACAGCATCAGGTTTTGAGGTGGTGTCCAATTCTATAGGTGCTTTTGATAAAGGAATGCAATCTTTAGGGGGTGTAAGCACCTTAGTAGAAGTGGTAGCATAAAGAGGATCTCTGGGTCTAGATAAACTTGGCATACCATGATTAGAAGGAAGAGAAAAGTAACTAGTTGAAGACCAGTTTTCTGAGTGAGAACTTGATTGATTGTTTTCCAACAGAGTCCGTTCACGATCCACCGAGTACTTGCCCAAACCGTTTTCATGCGACATAAGTTTGGACCCTAAATTCCTAAAAGAGAAAAACAACAAAATGATTCTATGGGTTCAAAATAAAAATGTTTAATAACAGAAAAATGTTTGATAGTGGTACATAATCTGCAGCCCAGAGACCAAATACAACATTAGACTGAACCATGTTTGACAAACTGCCTTCCCACAAAAAATTAACAAAAGCTACATAACTAGCACAGCAAATTTTATCAACCTTTTAAATTAATTTTGATAAACTTTAATTACATTAAAATTTCTAAATGAAGAGCCACTAATTCGAGGTTACAAAAGATTTAAATTTTTTGACAATCCAGTTTTCAAAAAAAATTTTTTTTTAACTGAAACATGTTCAATAGAAATATTATGCAATGATTTATTTAAAATTTTAAATGATCAATTTTGCAATAAAAAAAAGAGTAAAATTTATTTTTCATCCAAGAAATTTTAAAACTAGATATTTAATTTGACTAAATTTTCCTAAAATATGAAACAAACTTGCAAGAAGACAAAAAATAAAATAAAAGAGCAACTTTTCAACAATTAAGTCATCATAAGAAAAATAATAAAAAAAACTAAATAAAATATATAAAAAAACTAAATAAAAAAAACATTATACAAATAATCTGTATATAATTAAAATTAAATCATATTTAATCAAAGGACAAATGTTTTTGAGAATAAAAAGAGAAAAAGAAACGAAGAAAAACTATAATAATGCAATAAGTTAATATTTACTATTTTTGAAAAATGAATCATAAATAAGACGGATATATCAATAAAAAATATAAATTACAATGGTAAAACTGTGAAATTAATAAAAAGAAAATTATTTTAATTATAAGTACCAAAACTAAACTAGCAAATATATAAGTTAATTGATGTTATTCATTTAATGGAAGCTAAACCAAAGATTTATTAAAAGCACTAAACTACAAAAAAAAAAAAATTTACTAAAAAAAGGCTCCTTTATAAATTTTTAATTTTTAAAGAACTGCCCCTTCCCGAAATTCAAATTTGTAAAAATGAAGCTTTCACAAAATTTCACTTTATAACAATAATCAGATAAAACTCTTCCCTGTTGGATACTCTGAAAAAATGGTTGGAAATGACGTGTTTTATTACAGCCTTTTCACGAATCGAACGAGTCAACACTCGAATTCAAAATCCGCTTGTAATAGCACGTTAAAAATATTGGAGTTTGGAAAACCTTGTGGAAAAGGAAGAAAAAATTTTAATCCACCAATGTGAAGTTACGATGGAATTACCCCGAATCGAACATGTCAAAGAGTGATAATTTAAATTCGAATGTCGTCGACATAGAAATAAAAATATCAGCAATTCAGTGAGAAAAGAGCTCAGAAAATGATAAATAACAGTGGAAAAAACTATCACCAAACATTGTGAGATTAAGATGGAATCGTAACAAATCAAACACGTCAGAAAGAGATAATTTGAAATCAAGATTCTCATGTCATAATAACATTGTACTAAAAATATTGGAATTTGAAAAACTAAGTGAAAAGGGCTGAAAAAATAATAAATAACAGTCGAAAAAACTATCAAACAATGTCAAATTACGATAGAATCGCCACAAATCAAACTCATTAGAAAGTCATAACTCAAAATCGAAATTCAAACATTGTAAGAACTTTGTATTAAAAATATCAAAATTAGAAAAATAATGTTAAAGGAGACGAAAAAAATAACTGCTAATAAAATTACCATCAAACAACAAAATTATGATGGAATCATCATGAATGCTTTATAAATTCCAAGTGGAGCAGCCATCCCCAAAAATTCCGTAAGTTCTTAATAACAAATTTAAATAAATTCATTAATCAAGTGATAGAGCATAAAGGAAATTTACAATAAAAACATTAAAGATTGGTAAGAGATTATAAAACAATATTCATCACAATAAATTTCTGATGCAAAAATAAGAATAAACAATCTGAAGTCCGTTCACCCTTCTATCTGTTATAGAATCTAACAACCAATAACCCTTTTCCAGATGAAAGTTCTTTAAGTCACAAAACCATGGCATGCTACGGTTCTGGGAAATTTAGCACCATGCCAGATGGGTGGAAACAAAATTTACTTAGAAAATGCGTTCAACAGGAAATGTTGGCGCAAAGATGGCACGTTTGGCCCTCGCTAAATCTAACTCCCGGAGTTTTTACACATTATTATGGATCAAAAATGTGAACTTTCCTGACCGTTCCCGGTAGCATAGCAACCCTGTAGTCAAATTGTTTCCAAATTATTAGCCGCAAAATAGCAATAAAATTCTGAGGCAATAGCAATAAAATTGCCCAGTCATATCATGAAAAACGCAATGTAATACAACATAGATACAAGAGAAATATAATATAGATACTAGGAACTATAATATAAATACAGGAATTCAAATGAATACAGTTACTGGAGAAATGGAAGAAGTTTCAATGATTCGCAGTGAAAATTTTAAATTTTACAATCCTTACATGAACATATTACGGTAAACAAAAAGCAACGTTATATTTTCAAATAAAATAAATTCTCAAAAGTAAACTCTTATACAATAGTATAGGTAGAATGGTGTTTATAACATTTTGTCAAAAAAAATATTTCCTAAACTCATTTCACACATTAATTATAATTATGACAGAAAATTATGCACCTTCTTTGAAAATCCATAATTCCACCCCTTAAGAGATCCACTTGAACACTCACTGATGTTGATGGTTTGTCTTCCTGCAAGGGTATATTACAAATTTCTACACTTTTATCTTCAGTTGGTTGTTTTAGAGTTTGAACTTCAATAGCTTTATCTGCTACAGTAGGCTTTACTTGATCTGCAAAATAAAACACACACATTTACAAATGAATTAGTTATAATTTAAACGGCTAATATGATAAAAATTGAAATACTAACCACGACTGTACAAATTGGAAAAGGATAACAAATAGAGAATAATGATAAAATGAAAATTACATAATGTAGTTTACTGAAATCAATCTGAAAATCAATCAATCTGAAAATCAATCAATTTAAAAATAAGGTATAAATGTATAGTCTTTAAACTAAAATAAGAAACAAAATGCAACACTTATTTTTAAAAGATTAAGATTTGTAGCGTATAAAAAATAATGCTATCAAAAGACTTGCGTGTTACATACAATTACTACTTTCACAACTTATTAAATTAATAATAATCACTAAAAGAATTCGCTACACTCTAATAATAAAATGCAACACAATGTTGCATATTTTTAGATAATGGAGACTGTAAATGAAAACTAGGAGTTTTTATTTTAAACAAAAGTTAACCAAATTTGATTAAAAAAAAGAACTTTTTAAGGGAAAAAAAAAAACTTTTTTTTTAAAGACAAAAATTCATCACTCAAATGAAAGAGCAGCACCCATCCCTTCTCTCAGATCAACAACAAACTCTCAGTTCTTTACTTTTATAACAATATAACAAAACACCCTTAACAAAGCCTAATAACACACAATGTTGAATCTCTTTAAATAACTTCAAGATTCACAGATTATTTTAGGAGCAAAATAATAGTTCATTTTTAACAAAACAACAAAATTACCATACAATAAATAAATTTACAATTTTCAGGAGCCACAACAAGATTCTTGCTTCATTTGAGGCATATTTAGGAGTTCAGCAAGTTCATATACTAAGATTCTTACATTTTAAAATAATGAAATAGTAAGATGGAAGAAAAAAAATTTTTCCTCAAAAATGTCTGCAAGTTTTTTCGTAGGATTTTTTTTACGTCCTTTTATTTAATTTCTAATCTTTGATAAAAACTAATAGTCTCACTGCTTTTAAGATATCAAATAACTTATCTTGATTTTAATCAAAACTATAAAATTAAATTCCTTATAGATATAACTTAAAAAGGGAAAGGAAACAGTTGCTCCTCTTTGGTATCCTATGCATGAAAAACTGCTGTGCTTAACCTTGCAGTATATAAACTTTGTCATAAAATGAAGCATAATGTAGCCAAGATAAATTTTTGAAATTTTGCTTTTACATGATTTATCTTTAATTTTTATTTTCTGACGAACTATATTATAATCTAATTTGATACTTAATAAAAAAAAAACTCTTCTATGGAAATTACAAAAATGTATATTTAAATTTTAAAATATGTATAAATTTGAAAAATGCAATTTTTTTTAATTAATTTGATTTAAAAGAAAATTATGGATTAATAGGAATATTATGAAATACAGGGATAAATAATTTCAAGATAATATAAATATCCAAATTAAAAAAAAAATTCCAATTAGAATGGATAAATAATTCTAATGAAAAAAATAACGCTATTATTATAAGATTTATAGTAAAACTGTAATAAAATTATAGTTCCAATTATAAATATATTAGAGCTGAAATAATTTTTACTTTGGCTTTCTTCAAGAAAGTGCATAAATTCTGCTTCATACAGTTCCTTTCTTTCAGCCCTCATTTTATCCAGTTCATTTATAATAGTCTGTAGCTCTTCACCTGCAATTAATTCATATTCATTCAAATATTTTTCTTCACAAGTTTAAAAATAAGTAAAATAACAGGCAGCTCTAAACTATTTTTTAATACTTTTTATCACACTTTTATTTAGTTAAAAATTATGATTTTTATTCTAAATAGAGACATGAGATGGGAAAAGAACAAAAAGTCTAAAAGTACCTATAAACTCAAATAATGAAAAAATTTAATAAAAAATTTTATGAAACAATCTTTTTTCTAAAAAATTATATTATATTCATACTTATTAAAACTTTTACTTTATGTGTACATTGACAGTCCAACAAACTGTTAGGCTTTATTCATAAATTATGAACAAAAAAAATAAAACACAGTAAAACAAAATAATGTAGAAACATAGATGAATAGACATTTAACATAGCATTTTCTTTTGATATTTACTCTCTGAAAATTTTCTTAAGTTTAGAAAGTTCGAAATTCCTCCAAAAGTCGGAAGAATATTATGCCTCGAAATAAAGTTTTTATTTTCTCTTCTTTTAAGAAATTTTATGAAAATAACTGTATAAAATTTTTTTTTTTTAAGGAATAGAAAAAAAATATTTTTTAAAAAAAGATGCGTGAATAATATGTAAACATAAAATAAACACAAAAGCAAATAAACTTGACAGATGTTATAAGTATACACTGATAAATATTATATGTTCAAACAAATAAATCTATACTGAAAAGAACATAAAGATCAAAGTATTTATAGATCCAAATGTAAAAATTTTTAATTTAAATGTGAATTTCAAGAATACAACAAATGTAAAAATATGAAAAACATTTTTAAAAAAAACAAGATTTTTATTTTAATTCCAAAGAACAGTTTTATACTATGGATTAGATACTAGTGCAAATAAAGGAAATTTTTTATAACTATTTTTATGAGTGTTGGATACTAACTAGAAGCAATTCCATCAGCAGTACCACCAGTAGCAGGTGGTGAAGCAATATATGCTGTATTTAGTTGATCATAGCTATCATCAAAGCCTGAAAAACGATTACCACAGCGGAATGCAGACTCATCTTCCAACAAATAAGAGTAGTTATCTCTCACGTATCGTGGAATGCAATCAACCAGTCTGTTTGAATCAACTTCTCTATATTTTTGCTCCCACTGATCTTCATATCCTTCTAAATCTTCAATGGCGTGTTCTAAACATGTAGAAAAAAATTAGTTAGCAAAAAATATATAAATCCTTTACAATTAAACATTACATCCAGTAGTGAAATGAATGGATAAACTTGTTTTGTCTTGAAGAATTAATGCAATTAACAGATAACCATGACCAGAAATGGAAAGTTTCTACTACAGTATAAAAGCTGCCCGAGAAGAAATAAGTTTCCTCCAACTCCAGCGAAAGAAATAGAAGAAACTCTTTTTCAAAGAGAAATATCAAACATTAAAACAATTTTTTAAACAATTCATAATTGCAATCTGTTTGACTGTTATAAGCCATTTAATATATCATTAAATAAGTGATAACTAAAAAAGAGATTGGAAAGAAAATAATTGTAGTTCCTCAGTACTATAGTTCATTAACAATAACACTCTGATTTACAAAACACTTATGGTTCAATTATCTCACAATATTTCTTTAGTATTATGAGATGATAGAACCATAAGTGTAGAAATTGGTAGTTTTAAGCATAACATGCACAATGTACCATAAGTGTAGAAATTGGTAGTTTTAAGCATAACATGCACAATGTTTGACTAGTAGTTTATACATTTGATATTGCTATTTAGACAACAGGGTTGCCACTCAAATCTGGAAGGAAAAAAAATTCCCTGTACATATTATACACAATATATTAAGAGGAAACAACAATTACTGTGCTCTTGTGTGAGCTATATTGGGCTCACTATATTTATTAGTTTCAATTGCTGGAAAAACAGCTGAACACATTTACATAATGCTATATTAAATAAAATAGTTTAGTATAGTTAAAATTCCATGGTTAAATATCCCATACCCGCTTTGAGTGGTCACCATTTTTTAAAAGACAAAAATGAGAAACAAAATTCCCTGTATTTTCCCAGTTTGTAAAGAAAAAATTAAAATTCCCTGTATTTTCCAGTTTTTCCCTGTGAAGTGGCAACTCTGGACAAGTAAAGTATAGTTTTTTACATATTCTTTATGCTGAAGCTAATAAAACCACACATTCATCAATGTGACTAATTTTTCAAAAAAGCAGGGGTGCTACTCGCAAAATATCAAATTGTCTCACCAGAAATTGCATTTCGTCTCAGTTAAAATCTCTTTTTGGCTCAGTTTGTCTCAGCTAAAATTATTTTTTGACTCAGTTTATCTCAGCTAAAATGACTATTAATCAGTTTGATAACAATATAAAGATAATTTTCAGGATCAATAAAACCATTAATAGCATACTAGGAGTACTACAATTATACATACATTCACTATTGCTAGGATTTTAAAAAACCTGCATATGATTGATTATAAGAGTCCACAAAATTGCTTTGAGAACTCTGTTGTTTTCATATATATTGCATTTATCATTTATGCCAATGAATAGTATCTGTTCCAGAATTTTACAAAGTAAATTTTAACTTTCTTATTATTTAAAATATAATGGTGTAACCTTTCTAAAAAGAAATATCTATTTAGTTTTGGTAATTCAAAGGGGAAAATACCCATTTTATTTTGAGCTCAAATTTCATCTCAAAATATATAACTATTCAGTTACAATGGAAGGTCTACAGATTTCAATAATTAAAAGAGAAATTCAGTAATTAAATAATGAGAGTTTAAGAAAATGTAAATAACACAAAAAAACCACTCTTTGATAGAATTCAGTCGGTGCAGTGAAATTTTGAAATATTTTAGGTAGGAATTTTTCAAGAAAATTTTAGGGAGCACTTCATAGCCAAAAATTAGCATATATAACATTTTTATAACAAACAGAAATATATAAAAACTATTATAAACAATTTAAAAAGACACATATAAATATACTTTTCTTTTTAAAATGACTTGCATCCCTTATTAAGTATAAAAGTAAACTTTTTAGTTGGCATTGACTAGTAGATTGAAACTTTCTTGCATTCACAAGATCAGTTAGTTGACTATGTTCTTTTAATTTATATAGCTAAATATACAATCATAAAATGTAATTATGAATGCACTTAGTAATCGTTTAAATGCAACAACTGTAGAAAAATATATCACATCTTTACAGTAACTAATTCAAGAAAAAACTTAATTCTACTTCTTTCTAGAATCACGATACTGGATTTTAAAATCGCGTGAATATGAATTGCGATATTGGGTTTTAAAATCGCGTGAATATGAATCGCGATATTGGATTTTAAAATCGCGTGAATATGAATCACGATATTGGATTTTAAAATCGCGTGAATACGAATCACGATATTGGATTTTAAAATCGCGTGAATATGAATCACGATATTGGATTTTAAAATCGCGTGAATATGAATCGCGATTTTGGATTTTAAAATCGCGTGAATATGAATCGCGATATTGGATTTCAAAATCGCGTGAATATGAATCACGATATTGGATTTTAAAATCGAGTGAACATGAATCGCGATTTTTGATTTTAAAATCAAGTGAATATGAATCACGATATCGGATTTTAAAATCACGTGAATATGAATCGTGCGGTTGGATTTTAAAATCGCGTGAATATGAATCGCGATTTTGGATTATAAAATCATGTGAATATGAATCACGCTGTTGGATTTTAAAAACACGAAAATACAAATCACGATTTTGGATTTTAAAATCGCGTGAATATGAATCACGATTTTGAATTTTAAAATCACGTGAATAAGAATAGCGCTGTTGGATTTTAAAAACGCGAAAATACAAATAGCGATATTGAATTTTTAAATTGCGTAAATAAGAATCACGATGAATAATTTTTAGATCACGTGAATACGAATCGCAATGAGTAATTTTTAAATAGCGTACAAATACGAAAAACGAGATCTGATATTACAACTGCGTGATAACGAATCGCAATATTGGATTTAAAAATGCGTGAATACGAATTGCGACGTTGGATTTTAAACTCGCGAGAATACAGATCGCGATATTGAATTTTTAAATTGAGTGAATAGGAATTGCTAGTACGATTTTTAAACAGCGTAAAAAAAGTCGCAACACATAAGTTTTAAATAAGTTAAATACGAAAATCGATGATTGATATTAAAATCGTCTGATTAAAAATCGCGATTTTAGCATATTCCAGCGTAGTTCCTAATATTTAAAATTCCGAAAATCAGCCAAACAAAAAAAAATCAAATACCGGCGGTCGAAACGAAACGCTTAGACTCCTTTCCACTCTATAGCGGAAGTCGCGGTAATCCGACTATCGTTCTGGCAGCTAGGGTTTCTCTAATTGGACTCTCTAAAAATTTAACTTTTTGGAACATGGTCGGAAATTTTAAAAATTGGGAGAAAAAAGCGGATTTCCGCTTTTTTGCGGAAGTCTTTCATTCCTGAATAATTACGTGCACTGTACAGAAGAAAAAAAAGTAAGATAATAACCAATAGAATAAGGGAAGAATACCCTCTTTTTTTACAAGATCACGTGCATACGATACTGATTGCTACTCACTGCTGTACATAATCCAATTGTAGACACGAAACACATATTCTATATGCATTCCAATAGCTGATTTGCCAAACGAAATTTCTGACATTTAAATGACGTATTTAGGAGGCGTGAACGGCAAAATGCTCTCCAATGACTCACGCTGATGTGGATTAATATTTGAAACTGAATTCAGGTTTGTCAAATTTTGGACGTTTTGTCTCAGAATGGCGCAGCTTTGGCAGAAGCTGAGCTAAATGTCGCAAAATGGCACAGTTATGCCGTTTTGTCTCAGTTTGTCGCAAATGGCGCAGGCGTAGCACCCCTGAAAAAGTGTTTCGTAAATAAGAGTGTATTGTTAATTATTTAAGAACTACAGTACTGAGGAACTACAATTATTTTCTTTCCAATCCGTTTTTTAGTTATCAATTATTTAAAGATATATTAAATGGCTTGAACATTTATAACAGTTAAACAGATTGCAATTATAAATAAAGCATGATTTTTGAACTGTACTTTGCATGAATAAAATTCCTAACTCTGAAACTATTTATCTTATCGACAAAGATTTAATGCATTAAATTCAGCAACAACAAAAAAATATAATAATAATAAATTTAAAAGTGACTTGCATTGATAACAATATTAAATGCTTAAATCAGTAGAAGCAAATAGTACATTTTATATGCATAAAAATTCTTTCAACTTTTGAACTGTTTGATTTATTGACTTTAATTCACTTTGATTTAGCACAAAAATAATAAAGAAACATTATATTGCAGAATATATTGTAGCATCGTAGACAACTAAAAACTAAAGCATTCAGAATTTTTGATCAATGGTAAACATTTTAAAAGCCTTACGAGAGAGCTTGAACAAAGTGGCACTTCATAAGAACTTTTAAATCCTTTACACGTAGTTGTGTGTAAAATAACTTTAAATAAAATTTACAAAACTAATAATCATTACATAAACTTAGCTACTAATAGGAGAAATTTTCCTAAAAAGCGTAGAAAATTAGCAAACTTGTATAAACATACCTTTTGGGTTATTTTTATAAATAGTTTCAACCGCATCTTCCATTCTCACCTGTTCTTCACCATGTTTTAGTTTGTCAGGTGCAGAACAAGGTACAATGCCCTAAAAAATGCAATTGTTAAAAAATAATTAGTTTTTTAACTCCCTTTTTTGTACACAATAACAGAGAAGATATTTACTTTAAAAAAAAATTATGAAAAAATAATTATTTGTGAACAAAAACATTTTAAGATATCATAATAAATATTTTTGGAAAAAAAATTTAGAAGAAATTTTAATAAAATTATTTGTGTAAAGATGAAACAAAGTAAGATAATCAAAAACAATATATGAGAGCCACTGGCCAGAAATAAAACTATAAAATTTTGCTTGTTACTACATTGGAGCATCTTAAGTAACATAAATTAAAAAGATAACAAAAATTGTGATGATTTGTATTTTACACTGCATAGTGCTTCAATGTAGCATCAATACTTTATGCTATTTCAAGTACCGTAACATATTTGTGAATTTTAACGTTAAGTTTTATCTCTCATTATCAACCTCAAAGTTAACATTTGTAAAACAGTATTTATTCAATAAATATAGAACCAACAAAAATGTTTTATGTTAACAAAAAACATTTTAAAATATGCTCCAACTTACTCCTTTGGAAGAAATATGTTTTGCTTGTAGACGCCTGTTTGCCAGCTCAGCGTTTTGGATCTGTCTTAGTGCTTCATCACATTCCTGAAAAAATCAAAATAATAAATATACCAATAAATTTATTTTTTAATCAACTAAGGATATCATGAGAGGGTCGAATAGGAAAATAAGATTTCAAAAAATTACAGTAGCCATCATTTATTAAAGTCATTTTAAATCTGAGGACGCTCTGATTTGAAAAACATGCATATAAATCCGTTCTAAAGTTTTAAACTTTCAAAGTTGAATTTCATAAGTGCACCAAAAATTTTATATTGCTGAACACTATTACTAAACCTAATCTTCTCTGTCTTCTTTTCAATTTAGCCTTGGAAAGGTCTATCCAAGATTCTGGTATGAATACCAGAGTAATCATCTTCACCTAGTTCAAATTCTTGTTTATTCTGATGATATTATTGCCCAAACAAAATCAACATTAATGAAGTCATATACTGCTATTGGAAGAACAGCTACAAAAATACACTAAAGTTTTAATGAAAGTAAAACAAAATATACAGCATTAATGCAGTCTACCACTCTAGTTAGTTAAATAGTTCTTAAATGCTGCTACTGTAAAATATTTAAGTACAAAAAATTTGTTTGATTTCCTTAAAAAAAATATTATTTTAGCATTATTTTTCATCTAGTCACTAATAATAAGGAATTAACTTGATTTAAAACTACATCAAGCTTCGAGTAAAAGAAATCTTTTTACGTTATTAATAATATAATTCCTTTATTAGATTTATCTTATTATCTAATAAACTATATAATATTGTGAAAAATGTGAAAGTTATAATAATGTGCAAAATTTTCTTTCACTTCAGGCTTGATTAAGTTTTAATTTAAATAAATTACTTCCATTCATTTCTAAATTAGTCAATTAATTTATTTTCCATTTTAAATAATTCAACATAATTTTATAAAAGTGCCATCTAAGATCTAACTAACAAAAGTGATAGATTGCCAGCAACAATAATACCAAATACATGTCTGTGTGCAAAACATCAGTGAATTTCAATTTTTTAAATATTGAATTGAACTTTTATTTTTTCCAGTTAGTTCAAAGTAGAAAGTTTAAAAAAAAGTCAATTTAAAAAAGAAAATTTACAAAAGGATCATCCAATTTACATTCGAAATTCGATAGATAATAAAAGTGTACAAAGAAAATGAGAATTTCTCTTCTTCTCATTGGCACGACAGTCCAGGATGGGCCTTGGCCTTCTCAACAAGCCTATGCCAAGACATTTTTCCCTTAGCCATTATTATAATTTACTAAGATATGATATTATAATTCATTAAGTATAAAATTTTGCTTCTTTTGTTGTATTTTTAGTTATAAATAATCTGAAAAATCAAGAAAAAATGTTTGTAAAGTTTCGGTACCTGATTTTTTTTTTTTTTAAAAATGCATATCTTCCAGCTGACATGGTTAAAGTTTTCCTTTTTTTAACAATTTTCTTAAAAATGGAAGAAAAGAAAGTAACCAATAACTGTAAATTCCTCTAGCTTTGTGCTCAATATTTTAACACATAATTCAAAAAGTACTTACAAGGTACATTTATGTTTATTCTTATGAGCAAACTTGCTTAAATTTAAGACATACTTGTTTCATACGATCTTTTTTCAGAGCATCATTGTATCGCTTTCTTGCTTTCATATCATTTTCTGCTTGTATGCGCTCTCTTTCTTCTCTTTCCTCCTCAGTCAAAAAATTTTCTTTATTATCAAAGTCATAAGCCTAAATAAAAAAATGAACTAAAATAACATTTTAAAGAAAGGAAAAATTAGCATGCCTTATACAGAACACACCTTAGGGAGTGAGCAGGAAAAAGAGGCAATTAGGAGGCAAATTCCCATGTGTGTGCACAGGGCCGGATTTAAGCTTGGCGGGGCCCTAAGCTACTGAAAATGATGGGGCCCTTTTAAGTTCAATTCTATTTCTATACACCTAAAGTAAACTGTCGTATTTTTTATTGCTGAATATTATCATCATATTATTAAAAATTTGATAATATTGCTTGATTGTTAAATATATTGATTGTGATGGGACTGTAATGTAGAGCCTTTCTATTATTACACATATTTTTTGAACGAGGAAAAAAACAGAAACTCATTTTAAGAACATCATAAGCACAGAGTAAAGATTTGGTATGTTAGAAGAACCATTATATGTATTTGGAATTTTAAATTATTTTATTTTTTCGAATTTTTTTTTTTTCTAAATTGTTTTTTTTTAAACGTTACATTTCGCTTTGCTGCTCTATGACTTAGAAACATGAAATTATGAAGGTGTGTCTAAAATAAGCAAAGGAGTTAGAAAGAACATAAGAAAATACAATTTGATAATTAGTTTTTTTTTTATAACCGCCGTTGAACAACCGACTTAATTTGAGTTTACGACTACAAATGTTTAACTCCGTATAATATTGAATAATCACCTTATAATTTTGAACTCAATCCAGAAGACAAGAGAATTGGATCAGTACCCAGAGGTACTGATTTGTTGTGAGAACTTAGAGGACTTTGTGACCACGGCAGATTTAACATGCACCAGTCACCATTTTATATATGGGTATTCTTCGGCCGGCTGGATTTGAAATCCAATTCTCACAAACACGAGTTCAACGCCCTGCCAACCAGGCTATCCCGGCCAAATTATTAGTTTATTTTATAATAGTCATTGAACAGCCAACCCAATTTCGAGTTTACGACTACTAATGTTCAACTTATTAGACTTCTAATTTTAAACTCAATTCAGAACACAAGGGAACTCCAGGATCAAGTATTGGAAGAAATTTTCGTCTTGGAGGGGGACGTTTTGATGGAACTGACCAGCATTTAAGTTACATGATGAGTAAAACCACAAAAGCTTTCCACTGTCAGTCTGACAACAAGGGGACCTATGATCCGTCTACCACTGAGGATATTTTACTTCGGCACAGTGGCTGGTGTAAGCCGGGTGTAGAATTCGTATCGACCAGTCAACACTGGGATTCAAACTCAGTGCCCTTGAGTCCATCTTCACTGGGTAATAACTCTACAGGAGGTACCAATTTTATTCATTTGCCAAATTTTAGCCATTTTCAAAATGTAAATAGAAATTCAATCGTAATTTTTGTAGAATAAAAAAATAGAAATAAACCGTTTTTCCTCTTAATCTGCAATGATTAATCAGAAGCAACCATAAGGTGCAAAATTAACAGGGGGTTTAGCTTTCTAGTTTTTTAAATACTTGTTAAATTATTAGTTTTTAACATGCATACTTTAAAAAAAATAAGAAATGCATTTTTCAGTATTAAGAAATAAAAATTAAAAACTGTCATCAGCTGGAATAGAGCCCGCAATCTCACAGTTTTGTGTTAGATTTCATAATCATCAGCCCCAAATATACACACCTGCCTTGCGGATATTTATTTATTATTATTTTTTATTTTTTTTAATTTAATAAATGAAGTTATTTGGATACTTGATATTCGTTATTACAGAATAAAAACCTTGGAAAGACAAATATTAGTTAATATTTAATTAAAGAAAAACCTGTATTGAAATCTAACGAATTGTCCCTGATAAATTTTGCGGCAGTAAAAAAAATATTGAAGCCTGATACCACGGATTTTTGAAACACTTTCTAGTTTTTCTATTTAATCAAATTGGTTTCGATGTCTTTCATCCCGCCTGTCTCATTAGTGATTCAGCATATTTCGATATCATTTTTGATTCGTTCTTACTTAATATTAATTTGTTTGCGACAATTAATTTGTATAACTTTTTTACTACATTTTTGCGAGGAGTTTAAAAATATAATATTGAGGGCATTAACTGAAGTTAAATTGGCTTTTTTTGTATGCCTCTTTTACCTACATCATCCACACACCCACACCCGACCTACTGCTTCTTAGAAACAGATATTAAATAGTCTCTTGATCAAATGATAGGACAAAATTTGCCTTTTAAACAAATCAAAAAACTTTACTACCTTTTAAAATTGTTTATTTTTAAATAATTTATTAATACTCAAATTGTTTAAAAGATATGTTCCTTTTCATTGACAACACAGTTTTATATTTTATCTAGCCATTTATTTATATTTTTAAACTTATTTTTTATTTGTTTTTATTTTATTAAATTAAATGCACAGATTTAAAATAAAAACAAATCTGCCAAAATTTTATAAATAGTTTCAATTTGCAATTTTAAGAAGTTATTTCGACTTTGCTTTAAAAATTTGAAATCCTTATAAATTAAAAAAAATTGGATGCCCTATTAACTTTAAGCACATAATAACGACGAAAATCAGGGAGTTAAAAATAGAAACAAGTATGATCAATAAGCAATAAAAGCATAAGCTAACTAAATAAATGAATTTTGTGTACGAAATTTCATATTTTACAAATTAAACATAATTCATATTTCAGGGATACATGGAAAATTTGGTCAGACAGGAGGTTTGATCAATATTTTTTACATATATATTTAAACATTTGTTTTGCTGATGATCCCTTGATTTCAATGCTCTATCAAGCAATATCACATGTTGCTTCTGTCCATTAGTAGTAAGTAAAATTACCACATCTGTTATCTCAATTTCATCCAAAATAAACCAAATCAAGAATTTTGGCAGATGGGCCTGTCAAGGAGGGAATTGAATGGTGGCCCACCATTTAAATAAATAAAGGAGTTCACGGATTCATGCACGATTAATTTGGAAAATAATAAATTAAAATCAATTACAATAATTAAGTAAATTAAACAATTAAGCTAGTTAAAACATTTAGGATAATTAAAAGGAAAAAAAGCTTTTGTAATAAATTGGAAAACATATATTTTGCAAAAAAGAAAAGTTAAAATTAAACGAGAAGCTCCTTAACGACAATGGGACACAACAGAAATCTCGAAACAGAGTGACCCTAAACAAGATTCTCCCACAGCCCTAAAAATTTTTTGCCCAGAAATCAGAAAAAAGGGTGTTTCTGTGGACAAAAGAGCCCACAGCAATTTAAAGGAGCTGAAAACATTTCCCACAGTGTAAATTGAGGCGGCTATTTGACTACTCCATGGAGTACCGCCTTTAAGGATCCATGGACTACTCCCATCACTGATAGCTACGAAAGCTACAGGATATTTTCATCAGTCAAAAGGCCTTTTTATTGCTCTTTTGTTAAAAAAGTAACAATTATTTTATACTTGTAAACACTTCTATTAGATTTTGAAAAGCGTTCGTCAATGTAATAAAGAAAAAAAAAATTATTTTAGGCTTCATAGGGCTCCAGCTCCGAATAAAACTTTAAAAAAAGAAGGAAAAAGTTGGATCTGGGGGCCCTTGCCATCTCGGGGTCCCAAGCTACAGCTTATTTAGCTTATGCGTAAATCAGGCCCTGCACGTGCATAAGCAGGCAAAGAGGTGAATGCTAATACATAGTAATTTGCATCCCATATTGCAACTTAGCAATACTTTAGTATTGCGAAGTTGGCAATATTTCGACTGTTAGGCAATAAATTTTTCTGTCAAAAAAAGCGGGCATAAAGGATAGTAAGATTGTGAAATTAAGAAAATCAAAGAAGATGATTTCAGTTTTTCTTTGAAATTCCCTGATTTTTAAAGAGAGTTTTAGCTTTCCCACACAATTTCAAAAAGAAAATTCCCTGACTCAGGAAAACTTCAAAGAAAATCCAGACCGTATTTTATTTATTATATAACCATGCAATTTTTAATCAGAAAACTTTAATTCTTTGACTTTTCTTTGATATTAGATTTTGTAAGCAAAAAAAAAAATATATCATTGAAAGCGGATGGAAACTTGGAAGTTTCACTAAAATGTGACATTTTTATAACAAATAATTGAACTGTATGATAGTATTATTTAATTTATATCTCAATAATAACTGATTCCTGTTACAGAAAATTCAGACTGATCAGGTTCCAGGTAAGATGTAAAAATTTTCCAGGTTTCAGTAAAAAATTGCAACTTTCCCTGACTATTCCCTGCATTTTAGGGTTAAAATAAAATTCCCTGACCATTCCAGGTTTTCCATGTACTCCCTGACACGCGGGAGCCTTGAGATTTTATCCAATTTTCCCTGACTTTTTCAGGTATTTCCCACAATAAAAAAATTCCTTGAAAATTCCAGGTTTTCAGGGTGGCCACCCTGTTTTATAAATCAAAATGCAACTTAAATACAGTGGAGCATCGTTTATACGACGATCACTTATACGACGTTTACATTTATACGACGTTTTAGTGTGGTCCCAAATCATTCCTATTCATTTTAATGTAAAAATATATCGTTTATACGACGCACAAAATCGGTTATACGTCGGTTTTTAGATTTTGTTCACGTTTATTTAATTTTTTATTTTTTCTTGTGTATTTTAAAAAAGGGCGGAATTTGCCAACATGAATGATACAGAAAAGGGTGCCAACAAGAATGCTTGGATGACGACCGTAATTTTTACTAGATGACTGAAAAAACTAGACAATGTTATGAAGAGGCAAAAACGAAAAATTTTGCTATTCATCGACCAATGTCCAGCGCACCCATCGATACTAATTATTTCGGAAAATGTAAAAGCTCTCCTTTTTCCTGCAAATTGCACAAGTGCGCTTCAGCCATTAGATTTGGCCATGATTAGAAATCTAAAATTGCATCATAGAAAGCAGTAAGTTCAACTCGCTATTCAAAGCATTGTAGAGACAAATAGCAAGAAAATATAATTAAAGGTATCATACATTCAAATTGCTCACTGCAATTTCTCTTCTTTGGTTATTTGTTTGTTTTGCTTTGTCTAATTTAGAAATTTATGTAAATCAACACGTTAAACATTAAAATTAACTGAAAACAGAGTTAGTTTCAGTTTTAGAAGTAAAAATCGATTATACGACGTTATCGTTTATACGACGTTTTTTGGTGGTCCCTTCGGCGTCGTATAAATGATGCTCCACTGTATGTAAAAATGTGAATTAGCTAAGAACACAGAAAGAACCAAATTTTATGTGCCATAAAATTTGGTACCTTTTCAATACAAATTTTACCATAAATTTAACATTTTACGATTCAATATTAATAATATAAATTCATTTAAATAGGATTCTAGTAAGATGTCATAACGAGTTTTCTAATAATTAATTAGCAGTAATATTACGATTAGTAATATAAATCTTAATTTAGATAAATTTAATAAATTTTTTAAGTGATGATGCCAAATAATTAATTATTCCAACTACAGCAGTTCCTCTCTTAGTTTATTTTCACAGTGAAAGAAACTTGTCAGGCATAATTAAATATAAAAATATAAAGTCTTACCAAATTATAGTCTCTTTTAGTTCCAAAGGCAGTCCCTTGCACTCCAACAAAGGGTTGCTCAGACTCCTGACACTCATTCATCTCCTTACATTCACAGTTTTTCTTGTCTAAGAAAACATATGACAAAATGAGTTCGTTTCAAGCTAAAGTTACAAGGAATTATCAATAAAAAACTATGTTTAAACAAGTGCAAATATTAGTATGAGATAATTACTAATATTACTATATCAGATAATACAATATATTTATCTGATAATATATATATATTATCAGATAAATACAAATATTTGCACTTGTTCAGAATTGCATAAAAAAGAAGTTTTCATGACTGTCTGTGAGGTTGTAGAGGAACGTGACCTTGATAACAAAAACACAGCAGGAGTCACTAGATTGTTTTTCATCTCAAATTTCTTTAAAAATTGCTTAACTTCAAAGAAACAGTTAAAAAAAAAATTTAAGATCAAACAAAGCAAAATTCCTTCTTAATGGAAAAAATAATTTATAGTAAAGTAATTATTACTAGCTTCATGTTAAGGGCAAGCAAGTTTTAAATTAAAGACATGCAACGCTTGCCGAGGTGCCTATTCCTGAACTTTCAGTTTGCTTCAGTATATTATGGCTGATATTTTATTATTTTTGGGTGAATCGGATTCATCAAGCATCCAGAACAAGATTTAACAAAAGAATTGCCTTTATCTACCTGCTCTCATTATAAATGAGTTTAATTGTATATTAAACACAAACATAAAAATACATTTTCAGAAAGTAAAGTCTTATCATGAAACCTTATATTAATATAACAGTCACCTCTCTCTTTCAGTAAAGATCTTATAGAAGCTGGAAGAGGGGGTGGAAGACCAGCAATATGCTTTGAGCGCTGTTTTTCCATTTCAAGCACTTTTTGACGCCTTCTCTGAGCTTCACATTGCTTCTCACGTGATTTTTTGATTTCAGCTAATTCATTAATAAGAGCAAGTCTTCCCCTTTCATCCGCATGTAGAGCTTGAAGTTCTCTTTTTATATCTCTTTCAAAATTTTCACTTGTCTAAAAAGAAAGCTTTAGTATAGTATCTTGAACAAAATTTCAATTTGATACTTTAAAGTTAATCCTCAACTTTCATAAATGCATTCTTATTCTAAAAAAAAAAAAAAAAAAAAAAAAAAAAAAAAAAAAAAAAAAAAAAAAAACACAGAAAAAACAATATATTGGTTTTTATTAAGATAAAAATTTTTTTTAACAAATATAAGATTGTTTGATAACTCTCAGAAATGGATCTTTTAAAGTATTTGCTTTCAAAAAAGTAAATTTAAAAATTTTATTTAAGCAACAGATATAAAATATACATTTATATAAAATATGTCTCATATAAATAAATAAAAAATAAACTAAAATTTCACACAACTAAAAAAATATAAGTTTTTGCAGACATACTGGATGAACACTAGAATGCTCACTTTTTGAAGGCTTAAGAATTTCAAATATGGTCGTTAATTATTAGCATGCCTTAAATTGATAAAAGTTTTTTTTTTTTTTTTTTTTTTTTTTTTTTTTTTTTTTTTTTTNTTTTTTTTTTTTTTTTTTTGCAGCTGACCCTGCAAGTATGCAAGATTTAAAATGAGAGATAAAAGTCAGAATCTATAAAGACATAAAGCCAAAACTTGCAATGAGAAAGGCAAAAAAAATATATATATTATTCAGATTTCTTATTGACTGATTAATAGACACTCCCTTTTAATTTTTTAAACCTTATAACTGAGCCAAATAGATATTTCAGGGCTGCCACTGGATGAAAACAAGAAAAATAGTTGCTTTAGTTGCATCATATATGAAAAAAAGTCTGCAAGATATATAAAATAGCTGTTAACATCATATCCTCCACTAACATAATTTTAATTATTTGTGCTGTAAAAGCATAAAATTCAAATAACATGCATAAAAACAGGGAGTTTTATTTTTATCTGTTACAGAACAGTTGAATTTGAAACTTGAATTTCCTTTCTTGGTTCTAATTTGCAGCTGCTTAGTTTAGACATTTAAAAAAAAAAAGAAAGAAAGAAAGAAATATTGCAATTTAATTCCCTTTTATATTGTTTATTTTTTATAACTGACACATTTCCCAATTTTAATGCTTATCAAAAAAATTACGATCACAACTCGACAAAACGAATATCACCATATACCTTTTTTTCTATTCTAAATAGCTCTAAAAAAATTCACATTTAGAGTAATTAAAGACAATTTTTCTAATTTTGCTATTAAAAGAGGGGAAAAAACGTAATCCTCAGAGATATTACATTAGCTTTCTGAAGTAGGAGGAGCGCATTCACATAGTGCGAATCCAATTGTCATGCTTTTGACATCAAACAGTGACAAATAATAAAGTTAGGATAAAACGAAAGAGCGGCAAAAAGAAGTGGGGGAAGGGGAAACTCATGAAGCTATTCTTCATTTTAGTCGCTCATTGGCTTAAAAAAGCCGCCGATTTTAAGCAACTCATTGCAAATTAGTTGTTTTTACTCATTTTTCTACTAAAATAGTCGCCATAGTTGCTATTGCTTCAAAATAGTCGTTTCAGTCGCCTCTTTAGTCTCCTATGGCAGCCCTGTATTTGAACATTTGTTTAGTTTGAAATTATCAAAAAAGTGTATGAAAACTTTATTATTAGCCTAAAGGCTTGTTTTAGATAAGCTCAACATGGCCTTACATGGCCATGTTACAGACTTAGGCTAAGTATCTCTCATCTCCAATGGATAACTGCTTTACTTTATAAACAAAAAAAAAGTTTAAATAATCAGATGATTTACCTCAGAAGAGTCAGAGTCTTCAGGATCTGTAATTTCTTTAACTTCAGGGATTTTTCGCACCTAAAACATTTATATATATTTATATTATGATTACAGAAAGCTTAATTTATAAACATATTGATAAATATATATTGACATTCTAAACCAAGTCAATCCTTGGGGCAGAATAAAGATTTTGTATGCAATAAACCACCATCATGTGCAGGAAAAAATAAGTTTAATCTGCAGAGAATTAAAGTCAAATTGCAAGTAAAATTAGAAAAAGATTTTAAAAAAATTTTTTTTCAAAACTTCTGTTATTCTTTTTCAACAGCATGATAGCCAAATACAAACTAGAATTGCATTAAATATTAAAAAAAAAATTCACATTTTTATGTCTAGTTTTATGGAAGACATTTTTTGGATGCTTTAATGGACCCTAAACAAATTATTTTATCACAAAAATGAACCATTCCCAAATAATATTACTATACAAGCGAAGACTTCACAAATTATTTTAGCATGAAAACAGCACCCCTACAAAATATTGTTGCTTAAAAGTGGACACGCAGATAATTTTTTATTTTGAAAATGAAGGTTTCCCAAAATTCCTCCTTTGAAAAACTGAGCAAATGACATTCTTAATTTACATAATTTCAAGATTGCAATTCCTCAAAAGAAATGGGTTTTTTTTTTTTCGAAAATGAAGCACTGGCAGAAAAAACTGAATTAGATCCAGGATATTATGAGTGGATTTACCTTTAGCATTATTTTTCACAAAACTAATTTATTGTAAAAACAGGCACTTCTCAAATATAACAGGCGACTGGTTTTGAGAATTGCATTAAAATACGGAAATTTCAGTCATTCTTTCTTACGCAAATTATTCTGTGGGTTTAACAATGGAAAAATATCTATTATACTTGTAAAAAAATAAGCCTAAACACAGGGCCTGAATTCTCCATTCGCTAGCTCGGTGTTGGCGACCAAATATTTAAGGCAAGGTACTTAGATTACATTATTTTTGATTTTGACTCAAAAATATCACAATCTGAGAGTTGGGCTCTATACTCCATTGCAAGTTAAGAAAAGACCATTGCAGTATAGGATTTGAGTAATCATCTGCGACTGCATATAGTTTTATGTTATTCTGTTATCAAATTATACAAATATACTTTAAAAACAATATAAAAGCTTTTAAAAATTCAACAAGTTAGACAGAAATTTAATTCATCTTATCCTTTACGATATATATCATATAATTATTTAAAAAAAGGTTATCATTTTGGAGTCTTGCTGGAATTCTTAACTTGGAGACATATTTTGATAAATAAGGAGAACATTCATTCTTCAAACAATATGGCGTTGCAATAATATTGGATTTGATTGAAAAAATAGCGCGTCCTAAACTGAAATGCTATTAACAAATCACATGAGACATGGGGAATTTTTACTTTTGTTTTACTGTAGAACAATCCCTGCAAAAAACAATACTTATTATTCTTTAATCAGTTTCCTTATATGCGAGCAGAAAGGCATACATTTGTAATGATTTTTAGACATCATTTTAATTCTTATCACTTGTTAATTGATTATTCAATAAGTTTTATTTTCCTCATTTCCCATGATAGAAAGCAAGCAAAAAGAAGGCTGTGTAACATCACTTCAAGAGTTGGCGATGTAGATATACATTCGAGTTGGGAGCTTAGCACCCCACGACACCTTAGACGCAAACAGCCTCTCTCCAAAGTAATGTTTTGTTTTTTTTTACTTGCAATAGAGTACAGGGCTGCAATCAGCTGATGGTATTTCCGATTTGTATTTTCTTATTTTATTATTTAATGATATGTGGTTGATATTGCAGCCATTGAGACCCCTTTACAGTTAATATTATTACTTTGCAATAAATTTGCTTCAATTTTACAAATTCTACATTTTTTTATGGTTTCGGACACTAAGATGCTTTTTATGCTATATCTGCAAACATTTTAAAAATTGTTTATTTTTTTGCAAAAATAGTGGCGAGAAATTTTTAAAGTTTGGTTTGCATCTTTAGAACTTAAATTTTACACCCTACTTCAATATAAAACAAAAGAGTTTAAATTTAAATGATCCATAGGTATTAACTAATTTTTAACATATACAAATTTGACATACTCACAATGAGAATATTGTCTAGATTTAATGGATCCTTTTCATTATTTGTTGTCATATCCTTTTCATCAAAATTCTAAAATTAAGAAAAAGTAATTTATAATTAAGAAAAAGTAATTTATAATAATATATATTAAGAGTTTTTTAAAAAAATCAAAATTTCTAGAAGCCATCAAATTGATAGTGGAAGGAAAAACATTGCATCACAGCTTTATGCTTTTGTGACATTTTATAATTATTTTTCATTTATAATCTGAATGAAAATAAATTGGTCAGAACAATAGAATAAAATGTTAATTCAAAGTCATGTTAGAAAAAAAAATTTAAAAACAGATTTTCAGGTAATGAAACTAAAAAAAAAATTTTTTTAATTTTTACTAGAGATCTGCCTATATTCTCTTACAATACAAGAAGCATATCACCTAGCTATGGCCATGGAACCCCAGAGCCCTGTCTTATTAACATAACAATTATTTGATATAAGCTATTACTTAAATACTACTAACATTTATTTGATATTATTAATCATTGCACTAAATATGAATGAGCATCAAATGTTTGTGGCATATTTTTGTATCAGTAGGTACAGCAGCCAAACTTTTTTTCAAAAAAAAAAATCCAAAAAATTGGGATAAATTTTAGCAACAGAGAAGCATAGAAAAAAAAAACACAGAGAAGATGGCATATAATAAAAATATAACCTTCAAACATCTGAGGCAAAACTTACATTCATTTAATTAATAATTGAAGAATACATATTTCATTACTAAATAAATAATGAGATAGTAACAAAACAAAAGCAGGTGGCTTAAACAAACAGGTATAGTGCGACTTTGAGGAGAACTCCTCCAATCTGAAAGTCTGGGGCTGTCTGCTGCTATAGTAACAAGCGAGAGCCAGTGTTTTCGCTACAGTGCGAGAATCTCCATATTTTTTTTTTCTTTCTTTTCTCGCATTAAAAAATGATTATTACCGCAAGAAATTTTAGCGTTCTATAAACCAATTTCAAAATTCGCGAATTCCTCGCATTTTGAAAAAAATTTCTCATTGCGCCATTTAGAATAAAATCCGTTTCACTTTTCTTCCTGGATCTTTCATTACATATTTTCAACATCTGTCCCATTATCTAGCTTCCTTATTTACCAGTATTGTTCAGAACCTTTAAGAACAACAGAACACCATCTCTCGGAATCACGGAATCTCTTTCAGAACGCATTTCTCTGCAACCATGTGTTTACTGTAGGTAAGGTTTCTCCATGTAAGACGTTCAAATTTAAAATTTTTCGCGCATTAATGTAAGATGGACAAATACCTTGTAAAGGCAATATCTTCTACTCCGAAACGGACAAATGAAAATGAAACAAATGCGGGCAGAAACGATCAAAACGAAACAAATACGCATTTGAGCAACCTAATGAGAATAGCTGATGAAAAAGTAGATGTAGAACATTTTTCATATGATGTGTAGCAAAAATATTCAATGCTTTAAAAATTAGAAGATGTTATAAATGTATTATAATTAAAGAAAAGATTTTTTTTCAAGTCTCTTTGCGTGTGTGTGTGTGTTTTTTTTTTCTTTTGTTGTTGTTTTTAATTTTTAGAAATCTCACTTAACTTTTTGAAATTTCACCCTGTTTTTGAGAAAGAGTGAAAAATTCTCACCCATTTTTTTTCTGTGATGAAAACACTGAGAGCACATTTCTAATGGGGGTAAAATGGAGGAAAGAAGGTGTCGATTGGTTTACTCACAATGACCTACGCTAAGATTAAGACAAAACTATTCACCCTACATCCCTATTCAAAGAGACCTTTCCTCGTAACCATAGCACTCGACATGATGCAAGACAGGTGATTGGAGGAGTTTTCCTGCTGCACTATACTGATCAGTGCCAGTAATAAGTTTAATAATTCATCATTAAACTAAAGATAATTATGCATTTCAAGTTACACTTTTCAGATTACTTTTAAACATTTTTAATCAAATATCATCTAAAAAAATCTGTCTAAGTTTGAGATGTAATTTAATACAATAAAATTTTATTCAAATTGCCCTTTAAATAGCTCTTAATAAGTTACAAATTGATTTAATAAAAATAAACATCTTTACAACATATAATGATTCTGTTGTATGATACAAATGCAACAGCTATAAATTTAATGAAACTTTACGCTAAAATATATGCTTCTCTAAAATCAAACACAATGTTAACTACAACTGCATTTCAAATTTTAAAATATTTCATCAATAATAACAAAAAACTTTATTTTTATATTTACATTGCTACTAAGAACAAAGCTACTTCCATTTCTTTGTTACTTAAAAATTTTGGGGAAATTTTTATTTAGTAATAAGAACTTTTAAATTCTCAGCATTTTACATAACGTTTGTTTTCAATATTCTTGACTTTTCCAAATAAATATTTAGTTATTTTTAATAAAACACCAAATTTTATGAGCAATATTGAACTAGAAAATTGACTAACACAGTAGATACATAGATTGCAAACAATATTCTGAAATAAGTTTTTTACATATTTGAAATTACTGTTAATCCGAGGAGGAACAAATTGATTTATTGTGTAATTAAATCTCTTATTTTTATCAAGCTTTTTCTTCTTACTCCTACTATCAAATACACAACAATACTTTTAGAATAAACATTAAAAAAATACTCCACAAATATAGACCAAAACTAATTAAAATAAGACCTCAAAAGGAGTAATTAAATGAAATTTAGCAAGTTTTTTCCTGGTTGAGATTCCATGAAATAACATAAAATTTCTCATTTTCTTTCAAAATATCAAATTTTTCCGATTTCTTTCAAATATTTTAGAATTTCTTGATCATTTCTCTACTAACATCTTTAATTTTAACGTAATTGCAACCAATTAATGATAAAACTAGTTTTAGAGGGGATTCTCCACTTTTAACTCAAAAAATTCAATCCTCAGAATTTAAGAAATTAATTTTGATTTTCATTGAACAAAAACTGTGTAACTTAGACAAATATTTATTTTCACAACCTTAATTCTCTATTTCAAAGATAGAGTGTGTTAATAAAGCAAAATTAAAAACCCCTGCACTCTTCTCCTTAGAATTTTTTTTTACATTTTTTAAGAATATTTATAATATAAGATAAAATATTTTGCAAAAAGGAAACTGATATTACCTTTTTTCTTTAAAAGGTCTAATAGCAATGAAAATAAACAAAGAGCAAATTTTATTTTCGAAATTGACATATCTTCACAATTCAAGTTCACACAAATTGGAGTATATTAAATAATGAACAATAATAATAAACAATAATATGGCAAAAAAGGGTAAAGAATAATTTTTGGTACAACTCACGGCAATCTAATTGTTTAACAGCTGCTGGTAAAATTTATTAGACTATTCTTCATTTGAAAATATTTATTTATTGACGAATTTCAAATTACGTACTAGAACATCAGTCGAATAAAACATAGAACCGCCACACATATAACAGTAAATACTGAAAACAACTACTTTAACTTTACTTCAACTGACGAAATGGACTACAGGTGACGTAGAGCAAAACTCTCTACCTATGGCAACACTTTGCGTACTTTTACCATTAGAGTGTGGAGAGTTATAGGAGAAGGAAATACGTGAGCTTCTCTTTTGATTTTTAAATAAATTAAGCTTTTAAGTTTGGAAACTATTTGGAACTGAAAACTACATTAAATATAGCTCTAAAACGAAAATGTCGTGGAAATTTAAAAAAAAATATTTTTGACAGTTAAATACAAAAAATATTAAGAAAGGGGAAAATATCGTAGTACATTCCTATACAAATGAGAAGAGAAGGAGAGGGAAGGGTCAAGACATGGAACCAGTCTTCTCCCCAGATGGCGCATTCCAGAATTACTATCTCGAATTGTGCATTAACTTCGTATGCTATGGGACTCATATGGTAAACTGACGGGAGTGATCTCGAAGAAGGGTCAAGAAAATGCACTTCACAAGGAGTAAACACAAAAAAATAATTATAATAATCATTTGTGAAAATCACTACGAAATATAAACCCTCTTCCCACGGTATCAATTCTAAAACTTCACAATATTGATGCAGTTTTGATAGATACTAAGTATACAACTATGAAACTGTAAACCTATATTTTATTTCATAACCGTCGTTGAACAGCTATCCTAATGTTTGAATTGACAACTGCCAAAGCTCTACTCGGTAGCTTTGTAATTTTGAACCCATTCCAGAAGACAAAGGAATATATGGATCAAGTATTGGGAGAAATTTGCCTTTGTGGTGAACTTTTTGACCCACATATGCGTTATATGGCGAAAGAAGCTAAGAAAACCTTCCATGGTTAACCTGATAGCAAGAGGACCCATTATGCATCTACCACTGAGGATATTAAACTTCAGCACTGTGGTCGGAGCGAGCCGGGTGCGAAATTCGTATGGACCAGTCATCACTTGGATTCCTACTCCGAGTCACCTCATTGGAAGGCGAACACTCTAACTCCTGAGCCACGGCATTGAACCTATACTAGCATATTTGGTAACTATTAAAAATGTACTAATTTTTTTACTATCAGTGCCTATTATCCAATGGTTTATATTTCTGTTTTTACTTAACAACTTTTGAAACTAATTAAACTTAATTAATTTAATTTTAAAAAAAACTTGTTATGCAGGTTGGTCTAAAATCACATACGTAAGAATCGAATACGGAATCTTCTGTAAATATGATCAAGCGGACTTTTTATTTCTAGCCAATGATGAATTTGAATACACTTGAATGCATTTACAATTAAAAAGGGAAAATTTTATTCATATAATGAATTTTTATTTATTAATTCGCTCTTAATTATTTTTTTGCTTTTAATTAATAAATTAACTTTTTTTAATATCAATAAAACTTTAATCGAAAATTTTAAAAAATAATGCATTGAGCACTAGAACTCAGAAATCACTGTTATCTCTTTTGTACTCGTGGTATATTAAAATGAAGAAATTTAAATAAAATATAATTTTTTTTGTTGTTCTTATGTTTTAAATTTTAAATGTTGTAAGAAATCTAAATTTCTCCCAAAAATTGTAAATTTAGTTAGAATAATTTTTCAAAACTTCTGAATTATATCTTTTTCAAACCGCAGAAAAACTTCTTTTTATTCAATAAAAAATTAATAGTTTTAAATACTTTTTACATAATTTAATGAAATAGTTCTATGTTTATCTTTTTTGTAGGTGGTATCTTAAGAAACATTTAATGATTAAAAAAAATTTTTCATTACAATTTGAAGTCAATCATTTCAATAAAACAAAATTGAAGTATCTTTGTTAGTCTATAATTGTAGTTGGAAATTATTCGCTTAATTTGCACACAAATGATATTTTTTAATAATAAACTAATTAAATGGGCTGGTCACATCATTCGAATGAACAGAGAGCGTCCGACAAACATAATCTTTTCGGCTCAGCCCATCGGATCAAGGCCCAGAGGTCGACCAAAGCTGAGATGGGCCGATTGCGTGGAAAGAGACTTTTCAGTCTTAAAAGTCTCAAACTGGAAGACAACTGCCAGGCAGAGGCAGGCCTGGAGGAAGTTGATTGAGAAGGCCAGGGCCCACCCGGGGCTGTCGTGCCATTGAGGAAGGAAGGAAACATTTCTTACTATTATAAATAAGTTTAAAGAAAAACATTATCTGTGAAATATATTCAGTACTTCAGTATATTACAATAAAATTTGAAGTTGTAGACGCTGATTATATACAAAATATTCTAATATTTTTTAACCAATCAATTCAATTTCACTTATATTGTCATTTTTTTATAAATTATATATTCATTTTAATGATCTCTACATTATTTTAATTTGACTATCAAATAACTTTAAAAAAATTTTTCACCAAATTCAGACTTCCACTTGGATCTTGGGCAGCTCTCAGGAGCAGGACACATCAACCAGAGGTCTATTGTATCCAAACCCTAGATTATGATTAGCGGAATAGCCTTATAGCTGAAACAAAGATCAGCAAACATCTGAGAAGAATGTCCTGTAGCTCTCAGGCCTTAACACAATGTTGTTCCTGATGCTCAAATCTTTGAGTAGAATAGAGCGCATACTTACAACGGATATGTCGTGAAGTCTCCTCCTCAAGATGACAACCACGAAAAAGAGTATCGGGTGTAATACCCATAATGTAGAGGCGTCTCCTAAGGGTGCAGTGCCCAGTGAGAAGAGCAATGATTTTTCTCAAGCTACTCCTGTTAAGCTTAAGAAGTTCTTTTTGGCTCACACTGGGGCAGTCACGATTTAACTCCTTAGCTTTTCTTTGACCGCCCAAGTTGCAGTCATAAAATATCTTCAGTCCTATCTGAAGTCATAAAATATCCTCAGTGATAGATGGATTATGGGTAAGAATGCCTTTGCCGTTGGGTTAACCGAGATAGGTCTTCGTGTTCTTTTTTTTTGTTGTTGATGGAATTAGCGCGTAAATGCTGGCTACTTCCATCAAAAAGTCCTCCACGAAGGCTAGTTTGTCCCAGACTAATAGTTATCCAGGTATTCTCATGACTTTATGATTGGATTCAAAATTTCAAGGCTACGGAGTTGAACTTTGATAGTCGTAAACTCTTGGGTCGTCTGTTCAATGCCGGTAATAAAATTAAAAAAATATTATCTAATATTAATATACATTGTAATTTAACAAATATTACATTAGAAATAAGTAAATCTCTCCATTAACCATTGAGATATGAAAATATCAATAATTACCACAAAATCATCCTTGATGATAACAAGGAAGGGTTACAAACGAAATAAAAAATTACAAGTTGATTGTATAAATCACGTTGAATATATTACCAATTAACAATTGCATTCGAAGATGTGGTTAATCTTAGGATTACTTGCTTTTAATTTTTAATACATATTATTATAGGTTACTTTGAGTTATAATAAGGGATTCTTGATATAACAAGTGTATAAAGAAAGAAAGGAACCAAATCAAATAATTAAAGATATTTGAAATTAGGAAGTAGATTAGGATAAATGAATAAGAAAAACAAAGTGATCTAGACTCGAATTCCGATGAATCCATACTGTACACACCACAATGCTGATCTAAAATGTTCCAAGTGGTAGACGCGATAGAGATAAGCGTGAAGTGGTTGAGATAAAGGCCTTTTGTTGTTGGACTAACTGTGAGTGATTTTCATTGTTTTTCTTTCAACTCCATGCAAATTTTATGCAGTTTCATTCCAAATCTTACATGAAAACGAATTCTTCCCAGAACGTGAGCCTGAATTTCTAAGTTTGAGATGGGTTTGGAATTTCAAGACTAGGTCTGGGGGGGGATAAGAGAAATTATGACAAATGTTTAAAGCGGCTGTTGGAAATTTTACAGATTTTAATTTTAGGAAATAATTTCGTTACGGTAAATATGTATACATATTTCATATAATTTCCGAATATTTTACGGTAGACATAGGAATTAGTTAAAATATTTTGTCGCCTGCAAATTTTTCAAAAAACTTCTTTCTCCACCCGTTTTCTTTACTGAGAGCAGGATGAATGCATACACAGATGAATCAAAACTAAATGCCAATGGTTATGTGGGAGTTGGTATCGCATCAGAAAATAACCCACTATTTTCGTCTAGGAGCTACGAAATCTGTATTTGAAATCTTACGTTCAATACAGAGCGGGATCTTAGGAAGGGATTGGCAATTTATATGCGGGATCTCAGACAAATCAGTGAAAAAAGAGTTTATCGACCAACAAACCCCTTTGGAAGAAGTTTGCTATGGATTTGTTGCTTCAGGATCAATTTGGAGAAGCACATCAATCCAAGTTAAAGGAAAGATTAGGGAAAAAGTCCAAACTGAAACCGTCATTAATCTCCCGGAGTATTATTGAAATTGATTTCTCGCTGCTTTTAGAATAACGATAATGCCAGATTGTCTCTATGCTCACCTTTACGCATGGGCGGATCGTGAATTTGTGGGGCCCTGGGCTGAAACTACTTTGGGGCCCTAATAGCCATTTTGTCAAAAAACTGTTTTCTATAGTGATGGAGGTAAGTATATAGAAAAAAATAGGACAATAAAATAATTTTATTTATTTTTTTATTTATTTATTTTTATTTGTCTATACAAGCAGCAACTGTTCAACATTATTGCAAAAGAAATTGACAGGTTATGTGTAGTTATGTTATATAAATTATAAAGCAACCTTTCTGCATTTTGGTGCTGCAAACTCCTTCATTTGTTCATCACATTGTAAGTCCTTCGTTAAATCACAATTTATGGAAAGAACTGATAAATGATTTAGTCGATGGTTCGACATTGTTGTCCTATATTTGTTTTCTATATATGACATCCTGGAGAAAGAGCGCTCAGTTTCACAGCTAGTGATTGGCAAAGTTAAAAATATATCTAAGATAGTGTAGAAATTTGGGAAAACATCAACAAATTTCTTTTTATAAATTAGCATAAAAATTTCACTGCTTAGACTGAAGTAAATAAGCTTTTAACTGAATGCACTCATTCACTAAATGCTCGTCTACGTCATATGGATAATACTCAACAATATTACGTACACTTTCCAGATCTATGTTTTCCATATTTTTGTCTTGCAAATCCATTAAAAATTTGAATTTCTTGCTATACATCTCATTGACTTGGCTCCTTTTACTTAAATCCATAATCAGCTTATTCAACGCAACGTTTAGCGTGTCGCTTTCAAATTTTTCTGCGCCGTATACTGAGAATTTATTTGTAGACTTATCTGAAAATTTTGGAGTAATGCGTCTCTTGTTTATGTCATTGTAGTCTATTCCCACACTAGTACTTAATTTTTTAGCTTTCTCTTCGTAGTCCTTTGGTTTCTGATCTGATTGGTGCCTTATGTTGTACATGAAGTCTTTTGATGATACAATTTACTTGTTGCCTTCAAAAATAACTTGTTGCCTTCACGTGTCAACCACACTAACATTGATTTCTTATGTTCATTAGAATTTTCATGATTTTCTAAACAAGTTCCTATGTATTTCCAATCAGAAAATCCGGTGGGTATTGAGAAGGAATTTTAGAAAAAAGTTTGCAAGCCAAACAAAAAAAAAAGCACCAACCCTGGTTGAATAAAATAACCAAGATCTTTCTAGTGATTGACCATTTTTCATTTTCCTAATGAAATACCTATTTGAAAATGTTCTGTTTTGTTCTTTGTATTTCTTTATTGAAACTGAATATAGATTTTTCGGATCTTTATTTTGAAAGTCAGTCATTTCATGTGAGAGTATGTCATTAATAAAATCATTATTTAGCAATTCTGGCCACAAGCTCACGTCAACATATTTCTCAAACTCAAACTTAAAATTCTCTAAATTTCTTTCCGCCTCGGTATTACCGTCCTCTTGCTGAACACCAATATAGTTTTCAGTGGGATCAGAGGGTTTCTGGTAGTCAAGACAGTTATTAGTAAACTAAACAAGTTTGTCACTTTGACGACGAAAACAGAAGTACGAAGAAAAAAAATTACGTCGGGCGTTAAGCGGCGCTGCGAGAAGTCGGTACACAAGCGATTCCCCGTTTCGTTCGATAGACGCGCACATGCATGTGTTGATTGATCTCAGGGTTGCCAATCTTACAATATATTTTTTTTTAATATTAGACATTTTTTTAATTCAAAATATCACCTATTGTTTCCAGTGGGGACTGGGGCCCTTTGTATCCACGGGGCCCTGGGCTGCAGCCCAAAAAGCCCTTAAGTAGATCCGCCCCTGCCTTTACGGACGTAAAATCGTTAATAGCCCTGCTTGTCCCTGTGATGCAGCAACCAGGTGTTGACTTCGGATCATCTCCCCCTCTGCCCAGCTTTGAAAAAAGAATATATTTACTATTGGGAATCTATAGTTTGTCCATAGAAAGAACTCCCCTCGCCACAAAGTCTATGGCTATCTGCTGTTATGGAAACTAGAAATAACGCATTTCAAAGAGGGTAGCTTTTCTCTTACCTGATTTTCTTTTCTTTTTCTTGCCTGTCCGAGTCGAAACCTGTCTTAAATATTGATCTAAACAGTTAAACCTCAAAACCATAGTCACTGACACTGCTCCAGACGAATGGCGAGGGGAGTTCTTTCCATAAACCGACAATAGGGAATATTTATTGAGTTTAACTCCTTGGCTCTTTCTCTTCTTTCATAGTTCAGTTTTATTTGTTTGTACTTTGCTTGTTATTAGTTCTTATTTGTGTACCTCTTTCTTCTTTTCTTATCTTTTTTTCGGGGATAAAACTGCGTTTACTCTCGCTTTACTGGTTCTGGATTAGAAATAAAAAATAAATAAAACTTTTCCTGACCGCAGTTTTACTAACACGAATAAATAATATTGAAGACGAAAACTAGTTGCCTAAAAACCGATAAACGCCAGAAATAAAATAAAATCGGTTTTTATTCACTTATTTATTTCTTTTTAAATTTCTGGTGATCAGGTGAAAGAAAAATTTTGTAAACGTTACATATATTAATACAAATCTTTTAAATTATTTCTGTTTCTATGACGACGTTCTTTCTTTTTTTTTTATTAGTTTTATGGACAATAATTTGTTATATTGTGTGGCGTGTTTTCTGAATTAGTACTATTTTCAAACTCACTGAAAGTATAATTTTAGAATTTCGCGTTACCATGGCAACCGACATTATGAATGATATAGTAAATGAAGTAACTGAAGGACGAGGAAATAAAAAAGAACATTCAGAAAAATCAGTGAAGAGGCGTATTAACTTATCAGTCAATTAGCTAATTAGTGTGTCAGCTTATTAATGTACTAGTCGTTATATAAATCAATTAATTTATTAACTCAGAATTTCAGGTACAGTAGTCAATGACCAAATATATCATTATTATCATTACGTTGAATACTTTATTATTACTATACTTAATTTTATATAAATATTAAGCTTATTATTATTATTAAATACATAAATAAATAATGCAATAATATCATCATATTTATTTGTATGCTTTTCTTCTTTCTTTCGTTCATTTACAGGATCTTAAGAAATGCGGTTTTTGACCTTATAAAAATCACACCTGAGATTATAGTAAGACTGTCAATTAGTAAAAAAAGGTAGGAATATTGATTGAATTCGCGATATCATTTCAAGGGAATGCAACTTGTTTTTGTGATCAGCAAGACAAGTTGGCTTCGATTCTTCAAGGTCATGACTGATAGAATGTTCTTTTAGACTGCTTCATTTATTTCCATTGCAATTTCCAGTGCAATTGATTGCACTTATTTTCATAACAGGCCTACTTGTGAACTTCGTCTCTGTTTTGGTAAGTACGAAGAATCAGAATTATAAATTATTTTGTGTAGAAATATTTGTATTATAATATTATTTTCCTAAGCAATATTTTTGGCTTTTCTATTGCCGTGCAATCGGAAAAAAAAGTTATAAAATTGAGATTTTCATTAGGCACATTGATATGATAAACTACAATGCAAATTAATTAATGAAGAATTTTAAAAAAATAAGTCAAATATTAATTTTTTTTTCTTTCGGTTTCTGAAATTCTGCCTTAACCCCTCGGGGACGGGTGATTCATAATAGCATTCGTACAAAATCAGAACGTAAATAAATAAAAAACGGTAACTTAAATGTAGGTATTGCTAATTTGACAGATTTACTTTAATTATTGTTAGTTTAATCATATGTCTAGTCAGTGTTAGTGACTAAATAATTTTATCTTGAACTAAGTAATAGTGAATTAAATAAATTAAAGCTCCACTCACAAATAAACTGCTAAAGAAATTCTTTGGTTACCAGTTTTATCTTTTTTCCCTGATTGATGCGGTTTTATGCTGCACGTGTTTCATACAGTCAGCGCGAAAGGATCTCAATTCAACTCAACTATCTTAGGAGAAGAGAAAGGGTGGTAATCTATGTGCTTTAATTTAAATGTTTTTAAGACAATTAATTTTAATTTTACAAAAAAACTGGTGATGAATATTTACTCTATTTGACAATATTTTTCGATACGTGTAAAATAATACGAGGCCGTCACCCAATCACTAATTGAGATGTTAGTGCGCGGTATTTTAGAGTCTCTATTAGAATTGCTTGTTTTTAGATTTTTGATAAATATCTTTTTTATGCAATTAGCAATAATAGAATTTTTTTTAGCGTCATTCAATCGGTTTTCATTAATTTAAACTGTAATAAAATTCTATTTTAAAAAATTTAAACATAGAGAAACATACAATTTTAAATTAACGATTTAAAACCACAAATCGAATAATTTTATTTGCTTTAAAATTTTGAGAAAAATTTTATAGAAGTTCGAAAAATTATCAAGCAATATTTCTCCTACTAAAATGATCCCTTTATTTTCTACTTTTTTTTTAAAAAAAAAAAAGTGTAGTGCTGTCTAATAATACTATATTATAAATAGTTTGTTAATGCAAAAAATGTTCAGAAAACAGAAATTAAAAATTTTACAAAAAATCCAAAATGGCGAGGGTAGAGTAGATTAGTCTTAACGTTGGATACTATTAACAAGGGGGAAAAAATATTGTCAAGCCGCTTTTCTCGTAATCTATCGTGAAGCACTTACATTGTATTTTCAATTGAACGGCAATATAGGCATATATAATTTCTTACTAAGTCACATGTAATAAGAATTTTCTAAAATACTTCATAATGACTAATTAATGTAAAAATCATCACTTGAAATTTATAAATTTTTCGCTTAACAGCTTTAGACCAAAAAAAAATTTTTTTTTGCCTTCAAATTACAAAATATAAAAATTATTAAATTCATGCACAATTATGGACAGCTGAATCAATGTGCTGTTGCTTATCTGTATTCATAATTCTTTATTACTGATAATAAAATTAAATGAGATTTAATTTTAGGAATAAAGGAATTTATCAATATGGATTCAATACCCTCAGTATATGTGCCGTTTGCCAATTTTTACACAGTAAGAGGATGATTTTTTATGGTTCCAAAAAAATTTAGCGATCGAATGTTCGATTCATTGTTAAAGGGATTTAATTACGAATTTGACAACTATCGGGAAATTTAAATTATTCAATAATCGGTCATCTAAATTTGAATCCTATCCAGACCATCAGCCAATAAAACTCTGAATCTTCCTCCGATATCCTAGAAATCTACTATTATTTTATTTAATAACAGTTGGAAACATTTTGAATTGGAAGGAATACAAATTCTTGCATCATTCTAAAGAATGCAATTTTATAAGGCAAAATACAAAATACGAACAAAATCAGACGAACAGTTTGCAAGAAATTTCGAATTTTCAAAAAGATGGATCTCTAAAATATCTCACTTTCGATTGTCTTTAAAATAGCTCGCCCCCCCCACCAAAACCAGTTTGATTGCCCGGTTAAACTAATCGCTTTTTTCTACTCCTTTTTATTTCTCTTCAGAAATAAAGCAGGGTTTAATGTTGTCTGTCTCCTTTCCCCATAATGATTCGTTACAGTTTGTCTTTGGTTAAAAGTAAGTACGGATCTTTGATGTGCATACTGTTTTGACTTCCCTGACCAGGATTCTAAAAATATATATTAATGGTAGTCATTAGAGAAAACCAAGTTATTTTTTTTATTCAATTTCGTGTGTATTTACAGATTCTAGAGAAATATTGCCATGGATTTCTTACTGATTCTATTGTTCACCACTGTTCATTGCTTATTCAATCCTGCTGGCGCAGCACCGATTCCCTTAGAAATGGTTGACATGACTTATGTATTTGACAACGACACTCTGCACTGGCCGACAGCAGACAAATTTCAGCTCTTAGTTAGGGCAAATGGAACAACGGAGGCAGGATTTTGGTAAGATAAAAAATCCCCTTTCATACAATAACTCAAAAGGATAGAAAAACAAGCTACAAAGTTAACACTGTTATATTCTTATATAGTTTTAGTATATATGTTTTAAGTCAATAAAATCGTACATTTATACATTTTCTAACCTTAAGTTTTGTCTTCTGTATACTGCGAAATATATTAGAATAAAATAGGAATTTTAGATTGGATAGGATAATAGCAATTTTTATAAACTAGTTTAAAATGGGCATTATTAACTAGCAACTTTACTGATGAGCCTTTGAAATTAAGCATGGAGTTTAGTCGATAAGTTAAGGGTTAATCAGGCCTGTTAGAGATGAGAAAAAAAAAAACAAATTTAGTAAAATGGAAGCAGTTTTACGAATTTGCTACCACTAGAGAATACTTGGAGAATTAAGCAACATATATTTAAAGGCAAAAAGAGATGTCCTTGTTTCCCATTTATTAAATATTTAATTTTAATCAACTTTTTAAAAGAAATTTCTGTACAATTTGCACTTCATATATAAAGTAGCATGCAAAATAAGAATTATATTTTGTAATATGTTTACAATCTAAATTTTCCCTCTAAATTTTGTCTAATTTAAAAAAAAAGGCTTTTTAATCAATCAATGATTCATTTCTTTTTCTCTCAATATTAAAACAAATATCTTAAGGGCCACCTCTCCTGTTTTGGATGTTAAAATTTACGTTATTTTTTATTTTGCGGTACAAATATAAACTTTAGAAACTTAAAATAATGTACAGAGAGTGCGATATTTATTCATAATTTTATAATGATGCTTAACTAACTTTAAAGTTATACATAGCTTTAATTACTTTAATTGGCGGGTACTGTTTAATAATCTTCGAGAATTTGATCAGCAATATCATTACTTTATTTTGTACAACTTAAAAAAATTTTTCGCTTAGTTTTAATTGAATCAGTGTCAAGCGTGTGTGTTTTAGTTGAATCAAGCGAATAATCGTTTAATTTTTCTGTAGTTGCTCATTATAAACTTTTATAACTCAAATATCATTAATAAAAAATATTTCGTAAGTCATAATTTGGGAAAATGTCACTGAAAATAATTTAAAAATAGCAACTAATTAAATGAAGTGATAGGTTGCTAGGTAATTATAAATTTAAATATATAATTCGAAGCTGATATTGCTCTCCGAGTTTAATCGGATGTTCCATCTCAGCGTCAAAAAAGATTCCGAACATGCAAATTTCAGTTCCTAGGAAAAATGGAACAACGGAGCAAGGATAGTGGTGAGATTTAAAAATCTAATACTTACAATCATTCATAAGGATAGAGGAACATTTATAAAGTTAAAACTGTTATATTTATAGATAGTTTTAATGTATAAGTAAAGTAGTGTAAAACCACACAATAAAATCGTACATTAATTTCTTTTTAACCTAAATTTTTGATATTCGTAGACACAGCGTGATATATTATAAGAAATAAGGATTTATATTTTTAGTAACTCGTAAACTTGTTTGGAGTGGTTCATTCCTTACTCAAAGCTGAAGTAACGATTACCCGCCTCATGACGTCACGCCGCACACAGATCTCGAAAATCATAATTGAAGGATATTAAACGAATGAGTTAAGAAATGAGTTGAATGTTCGACACTTTTCAGACAATAGCTGTCAAACTTAACACTGATAAAAAATTATCTCTGTTTAAAAATATAATATTCATACATTTTCTTATAGTTTAAAAAAATAAAATTTTAAAGTAGAAACATTTCTCAATGGTTGCCGTCATCGTTTTATTACAAGTTCCTAATTTTAGTTTTCAAATTTGACAGTTAAATAAAAAGAAAGTGTATAGAGGCACTTTTATTGTTGTTCGTTTAACAATAGTTTATAAATTGGGATGTCTAATTTTAATATATTTTCAGATATTTATACATTATCACTAAGAAACAAAAACATTAAATGCTAATTACTAAAACAAAAATAATCAGTGAGTATATAATAACAGAAATATTAGACATAAATATTTAAAATTAATTCGTTATAATTAAAACAAAAATATTTTGAATAATGACATTAAAAAATACATTCATTATGAAATTGGAAGAAATTTACTAACTTAACTGACGAAATAACTCTTATTTTTGAGGTTCAGTATTTTATTTTCTTCGACCTTGTTAATTTTTTTCTTCTTATTTTCTGTTACGAGACGGTATTGGTTTCAATGGCTAATAAACGAAATAATAAACGTTTAAGCGAAAAACATAAAGCATAATGCTTTTTTTATTCACAGAAATTCTTTTAGTGTATTTAATAATTCATTTGATGTCACCTTTATATTTTCATAAGTAAAACATGTAAAATTGAGTTTTCTCATTTTGTGTTTTATAATAATTCTTGCCGGTGATATTTGACTGTTAGTTTTTTTCAATCAGATAGATGAGAATAAAATTACCTCAAAATAAAAATAAAAAAATGATGGAAAACTATGAATGCATTGAAATAAGTTTAAAAAAAGAATGCTAATTAAATGTGAAACAATTTATTTTTAAAACTAGCAATTGATGCTGCGCCGCCGTGACGTCACTGACTGAAAACAGAAGCTCGGAGCAGCACGAGTCTCTTCAAACGAAAGACCTAACCCTTATATTCATTCTTTAGCCCTGTATTAAACTAGCCAATTTAATTATGAGCCATATAATGTTTTGAAATTAAGCATAATCACATCATGCTTAATTATAAAGTTCAATTTTCTGTCGATAATTAAATGTCTAAAGAGGACTGATGAGGCCGAGAAAAATTTGAAAAGAGATTGGCAAGTGTAATGGAAAGCAGTTATACGAATTTTCCAATCTTACAAATAACATAAAATATATCTAAAGGTAAAAGCGACGAACTTATTTCCTAAAATTAAACTGAGTTTAAGAATTAAAAACACCCTAATAATAAAATGTACAAATACAAAGATATCACCCTGAACAACTTTTGTTCCAATGGTCGGATTTTCACGTATTAAATGGGCTCCAGGGGGTGACCTCAAATATGCTAATTAATATTAATTATTAACTTCTTACTATTAATTCTACTATTAATTAACTTCTAACTACTACTATTGACTAACCGAAATCAGAGACAGAAATGTACTTTTTCTGAACAAACATGTAATTTTTATACATACATGTTTGAATTTACCCTCAAAACAGAGAGAGGGTTAGAAAAAATTTCAAATATTTGCATATCTATATAAGGAAGGTTTTTTTAAATTTTTTTTTAATATCCGTCGTTGAACAGCCGAGCCAATTTTAGGTTCACAACTTCTAATGTTCAACTCCGTAGCCCTGTAATTTTGAACCAATCCAGAAGACAAGGAAACTCTCGGATCAGTACCCCCCAGATGTATTGATTTGTTATTAGGAAATGGTGGACTTTGCGACTCGATTGATTTTAACGTGCATCAGTCACTATTTACTACATGGGGAGTCAACAGCCGGCCTGCGATCGAATCCACGAACCGTTGGACATGGTCCCAGTAACCTACCAAACAGGCTATCCCGGACCCTATATATAAGGATGGTTTTATAATTTTATAACTGTCGTTCAACAGCAGACCCAATTATTGGGTTTACGGCTACTGAGGTTCATCTCCGTAGCCTTGTAATTCTGAATCCAATCCAGAAGACAAGGGAACTCCTGAATCAAGTAGTGGGAGAAATTTGCCTTCGTGGGGAGGACTTTTTGTTGGAACTAACCCGCATTTACGTTACATGGAGAGGAAGAAAACGAGAACCTTCCACGGTTAGCCTGATGAAAAGGGGACTCTAACCCATGGTCCGTCTACCTCTGGGGAAATTTTACGTGAGCGCTGTGGTCGGTGCAAGCCGGATGCAGAATTCGTATCGACCAGCCATCGCCGGGATCCAACCCCGGTTCACCTCATTGGAAGGCGAACACTCTATCCCTTGAGCCATCGCGGCTCATATAAGTATGATTGACCGTGTAAGGATAGGCACAGATGTCGCTAGGGATTGAAATTCGTCGTAAGACTAACAGGTTGCTACTTCGGAATGATTTTTACGTCTAAGCGTGAAAAAGTGCACCATTCACCATTATTACACTTGAAGGTGCTCACAATATCACTAGCTCTTTCAATTTAACTTTCCACGAAACGAACAACAAATGAATTCGGAAGTCCTCACAAGCATGTTCTAATGCTACACAAAGGACAACAACCTGCTATATTTTACATGATTATAGCCAAATAAGGGATAACACTCAAAACGTAGCAAACCTTACACTTTATTTATAATGTGATGTTAATTTTCTTAAATTTGTTTCAGGTTTTAAACCTGTTCGAATTTATAAATCACAAAAAACTCGTAGGTATTGTAAAATTTTACGTAAATTTGAACGAATATCACAGTAATAAAACTTCCTAGAATATTAAGCTTTTTCACACATCGCGTCGTAAGCATGACAGAAGCGGATGGATGCACCGGTAGTCGGTTACTATTATTACTAACTGGTCAACATTAATAATAACCAAATAAATAAGCAGGTTAAAGTGCATAATTTAATAAAATTTATCACATTAGCCGGACATTATTAATGTCCAATGAAGTGAGGTCAATGTCATACTTTCACGTTTTTATTGGGGATATTTCCGTATCATGATCTGCCACGCCAACTACAATCGCCAAGGCGCCAAATTAGTTTTAATCTAGAGGGGAAAAAACACATGTAGATGTTTGCCCGGGGTTTGCTACAAGTTATACAAACCTATTAGAAGTGACTTTTCCTCGTAACCATGGTACCCGATACGACGCTAACTGATGTCTGGAGGAGTTCTCCTGAAAGCCGTACTATACACCTTAAGTAAATTATTGTTTGTTTATTGTATCCACAGTTTAAAATAGGCAATAAATCAATGAAAAATTTTCTTTCAGGTTGCAAATGGAAAGTTTATTCTCTGGCGTACACGTCGGAACCCATATGGATGCTCCTTGCCATTTCGCCAAAGGCAGTTGGTGCATTGATAAAATTCCTCTCAACCATTTAGTTGCTCCAGCAGCCGTCATAGACATTACCAAACAAGCTGAGCAGGACAGAGACTATCTTGTGCAAGTGCATGACTTAATTCAATGGGAGATCTTTTCTGGCAGAAGTCTTGATGGCACAATCATCATGCTGAGATCCGGATGGGGACGCAGATGGGGAAACAGGGAGTCCTTCACCGGAACTCCTGGAAACGATACGACTCAGTTGCATTTTCCGGGAATGTCTGCAGAAGCTTCGGCGTGGTTAGTCGAAAATAGAAGTGTCTACGGTGTGGGGACAGAAACGTTGTCAACTGATAATGGAAGATCTCAAGATTTCATGGCACATAGAATTCTACACGCGGCTAATATTTTTGGATTGGAGAATGTGGCAAACGTGGAAAAAATACCTATTTATGGAGCTACTTTATATGTAATGCCAATGAAAATAGGAAATGCGAGTGGAGCACCAGTTAGAATCATTGCCACTTTTCCGAAACCTATGTTTGCAGCTCAAAGTGGAAAATTCAATCCTCAAAGCTTTTTGAGACCAATGACCTTTTACTACTAAATAAAACAAAGATTATAACATCTCCTTAATAAATAGAGCTAAAAAAAACTCTAACAAGTACTACATGTTTATGCATGCTTGAATATTTGTATTACATGAAACTTTCGTAACAAAAACTTTCAATGTAATCTGTTATACGTTTTTTTTCGTTCTGTTTTTTTTCTTCGGTACTTTATATGATTATTTCATTTTTTTTATACTTTATTTCATTCATAGGCAACAAATATAAGGAAGTTTTGATTCAACTGGATTCATATGATAAGCTTTTAATGATAATGATTGATCAATTTAGTCAGATTTATAGCTCGCAATAATTGGACTGTATTCACTTAATAATTATTTATTTTATACCAGTATTCTATACTCTCTCATGAGTCTGTTACACATACACATACACTGCTGTTTCAGCACTCTGTCTTACAGGCAGTTAAATTCATTCCACGCTTACAGAGCCATCCATGTGTTGGATGAGAATTAACAATGATATTGCTGTATGCTGAGAAAATTGAAGCATTACAACAATATAAACATTTCTAAGAACTTCGCGAAAGGGCTTAATTTGTTAATAACGGATCATTTTGGAATTTCAATATTCACATCTCTCATTGAAGCAGAAAGAATTTTGTTCATTTCATTTGGTTTCATCAAGTATTCAATGTTCCCCTTTAAAAAAAAAAATTTCAAGCATTTACTGAGACAATCTCATTATTAACGTTGAGAAAAATCATGATGAAACTTAATTTTCATAAAAAAAATGCAACCACTCATATTAACTATATATTAATAATAAAAGGAATTAATCGTGTGTCTGTTTGTTCTTCTGTTTACCATTTGCGCTACGATCCTGATTTTCAAAAATGTTCATTAGTTTGTTCAAAAGAGTTGTGAAAATAATTTTTCAAACGGATAAGCAATACAAACGATATAAATTAAAGACGTTTCTGTTATTAAAATAATCTATAAAATAACACGAGTAATATTCACTAATTTACAGCTCTATTTGAAGAAAAACCAGTTTCATTGGGAATTTATAGCATGTTCTTTAATAAATTTTCATCTTTGATTCTTTAAGTATGGTAAGCTTTTGAAAAATTAACGTGGATGCCATATAGGACAAAAGTAGCCTTTGTCAATGGCTACAGGGTGGCTAAATTGAACAAAAACGATTAAAAAATATAGTGCCAATCTCCACTTTTTTCGTCAAAAATGCACCCAATGTGCATTTTTTTATAATTGTTTTTTAAATAGGCATTGAGCTATTAAGAATGTTTTATATTATTCTGAAAATTGCCTTATTTCACACGATCTTAAAGGTTCGAGGGGATGACCTCAAATTTGCTGATTATTCAGTGCAGATGATATTTTAAGTTACGAAATCAGGCACAAAAACGTACTTTCTCTGAATATACATGCCTTTTTTTTCGACGGATTTGGATTTTTGACCCCTAAGATATGGGGGTAGCCGCAATGTGGTAAATATGATCCCCATAGTTTGGTCAGGAGAGAGTCCAAAGTTTAGACCTCTTAATGTTAATTTTCTTTTTGTGTATTTTGCCCTTTTTCTAGAGCTTTTTAAGCGAATTGAAAAAATTTTTGCACACAATTATAAAATCTGTTTATCAAAAGATAATTAGTATTTATTATTTTATAAAATAAATAGTCGAGCAAAAATTTTAATTGTAAGGCATAAAATTTCTTACGTCATTTTAAAGTGTGTAATTTTATATGGCGAACTACAAAATTTGATCGAAATATTTTGAATAGCTCCTAAGAAATCAGATTTTAAATGTATGACTTCCTTAAAATTTGATATCTCAGAAACCGTTCAACCGATTTCGTTCAAATGTTGTAGTTTGATGAGTAAAATTACAGGCTTTAAAATTATATAAAAAATTATAATTCCGACTATTATTCATTAAAATAATAAATATCTACTAAAATATATTTTTTGCATGGGATCTTTGCATCTTTGGATAAACGAATTTTATAATTATTTGCAACGAATTTTCAATTCACTTAGAAAGTTCTGGATATATGTCGAAATACACAAAAAGTAAAAATAACTTTAAGAGTTCCATATATGGGATCACTCTTCTGCTCAAACTTTAGGGAGAGTATTTCCCAGATTGCTGCTGCTGATTGATTGTCCCTGACAGCTCTATGTCTAAGGTTCCGACATTCTAGTTCAGGCCCTGGAGATCGTTGCTGGGTTCATTTCTCAACTGAAGAGAAATTTTAAGGAAAAGGTTTGAAATAAAATAATTCTCAGAACATTATAAAATATTCGTAATAATTTCTTATTTATTAAAATAATAATAAAATGCAGACAGTGCGAGTTTTTGGCGAACAAAGTGGCGATCGAGTGGCAACTGGCTGATAACTCTTTAATCGCAATTTCTTTAGTCGTCCTGTGGCAAGTGGCGACCGTTCATTTTGCCCAATAGTTTGGGACTACAGTGCTGACGTGCAATATCCTCAATGGTAGATTGATCATGGGCCAGAGTCCCCTTGCCTCCAGGCTAACCGTGGGAGGATCTCGTGGTCTTCCTCACCATGTAACGCAAATGCGGGTTAGCTCCATCAAAAAATCCTCCACGAAGGAAAATTTCTCCCAATACTCGATCCAGCAGTTCCCTTGTCTTCTGGAATGGGTTCAAAATTATAAGGCTACGGAGTTGAACATTACTTGTCGTAAACCCAAAATTGGGTCGGCTGTTCAACTACGGATATAAAATAAAATAGTTTGTGACTGAGCCGTAGAGGATCAGAGGATAGAGCGTTCCCCTTCCAATGAGTTAAACCGGGTTTGAATCCCAGCTATGGCTGGTCGATACGAATTCCCGGCTTGCACCGATCACAGTGCTGAGATAAAATATCCTCAGTTGAAGACGGATCATGGGCTAGAGTCTCCTTAACGTTAGGTTTTCGTGGTTCTCCTCCCCCATGCAACGCAAATGCGGGATAGTTCTATCAAAAAATCCTCAAGAAAGCAAATTTCTTCCTATACTTGATCCAGATGTTTCCTTGTCTTCTGGATTGGGTCAAAATAACAAGGCTACGGAGTTGAAGATTAGTGGTCGCAAACCCAAAATTGGGTCGGCTGTTCAACGACGATTATAAAATAAAATAAAATAAAAAAATTTGTGACTATATACCATATTAATATAGAAATAAAACCACATGATTTTAATAATTTAAATTGGGATTTTTTTTTAGCAATATGAAATTTTCCTTTCTTCTCTTCGTAATAAATTTTCCTGTTAAGGAAATTCCAAACCAGAAAAAAAAAAAAAAAAAACTTTATAAGTGCGCGTTCCTTTCATTTTCATCTTTTAGTTCACTTAATCATAATATTAACAATTTTCAATGAGAGATACAATCTTATTTATCTCTATTCGTTTGAGAAGTCGGGAATAACGTAATCTTAAAAAAGTATCTACATATAATTGTTTGAAAAGATCTTTTTTATCCGGCGCTGGCATCTGTAAAGGCTACGGTTGAATGAGGAACATATAAAAGATTTAACTATCTTCCGACTATCACTTTCTTTGCCAAGGGCAACGTTAATGAAGCAAATGCAGTCGTTGAATGACCGGTGTTGTGTAAAAAGACGATTCATTCACAAAGGCTGAGACAAAACACAATTAGTGAAAAGGTAGGTACTATTATCTTGTTTGTATGCAATAAATGTAATATACCATACACCTAGAATATCAAATAAAATGACCACAGTTAAATTCATAAGTTCTTATTTCGAGCACAGTTTAGTCCTTGCAGTTTTTGATAAGGATCAAATATACTATGGATATTTCTACAACATATTAAATTTTTAGCAAATTCCATTTAAATATAATTTTCTTAGTATTTTACTTATATACCTCTTGGCTTTAGTGTGAAGTTTATAGCATATTTGGTCAAGAATCTTCCCCGACAAAAAATTTCGAAAACTTTACGTTGGTAAATTTGAAGGTCGCTTTCTTGCTCTTTTTCCTTAAGGATTCCAGGTAAGTTTAACAGATGTTACGTTCGATTTTAAGCTTATTTTCTCAGAAATTCCAATGATGTAGCAAATTTAAACTCCATTTACGATTAAAAAAATCTTTCATTGGATTTTACTTCAGCGTTCTTTTTTCTTTTGTTAATAGTTAAGATTTATATCTAATATTTTAAAGCTCTAAATAACTTTTAAAAACATTTAATTAACATTAATTTAAATGTTTCATTCTTTTCCTTGTGCTTCTAAGTTTATCTCTCTGTGCAGAAAATATGCACTGTATATGGTCTCATGACCGGGATTGGAATTCAGGACTTTTCTGGCATGAGGTCAGCTCCCTGACCATCACATAAGAGAGTGAGCTATTGTGAGATCCTAATGGTTTAATATAAAGTTGACGGTTTTTGTTTAGCAATAATCAAAGAAATCGAAGACTTTTAATCTGCTTCCTTTTAAAAAATTTGTAAGAAATTCTTACATCACATTTTAAGATAAACTTTACATAAAATGAACACAATATCTGGAAAATTAACTTAGAATATAAATGTATCAAACTCGATTCTGCTAAGTTTTACACCCAATATTTTATTTCTTATTCTTTCCTGCAAATCCACAGAAAAGTCCTTTTATTTAATTTTTAAGCTTTCTGAAATTATTTTACTTAAACTAATGTTACTCAATTTATGTGAAAAAATGCAATTTATTCTGGTGTTTAATCTCATGTAAGTTACATGGGGCATTTGGTATGGGAAATCTGAAAGTCTTGTTAGAAGTTAAGTTACATTAAGTTGACCATCGCAAGTAGTCCACATATGCATGTTTGACTGTAGTGCAAAGATTTCATGTACGGATATTTTCTTCGATGAATATACTCGAATATATATAATATATGTGATGGTCACCAATTTTTAAAAATGTGCTAACAGGATTTTCAGTGTAAAATTCTCTAAAATATTTGCAGTTAAAAAAAAGAGAAGATTTTTTATATTTCTGTCATATATGTAACTGAAAATTAGCTATTTAAAGATTTGTAGATGGTAAAAGCTAACAAAATGTCACAAAACAAAAATCTTACTAAAACCAATCAATTTTTTAATTTGTTGCCATTTTATATTAAAATCTAAGTTGCACGGAGAGGAAAATCAAAATACCTATTTTTTTTCTTCTTTCATTTGGACTCTAAGCATTGAGTCAAGCAACTGTTGGGAATATTTAAAACATTCAGAATAAAAATGACAGGTCCCAACCTAACCTACCTCGAAATTTAAGATAAATATAGGAATGCTGATTCCATATGCTGAAAAGTGAAATAAATTAGGATATGCAAAAATTTCTATATTCCACATTCAAAATTTTTCTGAAATAAAAGCGAAATAATTATCAGACTTTTGCCATGCATACTAGGTGTTCCGTAATCGTTGCACTTTATGCATATTTTTCGAATCCTTATCACACATTTGCCGCCAAACATCACTGCGAGAATCGTATGCAGTGTGAACAGTACCCTAAGGTTTCATATATATCATAACATCCTCAGTTATAATTAAAGCCCGGAATTTCAGGCAATAAAAAATGCAAAAATAGGCAGGCAAAAAAGCATTTAAAAAGCTTGAAATAGGCACTTAAAATTGGAGACAAATGTTAGTTGGTAATGCCTAAAAGCCCATATAGGTATCCAAGGTATAAAAAAAGTTACTAGAAGTATCCGGTATATCTACATATTCATTTTACTCGACTGTCGTAGCAATAGTACAAAAGAAGTGGACATAATTGCACAAAAAAAAAACCTTCAACTGCGTAAGTGTGAAATAAAAATTGAAAACTCATACTTACAATAATATTGTATGCAAATTTATTCTGATGATTGGTTGTTGTTGCGCATCACAACTAGATGCTTTTTCGAATTTTCAAAAGAGAAATTTTGTCTCCTGTCAGTCAATATAGTTTTAAGCAAAGAGAAGGATCTTTCTACTTCGACAGAGGTTATGGGCGCGTACCTAAAACAACTTGCCATGGTAGGAGATATGGTAAGTTCAACTGTAGTATCACCAGAAAGTACTTTTGCAATGTTCTTGATGCATTCAAAGTCTGTATTTGCAGAGATGACGTTTTCACATTTCTTCCTTATTCTGTCACCAGCTGGTTTAGGCACAGACATTAATTCTTCAAAATTTGTGCAGTAGTATGAGACTGCTGAAATCCATGTTCCCCATCTCGTAAGGATCGGTTTAAGAGGTAATTGAATGTCTGGTGCAATTTCTTCGAACACTTGAACTCTTGAAGGGGCTTTCACAAATACTTTTTTCACACTAGAAACAAGCGAGTCTACCTCAGGATAGAGACCTTTTACTTCCTCTGCTATCCTGTGCGATGCATGAACAAGGCACGTTAGACGGATCATATTAGGAAATAAAACTTTTATGGCATTTCCAGCTTTAAGTGTATTCTATTCTCTATTCAAACAACACTGTCAATCTCATGGACAGAAAAATGTCTTTCACCTGCCTTGCTCACTCAAGCACGAGTACACTATCAGCTCAGATGAATAGCCATTGTACAGTGCGAGGGGTGACCACTGCCTCAGAGGGAGGGAGTTGTCCCAAAAGGAATAAAGTCCTAATCTCTATAAATGCATTACAATACGTCGGATGACAGTCAACCATTTCTGTACTTCAAAATTTATGCTCGGTCAAAAGTACAAAAAGCTTTGCAGAAAAATTTTAAATTAGACAGAAATAGGCATTTATGAACAAAAGGAAAGAAAAAGGCATTTTCTGATGAAAACGTTTAAAAAAGGCAGAAAAGGGCATTTATGGCATTTTGCCTGAACTTCCGGGCTCTAGTTATAATTCATTCGGTTTTGATAGCGTTTTTCTTTTTTCTCACTTAAATATTAAATCGCGACCTCTTGTGTAAAATTTTTTGCATTTAAACTTCGCTTTTGTCAAGGATTCAGAAAATATATTTTAAGGATGATTACCACGGAATACCACGTATATCTTAAAATTCGAAGTTTGTTGAGATCTGCCGTTTTTGTTTTGAGCCTCGCAATTTTTATCAGTCCGATCTGGACACATGATGTTATTCTATTAAATGCATTATAAATTTCCTCTTTCTTTTAAGTTTTCCTTTTTTTAAAACCAAAAAAAAAAAAAGTGTAGCAGTACGTTTTCTCAATTCTAAAAATGATGCCTATGCATTGCAGGGGCGTTTATTTTTCCACATACTATTACTATTTCTATACAGTTACAATAAAATAACACATTCCTATTTTTTTTTTAAAGAAAATTTAATACTTTTTCAGATTCAGAAGAAAATTGGGAAGCAATCATGGATATTTTTATAGTCTCATTTTCTGTTCTTTGTGCGTTTATTATGATTGATGCAGCGCCTATACCTCTAGAAATGGTTGATATGAGCTACGTTTTCGACAACAACACACTCCACAAGCCAAAAACAGAAAAATTTAGACTAATCCTGAAGCACAATGGAACAACTGAGAAAGGATTTTGGTGAGACCTAAAATTATTTTTTAACATTATATCTTCAAAAGCGTAATTGGTGAATTAGATAATAAAAACAATTAAAATGTTTATACGGAAGCCTATTAATTCATTTTATTTAAAACATACTAAAAAAATAAAGGCTTTTTCACAAAAACCACCTTTAATGTGTATTTTTATGATCCATATCAGAAATATTCTTCCTGAAGTCTATATTGATTTCAAAAGTGCGTATGACTTAGTTTGGAGCGACTATTGCAGAAATTCATGAATTTTGGTATTAATGGTAGAATGTTTCATTGGATGAAATCTTTCCTTGAATAAGGCCTTTGCAAAGTGAAATATAGCAACAAGTTTTCTAGGTCGTATAATCTCTAGACCTCAGGGTGCAGTTAGTAGCTGTGTTGTGTTCAACATGTATATTAATAATTTGGTTTCCTGTCTGGAGTCTGTAGAGGGTAAAAAATGCCTACTTTTTGCAGATGACTTGATTGTATGAACACAAGCACGAAAGAAAAATGCAAAGGTTCTAATTGAGAGTAGGTTGAATAAAACGTTGGAAGCCCTTTCGACTAGGTGTACCGAAAATAATAATGGTCGTTAACCTTGATAAAACTGCTGCTGTCCTTTTTGTTTACGCACCAGACTTTTTAAAACCTAACTTAGTTTATCGTGACACTTCACTCAAAACTACAAACGAATTTAAATACTTGGGGGTAATTTTTGACACTAAACTAAACTGGAAATCCCACATTGAGGTGTTGTCCGAGCGAATACATACTATGATCAACGTTCCGAAGCGGTTGGCAGGATCGCTCTGGGGTTGTGCCAGATCAACTCTTAATTTAACCAATAAAACTTTTATCCTGCTTTTGACTACCTATTGCTGCGAAACATTCATAACATGCAGAGAGAGCTCTCTTAAAAAATTAGATACAGTAAAAAATAAGGCCCTGAGAGTTATTACTGGCGCTGTCAAGTCAACCCCAATTGAGGCTATGTTATTATTAACAAATAACAGACCTGTCCAAGCTATCATTTAAGGAAGAGCTTCGCTCTCCTTTGAAAAACTCAGACGAAGTGAATACTCTTTTTGAACAACTATCAATCAAAATCAAGAAACTCAAGAACTCAACTTGATTTTATCCCAAAAGTTGAGTGCGAAAATTAAGAATTTTGCAATGTGGTCCAGAAAAATTTCAAACCACAAACCCATATTGAGTCAGGAGGGATTGAATCAAATCTAAATCTTAGGAATGTCATCATAAAAAGTCAGACAGCTCCTAAAATCTCGAAATCCCTTGCATTGGAAACCAGTCATATCGAGTACCCAGAAGACGATTGGCTGCATGTTTACACAGATGGCTCCCATTCTGACTCATACATGCCAACAGGTTCTGGAGTTTTTTCTGATTCGTTTAAATTCTATACCTCTGCCGGGAAATACAGAACTGCCTTTGATGGCGAAGTTCAGGCTTTATTTATTGCATTGAAGCACTGGTGTGCAAAACTTAAGCAACAAGTGCGTTTTTTATCATAACTCTACAAGAAATCATCCGATTGACATGAAATTTGAATATGATGTACATTATTTTGTACTTAAACGATGGTAAAAGAATAATGGCGCAGAAATAAATATAAAGCTTAAAGTAGGGTATGGAACAAAAAAAGGGCTTTATTTGACATATAGTGGCGTTACACATGATTGCCTGAAGAAGCGTAAGTACAACTGGCAGATGTTCCCTAGTATGGGATATGCTGTGATTACTGTAATTGTTGCTTGGCATCGTCTCTCCATGCTAAGCACCAGATTATCCAGGAGTTCTTGGGGTAAACGTCTCCATTCCTCCTTTAACGCATCTTTCAGCTGATGGGTGTTACCAGGAGGATACTGTCATGTCGCAAGACGTCTCCCTAATGCATCCCACACATGCTCTATGGGATTGAGATCTGGAGAGTAAGCTGGCCAATCCACTCGTGTGATATCTTCACTTTCCAGTAGCTCTTGAACATTAGCAGTACGGTGTGGCCGAGAATTGTCATCCATAAAAATGAAGTCTGGTCCAATGGCCCCTCGGAACAGACGCACATGGGGTAGGATTACCTCATTGCAGTAGCGGTCTCCAGTTACAGAACCTCGGTCGAAGATCTGAAGCTCAGTCCGCCCGTTCAACATAATGCCACCCAGACGACAACTCCAGGACCACCGTAACGATCTCTTTCCGGTTTCGTGTTCTCTGCACCACTCTAAACGATGCCGCCGATGGCTAACTTTTAAAGGTATGCAGCGTTCAGGACGTCTAGCAAATAAGTCACCTTTGTGAAGGTGTCTGGCCACTGTAAATCTTGATACTTGTCCTGTGGTTGTGCACAGTTGCTGAGATATGTCGCTCGCTGACTGAAAACGGTTTCTTTTCGCCTGGAAGACAATGCAACGGTCATCTCTTGGTGTTGTTTTCCTTGGACGGCCACCACCAACCTTCCGAACAGCTGTACCAGTAGTTTTAAAGACATTCCAAGCACGAGAAACAACACTTTTGTTGACCCAGAACTCTTCGGCGACACTGGTCACACTGCGCCCCTCCTCAAGCTTCCCAATCATTCTTCCTCGAGTAAAGTCGTCTAAATGATTTCTTGAAGACACGTTTTACAAAACAAATCACTTGCACTTGCAGCGAATGTTTTTAACTACGGTGCTCTTCATCCTTTTATCACAGCTTTGACCAGCGCGCTCCGACCCATAAGGTTTACGTACACTTACATCACCTACGACGTTTTATTTCTAAAATTTGCATACAAATAATCTTTCTACTGAATTACGTGTATATTATTCTACAACTTCATGGCGATCTTATACTTTGTTGGGGAGCTGTGGCCGAAAAATCGTAAGTTTGAAAAAGTAGTTTTACTGGCAGATTCCCAGGCTGCAATCCAAGCAAGTAGTTCACTAAGAAATACCTTATCGCATAGGGTACTCCAGTGCCGGGAGCTCATCAGATTTCCAGTACAGAAGAACAAAAGCGTTATCATCCAGTGAATTCCCAGCCATTATGGCATTTATGGTAACGAGCAGGCTGACTTCCTTGCTCGAAAGGGTACTCAGTTGGTTCAACCAAAATCCTCTGATCTGTCCTGCCACTCTATAAAACTATGTTTAAAATTCATAATGAAAATGAATACCTCTTCTTGGTTACTCCCCAAACATAAAGTGTAAACTTGTGTGTGACATTAGGTCACAGCCTAATTTATAAATATCCTGTTTTTTTTTCTTAATCAATATACTAATTCTTTTAATTTTGTAATACATTCTTTTATTTCATCATCTTTCTTTAGCCCCTTAAGCGGTAGCGCATTTTGGACATTCTCCCCCTAAAATTCCTTACCAGCTCCTTAAAAGAGCCCCTTCATTTCGAGAAGTTTCCACCCTTTTTTTCTGAGAATTCCACTGGTCGTCGGCATTCTTTCAACTCCGCGTGTTTGTTGTGTTTCTCAACCGTAACTTTTAACGCATAATCATTTTTTCATCTCAACTCGTGATTTTTAGGTAATTTAACTTTAACTTTTACAACATGCACTACATCTTCAATTTTAAGTTTTTGTATCTTATAAAAAGGATGAGCGCGAAAGACGATTAGCTTTCGATAATTTGATGTCATATAAGTTGCTGCACTCCGCTTAACGGAGTTTTTAACATTTTTTGCTCCCACCTCCCTAAGGTGGAGAAGCTTTTTTTTCGAAGGATGGCCTCTCTGCGCCATCTTCTTTTGATGTTGGGATTCGTTCGCTGGAAATAACTCACCGATAGCCATGCTGTCCTTTTTTCATTGCCTCTGATGAATTGCTTACTAAAGAATTTTCCTTTTCCTGACAAATTGGATTAATGTTTCATAAAGAATTTTCCTTTTCCTGACAAATTGGATTAATGTTTCATAAAGAATTTTCCTGACAAATTGGATTAATGCTTCATAAAGAATTTTCCTGATAAATCGGTTTTTAGTGCCTACTAAAGAACTCTCCTGATAAAATCTCCAGTTTTTTTAAAGGATGATCCGCTGACCAACTACCGTCAGGGATGGAAATCCCCCACAGTCCGTTTTCACTCCTGTTCCAGTCATCACTAGTTCCACATCCTTGGCATGAGCCATTCCTAAAATGATGTAGTGCCTCAACATAATGATTCGTCTAGTTTGTTTTTCCTCCAATAAAACAATAGTGATTTTTTTTTCAAAAAAGAACTGGACTGATTTTCTTTTTCCCTAGCCAAAAAGTTTTTGTTTGTTTCATCCTAAACTCATCTCCGATCCAGGACTGGATATCTTTTTATGGATAAAAAAAGGTACGTGCTTTAAATATACTTGGTATCTTCTAGAACTGTTTTTGAAGAAGAAGAATTGCTATTCGTCTGGGTTAGCCAAACTTCGTAAAATGTACAACTAACTATGTTTCACCCGGCCATTATTTTTTTAGTTTTTCTCTTTTCTAAATTGTTATTTTTTTGCAACTTTTTCATTCTTTCTATACCCAACCTTAACAGGGCATTGTGAATACTACCACCTCTACCATTCTCTCACCATATTCCAGTTTCCCAAGGGCATCTCCACAAATGAAAGAGTCAATTCTCCACAGTCTAAGTCCAAGTTGTTGGCTACGAGATTGTATTAAGAATAAGAACTGGAGTGAGATAGATTTAGAGGCAATACCAGACAAGTCTCGCCGAGACTCCGAAGCCCTCTTTTGTCTCCTAACAGGTCATGACTGCCTGGGAGACCACTTGTATCGCTTACGTATATATGACCATCCTGATTGTCGACTACGTGATTCTAAAGAACCTATGAACCGAAAACATCTCTTGTGCCGTAGGTCACTTTACGGACTTGACTCCAAGACTGCTAAATATTGGCGTGAGAGAAAGCTTTTGGAGAAATGACTTCGGTCTTTCTTTATTCCTTTTGATGTTTATCATTCTTCTTCGTTGTATTTGATTGTTTTCCCCGCCATTAGAAATAAAAAATGATCCACACCAAAAATAAATCTGAAAATTGGGGCTTAAAAATTAATATTTAAGGGATCACAGTATTCGATGGCGCTTGTAATAAACAACATGGCAGATTTGATTGTGAGAGGTAACAGGGAGGAGTTGAAAAAAAGTTATTAGAAAGCACCTTCAAGTCTCAACCTTCAATTTAGCCTGTTTTGATGCTATAGAGCAACCATTACACTAACCTACATTAATACTTTCAGATTTCGACATTTTTAAAAAAAAGAATACTCCAGAAATACTGAGAGGATTATTTTGTTATTTAAGAGGTGTTTAGTTCATACAGTTTTTTAGACTTAGAAATAAGGTTTAAAGCTTTAAAAAATTTGAGGGACCAACAGTAAATTACGAAAAAAAAAAAAAAAACAAGTATTTTTGAGCACCCTATGCCCGAATATAAAGCAATAAGCTTGTAACCTGCATCTATTACATTGGCTGTTACTTGCGATAAATGTATAAAATTTCATTAACTTCGCTTTCATATGTATGGAGATAAGGGAATTTTCATAGAGGCTTTTTTTATCTTACGCTTTTTTACTACAACTTTCAAAGAGATTCAATAGAATTTTTAAAAAAAAATTTAGCAATTTTAAATTAATTACGAAATTATTCATTTGAAATTTGATAGAAATTCGTTAAAAAACTGCTCAAGATGTGAGTTTTTGAAGCAATCATTCTACACTGCGCATGCACGGGAAGCATTTAAAAAAGTGTAGGCAGTAAAGCGCCTGCAGCACTCCCTAGCGTAGAAAATACCATGCATAAGGGAGGAGAAAAAATATGAAAACCATTTTGATATTCAACCAACCAACCCGATAAAACTTGGAAGTGATTCTAATAATCGTTCATCTACCTATTTCTCTGTTTCCTCTAGAAATCAAACACGTTTCGAATTTTTAATCCCACTTTCCTCATTAATGATCACGCACTATTAACAATGGACATTATTAAAATTGTACAACTTTAATAATAAAATAATATTAGATAATATTGGAACATAAAACTCATCATCATAAAATAAGCCAAAAAACTTCTTTTTTTTTTTGCAGGTTACAAAGTGACAATTATTCATCTGGAGTACACGTTGGGACTCACATAGATGCGCCATGTCATTTCGCCAAAGGACGCTGGTGTGTTGACCAGATCCCGCTGGACCATTTGGTCGCTCCTGCAGCCGTTATCGACGTCACCAAACAAACAAAGAACGACAGTGACTATCTCGTGAAAGTCGACGACTTGATGAAATGGGAGATATTATCCGGTAAAAGTCTCGATAGCACAATCGTCATGTTGAGGTCCGGATGGGGTCGCAGATGGGGTGATAGGGAGTCCTTTACCGGAACAACGGGAAACGATACCACTCAGTTGCATTTTCCCGGAATGTCAGAGGAAGCTTCGAAGTGGCTCATCGAAAATAGAAGCATTTATGGACTGGGCACAGAAACGTTATCAATTGATAGTGGTCAGTCTCGAGACTTCAAGACGCACAGAGTCTTGAACGAGGGTAACGTTTTTGGATTGGAAAATGTAGCAAATATGGAAGAAATACCCTTATATGGAGCTACTTTATATGTCATGCCAATGAAAATACGACATGCGAGTGGAGCACCAGTTAGAATTATCGCAACTTTTCCCAAGCCCATATTCGCAACGGAGGGTGGAAAAACTGCAACTGAAGGCTTTTTACGTGAAGTTATAATTTTTCACTAGAGACGGTAATAGTTTAGTGCCCCAATAAAAGAAGTAAATGTAAATAAGTAAAAACTCACATCTTCATCTCTACATAGCTGCCATCATTGGTAGTAAAAAAAAATCTAGTCTACTAGGTAGACCATATTAGACAGTAACAATAGATCTTAAAAGAGGATAGGGTATACTTTTTGATACATGTACTAAAACAACAACAACAACAAAAAGACGAGAATAAAGGACAAATAAGGAAACAGAAATGGACATACCATAATTTTGGTTCGAAAGACAAGAACCTTCCTTAGTGTCAAAACACTAAACAATAGTAGAAAAGTTGAGACAAACATGTGCAGAGTAGTTTAACCAGTAGGAGTAGAGACTTCCTTCTCTTCTAAGGTGAAAATCAAATAAAGTTTTTAGCTTTTTTTCAAACGGCATGGTCAGAAGAGTTTGGGGCAGGATCCAAAGCTTCATCTCGGAGAACAGACCCACTGATTAATCTACAGAACAGACTCATAAAAGCAGTGCTTAGGAAAATAATGACTTTTGTGCACACCCAACAATCTTCACAAGAAAGTCAAATACCACTTATAAGTAGAAAAAATATTTTATTGTGAATTCATAATAATTAGAGAACATTTATAAAATATACTTTGATGTGAAACACATTTGGATTGATAATCAAAAAATAGAGTAGGAACATATATTTCAGAAAAAAAAACAATCGGTATCAAAAATATAAACATCAAAAACAAATAACATTGGCACATCTGAGGAATTACATATACGAAGATAATGAATTTAATTGGAACAATTTAAAAAAATTGTAACTCTTTAAAAACGTCTCAACTTGTATATTGTTTGGAAATAAACATATTATTAATAGATGCCCTAAAATAGGAGATTCATTTTTTTTAACATGGTATGTTCTAAATGATTATAATAAAATAATTAATCTAAATAATATTATGGTTGCATTAGTGCATAAAAACAGGACCTGAAGCCTTATCCAGCCTTTTCTAACTCAAGACCACTTTCTAGAATATTGGTCAAAGATTAGGAGCTATTTTTTTCAAGTTGAAATAATATTTATAAATCATTAAAAACTTAAATTTTTTTTTTATCTTAGTCACACAGTACCAGGCAAATGTAAAAAGATTGGTAGGTACTATAGTACCCAGTGGCATAGGGTTGGGGACCCTCGATGTTTTATTAAAAAGATCAGCACCATTAACATAGAATTATGTTTGATATATTCATAGTGGCTTTTAAGTATCCAAATTTTGTTCTAATTTTATCATTTATATATTTTAATGATTATACAGAAATAAAATTTTAAAATATAATACAACATTATAAAATTGAGCATATATATATATATGAAGATTTTTCTATTTAATTCTAATCAAATATGTTAGTTTAAAAAAATATAAGACAAACCTTGTAATTAACAGAATATTTTATGTACAATCAACTCACTGTATCTATCTAAGTAACTTTTGTACAAACACACAGTTTATATTGCAATAGAGATTCAATGGGAACAATTGTTAACATAAAATGGTTTTATTATAATGACATTTGATAAACATGTAAAATGTTTGATTTTTTTTAATAAAGATGTCCAATACAACATTTAAAAATAATAACTTATCTCAAATTTATTTTATAGAAAAATACTTAAGCGTGATTTGTTAGTAAGGTTCGAAATAAACAAAAAAAAATTCCTGTTATAAGCTGTAATGCATTTAATTTCTTACGATCAATATAACACAATATCCATGGCACCTATTTTTTAATACTGGAATGACACTTTTACTTCAAAACATCACAATATTTTTTTTTGTATTTAAAATGAGTTGTATTTATTAAATGAGTCAATAATTCATTGATAAAAATAGGTTCAATTCAAAATGGAAATGTTTCGTACGAATATTTCTTTTAAAAAAAGTATAATGTAATGTTGTGACTTCATTAGAATGACATAGACAGAACATCAAAAAAGTTTCTTTTTTAAATTTAAACTGAATCAATGATGTAAACGTTTTTATTTCAAATTGGAAACCTATCACATAACAGGGTCTACAAGTCCCAGGTTCTTGTATACCACAGCATCTGAAAAATTGTAGCTGTCATCCAATAGTTTATTAAAATTTAATCTGTCTTTTTTTTCTTTTCAAAACAACTAAAAATCTGAATATATTTTTTGGGGAAAAAAAGAGTTCTTCAAATCTTGACATCTGACCAGAACATTCTTAAAAACTCACCTATTTTCTGAACTCATTATTTGTTCAATATCATTAGGCCTCATAAGTTCAGTCTTTGGATATAATTTAGTAATAATTTTAGGCTCTGAATATTTTTACTAAATTGTTTATTTTTTGATAACATTAAATTTAGAATAATTAGGGGCATTATGCAATTTTATAAAAGCGAAGAGCTGTTATGCTACTTTGTACTTTCCACCCCAGAACATGCTAGCATATAAAAATTAGTCCTAGAAATTTAGATTTTTTGTAGACCCCTGTCACACATATGTATTATCTAATAAGAATGAGATAAATGCAGTATAGTTGTACTTTTTTTACAGGAAAATAAAGGTTTCCAATTTGGAATGCAGTTCCTAACAACAATAATCAACAACGAGTCATAATTAACAAAGAACATAATATACAAAGAGTTACATAAATCTTCCTTTGCAAAAAAATTAATAATGTCTATGAAAAAGTAAAAACAGCTGATGAGATTACAGTCAAACCTTGCAAAATCAAACCTCAGTTTTTTGACGATTCGAAAAGAAAAAAAAAATCTTTTTTTGTATCTTTTATGATCATTTGAATTTTCTTTCTACAATAGCAATAGAAAATTGTTATTAAAACTTTAAAAAAATCCAGAAAACTCAAGTTTTTCCAAAAAAAGAAAGTACAGCAAGAAAACAATGCATAAAAGTCATATATAAAGCATCAAAAGACATTATTTAGAATGTGTCAAACTGATAACGTGTCATATTTTTCTCTTAAGCAAACAACAATGGAATCTCTTTTTTATTAAATAGTTTTATTTCTGTATAGTGTTTAATTTAAAGAAAAAATGAATTACTTTTTAAAAAGTACATGAGAAAATATTTTTTTTCCTAATGTAGCTAACATGTGATTTCTGATAGTTTGAATTTTATAAAACATGATTAATTTCAAATATGTTCCCTCTAATATAATTAGCTTGAGGTATGAATGAAGGTTTGATCATGTTGAAAAGCACACTATAATAAAAAAATTCTTATCAATATATGATGCAAATAAAAAAAATGTGCATCCAAACGTTAGCTTTGCCGCAAAAAATATAAAACCAGTGATCATACAACAAATAAAAATGAGATTTCAAAATGGTTCAGAAGAAAATAAGAAATTCATTACAATGTGTAAATAAGTATTTTTTGATTGAGTAAATAGATTTATAAATGAGAAATAATTCAACTGTATAAATCATTAACAATCTTCATTCCAGTTCAACAATTATTTGATCTTCTTCCACAGCATCCCCTTCTTTACACAAAACTGATTTTACTTTGCCAGTTGTACTCACAGTTAAGCTATTTTGCATCTTCATAGCTTCAATGACACACACTTCTTGACCTTCTGCAACCTGAAAATAACAAAAAATAAGCCACAATTATACTACACGATAACAGGGTGCATAGCCAAATTATTCACCAAAAAATAAGCACCTATTAAGCACTTTTCAAGCACTCAAAAATATTTTTAAGTACCATAAAAAAATATCATAGCTAGACAGGGTTGGAAAGATTTTGGCAATTAATGGTTTTATTTTGTTTTAACCGTCATGTCAAAAAAAAAAAAAAAAAAACTTTTGGCGCTGTTTTTGGCAACTGTCAAAAATCATGAAATTTTGAATCACGTAAAACGAATGGCGTTTTCATACGCTACGGACTGACAATATGCTGAAATAGATTGTGTTTGACTTAATTGTGAAAAAGTTGAATAGAACAATATGAACTGTGTCTTTATGCATAATTCAAACTGAAAATAACATAGCAAAGGAAAACGCTCATTTTGAAAAAGGGAAAATTAAGCACTTTTTAAAAACACCCAATGAAAAAAGCACCTTTAAGGGCTTTTAAAAAAACAAAAATAAGCATGTTTAAGCACTTTTTAAAAACGCTATGCACCCTGTATACAGCTGCTTACTACAGTTTATTCTGCGAGGCAATATTTTCAAACAGATAATATTGTTTTCGATAAAAGAAAGATATTACATAATTTCTGAGCTCAAATCATTTCATAAACTATCAATGATTTTAAGTAATTCTGGTGGGTTTGAAGTGAAAATTTGTCTCAGATGTTTAGAAATGTATTGTTTAAAAAGGTGACATGTGTGCTGGATTTAGAAAGAACTCGCTTTTTCAGTAGTCCCGATTTGGCCTCTTTTTACTACTGTATTACTGTTTGTTCTTGTTGCAAGCCATGCACCATCATACATTAGTGTTAGCACATTGTTCGAGCTGCAAGACTAAGTTGATTTTACTAATTATCATTTAGGTTTAAATTTTGAAGTTCGTTTATTGTTAACAAAATAAAAAGGGTTTTATAACAAATCCTTTTTCAAATGATAATTCTTACATCTTGAAATAACAGGTCTTCAAATGATGATTCTTTTAATGATTCTACTTTTAAACACAAATAATAAATCAGGTAACAAATAAACGTATACAAGAAATATTACTCATGAGATTCTCAAAACACAATGATCACGTTGTGAGACAAATGGCCTTAAAACATACCAAAAACAGTAGCCCAGAAGTATAGGCAGTCAAGTGCTTGCAACGCTCCCTTCTGTCCATATATTTTTATTGAGAAACCAAAAAGTGGATTAATTATGTCAGGGTGCGTAGTCAAATCTTTCACCAAAAAATAAGCACCTTTTAAGTACTTTTTAAGCACTATATACATTAACAAAATGCAAAATAATTTTCAAAGACTTAACATGATTGGGATAAAACAACTAGTTTCTGACCAAGAACTCTTCTTGATTATATTAGACATTATAAAATGATCAAGATTTTTCGGTTTGATATCAGAGGGTGGAAAATGAAGCCTGAAATTGAGAATATCCTGCAAAATGCAACAGAGTTGCACACGAGAGTGTAATAATCTCACTGAACCCAGCTCAGTAGAAGCACATGCGGACTCGAAAGTATTGCATTAAACATGTAAAATGATTTCTTATGCTATGGACTGACGGTACGCAGAAATAGATTGTAAAATAAATTGTGAAAACATTGAATAGAACTATGTGAAAAGCATGCTTTTACATAATACGTGGCGAAAATCGACAAGGTAAAGAAAAAAAAATCTCATTTTCAAAAAGGGAAAATTATGCACTTTTTAAAAATGAAAAAAGCACCTTTAAGGGCTTTTAAAAAATTAATATCGAAAATAAGTACCTTTAAGCACTTTTTAAAAACACTACGCACCATGTATGTGGGTTGGTGAGCAACAGTAAGCAGAGAATGCTCTGGCTTACAGGAATTGTACAAAAAATGAGAAGTGATTCCGTAAACCACAAACTTTCGGGCAATTGAAAAAGAAATTTTTGTTTACTTTTTAAAACTTTTATAAGTTTCTTATGATTATACAATCGAAACTAAATTTTGCGCAAATTATAGAAATTGTTGTTGATTAAAAACAATAACTGTAGATCACGAAGAAAATTTTTTATGCCGGACAAATTTATACAATGCTGGTAAAAAGGCCTATTATGTTAAATTTTCTTTTAAAAAAGAAGATAGAATTGTTTTGAAGAAAATAAAAGCGATTAAATTTATTTTAATTTTAAAAATCCATAATGCTTAACATAAATGCAAAGAAAAAAATATCCTAAGATTTTTGGAAAGTACATATATTTTCTAATATACAATAAAAGTACTTAGGTTAATGATTTCAAATAAACAAATACAATTTTATTACCTCATCTCCAACTTTACAAGAAATAGATTTTAAGAGTCCCGGCATTGGAGCCATTATCACTTTCGATTCATCTTTCTATAACAGAATATGAATTTAAATTAGTACCAAAGATAACCTAAATTAATAAAACACTAAAATAAAAAATCGATTTTAAAATTACCTCAAGTTTCTTGGGCATTATTCTTTCATAATCTGCAGCAACTTCTGTCAATACTCTCACTTTAAACTAAAAGAAAGAAACAAACAAAAATGTTTTTTCTTCAATAAATAAAAACCCTAAGGCAGAATTTTTTAGAGCTATCTGCGATAAAATTAACTAGCACTAATATCATTCTGCAAGATACTTTTAATAATAACAAACATATATGTTACTAATTTAATATAACAAAAAAGCTGTGCTTGCAAACAAAAAAAAAAAAAAAAACTGTAAAACATTTTTTTAATTGAACATGTAATAATTTTTTATTCCAATATTATGGGTGATATTCTTGCATTTTGTTAAGGGGGGGGGAGGCACAAATTATTTCCTTCTTCGCACTTCGAATATAATCATCCCGATAAAAAAGTAATTAAAAATCATGAAATCCGTAGTAGTAATTACCGAAAAAGAGATCGACGGAGAAATAATGTGAATTGGATTCTTCAAATGCGTGTTTCGGTTCGCTCGGTCGTTGTAATAAATAATATCGTATAAAAATTATCGGATATAAAAACTATGGAGAAATCAATAGCAATAACTGCCAAAAATTCGACAGAATTATTGCCTTAAAAAGTAAATACCCAAATGCAAGATTCGAATTTTTCATATTGTTTGAAATATATTGGATATTTAAAAACACCACGTGAAAATCAATATTAATAATTGAAGAAAATTCTGTAGAAAAGAAAAGTAATATTTTATCTTTTTAACAGAAAAATCTTTCTGCATGAACTCTGTGACAATGTCGCCGTGTTGCTGCGATTCTGCCACGGGGAATGAAGAATTATTAAAAGTAAACTTTTAAATTAAAAACTAAACTCGTACACTTGTTCCCAAAAATCGAATTCTTAAATTTCCAGCACCATCATGTTTGCTTAGTTGGCAAGTGTATGGCTCATCCTCTATTGTAGTGTCCATCACAGGCGCAGAAAGGAATATATCACCAGAAATAATAATTTTTCTACCATTCACAGAAACCTAAAAAACAAAAGAAATAATCTAAATGACATTGAAATGGAAAGCAATGTTTCATTCACATAAGAAATAATTTTATAAAAAATTAGAAAAAAAGGCTCAGCAACAAACCTCAAATTGATGATTTTTCTCAGACACACACACTTCTACACTTTTTTCATTTATTTCAGCAATTAGGTTCCACTCCGTGGGTAATGTGCTTTCTAATGGAGGCCTTTGAAATAAAAATTTAAAAAAAAAGAAAAATGATTGCTGCTTCATATAAAATGTATTCTCATAGAAGGCATTAGTTTTTTAATTGCTAAAAGGTCACCAATAAATAAATAAATTATTAAAATGCTACGGAGTACTGAACTGTGTTTTATCAATACAATGTTATTTTATTATTTAGAAAGGAGGTGCATTTCATTTTAAAATAAATAATAAAAATATAATTTATAACAAGTTACAAGAGTAACATATTTAACATTTATTCTATTTATTGAATCTTTAAGTGATTTGAATAAAGTTAAATAGTAACAAGATATATGAATTTATAAAATGATTTAATAAACGAATATTATCAATTATATAACATCTGACTTATGTTGGAATGATATTTATCACACTTGCTGATTAACAGTCTGTATATTTAAGTATTATCATTATTTAAAATACTTTTAATAACATTCAGTTATAAGTTAAATTAAAATGATATGAATGTTATAAAATAAACCATATAATTACACAAAAATACTTGTAGATATATTTTCATTACACTAAAATACATTCTACCTTAGGCTCTAATTCTTTATGTTCCAAGTCAATTTTAATTTACAAACGAGTATAAAGTTACTACAAAATTTAATATCATAAAATAGTAGCAAAACCCCCTTTTAAATGACACATTTAGCGAGAGTTTGCAAAATTGTGACAATTTAAAATAACAAGAAGGTCCCAAGAAACGTGACATCACATATTACTAAATATGACAAAAATAAATACATTTAAAATTAGCACATTTAATATTTCTGTAATATTTACTTTTATATTTTCATCAAAATAAGCACACAAACTAAACTAAACTCAGTGGCGCGGCAGCCCGTAGAGGGCCAAGGCCTACTGTGCCCATCTCAGTTTTCTTAACCTTAGGCTCTGGGGTGCAGGGGCAGATGTTCCGGTCAGGTGTTCAGCCGAACGCGGAACCCCCAGTGTTTAGTTCCCAAGCATGCTTGGTACTCATTTATCGACCCACTGAAGGGATGAAAGGCTGAGTCAACCTTGCCCGAGGATCGAACCAGGGACCTGTGTCACGACAGCGCTAGGCGCTACCGCTCAGCCACCGGGCATCAAAATAAGCACACATGTTTTAAATATTATTGTTATGCTATATATCAGTGGTTTCCAACTGGCGGCCCGCGAACGAAAATATATTACTTGTCATTTTTTTGCGGATAATTTTTGTAAAAAATCTGTATGGGTTTAAAATAATTTTCACGTTAATAAAAACCTAATTTATTCTTTTCTGTGAAATTTAACATACCAACGGTGCAAAAAAAATTATTTCTCAGGTTTTGCATTCAAGAAAATATTTATTCAAATACAAAAATAATCGTGTATGTTGCTCTTTTTTATTTCGTTTTTTTGTATTTTGTGAATATAATTTAGCATGAGTGCATCTGAAATTTTCCGATTTAACTTTTTGAAACCACTCATTTTGGACGAAAATATTTACACACACAATTATAAATTTTAAATTTAAAATGTAAATATCTATTCTCCGGTGGTTGCAGCAGACAAACCTCAATTTTCTCATTGAACATTTTGTGTGCTACTATATAAGTTTTAATACCAACTTTTTTAAAGTTTTAGATATTTTTAGATATTTGTTGCACATTAATTGTTTAATACATAGTTGCACATTAAAGTTATTATAGCCCAAATTTTTTAATATGCAATTAAATATTTTTAAAAATCTACTTATTTTAATTTGTAATTAATAAGCTTGATTTTTTTTTCAATAAGAATTTTACACATTCACACTTCCTTTATGAGGGTTAAATTCTAATTAATGAAGGTTATGTCCTGAAGTTAAGACATAAAAGCTTATTGGGATTATAAAAACATTTCTTACCCTGAATTTTGGTAGACAGAAATATAAATTTTTAAAAAAAAATCTTTTGTACTCAAAAAAAACTTTGGGTCTTTTAGGCAACAACACATTTTATTCATTAAAAATTATTGAAAAATATGTGCACTCACTGAGGCTGGTTGAGAAAATGTCGAGATCTTGTTTCATGTCTTACGAATATGCAACCACACAAAGAAGCAAGATGTTCCATCTCTTTAGGAGACAATTGCTTACCTAATCAATTCAGTAGAAACATTAAGATAAGTTAATTTAGCAATAAAACATCGTAAACAAGGAACAATAAACATTTGTTAATAAAGTACCTTTAAATCCATCAGGATACACTTCATTAAGGTATTTTGTGCTGATATTACCCTCAACAAATTTGTTTTCAGTCATAATATCCCTTAATAGTGGTATATTGTGACTCACACCTAAAATAAAAACCAAAGTGATTTTAGTGAAATAGAAGAGCTGCCACTCCTTAAATAAACAAAAGCATCTCTAAAAAAGTACATTGATTTGCATCAATGTATTTTTAGAAAAATACAACGAAACTTTTTAGAAAAATAGAATGTTGTAATTTGGCTCATATTAAATGAAAACAGTGAAACTTATTTCACGTTTTTTTTTCTCTTTTGCTATTATGTATATTTAATATGTATTTTAAATTTTTAAAATTAATTAAAACTTTAGAGTCAGTATAATAGTGAATATGCTCTATTTTAAAAGTTTAACCTGAGAATTTTTGTTCTATTTAAACAAAATAAATTCCTTTTAAAAGGAAGCCAAAAATAAATAATTAAAAGGTGCAGAATCATTTATTAAAAAATCAGTGTTACTTTTTGAAATGAAGACAAAGTTATTTTTAACTAACATTTTTCCTGGTAGTTGCGAAATAACAATTTGTTTAAAAAATACAAGCAAAATCTTTCTTAAATTTCACTGGTACTGTAAAAAATTTACAAATAATTTTATGTCTCATGCATAGTTTGAACTGTTCATTGTAGTGGTAGACTTAATAATTTTAAATGAAATTTAAATGACCAAGAATCAAATATTACATTTAAAGCTTGCCATCATTTTAAATGTAAAACTATAATTTCCCCCAAAAATTCAGGAGGATCAGCAGATTTGAGTCTCTGTAAATAATACAACCAAAATCCTATTTCTCAAAGAATTTCAAAAAAATTTAATGAACCTTCTAGTAAAATTTTCATATTTCCACAGAATTCTAGGTTTTTCTTGCTTCCAGAAAAAACGACCACTAAATTATTTCATTTAATGAAATACTAAAAATTTTCACTTGCCCTTCAGGCTTTCCACATTAAAATAACTTCCACATATTTATTGAAACATATATAAAAAAATTACTGCTGTCTGATTATAACACTCTCTCTACTTCAGATCGGGGTCACAGCTTGTTTGGAAAGTAAAGGCGGCTTGTGAAAAACACTGACCAAATAGACACAATTATGCATTTGGTTATGAAATTATAGAGCCTAAACCTCAAAAAACCTATTTAATTACCCATTTTAAATATTTTACTCACTTGAATTTACATAAATTCAATAATTTTAAAAGATTTCTTTTAACAAAAAACTTGTTTTTAAATGTTTAAACTCTCTTTAAACTTATACTATTTTTGAACCCAAACTTCTTGGAGAATAGCTAAATAACGTAATTTGTCAAAGTAGAAGCAATTTCTTTCTAATTAAAACTTCTTTGATAACTAGAAAGTACAACAGACATAATATCCACTTTTAAATACTTGGTACACAATGTGATCCATTAATACTAAATAAACTATAAACATGATGAGGAAATATGTAGGTGCACTCCTCATTAAGAGTGATTTCAAAAAATAGACTCACTATTAGTTGCAAATTAACAGTAATCAAAATATGAGTTCAATCAGAGTGAAGGTGAGATTACAAACATCAAAATCAATTTAACTGTAGAATGAAATTGAATGGAAGGCATTTCTTCTGAAAATAAAACTGGTTTTAATTCTCAATCCTATCTTTACTGTAAGCCTATTTTCACTTTTAATCCTATCTTTTATCTTCTAAGTAATTATTTATAACTTGCAATGTAAAAATTTCTCTTTACTTCATTTTTTAATAGGCTTCAAAAATTATACAATAACGCTGCTGTTTCTGAAACACGTAGTGCATGCAATAAATTACAAATAGCATATCTCCAGTTGTTCATTACCTCGAATAACATATGCATCCAAAGCATCAATCATTGTGTTGATAGCAGCATTTCTTGTTGGACCATAAGTAATAAGCTGAAATATATATATGCAATTAGAAAAATAGAAAGTTATTTTAAAATACTTTGTTAAAGAAAAAAAGTTAGCATATTTGAATTGAAAAAAAGTTTCTAATTAGAAGTTAGGAAAAATATAAAATGGTTAAGAAACTGTACTACAACTGCCTATATACTATTGGTTGTAGAGAAAGAAAAGACAAGCAATTAACTTTTTATAATTTAGAAATCCAAAATCTTAGAATTAGAAATTGATCGAACTTACAAGAATTTTCTAATCAATTTGTTGCTTACTCAGTGTTCTAATCTCTGATAAGATATACTTTCATTACTTATTACTATTTCTTTAAATTTGAATTAAAATTTAAGTATTAATAACATATAATAGCTAGCAGTCAATGAACAGTATTGTTTGATTTTTACTAAATATTTAAAACTAAACTCAGCGGTTCGACATAGAGGGTCAAGGCCATAGAGGGCCAAGGCCTACTGTGCCCATCTCAGTTAGCTTGACCTTGGGCTCTGGGGTGCAGGAGCAGATGTTCCGGTCAGGTGGTCAGCCGAACGCGGAACCCCCAGTGTTTAGTTCCCAAGCATGCTTGGTACTCATTCATCGACCCACTGAAGGGATGAAAGGCTGATTACTAAATATTTACAAATAAAATTAAAAATTAACATGATGACTGAAAATGAAACAAACATTAAACAAAAATATGGCTGTTATGTTAAGTGTACATATAATGTTTATTTAAAAAATAAGTAAACACATGAAATATTTTTTAAAACAATTTTTTTAGTGCAACTTAGGACGATTTTTATTTAGAATTTAACAAAATTGCATAATGCACAAATTATTAGGAAAGAGATACAGTAAAACTTTGATTTGAAATAACTCATTTGTTCACTTTAAGGGTTTTTTTTAAAGCTGATGGAAACAACAATTTCTTCTCTTTACTTAAATGATTTTATGATAAATAACGATGTTTTACAAATTTATATCACGAAAAAGCTGCAAAAATTAAGAAAATCTAACTTTTCTTATAGTAATTTTTTTAATTTAAAATTTTATGTGGCAAAAATTATTTTTCTTTCACATTCCTTTCTTTGTATTTAAAGAGGCATTAGTAAAAATTTTACTTACGTGTGCATTTCATAACATTAAAGCATAACATAACATTTAAACGTAAAAAAATACTGTTTTAATAATAAAAAATATTGTACATTTTTGTGTGAATATTCGAATAAAAAAGACTAGAGTCAATCAATAACTACTACATTAGATAGAACATTAAAAATTTGAGTCAAATGCACTTGATTCTTCTATATTATGTTATTCTTCTATATTAACATTCCTCTATATTTCCCATTCTGTGTTTCTTGCCCAAGTTATTCATATTTTTTTTATGTTGCTTCAGTTTTATACAGTTTCCATTTAATAAAAGTGTTTCCATTTAATACTGCCATGGAAATGAATATAGTACCCTATTAACATTATTTCTACATTAAAAAACTAACTAATGTAACATTTTTATCAATATTTATATTCACAATGAAGGTTAAAATTTATAAAATATTGATAATGTAATGTAGGTATAGTAAATATTATTAAATTTCTTAAAATAGCATTAAGATAAAGTTGATTTAGTTTCAAACATTTTGCAGCAGAAATTCCCCCCCCCCCTTTAAATATGTATGTTTAACAAAACCACTGTATCTTATTGTAATTTTTATCATCTCAAAATAAATAAATAAATAAATAAATTAATATAAAAACATTTTAAAAAATCATGTAAAATCAACAAACATACAGGAGTTTAAACTGGAGGAAAGTCATGTAAAATTTACTTCAGTAACATTTATAAAAAATAAGAACTAACCTTGCAAATCATAGGATCATAAAAGATACTTATTTCACTGCCTTCTTGAATTCCACTGTCACACCTGACCTATAAGATGAAACAAAATACATTAATATAGCAGTGTGCCAAGATTTGTTTTTATCTTCAGCAGGGTTGCAAAAAAGCCAGCCCTCCCTGAAAAAGGCCAGGTCGGTCGGTTTTCATTAAAAAACGCCAGTCTTATTGGCTTTTTTTTTAAAAATTATTATTCAAACATAACATACATGCATTTAAATTTATTTCATTAATTACAATTCAGTAAAAATAATATAATTAAAATTTCCTGCTATTATGTATCAGTGCAGTTTGATAGCTAATGTAATTAAAAAAAATCAATACTATGAGTCATATAAAGGTAGTATTTAATGATATTTTTCATATCTTTAAGTTGAAGAAGTTCAATTTATAATTTCTTAAAATAAAACTCAATATACTACTTTTTTGTCTTATGTTTTCTTGTGTCATACTGTGCTTTGACACAGAGGAAAGTTCTTGTTCATAAAACCAAAACAGAATGTTAGTTTTTGTGTCATTAGTTTTGTTTTATTCACATTGTTTAGACTTATTGGTATAAGCTTTTATTCCATTAATCAGTCACTCTAATTTGTAAGTTTATTTTTTCCCCTAAAAAAGTTCAAAATTTTCATAGATTAAATAAGTTTTATTATTACATTGGGAAGATGTAAAGGTTCGATGTACTTGTATAATCGTCCAACAGAGGGTAGACCAAAGTTTTTATAGGGATCTTCTGCATACACTCTGGATTCAATGGCCCAACCATGTATGCCAACATCACTTTGCTTTATTCTCAGTTGGTGACCTGAAAAAGAACATCAAATCTCTGTCATATATTTCACATACAGATATACTTTTTTTTTTGTTTTGTGGTGACAATATATTGTTATTTTAAGTTTATTTGGTGCATTTAAGTAAACATTAAATTACTTTTGTGCCAAATTTAAAGGGTGCAATTATCGACAGAAAGTTAAATACATGACATCATTTACAAAATTTAAAAGAAATAAAGATGCAAAAATTTGTAAAAAAAAAACAAAGTATTAAAGAAAGGATGCAGGTATAAATGGGTAAGCTCAAGAAGTATTTTAAGAAAAAGATGCAAAGTATAAATGGGATAATTTAAAAATTAGATAAATTTTTTAAGACAAACTGAAAATAATAATCCATAACTGTAAAACACTAAAATAAATAATACAAAAGGATAAGAAAAACAAAATAAAAGCATTATTTACCTTTTGCTACTCTAATCATTTGCTGAACTAAATCAATACCAGTTATGCATTCTGTAATAGGATGTTCAACCTATGAAATGTAAATAAAATAATGATCAAACATTTTTGAACTGACCTACTTCTTCAAAATTCATTAACAGTTAGTTTTTCTGACACTTAAATTATAGTATGAAATAATAATAGCTAATTTATTAGGAATAAAATGTTCAACTTAAATAATATATAATTGATACTATGGGGGGGGGGCGAGTTATCGACTATGCCAACCTTCATCTACCAAAAGGTATCTCAAGATTGATTCAAGTTAGCATGTCTTATATACCAGTGAATTGATGTTTAATAATCGTAGTGGTAGTTACGCCTTTTTCATTGACACAAACTACAAAAAAAAAGCTACTACAGTAGTTTTGCTTCTTGTAGCGTGTTATTTTCGACCACTGATTATATTTTAAAAGGGTTAGAAGTTACTTTCATAATTACTGATTACTAGAGATATAAAAATAAAGAAACATTCTGCAATAAAAAGTTTAGTGATAAAAAACAAGGAATGTTCCCTGTTTAGCAGCAGAGGATAACCACATGATGAAAATTTCTCATTATCACCCGTAACCAAATAATTGATTATCTAAAAATAATGGTATTAAGATAACAATGGTGCAAGTAATACTGGAAAACTTAAATAAACTGCGTAAAACAGCCTTAAAATGCTTTAGTGTTTATAATTTTTTTTGCTTCGAAATCTCACCTGTAATCTAGTGTTCATTTCCAGGAAGTAAAAGTTCTTTTTTGAGTCAACCAAGAATTCAACAGTACCTTAAAAATTGTAAAGTGAATTTCAATTTTAAACAGATTAAGGAAAGAAAGATAAAGAAACATAACATGTTTAATTTAATCTGAATGAATGATTTTAAATTAATATAAAAATGTTTAAAAATAATAGAAAGACAGTAATACAAACAAACAATGTCAAAAATATATCACATGAAAACATATTAAGATAGCATCAAATTTTAGAGCAATTTATGTAATGAAATAACCCAATGTAAAGGTAAATATATAAAAAAAAATGTTAAATTTCACATCAATAATTTTAAAATTATTGATTACTGATATTAAAAAAAAACAATACCTGTTAGACGTTAGACTTAGAGCTTGGGCAGCTCTGACGAGCAGGGCACATCGACCAGAGGTCTATTGTACCCAAACCCTAGTCGTGATTAGCAAGAAAGCCCTATAGCTGAAATAAAGTTCAGCAAGCACCTTACAGGAACATCTTGCAGTTCCCAGGCATTGACGCAATGCTGCCCTAGATGCTCAAATCTTTGAGCAGAATAGACATCACAATCACAAAGTATGTGTCGCGATGTCTCTTCTTCTAGATGACATCCCCGACAAAGAGAATTGGATTCTATTCCCATAATGTTTAGGTGTCTCCTGAGGATACAGTGACCAGTAAGAAGACCTATGATCTTTCTTATACTGTTTCTATTAAGCTTTAAGAACTCCTTTTGACGTACACTAGGACAGTCTTGATTCAGCTCCTTAGCTTGTCCCTGACCGTCAGCAGCGCGCCACTGCTCATGGGCAATCTTGCCGTAGAGCTTGAAAACGGTTGCCCTAAATGAGGGAGAAATTCTCAGTGCAGGTTCAGGGCATACCTGTTAATTATGGGGCAAATTAATCGTCTTCATCATCGTCTACAAGGCGACTAAATATTACATATAATGAATAAAATATTATCTGCCAGTCAATATCTGATTGCCACTTTTTAAATCAAAAATAATGCTCATGTGTATTTTATTATTTTTTTTAAAATTAAATATGGATTCACTATATGAGGATTTGTTATGAATTTATTATAATACTCCGGAAATTATTTAATTTCAACCTTGCTTCTTGAAATTTTACTTCATTTTAGAAATGAACCTTATAATATTTATCATAATTTTAGTAACGCTTCAAAATAAATGCCCTACATTAGTAACATCACCTGTCTTTTAAATCCTTCAATATTTTCAAGTTTTGAAAATTTTTTGAAATAATAAAAAATACTACAACTGGCTAGTACCAACATTTCCTATTTTTGCTTCATACTACCAATGGCAAAAATAAACGTCTTAAATCTCAAATTTTACAATAAAGTCTATTTAGGGCCGGGATAGCCTGGTTGGTAGGGCACTGGGCCTATGTCCTAGAGGTCGTGGGTTCGATTCCCCCCGTCCGAAGACTGCCCGTGTAGTAAATGGAGACAGATGCACGTTAAATCTGACAAGTCATGAAGTCCTCCATGTTCCCATAACAAATCAATACCTCTGGAGGTACTGATTCAGGAGTACCCTTGTCTTCTGGATCGATTCAAAATTACAAGGCTACGGAGTTGAACATTAGTAGTCGTAAACCCAAAATTGGGTTGGCTGTTCAACAACAGTTATAAAATAAAAATAATAAAGTCTATTTGTGCTATAGATATAAGGCAAACATAAAATAAATGCATGAAGTTGTTTTATTCCTCATCATAAAAAGAGAAGAAATAGAAATATATTTAGAACAAAGCAGAGTTTTTCTTTCTGGCGAGACAGAGCTTGCACAACTAAGTTTTTAAATAGAAACTGAAGAACAGTATTGAACTGCAAATATGGTTATTTTTAAGAAAAAAATAGAAATTGTAAAATAAAGATTATTTGAGTCTTTTCATGTTTTAATAAATCTAGGAATATAGCGCTAAAAATTTTAGAAGAAACAATTGGGATATATGTTATATTTATTCACTTTAAACCTCACTGGCAATTTATTGTTACCATGAATTCCAAAAACTGGTTGTTTTTCAGAAATGGTGCAATATTATCAGACATTTCTCAGACTTTATATGTAAAAATAAAATTCCCTGGGGGCAAAGAATGCCTTTGCTAACTGAGAATGATATACATTTTGAAGGTAAAGTGATAAAATAAGAACAATAATAAAAGTATTGAATTTGAAATATTTATTGAAACCAATTACCAGCTGAGTCATATCCTACAGCTTGTGCAAGAGCAACTGCTTGCTCACCCATAGCCTGCCGTAGCTTTGGATCAACAAATGTACTGAAATGAGTTAAAATGAAAAATTAGAAAATAATATAAAATTACTTAAAAAAGATAATTAAAATCACAAAACTGTTATTAGAATAAAGGAAAGGAAAACCTACCTATGTTTTGGTTAAATGTGGTAATCATGCATTATTAGTGATCTTATGTCTGGATTCTCACATATAGCAAAGCTGCATAAGCATTTTAGTAAGAAGCATGAAAATGAAATAAAAAAAAGATGTAGAAATGTTAGTATAGCTATGTGTTAATTTAGAAATTATCAAAGCAAAGTTCATTTTCAAAATTAAAAAATTAGAGCAATAAGAATAACAAATTAAAGAGCAGGTACATATTTCAAAACGTAATTAGACATATTAGAAAGCAGTTTTTTTTAATAAATGAATAAATAAAATGTATTTAATATAAAAGGACATTAGAAATAGGCATAAGAAAAAGTGAAATAATGACTGATAGAATTCATACATATGGTATATTTTTTATTGAAATGATCTATTTTTGAAATATTATGATTGAAATTGGGTATATAGCAAAACAAGTTCAGTCTGATTCTTAAAGTATGTTAACTGCACTAAGAAAAACTAGGCAACATAAAATTAAACTTTTCTATCACTTAAAATTCCATTCAGATAAAAAAAAACTGTCTTTTGAATCTTTTTTCTATAGAAGAAAAGTGATAAATAAGAAGAAAAGTGATAAATGAGAAGTAATATTAGTAAATTGTTCATAAGTGGATGTATCAGAAGGCTTGAACTGTTCCCCAGAAAAAAAAATGCAGCAATTTCAATTAATCATTTTTTGAGAAAATTGTAGAGAATTCCCTAACATAAATATCAGAAAGCATAAAAACTACAATTTTGTGTAAAGGTTCTCTTGTGGGTGATAAATAATTACTTTACCTAGGAGCTTCTTCAATAACTTTCTGATTTCTTCGTTGGATGGAACATTCCCTCTCATTCAGATATACTGCATTTCCATATTTATCACACAAAACCTAAATAAATAAATATTGTTTAATTTATAAAACATAACATTTAGCAGAAACTACTATACTTTGCTGTATTTATTAACTAAAAAAATATTTTATTACTAGGAACTATTAATGTAACATTAAAATACACATAGTTTAGTATTCAATAGGAATAATATTGAAAAATAAGTTCCAAATTTTCAATGAAATAATATGAAGTATACTATACGAAAGAATTATTTACTGCTGATTTTACACTATGAATAAAAATAGCATATTTCAGCTGAATTTTTATTTCTTTTATAACTGTAAATCATTTTTAATTTTCTTTGAAAAAAATGACAGTATCTATTTTTATTTCTTTAAGAAATAGCATTATTTTCTTGTTCATTTCAACAACTTTATTTCTAGATAGCTAAAAATTGCTACATATTCCTGCTGAAAAAAAAAAACTTTTTTTTTCTCATAATATTTAATTATTTTAAATTTTATACAAAAATCATTCAAATATATAATACAACAATGAAAACATTACTTGTATTTCAATATGCCTAGGATTGTCAACAAATTTTTCAACTAATAAGCGGTCATCTCCAAAACTTGATTTTGCTTCTTCTGTAGAAAACCTAAAGCCATCCCTAAAAAATTCGATTGGTTACAGTTAGAAGAAATGTTTCAAAATTTGTGACATTGCTCAGCAAAGATAAAACAAATGTGAGAGAACAGTTACTATCATGAAAATAAAAATATAATTTTTGATGAAACTCCATTATTTTAAGTAAAATACCAAAAGAAATGCTATAATTACAGAGCTTCTTTATCATTCCAAGCAATTCGCATTCCTTTCCCACCACCACCAGCAGATGCTTTGATCATTACGGGATAGCCTGAAACATAAATTTGTAAAATATACAGTTTTAAACACAGGATTAAAACCCCATTTATTTATTTTTCAAAGTGTTTACAATTTAAAACAAATTATAGCATACTTTATTTAAAATTTGAAAAAAATAACAAAATCTGCTTTTTTTGACAAAAAGTCAGCATACTTAATTTTTTTTTCTATTTTATACATAATTCTAAAATTTGTTCTTTTAAGGCTGTAGTGTAAAATTTAAAAAAACAAAAGAGCAAGCAATGCATTATTTAAAAGAAGACATAAAAACAATCTGAAATAAAGCACAGGTTTAAGGACAGAAGTGGACATATAGTGCAGCTTTGAGGAGAACTCCTCCAGACTAAGAGTTTGGGGCTGTCTGCTGCTATGGTAAAAACTAGAACACATTTCTAATAGGGGTGCAATAGAAGTATTAAGGTGTCGATTGGTTTACTCACGTTGACCTATGCCAAGATAAAGACAAAACTATTCACCCAACACCCCTATTTGAAGTGATTTATTCTCATAATTATGGTACCCCACATGATGCGAGACTGATGTCAAGAGGAGTTGTCCTGAAAGTTACACTATACTATAATTTTGGTTCCATAAACCAGAACCTTTTTCAGTGTTTAAATACCAAATGGTTAGGGCTGCAGGTTTGTCGCGGCGCGAATTTCCGCAAAATTGTCATCTTTTTTCCTAAAATCCGCGAATTTCTCAATATGTCTTGACTTGCGTGAAAATTGCTCAAAATTTGATTTTTTTTTCCATTTATTATTTTTATTAAACAGAATTTTTTATTTTCCTGAACCTTAAATTGAACATGTAAAATTGATTAGATATTTAGGGGAGTGAATCAATAGTAAAATGACATGAAAATAGTTCAGAGATAAGAGATAATCACAATCTTGTCAACTAAGGTGGTCTTTCTACACTTAGGGAGAGTAATTACCTTCCTGAAGTCTGTAAGAGTACAAAAGAAATAGGAATTACAACAGAAGGAAAATGTTATAAATCAAATCTTTGACAGAAAAATTGTTATACACGCTATTGCACTGGGCAATGAAATTTCTACTGCCTTTCTACATATCCAGTTAATTTTTCCTAGGCGGCATCTTGTGATTTCTTAAATATGGCTCAGTTTCTTAGATGAAGGGGGGGACTAGTAGTTAGTAGGGACTTGTAACTAATAGTTTGAATGTAGAATGTTTGAGTTTTCACTGCAATTACTTCTTACAAAGCAACGGTAAAGGAATTGGGCGTTGGTGAAGGAAAATTGATTGAGTTTTGGAAATCTAAGACCGAACACTCCAAAATTGGCAATTCCAAGTTTGTCGGTGACAAAAAACAGCGTTGACGCAGAAAGATCGTTTTCTAAGTATAAAAATGTATTAAGTGATGAAAGACGAAGGATAAATAAGAATAATCTGACAATGTACAATACTTTGTACCAAAATTCTGCTCATTTAAATAAAAATATTAATATTGCTTGAAATTCAAAGAAATACTTTTGTTGTATATTTTTAAGCTTTTTTTATTATTTGCGCAATTTCTGTCTTTTGCCTCATTCATATAATAAATTTTTTTATGTTTAGAATTTGTGTAATTTTCAAAATTTCCCGTGAATTTGGGGTCTTTTTTCCCGCAACAAACTTACAGCCCTACAAATGGTGATTAAGAGACTGAGGAATACATTTGTCACTTTAGACAACAAGGAAAGTTCCTGTTTATAGAATCAAAACTATAGTATTTTTATTTTTGTGCTTTTATTTCAATTGGTTTTTGTTCTTTAGTTATGTAGCACAAAGTATACCTTATCCTTCTTTTTAGATACATTATTTATTGGCACAAGAAGGTTTAGATTTAAAAAGTCACCAAAAACAGCAGGGAAAATTGCACATAATAATCCCCACAGTTGTAATGCTTCAACAATTTTCCAAATTACTTCATTTCTAAATAGTTTTTCAGTGTCCCCAATGATATACTTCTATAACTTAGTTATAGTAGTATAAATTGGCATAGACGGAGTGATAAGAACTTAGACACAAGTGAGTGACAAACAAATACTCATATATATAGATAATTAGGTTTATAAAAGTTTTGATTTATTTCATGATTGAAGAAAAATTATTTGTTTAGCATAACCATATCTTTTGATCAAAAATAAAAAAAAATTATCAAAGTTTTTCAAGTCCAATGATATTTAAAGTGCTTCACCATTGAATAAATCCAATTTATGCAGGCAAAAAAAAAAAAAAAAAAAAAAAAAAAAAAAAAAAAAAGACATGGAAAGAGAGTTTAATGGAGCCGATGCATAAGACAACAAGCAATAAGTAAGTTACTCTACAATTATTAATACAAAAAACAATTACTAATTCAAAAAACGTTTACCTATTTCTTGGGATATTTTGATGCATTCTTCAGGAGTCTGCAATGGATTAATAATTATTGATTTTTCTGTAAGCAAGATTTAATTATAGAATTTAATAATAAAACATTGTTCAATTTCAAAATAATAATATATCATTACAAGCTCTGAAGTGAAAATATTACATTGAACATCATTCAATAAAGCTAACAAAATAAATTTTGAATAGTTACCTTTACAACCCCATCGAAACCAGGAATAGTATTAACACGAGCTTTATTTGCTAATTTTTTGCTCTCAATTTTATCTCCCATGGCTGATATAGATTTCGAATTAGGACCAATGAAAACAATACCTAACTTTTCCTGAAAGAATACAAAATAAAGGAAATAAAAGATAAATAATCATTCCTTAGGAATTTTAAGAAATTTGTTAAAGCATAAGAATGTACCAATTTTTTGGCAAAGTCCATATTTTCTGACAAGAAGCCATAACCTGGATGAACCTAACAAATAAAATACACAACAAAGTTATTTCTCATAAAAAAAATATTGAAATTGATAAAAAAAATTATATGTTAACCTGGAAATAGATTAAATAGTTATTTTAAAAATAGAAAATATAAGGTGTCCTTAAAGGGTGTGACAATAATAAGGTAATATTAAAGGATGTTAAAAATACACAGTTTTTAATATGAACATTATCAAAGACGAATTTACTTGATTGAAATTCCAAATAATCTCAATTGAATTATCATAAGTGCTGTTAGTCTATTTATCTACGAGAAACCATTACCTATAAACATGTTCTTTCATTTCAATTTCTCTTTAACAAGTCACAACTAAAGAAACCAAGCTATTTGTTTAAGTTCAAGACTGTTTATTTGACATCTGAGTAATTTGTGCAAATTTATACCTTGTTTCATACAACAATCTAATTAATGAATTTTTTCATTAAATTTATTTATTTTAAATTAGTTAAAAGAAATAGAAAATCAAATGTAATTTGACAGTTATTTTCTGGAGAAAGTATCATACAGAAAAAAAAGAAGGTGAGATTGAGATTGTACTCTCATAAAAAAGTTATACAAAATACTTTTATCACTTCTTTTAAGCCAAAAAAAAAAAAACTTACTTTTTAAAAGACGTTTAGTCTTTTAAAAACCGTTCGAAGATAATGCAGTTTGATACAGTTTCTCAGAAAATTTAAATTTTTTTCCTTCAAGATACAATTATTCAAAGTAAAATGAGTAAACTATCATCAATTGTATCTATCTTATTTATTTTTTTGTAATTATTTAAAATAATATATAAACCATTAATTTAAATTTATTCAGAAAAAAAGATTTTAGGAAAAAAAATAGATCAATATAAGTTTTCAGTTTTCCAAGTGTTTTGTTAAGGGAAAAAAACTTACAAAATAAATGCTAATTAGATACTGAATCGATGAAAATGTAAAAGATCGAAATGCAAGCTCAAAAAAAGTTTTATTCAAAAATAATATTTAATAACAAAATTCATACCACAAATTAAACAATTTATCACTCTATAATGGTCATATAATTTAGATTTTACAAAATGAAAAAAGTTTAAACTCTTACAGCTTGAATTGAACTTTCTTCTATCACTTTGAAAATGGCATCCATATTTAAATAGCTTTTATTTGTAGGTGCAGGTCCTAAACAATAGGCTTCATCAGCCATTTTAACATGAAGCTTCAAGGAAATAAAAAAAATAAGTATTATTAGACACACAGTAAATTTACAAAAATTGTCAACATTCAAACTAAAATTTTTATAAATAATAAATTTACATAAATCCAGGGTTGGCATTTTTTTCCCGAGAGAAACAGATTTCTTCCGGGACCCGGGGGAAAAAAAACCAAAAGAAATGGAAGAAACTAAAACTGACAAATACCATTATTATCAATAACTAATAAACAAATAGTTTAGATAAAATTTTTAAAAAAATAACTATTTTTATATTATTTATTTAGATTTTATAAGGAATTTTAAAATCTACATAATTTATTATATTAATTTGTTTTGAATTGTGATTTACATTATCTTTATTTTACTAAACAAATATGTACACTTATATTCGATGAATTTTGTGTACTTATATTATTTAGTTTACTACTGAATATTCTGTTTAGTTTAATTATTTAAAAATAAATATAATTAAATTATTAAATATTATTACTTTATTAGCACATTTTCATTTGGTTAAATTTTTATTGCAATTTTTTAAGCCACGGAATTTTATAGTAACTCTTGATGTTATAATTGATCTTCATTTTCACTTTTAAAGAAAACAGAATTATTTAACAATAAAATGAAAACTAGTTTTCTCCTTAAATTTATAATATTAGTAAATTCTAAGTGATGTATTGTAAAGCAATCAAAGTGTAAAAAAACTTAAACAATAACATTTATATTATTTGAAAACTCATAAGTTTTATTTCTTAAAATGAAATTTTAAGTTCTGACATGATATTGAGCTCAGATATTAAAACAAATTTCCTATTTTTTTTAAAAAAAATTTCATACAAATGTAAATATTTAAAAAAAATTTCGTCATTGATTTGAAAATGGAAATTCAGTAATTTGTAAATCAAAACTTATGGTTAAAAACTCTGATAGGTTTATTTGATAAATTATAATTAATTTTTAATTTTATGATTAGGAATGTAAAAATAGAATTTGTATTAAAAATATTTTTGGATTGCATATTATTATGAAATTTTTTTTCTCCAGTTCTTATTCTTAACAGCATTTGGATATGAAAATTAATATACTGCTTAAATTAAGAATTCAATGTGTGATTTGTAGTGTAATACAACAATATATTACTTGATTTTGATGTTTTGAAAGTTCTTTATACAACTATAAAATTAAATTCTTTTATACTCCTTTATGCAAAACATAGAAAGAAATTACAGTTGTTTTTATTACTTTGGAAATTTATTAATTTGATTTTTCATTCCAATTTTTGCTATTTATTTTCACTTATTAAGGAAGATTTTTTAAATGACTTGCAAATAATATTATTATTTAAATTAGATAGCAATAATAAGCAGTTAATAATTTTTTATTAATAAATGATTTTTCCAACTTGAGTTGGCAAAAACCTATTTTTCCCGGTGCAATTTTTTCCTATGGTTTTCTTCACTTATGAAAAATTTTGTCATTTTGACTTAAAACAAATTCTCATGGTAAACGGAAACATGTTTGGAAATTTCTTTTAAGGACTACACTAGGATTACACGAAGAAAAAAAAACAAGAAAAATTAAAAGTCAGTTTTTTTTTACTTAGATTTATTGTCATCATTATTATTATAAATTATGATTAATATATATCATGTAATGCTACGGATGTAAGTAGAAGTAAGTATTTATGTAATGTTATGGATATATTGAATCTAATCTGTAAATAAAGCTTATAACTAACACACAATCAGTGAAAAACTTTCCCACAAAGAAAGTAATACTATTGATTTAATTATCCTGCAAAATATGATGATGTAGTCCTTAGCAAGATGGGAAAGTGATCAGTCCCATGTTACTGGGGACTGTTAATATTTTAATATCGAATAGAAAGATATAAAATAAAATCTTTCTCCAAGATGAAATCCTTCTTCCTCTCAATCCATCAGCTATCATGTGAACCTCTCACGTTTAAGGGTCTGGTTTGGCCCCCTTTTGAATTTAATAAAATTATTACTTCACTATCTTAGAGCTTTCTACAACCTCTATCTAAACTATACAATTACAATGTTAGTGCTTTCAAAGCTTAACATATATTAATACAGTCAACATCCAATATAACAACCCCATTCTCCATATTAAATGGTCATTATATTATGAGTGCATAAAAATACCATACATATTTACTCGGAACTGAAGAATACTGAACTAAACTTAACAAAACATAACAATACTATAATTAGAATTAGGAAAGAGACAAAATGTTTTTTTCCCCTTATTAATGCATACGTAAAAAAAAAAAAAATGCTGTACTTAAAAATATAATACGCTAAAAAATAATACATAAAAAAAATTCAGCATATCACATGTTTCATTTTGAAAATATACAGCATAAAAGGACTAAAATTTCATAAAAAGTATAGATAAAATGTTTTAATAAGAAAAATATGATTGATAAATTTATTGAACAGTGAAAAGAAAGTTATAAAGATAGTGAATGTTTCCTTTTAACCCAATGAATGCACACAGAACTTCATTCTGATTTTTGTATGATAAAGTTATATATACTTTAAATGCTCTATTTTTAGTAATCCATATTTAACCAAATTTTTTCATCATATATCACAACCATGTAGAATATAAATATCAGAGGTCATGTTAATATTTTTTCATTCAAATGGAATTTAAAAAGTTTCACACAATGTGCTGAAAAGTTAAAAGAAATTGTGATTTAAGTTCCTTGAAACTTTTGCCATATCAAATGACTCCTTGTTAATAGTCTTTGTCCATTTTGTTTGGAATGCAAAAATTTTTAATACTCTTATTTAAGGCGGTTTTTATGGGAATGATAAAAAAAAGAACCTAAATTTCTGTCTGATTCAAAATCTTTTTACTCGAGCATTCAACTTGTTGATATTAGCAAGTGGCATTAAAAAAACCAACAACTAATTGAAATGGAAATCTAAAACATAAATACTTACAGCTGTTGAATCTACATCACTGTGAATTGCTACCGTTTTGATGCCCATTTTTCGACAGGTTTTAATAATTCTGCAAGCAATTTCGCCTCGATTTGCAATAAGTATCTTATCGAATTTCTAAAAGAAAAATCAAGATAATATACCAAATGTAATTTGAGTTTTACAAAGCTATTAGTTTTAGTAACTTTGGCGATGAAGAAAAAAAAGTACAATAAAGCATCTATAATCTAGCATCAATGTGGCTTACGAGATAACAAATTACTGATTTTTTCCAGATTGTGGATAAAATATGAAAAAGGAGAATAAGACCATATAAAATATGAAATATATGTAAGAAATTATTATTGAGAAATATAAAACATAATATACAATAAAATAATTTAAAAATTTTGAAGAGCATCAACTGGTTTATGGGTCTTCACGAAAAAGTAATAATTAAAATATTGTGCTTAAGTTACAAAAATCAAGTTTATATTTATTTAATGTGACTTAACTTCCAACATGACTTTCAGATTTCCCATAGCAAATACCCCATGTAACTTATATAAGATTTAAGGCCAGAATGCTATTTGCCACATAAATTGAGTAACATTAGTTAAATAAAAAAAATTAACACATTAGTTTAAGAATTTTAATTAAGTTAAGAATTTTAGTTAGTTTAAGAATTTTAGTTAAGAATTTTAAAAAGCTTAAAAATTAAATAAAACGACTTTTCTATGGTTTTGCACGAAATAATAAGAAATAAAATATTGGGTGTAACATATCAGAATCGAGTTTCATATATTCCAAGCTAATTTTCCAGACATTATGCTCATTTCGTATAAATTTTATATTAAAATGTGTTGCAAGAATCTCTTAGTTTATTAGCTGTTAGTATTGTTATTTGAAAACCGATTTTTCAGCTACTTTCTTTAAGAATTTTAAAAAAAATTCTTGCAACAGATTTTAAGATAAACTTTATATAAAATGAACATAAAACCTGGAAATTTAATTGAGTTTATATAGTTAATTAATTAACTATATAAACTCAATTTTTAAAAGTTACATAAATACAATATTTATTAATTTTTCATGCAGACCAATTAAAAAAAAGTTATCGCAAACTTTTTAAAGTTATTTTTTTCATACTTTGTCTTCTTAAAATTCATTACGTCTGAAAAAAATTGCACCTCATTCTTCTCTTGGAAACATGTTAATTTAAAAGCAAAAGTATGAAAAAAATAAATGCATGCTTTCAAATAAACTTTAGAAATGTTAATTTGGTGATGTAAAAACAAATTGCATTCATGTTGCTGACTGAGCTTGAAAAAAAAAATTAATCAGTAAAGAACATGAGATAAAATCTTAAACAGGATTGTTTATAATTTTATTTATAACCATGGTTAATGTTAAACTAATGTGAAAAATTAATTTTTAAACATTTTGAACCGATTAATGAAAAAAATTTAAAATATATTGGGGATCTGGGGCTACCATCAAATATGATAAGCTATTTTAGCTCATCATGTTTGATAACCAAATTTACTTGATAACCAAATTAAAAGATATTTTGGATCTGGGGCTATCATCAAATATGATAAGCTAAAATAGCTTATCATATTTGATAACCAAATTTTAGAACCCTAGCGTCAACGATTCTGGATTCTAAATAGTGTTCTACTACAAGGAGAGATAAATAATTAATGATCACAAAAAAGAATCTCTATCTAAAAAATTATCTATATTTTATTAAAAATATCAGTTTAATTTGTTTCATGCTTTTTTGAATTTCAACATTTAATAGACTGATAAGCACATATGCACATACATGAGTTGATTGTCACTAAAAAATTCTTAATTTTATAAATCTTTTTAAAAGCTGCTACCCTAAGATTAATGCATTCACCAACCGTTGTATTTTTTGTTGGTATTAATCTGAGAAGAATAGTTTTTATATGGATAAAAAAGGAAAGATGCAACTTATTTCATTGCCAACTGATTTAAGAAACCTTCAATTATAGCAAACTGAAGAATCACAATAGACCCGTAATTCTCTTCAAAAGAAAGGCACACAAATTCTACTTGTAGATCTATGAAAAAATGAATTCTTTCGCCTATGTATAAAGTACATACAAATAAACTAAAAAAGTTTTCTTTTTTACATTTTCCTTCCATTTTTGTAGTCAGTTGTCTGAAAGGTGAAAGAATGATTGAAATGTTCAAAAGATGCTTGGTATTAAGAAAGGATAATTTGATGAATACAATGCACAAAGCGATGACCTAAAACATTTTAAAAACAGACAACAAATACTACAAACTATGGATTCCCAGATTATCAGTGCCAGACTATCAGTGCTGGATCCAACTCAAAAATCCTGAAAATTTCTTGAATAAAATCATTTAAATGACGCATTTCAAAAAATTAATGTCTTCATAATTTTAAATCATTGATATTTTCACAACATTAAAATCTAAATAAATTAATTATATGCAGCATAATTTAAATAAATAATTATGAATACCTTTACTTTTATATCTAGTCACATTTATTATTCTATCAGAAAAAATATTTATAAATTAAAGAGAGGCTAAGTATAAATTCTAGTTCTGAAACTTCTGGACCTTGGATTTCCGGATCGCAGTTAGCGAAAAATCCGGATTTTTCCCGGAGCACAATCATCTCTGCATATTGAAGTTAAAATTTTTTTAAAAATTTTATGGTATCATTTTTTAACATTTGAGTTTCAATAGAAATATATTTATCAATGGTAGACTCTTATAAAATTTTTACTTACACTTTTAAGCCAAAATAATTCTCTATCTGACTTTCAATATATCTGCTTAAATTATTTATATGCATTAGTGGACAAAATTATTTTCATTCTAATTTATTAAAACATCAGCACATTACCCTTTTACCATTAAAAATTAATTTCCTGGAATGAAAATTTCACAGTAGTAGGGGGATATGTGGTAGTTTTAAAATTTAAACAATGAAATGAATAATTGTTTTATTTTTGAAGCAAAATAATGCAATTTCTTTTCTATTTACTTAATTCGGTCTGCTGATACATCTCAAATTTAATAAACAATAAAAATTATGTATGTATAATAATAGATCAATCTTGACACTTTTAAAAATTTATGATAAAAAATAAATTAAAAAAATAAATAATTAGAGCAAAAATTGGTTGATGAAGGTGATGCCTCAAACTATGGATAATAAACATGTTTTATTACATATAAATTATTATTTCAGCTGATTCATTTATTTTATTTTTCCTCTTGATCTTTGATTCCATTAATCATTCACTATATAAAAATAATTCATAGTTAAGGTTGTCACAATAATGAACAGCATTCAGAAAAAAAATTAAAGAAAAAAAATTAAATAACAATAACTGAAGTCTATATACCTTCTTTCCTCAAACTATAACAGATTATAAATGGGTATAGTTGGAGAGGTACTGTGAGAATAGCTTAGTGCCAATTATTTTTCAAAGAAATAAAATTTTTTTAGCATAAATTTTTGAATTTTTTACTTATAACATTTTGTTTTTTATTTATTAAAAAATTTTTTTTGATTTTAATGTGTTGTAATTTTTTTAAAACTTGTTTAAAAAGTTTTAATTCCATGGGCAGTATTATTACTTGTTTGCAAAAATATTTTTTTACAAAATATCAAACTCTGATCGAAAAAAAAAAGCCACATTTTTAATTATTCTTTTCATTTCCAGAAGTAAAATTCAAAATAACAAGTTAATAAACCTTCCACTACTATTTTTTTAAATTTATTTAGAAATTTCAAACTAAATATAAATAGAAACAGAAGTTTCTATACAGTTGTGCGCAATTTAAAAAAATTAAAAAAAATTCTAAAATGTTGGAATTTTTTAGCATTAACTAACTGAAAAAATTTACCATTACTATACTATTTATAACCCTGAAAAAAATTACTATTCACTTTGACCTAATTTTTTATAAATTTAAAACTTAAGATAAAAAAAATCTTAAATGATAAAAACACAATTAGAGACAGAAAACAAAGAATTGAAAATTTGTATTCTATACATTTTAGAGACAAATTTTATTGTGAAATATAATACTGATTGTATAAAAGGAATACTGCAGCATCTATTTATCCCTTTTTTCTTGCAAAGGCTATTTTCAACTTGTTAATGTGTAACTCATTCTGTATTTTCAAAATGCTTTAAAAATGAAAACTTATGGAAAAAAATTATAGATTAATCAAAACTTTGAGAAATAACAGCTTTATCAACCCTCATCTGAATGAATAATATATAGTGATAGAAATATGATAATTTATAAATTATCAAAATTATAAATTATCAAAACTTTGAGAAATAACAGCTTTATCAACCCTACATTANTTTGAGAAATAACAGCTTTATCAACCCTCATCTGAATGAATAATATATAGTGATAGAAATATGATAATTTATAAATTATCATATTTATAGACTAATACTTACTCTTACTTTTTTTGCACTTTTCTATTGGAGAGGCTGAAGGAAATACAAATTTTTTTTTTACTTAACTTTTTTTTTAAATTTTTGCTAACTTCCATTTTGTTCAGTGTTTATCTCAAAATGGCAGGAGTTATTAATAAAATCATAGCTTAAAAAAATAATTACTAAAACATTCATAAATATTTAAAAATAAAAGTCTCTTATTTTTATATAAAAGTTTTCAATACATTTATCTAAAAATAATTCTTTTTTTCTTTATTTTCTTAAAATTATAGTTGGACCTTATCTGTTTGAGGAGCTTATAAAATACTTATTACAATAGAACTTATATTAATGCACAATAGTACTTATATTAATGTACAATAGACCTATTACTTTAATACTTAATACCACAATATCAACAGTATCTATTATCTGAATTAAATAAAGATCACTGAGATCAATTACAGTAAAGCTGGTTTTAATTTGGCACCCTGAAACTAATAAGTACTTTCTTAGGTAAATAGAGAATTTTTCAAAATATACAAATAAATTTAAATTTATAAAACCCAGATGCCATTTCTGTCAATTTATTAAATTTCTTTTCTATAACACATTCAAACAAAATTTTTTATTTCATAATTAATTAACTCAATAATTACAATTCATATCTAATATAAACTTCAAAATTCATGAAATATATTATAAAAATAGCTTTCAATTAGTAAAATAAACTTAATTTGAGAACTGATATAAAATACTTTCATTAACATAGATTATATTGAATAGAAATTAGTACAACTTCAAAACATATCTTATAAAATATTTTACACATATTTATTTATTTATTATAAGTACTTTATTTTTATAAGTACTTTAAATATATCTTAACAAACCTCTTCATGATGATCAATTGGATCCAAAACGGGAAGTTTGTACTTATCATCAGAAAAATATCTAATCTGTACTCCTGATAAAGTATTCTGTAAAAAAAAATAAAAAAAAGTAATTATCAATTCAAATTACAAGGGAAAAAAGAGAAAAAAACATTGAACACGACAAATCATTTCAATTAGAAACTTGATAAATCAATTAACACAAATTATCTCTGAAGATTTCGACGTATTAAACGATCCAAGGTAAAACTAATTAAGAAAATTCTAAGATTATTTATATAAAATATTCCTTTGTTTTCAGTATCAATCATGAAAGAAATTTACCGATTTTAAAGATAATTTCAATCAAAAATCAGATAATATATACATTTATATAGATGTCTATCATCAATAATTTTTAAAATATGCAAAAAGTTTATACTAACTTTTGAAAACAAAAATCCACTTTTTTTGCAATATCGCGATTTTGACAAAATTAAAAGTTTGTTGGGAAAATTAGTTCGTAAAAATAATAGACATGATGAAGCCATATTATTAATTAAAAGTAGATTCTAATTAACTATCAATCCCTGTTGATATTTTCACTAACCGCTTGCTTTATCCGAAAAATCGTTTTGTTGCTTTGCACATTGCTGTTTTGTTCGTCTGCTCTTCAACAACATATTATAGCAGAAAAAAATCGAATTATCGCCAATGTTGTTGATGTTTATTATTACGTAAGTAATGAAATTTTTTGTTTTTATTGATTTAATCTTTGAAGGAAACTAAATTTTATCTGGTCAACTTCATTAGAGGAACGGAATTTTATTTTTATTATAAAAAGTTAAATTTCGATCTAAAAATAAAATAATTGTTTGCAAATGTTTGGCGACAACTCGCAAAGAAAGCGATTTATTTTCATGTTTGATAGCCCTGCGAGATTAGCAACTCATACGACTACTGAGTCACTAGCCGGTCAACATAGGCACGTAAACCTTGCCTTTCCTTTGTATTATAGATGAACGTTTTTACAAATAATGTTACATTTTTGCATAGTAAATATAGATGGTAAGCGAATTTTAATTTAATCCAAGCTTCAATGTTTTTAGAACTCCCTTTTTTCCATCCGAACTATGTTTGTGTTTTCTCACAAATAAAGTTTGACGTTTCAAGCAAGTCCGTCAGAGAGTTGGCAATTGTATGAAATAGTTATACTCTCTAGCTTTATGAAAATTTTCGAATGTTACTTGGCTTTTATACTCTAATTATTTCATAAAATTATTAATTTGAGTTTTATTAAAAATATTTTAACCTTTAAAATATACCTTTCCTTTTTTTTGCAGTCTGATACATATTCAAAGGGGAAATCGGACCCATCGGTAGGCTTAAGCAAACAGAAACAATACGTAAAATGTAAACAAATCTGATTTTCCTTTAAAATTAATTTCTATTGATTGAATTAAGTTTCTTAAGTGAAGATATTACTTTTAAACTTTAATGTTTGGATAAATAAAATGTATGCTTTATTTATTTCGTTTAAAAATAGGAACACTGCATTAATATTGTGTAATTTATCTTTTATTTTTTTGATGAGCTGTAGGGTAGAGATATGAATATTTTTATCTCTCGCTTTTAGTTTCTGTATCTTCCAATTTTAAACTGAGCAAAATTAAAGAATATTTTTAAAGTCTTGTTTAATGTTGATTGTTTCTATGTGATATTAAAACTTACGCCCTCAACTTCCGATTGAAGTGTAAACGTGTATTTAATGTTTCAATTAATATTAGTTTATGCTCCTTACTCGAAAATTGAATAATTCTGTTCTTCAATGATTTTTATTTCTCCTTAAAATATAGTAGATTATGCTGTAAGTAAACTAGTTTTCTGTAGTAGTGTTCTTTCACAATGGTTATAATATTAATTGTCTTTATATTTTATTGCAATTTTGAAGCACAAAGTAAATACTTAATCAGATATATAATGATATGTTATGTAAATTTTGTTAAAATTTTTTGTTGCTTTCATTTATATGCGTGTTTCTCAAGTCATTGAAAATTTCTTAATCCATGTTTTTTAATAGTTTGTTGTTATTAAGTATAGAGATAAATGTTTTAAAAATCAAATGATCTTTATGTATATAGTTCAAATTTTGTTTAAGATGTTATAAGCCTTTTCAATTTTACATTACCAAATCATGTTAATTTATAATTTCACGATATGAAATCGTAAATCCTTATACATAACTGAGTTGTGTTATGTTTAGGATAATTTTACTTATTTAAACTCATAAATAAAAATGTAGGTTTAAATTTTCTTAGATAATGATTTTGATTTAAATTTCAATGCTTTATCAAATAAAATGCACTTGTATTTATTAATTTTTTTATTTCTAGCTATCATTTGTTAGTAAACTTATCTATGTATATATAAATATATATGCTTATAAATATTTACCATCTTGTCAAATGTTATCAATTATTATTATTAGCATATGATTTGAGTTCTTTTGGATATTTTAATTTTTCTTTTAGTAAATACCGATGTTAATCTAAGAAAATACAAAGACTGGCTAGTTTTTAAAGCGGTGTGTAAAGTATCAGTGGAATAAACATGACTATTGTCATGCGTGGTGGACAAGTTGGTGGTGGCGGGGATTCACCACAGGAAAATATTCCAATGCAGTCAAGAACTAACCCAGTACCTAGTCCAAATACTGTAAGTAAAGTTCTTTAACAGTCAAAATCATTTAATAATCAATAATAATTTTTGTATGCTATGTGCTTAGTCATTTTTTACTAGTTTTTAAATTAAAGTTTAATTAATGTTGTAGTAAACATAGAAAAACATGTTTCAAAAAAGTTAAATTGGCAATGGTTAGTTTGAAAAAAAACTTTTGACTTCATCTTTAAAATTGCATTTATTTTATATGTTTTATCATTATAATTCAATAATGACATAACATATATCCTTTATCATTATAATATCATTTATTATTAAATCTGTCATTATCATTATAAATCAATTATGTAATTGCTACTTGGATTTATTTCTGACCTAAATTTTATTTTTCTAGCAAGTAAGATACAGCTTTTATTAATTATTATGAATGGGCATTATGTTTAGCATTCTAGTTTTAAAATGTAAAACTTATTTCAGTAATTTGATTTTCTAAAACGTCAAATGTTACGAAGAACATATCATTTTGTAATTATACACATTTTGTTGTTTATATTCTTGTACAAGTAAATTATTAATAATAAATATTATTTATCAGTTGGTATATTTCTAATTAATAGCATAATTTAGATGCTTTATAGTAATCTCTATTATTTTAACCTTTAATCCAAAATTTTATTTTTTTTAAAATTGTATTTTTTTAAATACTAAATTTTTTAAAAATGTTTTTAAATCTTCATTAGCATTTGTACATAAAAAAAAGTTTTGTGAAAGCTAACATAATTGGATGATTGCTATGCAAGGCAGTGCGCAAATTTAGTCTGTAAAAGAAATTGAATAGTTTTTTTTAATGTTGATCTAAAGCAATTAAATATTTAGTTTATAAAATTATTATTTTTGACATATTTTAATTGTTATTAAAACTTCAAATGTAGGATGCTTTAAATGTTTTAGCATTATTATAAATAAAAGTTTTTATTTACTTTTAAAGTTTTATTTCTGGATGATTAAGAGTTCAGAAAATAGTTATAATTTTGTAATGTATTTTAATGGCTTTTTATATGAGATAGGCAAAGGGGTTTTAAAATGTCCAGGCATTGTGAATATTTCTTTAAGAGTTAACATCTTATCTAGTAAATGGTATGTTAATAAATACTAAGAATCTAAGTGTGCTATAAAATTTTAGGTTACTTTCATCCTTAGCTTTTCTGAACCCCTGATCTTAAATTATCCTCGTTTGCTTTCAATTAAGGATATTTATTTTTTCAACACATTGAATGTATAGAATAGATATTAAATTGCCCTATGATTTCTAATTTCTAGTTATGATTTAAAAGAAAGGTTTTAAAAAGCCAGTTTATTATTTATTTTATAATTTGTTTCTTCAATGTAAAAATGTTTCAGATTTTCTTTTTCTAGACACTGTTTTATTACTTAAAATTTATGTTATTGTTAGAAAGTTTAGCGATTTAATTTTTCATTAGTTAGAAATTGCAACATTTTCAAACTGAAAGAAAGTATTTCAGTACCACTTGCAGATATTTTTAAAGATACTATGCGTCGAAGGCTAAAACTATGGAAAATAAGTCAGATAAAAAATACTCATTTAAGTAAGACATGTTTAAATTACACATTAGATTATTTTAAAATTTAATGGCATTTATCATTATATGGTTAAGAATTGAACTTTAATGATATTATAACTTGACCCAGTAAGACTCATCAAGGAAAAATATTTGTTAAGAAAAGAACCTAGTTAATTTTACATTTTAAATCAAAAGTCACTTTGATTTTATTAGAATTCAACTAAAAGATTATTTCTTCATTAGATATAAAAATACTTAAAAGCGCTAATAAAGATTTCCATAATTTTATTCATTTTTAACTTCATTTTTAGTTTTAATATTTAAGAAAAAATTTCTTCTTAATTTCTTATGATTTTGCTCCTAAAATTCTAAGAAATCTTCATAGTTTTAATTTGGGGAATATTTCCGTATCCTGAAGAAAAAAGAATTCAAAGGGTATGCTCATAGTCACCCTCAAGAAAACCTCTACATTTAAAAAAAAAAAAATTTAAAAATTCCAAGTTAAAAATTTATTTGGTGTTTTAAAGATTGTAATTGGTCCAACATATCCCCATAATTAGGGCATAAAAAATACTTTGATTGCAATTTAAGAAGGGGGAAAAAAATTGTAGATTCTTCTTGCATGAATTATGTCATATATTTGGATGTTTATAAAGGATTAATTTGTTGGAATATGATAACCCTAAAAATTAACAATATGCTAAAAAAAGTATCAAATGCCTCCAATTATATTGAAACTTTTTGACCATACTGTTCGTTGTAGTTCCATTTTTACTTTTAATCTTTTCAACTAGTATCCACTGTACTTTTACTAGTACATTCTTTTCAACTAGTACATTTACAAACTAGTTTCTCTTATGTTTAGAAAGGGAACGGTGTAAAACAAAAACAATTTCTTATAGTTATCTATTTGCCACGACCTCTGGAAACCAAGTGTATACAAAAATTTACATTTTGAAACCAGTTAATTCTTTTAAATTTTTTTTTTTCTTTTGAATTAAAAAAAAAAAAAAATTCATAATGGACATAATCAAAAATCATCAAACTATGGTCCTTGACCAAAAACATTATGAATCCATCCCAGGATCCACTCAGGTGACATGTCTTGATATGTATTCTAGTATATTTTTATTACTTATGAAAAGTTAGTTAGTAAATTTTACTAAACAATTTTGAAAAACATGTATTTGGGTATATTAATGATATGAAATAAGTCCTAAAAACTTTTAATCAGTATAGTACTTTTGTTCCATTGTTATATCATTCTCTGGCTAGTTCTGAAATTAAAAGTTTGTGTGCATTTTAGAACTACAAATATTGGTTTGATGAGAGTTAAACAGTGGATTCAAGAGTCAAAATTCTCTACCTCGGAAAGGCAAAAATATTGAAATGTTTTAAACTTATCCCAAGAATTTAAAAACAGTTTTTCTTAAACTTGAGAAATGCATGATTCTTTCTCCTAATAACGTTGTTGCTGCCTAGATTTTGGCACTTGATACTTTATTAGATATCAGTGTAACCCTTAGGCTAAGAAGATGGGAAACTGCTCTATATAATCACTTAAATATGTTTTAAAAATTTTTGTCTTAGATGAAATTATGCTGTACACAATTGTTAAGATTTCATAACTTTATTCGATATTAGACTAAGAAATAATCAAATGGTTAAACATAGATAAGCTAATTTTAAGAAGGATGATTATTTATATTAAAGATTTCTACTGATTATTTAGTTTTTACTTAAAATTTTTGTAATCTTAAAATGCTTTGTTTTACAAATTTCAAAGTAACATGTATTTTTCAGCTAAATGAAAGTGATGGTAGTGGGGATCAAGATGAAAGCAATGAACTGCCCGAAGGACAAGAGCCAGAATTTCCTCTGGCTGAATTAGCTCGCTTAGATGAAATGATAAATAGACCAAGATGGGTTGTCCCCGTTTTACCAAAAGGAGAACTTGAAGTTCTTTTAGATGCAGCTATCAGTTTATGTAAATTAGGTGAGATTCATTTTCTACTCTTATGTTTCATTCTGCACCCTGTGGCAGAATTTTTTCGGGTTTTCTGCGACATACCTCTCCAGGGGTCTGTCCAGGCCGAATTTATTACCGTTTAACGGTACCTTCATAAATTCAACTTTAGGAAAAACGGTAGTTTCACAAAATAATCTTTCTTAAAATTTTATTTTCGTATCACTTAAGAAAAGATAAATCCATATTTTTACCATATTTCTGTGTTGATCTTAATTTTATAATTTTCAATTTTCACAAATTATACCTAAATTTTCACAAAATAGGTACCTGTCAGAAAAACCTAGACAGACTCCTGCTCTCTAACACTAATATCTTTCAGCAATATACTTAATATTCCCCCAGGTGTTAATGTTTGAATCTCAAAAATTGAAGAGTAGATGTATTTTTATAATGTTTTGAAATATTTTGTGGTCTAAATATTTGTATGCAAATCGCATGAATGAAAATTATACATCAACTAAGATCAATGCATTATTTGTTTTTTTAAATTACTTTTTACCCCTGAAGTTAACTGAAAGATTTTTATTTGCTGTAATATAATATAGACATTTATTTACTAGTTTATTTTTATGTTCTTTTACTAATCAAATGAAGAAACCTGCATTTAATATTTTTTTGTGCAATTTAAAATAGAGGTGTAGTTAAGTAGAGATTATGTATTTAAGTGTAAATTCTGTTGAAAATAAACTAAACTTCACTTTTTAGGTGTAGATACTCGTAGTGAAGCTTGTCAAAGGTTTTTCAGAGATGGGCTTACAATATCATTTACGAAAATACTCACAGATGAAGCAGTTAGTGGTTGGAAATTTGAAATTCATGTGAGTCATAATTAATTGTCTCTCATATCTGTTAACTTGTACTATCTAATTGTTTTTTCTGTCAATACTAATACAATTTGGTATTAAACAAATGTATATTCTTGCATTAATACTACATTTACGGCAAAAAATATTCCAGTTAAAAATTTTATGAATACAATGCTCTTAGTTTAAGGTAAGCTGTTAAGTTTGCTTTAAGGTCATGGTCACTTAAAGTGGGCATTATTAGCCAGTCATTCTATTATTCCTAATATTAAAGTTGCTTAAACTGCTGGAAACTAGTATTTTCTGGAAAGTTGACTGAGACTTATTAACCGGAAAAAAAACTATTGCTGAAGTCAGTGGTTAAGAAATTGATTTAAGTTTGTATTATTGATGAATTACTTATGCTTGATTAAATAAAGTTTATTTGTAATTACTATTCTATGTGAAGTAAATCAAATTTGATGATAACGGAAAAAAAATTCATTGAATTAAACTTTCATAAATAGAATTTGCATTCTTTTTTGCTTTATTTTATTACTTCCCTACATTTCACTTCATTAAAATATGTTCAAAGATATAATTAGTTTTTCCTCACTATGACTGAAACAGGCTTTCTTAACCTTTAAAATGTATTTGAAAAGTACCTGATTTTACTTAAAAATTAAATCTATGAAAAGTTAAGAGGAAAATTTCCATAATAAATTGAAATTTCTCCTCTCTTGAATAATTTTCTTTTATGAAGTAATAATTGTATTTAAATTGTAAGGAAAAAAAAAATATTCGCCTTCGTCAGTTTACAAATCTAGTTCTGGGAAAGATGTTTCTTAAGTTAGCATAAATGGATACGGTTATTTCTTTGTAATGTGAATAATAATTATCTGAAAAATTATTTATCTTTTTTAAGTCAGTTAGTATAATTTTTAATGATTCACGAGTAAGTTACTAAATGAAAATCACAAAATTATTTCTGTGAATAAATAAAACATTTCTCCACCCTCCCATTTAGATGCTTAGTTCCCTGTAACCTGATAACATTTTATGTTTACTTAGTTTCATTTGTTTACATAGCTTTGGAATAATTTGCATAAATTTGTCCTTTTTTAAAAAAGTTTGTATTTACGCATTTTTGAAATCAATATCGCGACTCGTATTAACTTGAATTTAAAATCCAATGTCTCTAGTCGTATTCACAGGATCTAAAATTCATGCATCGCGATTTGTATTTACGCTTTTCAAAAGTCCGATATTGTGGTTTGTATTATGGCCTTCCTAAATCCAATATCGCGATTCATATTAGCACAATTTTAAAACTTAATATCGTGATTTGTAATTTCGCTTTCTTAAAATCTGATATCTTGTAAGATTTTTTAAGTACTAAATTTTTTTCTTTAATTAGTTAGTATAAAAGTGTGTTTTGTTGAGAGGTAATTTAATTATAAATCTTAGTTCAAAAAAATTATATTAAATATGAATAGTAAATAAATTGATATCTTGTTATCGAGTTTTTGCTCATAAAATTGTAGGGTTTTTCACTTCGTGTCGCAGTCACCCCTCAAATATGGAAATGAATCTTTATTTGAGAAATAAATTAAAATCTTATGAAGATATGATTCGTTATAGAGATGAATTTCACTAAAGGTGGAGTTGAAACCATCAAAATTATTCTTTTGAAACTTGAAAAATGTTCATAACAATCTCTTTTGAGTAGAATAATTTGTATTCAAAGCATTTTATAGTTTTGATAAATAGATTGACAGCTCTGGTGAATAAATTGGTTTCGATGATTCTATTCCACTTTGGTTATATGGCGCAGCATGTCCTTTTGTGGACATAGTGCCATTAAACCCTACATTCAATTCAATTTCATTTTGGTTATTGTTGAGTTCAATGATAATTTGAAAGATTTTGTTTACTAATTTTTTTCCCTTTAACTTTTAATGTGCCATCTCTAAGTAATTATAATTATTTTTCACTTCCCTGTGAATAAAATTATTTTGTTTCAATGTTAGTTTCCTTTAAATAATTTAATCAATTTTAAGAAAATAAATAATAAATCACTTGTTATTTCAGAGGTGCATAATGAAAAACTGTGAACATTTAGTAGAGATTTGTGTTTTAAAACTTAAACAAGACTGTCTCCCTCTGCTTGAGTTATTAGCTATGGTGCTCAATCCGAATAGCAAGTATGTATTTTTGAAAATCACTGATTTCATTTTTTACATATTTTACTTTTCGCTTTTAATTTAATTTTCTTATTTATATAAAGATTTCACACGTTTAATGGCACAAGACCTTCTGAAACAGTTCCTACTGGCTCTCAAATTCCAGATGATGAAGTATTCGCAAGGCCGGCAGATTTGAGAACGCCTAAAGTATGAATTATTTCATTTGACATTCTATATATTTGTTACTGACATATTAATTTTTTAATCATGTGCTATTTAATATTTATCTAATTTGCCAATTAATTAGCTGTTATAGTTCTGTATATTTACTGTGCTCAAAATTAAAATAGGTACACTTTAACTTTATTCTAACAATCAGATTTTCCTTCTCTAAAATGCAGTCTGTGGGATTTGATTGTGTATAAATTATTTCATTAACATTGCATATATTTTTTTTGGGCACATTCATTTTTTAATCATGCGCTATTTAATAGTTATCTAATTTGCTGATTAATTAGCTGTTGCAGTACTATGTATTTACTGTTAAATTAATATAGGAACAACTTAACTTTTATTCTAATAATCAGATTTTCCCACTCTAAAATGATGTCTGTGTGATTTGATTGTGTATAAATTGTTTCATTAAAATTGCATATATTTGTTGCTGGCATATTAATTTTTTAATCATGTGCTATTTAATATTTTTGCTAATTAGCTGTTACAGTTCTGTGTATTTACTGTGTACAAAATTAAAATAGGGACATCTCAGTAACTTTTATTCTAACAATCAGATTTTCTCATTCTAAAATGCAGTATGTGTGATTTGAAAAGCTTACCAATGTGCTAATTTGTGCACATGATATTTTAGTTACTAAGTCAGACATAAAAATCCTACTTCTTAACAATCATCTTAATATAGTGTGACATAACTTCCTTAAAATATTGCTAAAATAGCATTCTTACCTTAACACATTTTGCTCATTTAATTAAAGTAGTTATTTTTGTATTTTAATAGTGATGAGGTTTATGGTCGTGAGCCTTTAGCAATATGTCAATAATATATATAAATTTGTCAATAGTTTTTCTTCACATTTATGTACTATTTGTTGAAACCTTATTCATCTTTCAAGGAATTATAAAATGCTTTATAAAAGTTTTATTATGAATTTAATGTTCACCTATATTTATACAAATAAAGAGCTTAAGTATAGTAATGCTAAGAAAACAATTTCTAAGCAATAAATATTTTTATTTACATTTTATCATTTCTACTGAATGTATTTAAAACATGGAAACAGTAGCAGCAGTAAATAAATATTAAAATAGAACGTTTTTATACAAAGTGATCATCTAAAGTGCACTTCTTATTTTAAAAAGCAATTAATTAAAAATAAAAGTGAAGTAAGAATTATCACATTTACAGAAAGGGATAAAACTGTGCTAAAGGATTTCAGTTATATAAATGAAATATTTAATCATTATGATGATTACAAATGAATGGAGATAATGTTGAAATGGTGTTTAAATGTAAATAACTTATAGTTTGTGATTTATTTTATTTATTTATTTTTGTTGTTGCTAATTTTAGTTCAATGTAAAAGAAAATATTTATTGTATTTGTAAATCACTGTTATTTTGTTAGTAGTTAAATCAGTTTAATATATTAAATTACATGCCTCTTGTGTAATAGTATATTTTTTTATAATAGGGTTGGCTGGTAGATCTGATCAATAGATTCGGTACCCTTGGTGGTTTCGATCTTTTGTTGGAACGATTTCAAAGCCATGTTGCCATTTCTGTTCCTGTCATTGCTGCACTTATTAGGTACTATTCAAATCATGCGTTGTGATTATCATAAATCTTTTCCCAGCACAATTTCTCATTAAACTTTTTTTTCAGACCCTTTGGAATGTGCCATGATTTACTCACAGTGCATACTGTAGAAAAATATTTTATGCCTATTGTTGAAATAGTGCCATCTTTTTTGGATAATCTCACAGATGATGAACTGAAGAAAGAGGCCAAAAATGAAACAAAAAATGATGCTCTTTCTGGAATAGTGAAAGCATTGAAGTGCTTAGCTGCAAAAGTTCCCAATCAAGAAAATACTGTGAAGAGCTTAGAAACTTTTAGATTAAAAATGATATTAAGGTAAACTCAATTTTTTTCTCTCTCTATGTATAAAAACATCGTAAGGGATGCCTCTGTTTTGGGTGTTCATATTGCATCACATTTTGTTTTACCGCGTAAAAATTATAAGACTTAGAAAGGGGGGAATAAAAAAGTGTATAGCGATTAAGATAGAATAAAAAAATTTACATTTGATAATTAGTTCGAGAATTATTAATTGTTTAACTTGATAGAAAAAAATACCATATTGGAACTGATTTTTCTTGTCATTGATTTGATTAAAATGCAATCCAATCATAATTTTCAAGTGGTTCTTTCCATTTGATCTCCAATGAATACGAAGCAGCCAAGGGGTTTCTGAGAAAAAGGGACAGAAACTGAAGCCTCCTGGTGTTAAAACAAAATTATTAACATTTAGTAATGGATTCGCATAATCAGTTTTCACTAATTTTGTGTAAAAAATCTTTTTATGTGTGTTGCTGTAGCACTAACTCCAGAAAATATATTAATCTCCGATTTTGTGAGAGAGAAAAATTTGAAGATTTAATAACAAAAATTTTTATGTTCTGAATTTTTTTCTTTTTAATATGAGGTGTGTTACTGATAAAAGAAATTTTTGAAACGAATTATAATTAATGCGTAATTAAATTTAAAAAAATGCATTTGTTGTCTTGATATTCTTGATTCTCCTGATAAAAATATCTTGTCCTGATTTTCAACTTTTTGTCCCACTATTCCTGTTTTTTTGGGGTGGAGGGAGAAAATATTTTTTATTTTCTGCAAATACAAGTGCAGATTTTACAATGATCAATTTGAAGTATCGAAAGATTTGGATTTTTGATCAAACCTCTCTTAATTTGCACAACTAAAGCTTATTGCCTCACCTGCAGATATCATGTCCTAAATTTTCAGAATTCAGTCATTTCATGAAAATAAACTCAATATTACATAATAAAGTTTTTATGGTCATGAATTCAAGAATCATATGCTTATTTATTATTTTCAGTAAATGTAAGTATTATCCTAATTAAAAGTAAAAGCGAAATGAAAGTTTAGCTTAGAGATAGAAGTCCCAAATTTATTTTCGACTATGTAATGACTATGTATGACTTAATTTCAAGATGAAGAATAAAGCTATTATAAATTAATTTCCATATTTTCTAATTATTGGAATCATTTTGGGGTAATTAGCCTAATTGCCAGTGATGCTAAATAACCTATTTTCGCCAAGATGTCACTAATTTAAACCATGTGTTTTTTTGATAAATAGACACACTAAAAATGTTTCATTGTGATATTTGTAAATATCTAGATAATTAGTCTAACTCACAGAGCTAAATAACAAGTTTTTACCAAGATTGTCTCAAATATTTACTTTTTTTTATGAAATAAGTAAAAAAACTGACAAGTTTAATTACAATATTTTATAATTATCTTATACTTTGTTATAATTAAGCCTAATTTACAGTAAAGTTTAACACCGTTTTACCAATTGTATGATGGTAGCTTTCTATTTTTAATATTTTATTGGTAATTAAGAGTTTGTAAGCTTAAATATAGCAGAGTACTCTTGATTATTTGACAATTTTAAACAAACATTGGTCTCGTGTATATCACATATCAGTGTTTTTACTACTGTATATACATTTGGAAATTTTTTTCTATGAAACTATAAATATTAAACTCAAACATCTTTTTGATTAATGGGATTTAGTTTTAATATGTTCTCATTAAATATTTTGTGTTTAACTTCAAAAAAAAAAAAAAGATTAATCAATTTAATGCTTAAAGAATGATTTAATATTAATTCAATCTTCTCATTTTCTTACAGGCTATTACAAATTTCATCTTTCAATGGAAAAATGAATGCCTTAAATGAAGTTAATAAAGTAATTGCTAGTGTTTCATATTATACTCATAGACATGGCCATGTTAATCCAGAGGAAGAGGATTGGCTGACAGCTGAAAGAGTAGCAGTAAGTATTTTTATCTTTTTCATAGATCAACTAGTACAGCTAATTTAAAAGCTCAATAAAGTGCTGCAGCTAGATGCAGTATAGCAGCATTAATTTTGTTTGCCAGGGTGCTTTTACATGAATTATAAAAAAAAAGCAAATTTTTTGGTTCTATTATGAAGAAAGTAAAGATATCTTACACCTTGAACAGCTTTTGAGATTTTTAAGTTGTATGATGCAAAATTTATGGTTTGAAAAACCCATATAAGATATGGTAATCAGTATTTTATGTTTATTGACTACAGGATTATTCTCCATCGCGGCTAGATCAAATAAATATTGGGAGAAATTTGCCTTTGTGGTGGACTTTTTGATGGAACTGACATGCACTTGGGTTACATGGGGAGGAAAACCTCCCTCGGTTAGCCTTGATTGCAAGGAGACTCTAACCCGGGATTCAATCTCAGTTCACCTCATTGGAAGGCGAACACTCTAACCACAGGAGATCCCACGTTTCAAATGCAGAATTTCTTCTTTCTGTCCATTTAAGAAACACGGAATAAAATAATATACAACAGGGTGGTTTGTTGAGAGCACACTTTTTACATCTGTCAAGTGTGCAAATTTTTTTTTTTCTATATTCCTATTTTTTAACTATAATACTCTTTATAGGTTTCGCAAATTTGTTTGAAATGAAGTAAAGACATAAAAAAATATATTGCTTATTTTTAATTCATAGTCTATTATTTGAATGATTAGATGCAAATTGACACTGATTTAAGTTTAGTTATCTATGATTAACAAAACAAAAATTTTTGGTACTTAAGTGCTTTCCCAAATTTGACTTTGTTTCACTGTTTTTTTCTAATACGGCTTCAAACTGTGATTTTTACCAGATTTTTTTTGACATTCGAGTAAATACTTATGTTCTTAATGCTTATATTTATTTTTGTTTTTTTAATTAAGGAATGGATAAAGGAAAACAAAGTTCTTCAGATTGTACTTAGAGACAGTTTACATCAGCCACAGGTAAAAAAATAAATGTCTTTATTTGTTATTTTAAATAAATTTAGCATAAATCAAATATAGTTTATAGAGTTGGGTAGAAGTAGTTTCAAAAATTTATTCTGAAAAGAAATAGTTTTTAAAATTAAATATAGCACACTTTCTCTTATGCCATTATTGATTACTTCACATGATGTGTATGCTACGTAGTGTTTTTAAAAAGTGCTTAAATGTGCTTATTTTTGATTTACGTTTTCTATAAGTCATTAAAGGCTCTTTTTTTAAAATTCAGGGTTTGTAAAAAGTGCTTGATTTTAAAAAGAGATTTTTACTTTGTCGTGTCGATTTTCCTCATAAATGACAAAAAATGCATGATTTTCTCAATTTTCTCTGCAATATTTATCAGAAACTAGTTATTTTATCATGATTATGTAAAAGTTTTTGAATTTTATTGATTTTATGTTTATAAATCTAAGAACTTCAAGCGATGGAAAAAATTATTTTTTATTATTGCACACTTTCTAATTATGAATTTTTTTTTTGAGAAGTGATAAAAAATATTTCAGCGCTTAAAAACTACTTAAAATGCTTATTTTTTGTTAAAAAAGTCTGGAAACGCACCCTGTATAATTTAATGCAATGTTAAAATTGTTCTTTTTTTTTTGTTTATTTTTTCATCCAAATTTCTTGAATTTTAAAATGAAGTATTTTATGGAGCAATACAAAGTAAACTAAGTTTATTCCGTAAAGTAGGTAGCAAAATATTTGTAGGGGTCTGAACGAAATACATCCCACCTCTCCTAAAAATTGAATACCAGGGGTAACTTAATATCCACAGATCCAGTTTTCCATTATTAGCTCACAATCTTAATGTTTTTAAGATCAGGTCTTAAATAGTGCATATAATATTTTAAGATAGAAAATCGGGTACAAGAAGACTACAAACTTTAAAATATGGTTTCAATGAATTGGCTAAGAAAAAAAGTTTGAGCCCTGTGCATTGTATGTAATATAAAGCGGACTGTAATGGTTTGATTAAACAAAACTTAATAAAACAAATGAGCTATATACACGAAGAAAATTATTATGACTGCTACAATAGCAGTAAACAAGGAAAAGTAGCTCATGAGAAAGCTGACAAGTGAACTTCCTTGTTCGAAGTTCTGGTGTAAAAGAAAGCTTGCTTCTCTGACAGAGATGCAAAGTGGAGTGGTGGGTGCGATAAGGGTGAAACGCATAGGCGTATATTTTTGATATCTAACAAGCCCCTTCATCTAACCCTTTGACTCAATCCATTTTTATATAGTTTTTTTCTGTGGCTCTAATTACTAGCAAAACTATATTTTGGTGTTTTTTAATTATATAAAACAGCCTATGAGTTATTAAAAAAATCTGTTATTAATCGGAATTATATTTGAATTAAAATATGAAATCCAAAAAGTAGTAGTTTGAAATTTTTTTTCATTCCCATTTAAAAATTTGTCAATAATTGATTTTGTAAATTGAAGAATTTTTAATGATTGATAACTGTTTCTCTCAGATCTAAATCAGTGCAAATTCGAAAATTTTTTGTTTGGATGTGAGGCAGGTTTGAAAGATTTTACCTTTAACACAGAAAAAGAGACTGGTGTTTCATGCTGTATTTCATGATCATAAATTATTAAAGTATTAAATACAATATTTTTTTCTTATTTTGATCTAAATCAATCAATACAAAATAATGAAAAAAGTATGAAAAATATGTTTGATAAAAAATCTGCATCAAAGGGTTAACTTTCTTTTTTTTTTTTTCTTTTTCATAGTTTTAATTGATTTTGTTTCTGTTTCCATTCAAGTTTAGCAGTTAACCACCTTTTTGTTTGAATGTTTAAAAAATTTTATTTTCAATTGTATTCTTATCTTTATTCAACACTTTACTTTCTCTCTCCCTCTCTCTCTTACTATATATATGTAATACATATTTTGTATCCTTACAAAAATAGTTGAATCATATTTTTTTTTCTTCTTTTTTTATTGCAGTATGTGGAAAAGTTAGAAAAAATTCTTAGATTTGTAATAAAAGAGAAATCTTTAACGTTGGAAGATTTAGATGACATTTGGGCTGCTCAATCTGGTAAACATGAGGCTATTGTGAAAAATGTTCATGATTTGTTGGCCAAACTTGCATGGGATTTCACACCTGAACAGCTTGACCACCTATTTGAATGTTTCCAAGTATGTATCACTTGTGTTGAATACTTTTGTTAGATGGTTCTGTTGGAGATGTTGTGGTTTATAAGTCTACCAATTAATAACTGAATAAACTCAAAAGTTGATTTATTAGTTAGCTTCCAACTGGTCCAACTTAAAATGCATTTCTTGTTTTGCATAATTTTAATATTGGATGATAATTTTTTTTAAAATTTTATTTATTTATCTTGCAGACAAGTTGGACAAATGCTAGCAAAAAACAAAGGGAAAAGTTGCTTGAACTAATCAGACGGCTAGCTGAAGATGATAAAGATGGTGTCATGGCTCATAAAGTAATTTTCATTTGTTTGTGTTAGTTTTTGGTTACCTCTATCATCAATTACTGTTTTACAAGACGTTTTTAGTTCGATTACAAGATCAGGTTTCCACAAAGAAGTTACTGCACTGTAGCCAATATTCAATTTTATTAATTAAGCAGAATTACTGTTTGTTGAATTTTAAGCTATTTTTGAACAAGTACCATAACAGTTAAATATTATGTTTAATTTTGTCACGAAAGAAATTTTATTAAGAGTAAAATAATTGTATCATATCTTGTTTTATATATTTTAAAATGTGTTGTAAATTTTCCTTAGAAAGTATCTGAAAAAAATATTTTCTTCCTGCATTTTACATTGGAATGTATATCTCCTAACCTAGCGCTACATATTAATACTCGTTGATGATTTGTTGAATATGAAACTCCAGCCTCTTTTAAACGTCATATTTTAACTCACTGCAGAAATATCTTGGAAACTTCATTCCTTGATTTTCATGGTACTGTTTAGAGGAAACAATGAATCTCCAATTCTCGTTTTTAAATCTTCTTGAGGCAAGTCTATTCTGATTCCTCTAATTTAGTGGTAGGCCCTTGTAAAGAAAATCTGTTTTCTGAAACTTAATTTAATGTTTTTGAAATGAAACATTATAATTTTATGTGACGAATTTAACTTGCTTTGACTAAATAAATAAAAAATTGTATTTATTCGCCTGGGAAAGGCTTAGAAATATTCAATTCTTTATTTGTTATTGCTATGCATATACATCTAAAGTGCTATAGATTTGAATTTAACTAATAATAAATGCTATTTAAAAGAGTACAAAATAAATGTTTATTTTTGTTTTAAGGTATTGAATTTGCTTTGGAGTTTGGCTCATAGTAATGATGTGCCAACTGATATCATGGACCAGGCTCTCACTGCTCATGTAAAAATCCTGGATTATAGCTGCTCTCAGGTGATTCAATTCTTTTATTTTAGTGAAATTGAGGCTTATTTTGATAATGTTTAAAGAAGGAATATTCATATATTAGCAAAAACCTGAAGAATTCTTTTAACAAACTTGAAAACAATCAATCTTAACATTCGCAGTAATAAATAGCGAGTGAAATTCAAAGTAAATGTAGCATCATATAGAATTATTTCTTATTAAAATGGGAAATGGTACTTTACATTAAGGTATGGCTTAGAAGTGGAAGAGGAAAGAAAACCAAATGTGTGTAAAAAGGAAAAGAAAAACCACAATTGTCTATTGTTAGTGAAGATGTTTGCTCAAAAAAGTTCTTTGTTTTTATAAAAAAAAATTTCATCCTTTCTGTGTCTGTAATTTTTAAATATTTTTTAACACAGAAAGATTATGAGAAACTTTAAATAGCTTTTAGTTTAAGTCAGAGTATTAGTAGAGTTAATAGAAATCAGGATGTTTAAATTGTACTTATTTTACTTAAAATATGCTTTTGACTTAAAAACCTTTCTTAAAAAAATTAGGAATTGCATGCTTTTAGAGAATGTTAAATTGTTTGCTTATTTTAAATGCCTTAAAATGCCATCCTTTTAACGAAATGCTGTACTAAAGACAAGATAATTCTAATAACTAATATGGTAATAATAATGTATTGAATCTGAATTATTAATATATATTTGTTAAATAAGTGAAAAATACATTTAATTTAAAATATTTAATAAAAAAAAATTATTATCATCATTTTTCTCCTTGCCAGATAATAATTTGGCTTAAATAAATTTCACGTGATTATTGAAATTTAATAAAAAGTATTAGATACTTAAATTATACTGTACTGTATATTGCTATATTGTCTAGATTTATTTCATTAGTGTATTTTATTTTTTGCAGAATTTTAATTAAACATTATTATTTAAATCTTAATTTATCTAAAATATTAAACATAAACAGAGTAAATTTTTCAATATTTTTATTATTTCACTTGTTATTTACAGTATTTTTACTACCTCTAAAAGCCCAAGCTGTCATTTTTTTTCTCAAAAAAGTGAGAGAGAAAATTTTAGTCATCGATATAATTTTTTAAACACATATTTGAAACAGTGGTTTCTCTTTTTCATAACTCGTGTAGCAAATCATTCAATTTTCTTTGTAGTGGTCTTTCAACATTAACCCTTCTGAATTTTTAAATTATGTAAAAAAAAATTCTTTTTAATCTTTAGAAAAATTACTCTTAATAATCTTTTTTTTTTTCCAAGAAACTATACATAATGAAAAATATTCTATCTTTGTTATACTAAGAAATAATTCTTAGATACAGTAGCAAACATAATTGAATCTAACCCATTTTTAAAAATAAGCTAATTTGAAATAGTACATTTTTTTAATATTTAATATTCCCACCTTTCAAATTCAAAACTAATTTTAATTTATCTCAGCATAGATTCTACTAGTTTTTTACAATCATCAATAGCTTTTTCACCCCTTTACAATTCTTTCATTAAGTTTCTTCCATTTTGTCCAGTTTCTCTTCGTTTTCTCCATTTTCGTCTGTTATTTTGGAATAAATAAATTTTTTCCTGGATAAAATGTCAATCCTGATTCATATTTAAGACTCTCCTTTTTGTTGTTTACAGGATAGAGATTCTCAAAAAACTCATTGGTTGGATCGATGTGTTGAGGAACTTAAGAATGACAAATGGGTTCTTCCTGCCCTGAAACAAATCAGAGAAATCTGTAATCTTTATTCAGAAGCACCTCCCAATTTTAATCATGCACAGAGATCTCCTCACATGCTCTATCGACATGAAGTGATCAATAGGTTGCAGCAGCACCACTCTCTTGTCATCCTAGTGGCAGACAATCTCACAACGTACATGAAACGTGCACATCTGATAGCAAAAGGTAAACAAACATTCTTTCAGTTGGTTTTACATTAAATAATGCTTTTTGCTTGAATAATATCCAACAGATTTATTTATTTGATTATCGCTACTGTTAGGTCAAATTTTAGCCAGTGAAAATGGGACGAAATATTAGCATGACTAAAAGCCACTGTTTTCGGAAAAGAAACTATTTTATCAATATTTTTTATTACCAAGAACTTTAGTGATGGAAAAAATATGTTATGGCACATCCCTTGGAAGAAAAAAAACATGCTGGTTATGTTAGCACAATTTTAACCAAACTTTAATTATACAAATAAGAATGTTTCTTATCAGTTTTAAGAGGACACCATACCACGGGGGAAAAATTTCGCCACAAATTCTCTTTGTCCTTTATTACTACTTTAAAGTTTAAGTGCATGAAAAGTTAGTTCAGACAAACCTAGAGTAAGCCATGGAGTTTAATTTACTGAAAAGAAATTTTAAAAAAGAGAATAAACTATGTTATGATAGCTTAGGATTATGCAATAGGTAATTTCTCTTTTGATAATTTGTTTGTATTTTAATATTTTAAGTAGTTTTTTTTTTCAGTAATTGAAACTTCATGACTTACTCTAGATTTGCTTTACTTAAAGTTACTTTTTCTTTCTTTTAAATTAGTAATAAAGGAGAAAGATAATTTGAAATGAAAATTTTCTTCCACAGTATGGAGTCCTCCTAACAGCTGGAGGAGAGAATTAAAATTCTGATTATCAAATTTCATTGTTGCTTTTTTTATGCTGTTAGATCAGTCTTAGCTGAAAGCCTTAATAGTTCAAATATAACTATTTTTTTATTTGAAATTCTTTATTTTATCTATCAAATACTCATGAATATGAATATTAATAGATGGTTAAAAAAGTAGAAAATCCATATTTTTAACCAGAACTTCTTTTAGTAAAAAAAAAAAAATCCATAAGTTTGGAAATTCTGGCTCCCAAGGACTTCTAGTTTCCAATCTCTAGTGAAATCACTGGTGTATGATCTAATTTAATATTTGTAAGTTTACTCCAATGCTCTATTGTTTGGGCTCTTAAAAATACACAAAAATTTAGAACTACTCATTGATTTTAAGGATTTTTATTAAGTTGGATAAAATATCCAGCAGAAAGTTTGAAAGAGCAGAAAACGCAGGCAAAGGCCTTAGTTTTAATTATAATTTTATTTTTTGAATTTTCTTAATTTTCTTAGCAAAGAATGTTTTTTTTATTTTTTTTTTATATATATAATCCTAAAAGTTTTATTCTAGGAGAATTTTTGTTGTTGTCGTTTTTGTGAATGTTAATTATTCGTAAAAGTATAACTTTTTAATTTGTGTATGTGTGATTTTAGAAAATATATCCCAAAAACGTAAAATTGTAATTTCTTTTTTAAACATTTTAAAGCCTTAAATTTGAGCATATCATAAACATAGAAAAAATTTTATTGATGTTCATTTAGTTGAGTATTTAGATGTTCATGTGGGAAAAATATTGTAATTATTTTAAATTTCTAATTGTCTTTGCTTTATAGTTTAGGCATTTCATATGGCATTTTAGGCATTTCATTGATTTCAAGAAAGAAAGAAAAAATGCATGTGAGGATATTTTAAAAAATTGGGCAGTAATATACCAAATTTATATTAGTGTAGAATTGTTATCTTTTTTCTAACATTTTACTTCGACTTTTTTTTTTAGATTTCAATAGTTTATATTCCTTTAACCTTCATAACAATGAGACAATACAGCCTTTTTAAAAATCACATTTCTTTTCAGTTTAACTAAAATAAAGAACTTTAGATAGTCTGCTCTGACATTAGTGGAAAAAAATTATTCTCACAAGAGTTTTCTTTAAATTTTTCTTATAAATTTGATTTAATTTTAATTAAGAAAGAGAATAAAAAAGTTTGTACAAAACCCATTGTAGATAGTGTTATGACGAATAAAAGTATTTATAACTTGTTAACTATTTTAATATTTATGGCATGGTATCTGTTTTATTGCCTTACTACCACTCATTCAGCCAATTGAAGCATTCCCTTTTAACAACACACCTGGGAATGTATCCTCTATAGTTTTCAGCAAAGAAGAAAACAAAAACGTTTTTATTGATTTCAATTAAAAATATTAATAATGTTAAGGACCCAGATATTGGTGTATCTATAGACTATCATGATTTTGAAAAGTGAACAATCTGAAGAAAGTTTTTGAAAAACAAGTTTTTAATCTTTATGATTAAGATTTAATTGACAAGCATTTTAAATAAGAACCATATATTTTACAGTTAAAAGTGCTGTTTAAATTATTTACAAGAATAGTGTTTGTAGCTATCCTGATAAAAATAATTCTGTCCTTAACTTCACTCAAAGTCTTCATTATTTAAAAATGTATAGCAATTATGTTGTTTGCACTTTGTTTTCAGATCGTAGTGAATCCTTTTAGTGATTATTATTTTCTTATTTTTATAAGTTGTGAAAATAATAAATTAATTTAATTATCATTTTTTTTCTCAATTTTGTTGTTGTTGTAAAAGTGTAACTTTAATACATTTTGAATCTCTGTTGTTTTAGAATGCTCATTAAGCATACTATACTTATAATTTTAGGATACATCCACTCATTACTCAATGTTCAGTCTTACAAACCTGTTTCGAATTTTCAGTCATCATATGAAAAAAGAACTTAAAATTTTTGCTATCAAATTATTTTTCTTAATTTATTCCATTGCTTTTTTAGAAGTGGCCTTAAAGATACATTTATTAATATTTTTAAATTGCAAGTTATTTCTTATACTTTACCGTTTATTGCTAAGTCGAAAATACTTTTAAAGTGTCCTTTTACATTGATCAATTGTTTAATCTCATGACACACTAAAATGCATTTTTAAAATTAATCATACATTTTTCTATTTATGTCTTGAGAGAATGCACTGTTTCTGATTTTAAATATTTATTGCAGAACATCCTGAATTAGATCCCAATTCAGTTTCACCAGATAGCCGGTTTAGTCATGTCCAGCAAGTTCAAGAACGTTTGAATTTTTTAAGGTAATTTTTTTTAAATTTATTTTATAGGTAAAAGATATTTCTGTTTCTTACTCATTAAAATTTAAAAAACTTTTCATTTTACTTTTTTAGGTTTTTACTTNTTTTTTTTTTTTTTTTTTTTTTTTTTTTTTTTTTTTTTTTTTTTTTTTTTTTTTTTATAGGTAAAAAATATTTCTGTTTCTTACTCATTAAAATTGAAAAAACTTTTTCATTTTACTTTTTTAGGTTTTTACTTAAAGACGGGCAGTTGTGGCTTTGTGCTCCTCAAGCAAAGCAGGTTAGTTTTATATGTAATAGCTATGTAACAAATTAAATTTTATCTCATTCTATTAATGTCAGTTTTATATCTTAATAGCTATGTAATGAAGCTATGTAACAAATTAAATTTTAATTTATCATTCTGCTCATGTTAATTAAAATTCTAAAAAAGTGAAAACTAGTAAAATGTTTATTAAAAAATAAATATTCAACATATTTTCCAATTTTCATATCTGCCTTAGAGTAACTTTGTTTTGAAGTATGATGAGCTACACTTATTATTTAGTTAGAAAAAACTGTAGAGTTCAGAGAAAAATTGTAGAGAAATCATTAACTCTTATAATTTATATTAAGGAGTCAATCTATCTTACTAGAAATTGCTTCCAATCATTAAAAAATAAAATTGGATCTTTTTGTTCATATAAATAAAAATATTTTTTACAATTTCATATGAAACATTTTATTTAAATTCTGAAGAAACATCAAAATTAGCTTTGCTAAAAATTAAAATAAACCTATATTGCCCAAACGCAGTCAAAATGGCTGGATTGTGAAAAAATAACTAATGTGTAAAGAAATTTGTTTAAAATTAATTTTTAATTTTTTTTAAATATTATTTACAGTTATATAACAAGTTATTAGTAAATATTACCTCTTAAAAAAATATATGTTTTTCAAAAAGTCTCAAAATTCTAATATATTGTGTCATTATATGCATTATTGTTTTTATAATTGAAATTAAAAAGCCGTCAAAATTACTTCCTTGGACAATCTAGTGTTAAGTTAACTGAAAGTGTAGTATATGTTTACATTAGCTTTACATGTTATGGTATGGAAAATAATTATTTATAGTTTTTTGTCAAAAAGTCAGACTACTTGTTGCAATGGAAAGTTGATGGTCAGAGTAAATTTGGTTTACTCAAAAATGTTATCTATGAGAATAATGCATCAGGTTCACCGCATCTGGATTGTGGTTCTCTTAAATTTCTAACATTCAAATTCACCATTTTGTCCTCCTGAATTTATGAAAATTATTTTGATAATTAAAATGATACTGCAATTACTATGCTGTATACTGTTTATGTTATGCATTTACTGTTTTTATGACAATTTGAATTTATCTGAAGTTTAAAAAAATTGTAGTTGGAGTTCTTACAAATTTGCTTAAATTTTTACTTATTAATTTTAATAACCTTTTTATTGTTTTAGATTTGGTCCTGTCTTGCTGAAAATGCAGTTTATGTCACAGACCGTGAAGCGTGTTTCAAATGGTTTTCAAAGGTATTGATTTTGTGTAATTAAATAATAATTTTTAGTTCATTAGAACTAAAGATTATTGTTGTTTGTTTAAAAGGTTATGTTTGAGAGAACATATTAATCTTATTTAAAAGGGCTGTTTCCCAAAAAGATATTCATTATATTTCATGTAGTTCATGTTTGTCATTGCCAAAACTAGTTTCTGGTTCTATGGAAATTCCCTTAACTGTGCAGCAAATTTGAAAGATATTATGGTTCAATTTAACAATGTATTAACATTTCAGCAAATTTGAACCATATTATAGTTCAACTAAACTCTATAAAGATTGCTGCAATTTTGAATTATGTTATGGTTCAACTTAACACCATATTAAGTTTGCTGCAAATTTGAACATTATCATGGTTTAATTTAACACAATATTAAGCATTACAGCGATTTGAAAGAGATTATGGTTCACCTTAACGCCATATCAAGATTGCGGCATCTTTTGGTTCAATTTAACGCCATATGAAAGTTATATGTTTTATTATTGAATCTAGACTTTATTTTGGTTGTACATTTTATTTGACTGGGATACAATTGTATACCTGATTTCTTGTGTATTAGTTCCTAACTCACTAACTCAATGAAATTTGCATTTGAACATTTTAATCTAATCTAATTCGTTTGCTCTGAGAGACAAATGTCCTCCTTGCATTTTAAGAAATTATAAATCATAGTGATAAATGACTTATAGTTATAATCAAATTTTTTTAAAAAAACTTTTCTTTGGTGTTATTTCCAGATAGATACAGTGCAAGTTTATGCAATTTCCATTAGATGATAGCTCGAAATATCGTATTGAAATAATTCTAATATCTTAATTATCATAGTTATTAAAGTAAAGTATCTAAAAATTCTGACTGTATCTAGTGTATATATTATATACTTTTCAGTAAAGTGATGTTAAAAACAAACATTTTTTTAGCTCATGGGTGAAGAGCCAGATCTTGATCCAGACATTAACAGAGATTTCTTTGAAGGAATTGTTCTACAGTTGGATCCTTGCTTATTAACAGAAAGTGGGATAAAGTAAGTAATTTTTTTTAAAGAAATTTTTGATTTCTTAGTGAAAGTGAAATTTTTTGAGTTATGAGATAATATGAAAATGTGTAGAATCTTATGAATGTGTTATAATCTTATTATATCTTAATTGTATTATATTTTTTCATTCATTTATTAGGTGTTTTGACCGTTTCTTCAAAGCTGTAAATTCCAAAGAAAGCAAACTTATAGCTAAAAGGAGGGCATTTTTAATGAATGACTTAGAGCTTTTAGGTTTAGATTACTTGTGGAGAGTAAGTTCTATTTTTAATTTCTTCATTTTATCCTCTAAGCATTTTGATTTGGCAAAATTGTGCAGAAATTTTCCTTTCATGAACTACTTTTTCATTGAATAATGTATGAGAAACTGGTCTTTTGATGCAGGAAAGGTTCTAGCTGTTTTTCTTTAAAGAAAAAATTTATAAGAACTTATAAAGTGTTAGTTTTGGTTATTATTAAGTAACTTAAGTTGGCAAAAGTTATAGTTCAAACTAAGCATCTTTTTACCCTTAAGAAGCTGATTTAGTTTGTTATATCCTATGCATAAGTCAGAATTAAAATTATAGTAGTAAAGTTTAGTTGTTTTGAAGTACATGATCATTAAGCTAGAAAAAGTTGGTGTTTTTTAGACTGAGAAATTTTCCATAACAAATTCTGTTTCACATCCTTTGGTTTTTTAAAATTTAAAAGCAAAATGATTTCAGACAAGCCTTCAGTAAGCCATGAAGTTTCAAAAGCTTTAAAAGAAAATTATCATAAAGCAAACAAACTATTAGAGGATTACTTTCCCGCTAAGTTTTTTTAAATTGTATATGATAATAATTATAATGTTAATGCCATAATTTGTTTACATTTTTATTTTTTGGAAGAAAAAAACTTTTTGATCATTTAAAATGTGGCTTACTCTAGATTGATCTGAACTCCTTTTTTCTATACTTTAAATTTTAAATATGTTAATGAAATGCTGTGAAGAGTGTCTCTGCACTGTTACAACCTCTGAAGAAATATTGTACTTATACGTTACAATATTTCTTTAAGTAAATTATTATTATTAGAGTGTATTTTATTTGATATTAAAGATAACGTCTGGATTGTGACTTATAAATGAATTGTCTTTTAAAAGATATTCATTTAAAAAAAATAAAAGAAAGGAAATAAACTACTTAAGGTCCACTCTATGGCTGGAGAATAATTATTAAAAAAAATAATAAGAAAAAAACTCTCAGATTACCGAAATCACAACTGTATTGCTAATTAAATTTAACTGATTCCTCTTCTGTCCTTATAGGTTGTGTTGTGTGGGAGTGAAGATGTTGCAAACAGAGCCATAGAACTATTAAAAGAAACTTACACTAATTTAGGACCTCGTTTACAAGCTAGTCAAATGGATATCCATGAAGATTTTGTGCAATCCTGCATGGACAGGTTAAAAGCTGCTTTTGACACAATATCAGTTCTCGAAAGAGATAAAGACAGTTTTAATAGACTGAGACAAGAAACAACCAGAATGGTACGTGTGTTAAAAGTCCTGAGAGAGTATGTTGGCCAGTGTGATGGTGATTATGGAGAAGAAAGATCCATTTTACCAATGGCAAGGTAACATCAGTAGATTTTAAAAATTATAATATTTTATCATACCTGCTTCCTGTTTTTTTAACACTAAACATACTGGCACTTAATATATACCCAGGGCTGATTGTGCTCCGGAAAAAATCCGGATTTCCGGATTTTTCGCTAACAGTTATCCGTAAGTTTCCGGAGATCGAAGGTCCAGACGTTTAAAAAAATCATTGATCACAGAAGTTTCCGGCAATCAAATTTTCAAAGGTTGAACATAAAAAAACAGTTTATTTTATTTGTTTGTAAGGGAGAGCCAGAGAGATATTTTATAAGCTTATATTCATGATTAATATTCATTTTTTATCAGTAAATAGTTGTTATAATCATAAACTCAAGAAAGAAAGAAAGACATATATGTAAATTGTAATTACTTCTCCAGGTCATCACAGGTATGTGTAAAATTTGAAATATATTTTAAGTTAACTAAGAAATATTGAGAAAAGGGAAGAAAAAAAACCTTGTTTAAATTTTTTTCAATTTAAACTTTTTTTTTCTTTATCTTTTTTTTTTACTCGAGAAATTTTCCGGAATTTTGACTTAGGCCCACAATCACCCCTGTATACCTATTTCTACCATAGCCGGTCAAATGACCGGACTTTATGTTTCTTGATTGAATGTATGAAATATGGATGTTAGGAAGGAAATAAACTTTAAAAAAATTATAATTAAACAAAGTTGTGTATTGCCAATTTTCATGTATTACAAGCACAAAGAATAAGAATTTTTTACATAAACAGGGTGTTTGTATTGTACATTTTCCACAAACATATTTTTTTCTAATTATTATTATTTCTATAATTCTTATAATTATAAGAATATATAAGAATTATAGNGGATGTTAGGCTATGGACTAAAAATACTTTATTATAATTAAACAAAGTTGTGTATTGCCAATTTTCATGTATTACAAGCACAAAGAATAGGAATTTTTTACATAAACAGGGTGTTTGTATTGTACATTTTCCACAAACATATTTTTTTCTAATTATTATTATTTCTATAATTCTTATAATTATAAGAATATATAAGGATTATAATTATTCTTATAATTAATATTATTTCTTCTAAGAACTTGTGCTCTCTTGATTGTTTCGACATTTTTCTGTGTAAAAACTAACAGTTTGAAATGAAGTAAAGCTATCAAAATAAAATATAAACTACTTACCAAAACGACGCCCGGTGGCTGAGCAGTAGCGCTTCGCGCTGTCGTGCCGCAGGTCCCTGGCTCTATCCTCGGGCCGGGCAAGGTTGACTCAGCCTTTCATCCCTTCAGTGGGTCGATAAATGAGTACCAAACATGCTTGGGAACTAAACACTGGAGGTTCCGCGTTCAGCTGACCACCTGACCGAAACATATGCCCCTGCACTCCAGAGCCCAAGGTCAAGAAAACTGAGATGGGCACAGTAGGCCTTGGCCCTTAAGGGCTGTCGCACCGCTGAGTTTTTACTTACCAAAACATTTGGTTTTTGTCCCTTTTTCTTGCACAAAAATGCCAATCTAAAATTTTAGGTACTTTCTTTAAATTTGAATTCACAGTTATTCTGATTGAACTAGCTATGCAACAGTCTTTGCAGAAATGTGCAACAAATCGAATGCAATACATTGAGTCGATTTGAACACGCATTACATCTTAATTTCTGATCTGATAATCTTATAAAGCAATAAGTTGTTCTCCCGGTCAAATAACCGGTTGTGGTAGAAATAGGAATATGACAAGTATTATTCTCGAAACAAACAAAATAATAATAGAATTTTAACTGTAAATAGTTGTTAGAAAAAGTTATAAAGTCAAATGTGGTAAAAATGTCCTGGTTGTTAGAGCACTGGGCCTACGTCCAAGAGTTAATGGGTTCGATCTCCGCGGGCTGAAGACTCACGTGTAATAAATGGTGTCTGATGCACGTTAAATCTGTCGCGTCACAAAGTCCTCCAGCTTCACATAACAAACCATACCTCTGCGGGTTCTGATCGAGGAGTTTCCTTGCCTTCTCGATTGGTTCAAAATTACAAGACTATGGAGCTGAACATTGGTTGTAAACCCAAAATTGGGTCGGCTGTTCAACGACAGATATAAAATAAAATCTTGTTTACAAAACATGTTCTATATGATGTTCACCATTGTCTGTTATTATCTAGTAGTGCGAAATCACATATTCAATTGTTGTACAGTATAACACTATATATTGCGGGGAATGCTTTGAATGTTATAGTGTGCTATGCTAAACTTAAATTCAGAGACAGACGTTATGTATTATGGTGGATAAAAACTTGGGAGTACTCCCTTATCCATAAGGATTCAAGTCTGGAGACCTTAAGAAGCCATGAAATGTGTTATCTGGTAAATTTTTTTTAAAAGTCAATTTTGAATAGTAATGTGTACAATATTTTGCATTATTCTAACAAATGTAATTTTACATAGCAAAATATGAAATTTCAGTGAAATCGGTCAAATAGTTCCAAAGATATTGAATTTCAAAAAAGTCAGATGCTTAAAATTCAAATTGAGTCCTAGAATATTAAAATATGATCATTAAATCAAAAGTATTCAAGGTCCTAAGGAGTGGTCTTTTTTTTTTTTTTTCTTTTCCCTTTCCGCTCTGTGCAGATCTTGAAGTATATTGCAATCTAATTTATGGATTTTCATACTTAAGGGCAAGCAGAATAATTTTTAATTAATTTAAAAAAACTAACAACTTGCAGAATTTGCTAAATCATATTGTGAGCCTCGTGATATTGTATAAAGAAACTAAAATGATTTTGTATTGATCCGTTTTAATATTTCTTAACTTATGTTTTATTTGTATCTTATTTGTAACAATATTTGTTCATAACTGATATACTGTGTTCCTGGATATTTTATGTTTAGAGTAATTGCTCTGACAATTTGATTTAAGAAATTTTATATAAACCTTACTCTGTGAGATAAAATTACCAAAAAAAGTTAACTTAAACAGGGTGCATAGCATTTTTAAAAAGTGCTTAAAGGTGCTTATTTTCGAGTTTCGTTTTTTAAAAGCCCTTAAAGGTGCTTTTTTATTGGGTGTTTGTAAAAAGTGCTTAATTTTCCCTTTTCGAAAATTAAATTTGTTTTCTTTACCACATCAATTTTGGCCACGTATTATGCAGAAGAGTGATTTTCACATTGTTCTTATGAAAGTGCCAATCATTATACATGTTTGATTAAATGCTTGCTGGTCTGCATGTGCATATACTGAACTGGATTCAGTGGGAATTATTCTTGCTCTATCACGTGCAACTCAGCTGCATTTTGCAAGAGGTTCTTAATTTCAGACTTCATTTTCCTCCCTCTGAAACCAAACCGAAAAGTCTCTATCTTTTTATGGTGGCTAATGCAATCAAGAAAAAGAGTTATTTGTCAGAAACTATATAGTTATTTTATCATGATTATGTCCTTGAAAATTATTTTGCATTTTGTTAATGTATGTAGTGTTTAAAAGTATTTTTAAGTGCTTGAAAGGTGCTTAATTTTGTACAAAGATTTTACTATGCACCATGTTGAAAGTGTTTTTTAAAACTAAAGTTTAAAGCTCTAATGTAGATAAATTGAGTTCTTGTATTTTTAATTGATGAGATCCATGTTTCTCAATAGGGCACACAGAGGCAAACAGTTAACACTAACAATAAGGTTTTCCAATCAAGGACGTAGCTTTGAAGACAATACCGAAGTGTGGACACATTCAAACGACACATTAGGTGCAGTACGTCGCCAAATTTTAACTAGGTAATTTATTATAATTACTGTGTTTAGTTTAAATACATTTAAAGATAAAATCAAATCTTTAAAATGTTATTTACTATAATGAATAACTAAAGTGAAAGTAAATGTTTATTTTTCATGTTAGTTTACTTTCATTGTCTTCATTCTGGTATTTGTTAATATTTCTTTTTGTTTTGTAGGGTCAAAGCAAATAATGTAAATATGAAAGTAGATTTATTTGTCAATGGTGAATTGCTTGATCCTGCTGACGATAAGAAATTAGTTTCTCAATTACCTCTCAGGGACAAAATGGTAATTATGAAGGATTTCTGTTTAACATTTTTATTCAACTTTGTATCTGTTTTCCCATTTTTGTCATTTTGTGCTTATATTAAGATGCTTCTTTACTCCTAACCATATTTAATTGCCAGAGGATTAGTAACAGAAGAGAAAGATTTTAAATATTTTTATAATTAACTTAATTTTTACACTTAAATTGAGGTTGGATATTTAATTTTACATAGCCGTATGCTTTGAAACTTAAAAAACACATGACAAAATTATATTAATACAATTTTGCAATAAGTGTTTTTATAAGGAGTTTATACATTTGTCAGTTTTTGTGTTATGAGTGTCAAGATGATTTTTCAGCATCATTTAAATCAGTTTTCGTCATTTTCAACTATAAGGAAAGTTAAATTTAAAAATCTAAAAACATATAAATGCTCAAAATGAAATTGCCTATGAAAATAAGTAGTCATTATGAAATTTGAAATACAAATATTCTCAAATTTACATTTTTGAGAAAAAATGAAAAGAATTACTATATGATATCAAGTGTTGCTTCTCCTAATCAATTAAAGTGACCTTCATTTTTGTCCTATTTCTAAAGGTATAATGTTGAAGTCTTATCAAAAGTTAGTTAAAAACATAGAGAAAATGAAAATTTTAAGATTTAACGTTAAGGGCAAGAAGGCAAAAAAGATGTCTTAGAAGGCAAAGAAGGGTATTCTAGAGCAAAAACAAACTTCTAAAAAATTATTGCACTTGCATCCAAGTTTCAGAAATGCATTTTTGTAAAAGGAAACATTTAAATTAATTCCGTCTATTTTATGTGGTATTTTCTATTAAAACTTATAAATGACTAAAGCAAATAACAATCTGAATAAAGCACAAATGAAATTACATAAACAGATATACTATAGTTTTCATACTGCAGACATACTGCATTCTTCAAATTGTTTTTTCTTTAGTCAACATGACAAAATATATCCTATCCTTTGTTGAAACTAATTACTGTTTTCTGTAGGTAATTTTGTAATAATATTTGAAATTGAACTGAATTTTTTGCGATTTAAGATATTTATTGTGAAATAAGGCTTATCCATTTTCCTTTGTCAGGTGATATCTGCAAAGTTGTGCCAGATTGGAACAAACATGCCCTCTTCTCCTGATTCAAGTTCAGATAGTTCAACTGGCTCCCCTCAACACCCCTTTGAAGGACCTAATGCTGAGGCAGAAAATTGTCTTCCCGGTGTTGTAAGTGTTAACTACTTTTTTTCATTCAAAATTTGTTTGATAGGAAGAGAAAATACTTCCACATAATAGAAAAATAAACGTGTCAACTTTAAGAGTCTATGTTTAACAGTAAACATGTCTATAAACAGCCTCACAAGAGGAAAAATTTTCGAAATGAAATTATAATTTTTTATAGCTTTTATTTTTCCATTTTATATATTTTTTTTATATGGTTTTAAATTTTTGTTTCAATTTTTCTCTTTTCGTTTCTCAATCAATTCATTTCAATTTCTCTCTTTGTCTAATGACTTTTTACTATGCTTATAAGTCCCCTGGGTATTTATGTAACTTGTAGAAATAGTTAGCAGTTTTTTCTTTTAAATTTTAGCACTTAATACTTTATTGAATTTTGCTGCCTTGGCAGCTTTCACCAAAAAAAATATATATTGAGTTAGGATGAATTTTAAAAAAATCGTTGTAAAATAATATTAATGCGCAATTTTATTTACTATAAATATTTTTGAATTGCTCTGAAAGTGTTATTACATTGGGTAAGCTCTGTTAACCAAAGCCAAGGCAGCCTGTTACATGTCTCTTCCTTTTTTGAGTTATAAACATTTTCTTGCATGATGTCTTTTTTGTTGGGCTAATGTAGAGTTATTCAAACACAGTGTTGAAGAAGCAGCAATAAAAACATTTTTGTTGCAGTTGAACCCGATAATCTATGCGGGAATTTAGTTAAATTACCTTACTTATGCACTTTTCAGAATATAAAGGAAACTAGTGAATTAGTATTTAAAATCTATTGACTGATTATGACTGAAAATAATAGCTTGTAATTTCAATCATTTAAGGTGGCTTACTAAAAAATTATTCAGTATTTTGTTATAAGTTTTACCAATTTTACTGAGGTTTTTATTTTCAGTTTTGATACTAAAATTTTTCATATTAAATTTCAAAAAAATTTTCATAATTAAGTGAGTATATTAATTAAATGCAAATATGATTTAATTTAACATGTTTACTTACATACTATTTGACATTTATTCTTGATGCAAAAAATTTTATTGCTTTTTCTCTTGTTAGTTGATGTCTCAGCAACAGCAATATGCTCAGTTTCTATTTCAACTTGCTGATTTAGGGAGCTCTTTGAATGTTCCTGCTTTAAGAGATGAGGCCCACGCTGTTCTAAAATTGATGCCTCCTGGTAAGAAACACAAACATTTTATAATAATTTTAGCTTTTTTTCTACATAGCTTGTCTTTATTATATAAACAATGATTTTTTTCCCCTTCTTAGACAATTATACTCTAGAGAGATTAAAAAAGATATGCCAAGAAAATGCAAGTCTAGGGGATAGATCTACCCTCGAAAGTATTTTCTATGCACCATCTCCTTCTCAAGTACTTTATACTCTAGAGGTTGGTTCTTATTATATTTAAATCGATAATGTTGGATTTTTTTCAAATTTTTAAAAAAAAAAACTTTCCATTGGAGGATTCCAATCCTTAGGGAAAATGTATTTATCTTTGCCCATTCTTCCTGTTTTGCAGATTTTACTTTTCCAATCTTCTAAGTTTTACTTTTCTCCTGTTTCCTTGTCAAGCTATAAATTTTACCTGGTTTTTTTTTTTTTTTAAATTTATTTATTTATTTACCATAACTATTTTTAGATATGGTTTTAAATTGGTTCAAAAGATAAAAACTTGTAGTAAAATTATTTTGTCATCAGAGAAGTTATTTCTAAGATTATTATATTCTATAAATCTATTTCAATGTAAGAGTGCAATGTGGGCATTGTTGCCAATATTTTTAAGCTTCTGAGCTACTGTACTATTTTTAAATCCAACAGTGAACTCTCAGCCAAAGTAACTTTAAAAAATGCTACATTTGGTTTATTAGTTCAGCAGAGGAATAAAGTCTAGCTCAAGTCTTTGGGAAGCTCTTTTCACTACTATAACTATGAAAAAGTTATGAAGTCATTATACGTCATTTGGGCTTTAGAGTGATCAATCAGATTATAGATTTCCAAAGTTATTAAACTTTTTAAAAACTACTAATTGGGTAAGATTTTTCCACCTTGATAAAAATCATTAAAATCAATGAATAATTCTAAATTTTTGAAAATATTTATGAGCTCAGACAATGTCGCGTTGGAGTTATATCTTAAATATTATAAAATTAGATCACTAATGTTTCTCATTTTCACAAAATTATCTTTTTTGGCATTTACATTTTGCGCCATTTTCATAATTAGTAAACAAGACTCTTGTTAATTAGGCCAAACTTTATCTATCAATCAAGATCTGCATTTGCTAATTGATAACAGTCATGAATGATTGTTATAAACTTGCAGCAGTTATAAAAATATTATATTATTTTCTAAAAAGAGTTATTTCAGGTAACTATATAGCCTTTTTAAAAAAAAACCTTGACAAGATCTACTGAAAATATCGCAGGGAGCTACAAGTTGCTCGCAATTGACAGTTTGGCGATTAGGTACTGCTCTAGAGCATTGAGAGTATCTCTGGAGATCTAGTCAAGAAATAAAAAAAATACAAATTAAACTTTATACTTTTAGAGTTGCACTGAACTGTAAACTTAGGTATGTTTTGATCACTTTTACGATTTTTGTTAAAGTTTAATATTTAAAAGAAAAAAGGTACTTTTCAGTGAACCGGGAGCCGGGCGCAGGAGTAAAGTCTCCTAAAAAATGTTGACCTCTTCCAACATTTTATTTATTTTTTACTATTTTTTTTTATATTAACACTGAACTAAACAGAATTTACAAAAAATTAAGTAAAATAATAAAAGTTTTCTGTTGTGCTTAGGTTCTCATTTAATCTATTACTTCTAATGAATGATCTGAAACTGAATTTTTGCTTTGTAGGTTGTATATACATTGCTGATGCCAGCTCATAATCCAATGTCTGAAGATGCTCAAAAATTTCAGTACAACTTTGTTTGTAGTGGTGGTGTGCCTGTTTCATTAGGCATGCTTACAAAAAATAATTTTTTAGAAGGTGCTGATGTACCTACTAAAAGGTACATATTTTTTAAATTATTTAAAGTGTAAATTGTGTCAAAATATAATTAAACATATTTGCCACTATTGAATGCTTGAATAAAAATGTTAAACAAAGAGTGAAAATAAAAATTATAAAAGTACTTGATTGTAAATTTTTAAAAAAAATTAAGATAGTTCTACGAAGTACATGTGCCATAGCTGTAATAAACTTTCTAATTCCAAATAAACTTTCACTTGGCTCATTAGACTAAAATTGAAAAAATTTTGTTGCCGTCATATCAGATTTTCATGAAAAATTATTGCACAAAAGTTCTTGATGGAAAAAAGCTAAAATAAATTTTTCTGAAGTTTTAAACCAAAACTACAGTTAATGGATTATTTTGAAATTTGGCTCAATTTAAAGAAAAAAAGTAACAACAGATATTGTTAAATATATCTTTTGAATTTATGAGCCAATTTTCTTAATCTTGGTTTCATTTTAAAGAAAAAAGTCAACACTATGTATATAAACTATTAAAATGTTAAAAATATTTATATAATTTTTAAAAAAATTTTTTTGATATAATTTTTGAAGGGGAGTTCTTAGACGAAAAAAATAATCTTTTACCACCTCAGTTATTAAAAAAAAAAAATTTTTTTTAGTCATGTTTGAAAATTATTTGAATCGTGTCAAGTTTGAAAATGAGGCACTAATTGTAGTTTGGGTCCGAAAACGCTGAAAAAAATCATTTAGGGTGTTTTTTATTGAGAATTTTTCGACAATTTTTTTAATGAAAATCTGTGACATAACTGCACCGACTATGGGTCGATTTGGCTTGGAATGGGCCACTTGTTAAAATTTATAATTTGGAGGTGAGTAATAGTGTAGTCTTATTAATAATAAATATATTTTACAGTCTTCAATTGTTAAAATTTTTTATCTTCAATTAAGTTAAAGCTAAAGCATTAATTTTATTGCAATGGCTCAGTTTTTTCAATATTCAATACAAACATTGACTAGTACAAACTTTGGTTTCTTTATTGTTGCATGGGACAAGTGGTTTACATCTAGTTGTCTAAATGAAAAAACCAAATTCCATTTTCTACTTACAAATGATCCTGTACATAGAAAGTCATAGTAAATAGTCATAGAAGTACATAGTACATATCTTATCTGTCTGGAATTTGGAGAAAAGTGACCCTTTGTACCAGTTTTCTGATGAAGAATGTGAAGATTTTGCCCAAAGCAATGTTTTATTTTTTTTAAAAAAAGGTGAACATTTTGAAGCTGTATAAATGAAAATGTAAAAACGCCAGAGGATTAAACTTTACGAACAAAACAAATAAATAAAGCTAAGTTTTTTACAAAACAAGAAAAGTTTTTGCAAAACTTTTTATCTCTTGCTTTGATAATTTGAACATTTATACTACGTTAATGTGCACACTTCAAAAGATGTTGAAAAGATTAGCAGTTAAAAAGAAAACTAACTTTGATGAGAGGAATAATTTCATATTAACATATTATATTATATTCCTCTATTAATTTGAGTGAGAGGCACAGTTAAATATAACAGATACTAACATACCTGTTTTCATAAATTTGTTATTTATATGTTGCGCCACTCAGACTCTGAACTTTCTATAAAATTAAAATCTTAAAAGATTTCAATTAAAACTATGTTCTTTATCAGCTAAACATTTTTATAATTTTGCATAATTTATATTTACAATATGTATGTGTGGTAAAGGAAAAGGCGTATTTCATAGTAATTTTATCGGGCTAATTCTATGGTGAAAATTCAAATCTTTTGTCAATTTAAGTTAAATTTTAAACCAGGTTAAATTTGTAATATGTGACAATATTAAATTTACTTTTTTTGCTATTTTCAGGGCAGCATACTTAATTGTTTTAAAAATAATGAAACTAATTTTAACAACTGTTGGCAAGTGTATAGTACAAGTTGAATCAGAAGCTGTGCGAGTACGTAATGCTTCTGGAACAATGTCCCCAACCTCTCCCAGTTCTGTTACTCTGCAAGGTAGGCCATCTGTCTTACAGCAGGCTCTCAATCACATACCTCACCCTAATTCCGAGTTCATGCTAAGGAATGTCTCTGCTAGGTTGGCTCAGCTTTTACATGATCAAGTATGTATATTTAGTTATTTATTTTTTATATTATTCAACAAAATGATTTTTATTTTGATAGTGTGATATGGTGTGTAGCGTTTTTAAAAAGTGCTTAAAAGTACTTATTTGCGTTTTTAAAAGCCTCCCAAAAGTACTTTTTTATTAATTGTTTTTAAAAAGTGCTTAATTTTCCCTGTTCGAAAATGAGAATTTTTTCTTTACCATGTCGATTTTCGGCATGTATTATACAAAAGTTTGCTTTTGGCATTGTTTCTATTCAACGTTTTAACAATGCATTCAGGGTTGCCACTCTACATGGAGAACAAGGAAAACCTGGAAAATACAATGAATTTAAAAATCACCTAAAATAACAGGGAAAATGCAGGGAATTTTGATTTTTTCCTTGCAAACTGGGAAAGTACAGGGAATTTTGTTTCTTATTTTTGTCTTTTAAAAAATGGTACCCACTCAAAGCGTAATCTATGGGATATTTAGCCATGATATTTCAGCTATACTAAACTATTTCACTTACTATAACATTATTTAGATATGTTCAGCTGTTTTCCTACCAATTAAAACTAATAAATATAGTTAGCCCTATATAGGTCACAAAAGAGCGCAGTAATTGTTGTTTCCTTTTAATATATTGTGTATAATAGTACTGGGAAAACACAGGGAATTTTTTTTCCAGATTTGAGTGGCAACCCTGGCATTGTACCACAATCCATTTTGGCTTATATTCAGTCTCTAGCATTTAAAAGCGCCAATCATTTTACATGTTTGATAAAATACTTTGGATTCCGCAGGTTTGTCTACTGAGCTGGGTTCAGTGAAATTATTGCACTCGCATGTGCAACACAGCTGCATGGTGCAAGATATACTCAATTTCAGGTTCCAATTTCCACCCTCTGATATCAAACTGAAAAATCTCTTGAACATTTTATGATGGCTAATATCTATAATTATCTTTTGATGAATATTCTTATAACAAGTGGGAAAAAAATTAAGCATTTAAATAGGGAAGAATTTCTAAGTCCGTGGTTTTTAATGGAAGAATTTCACGAAGTGTGCTACAAAGAGTTTAGACCGTTGCAAAATTCTAAAATTAAATTGGTTTTATTTCTAAGGTGTTTGTTTCTTTTATCTAAAGTTTTGTGCTTTGTGTTTGTGCAATTGAAACTAACAATCACTGTTGTGTATGAAATAGTGATACATTGATAGACAAGAAATATTTATATAGGATTCAAGCTTTTATAATATAAATAAGTTTCATCTGATTGCTGTGTTTAAATTTCAAGTTGAAACTACAATCTTATTTTTTAATCTATAAGATTTGACAAACAAGATTACATTTACTTAACAGTGCTCAATTTTGCATTAAAAAATACTCTTAGAAATAAACTAAATAAAAAAAATAACTATATGAATAAAGTACAGAAATGGACATAATGTAGTTTTAGTTCTTTGAACAAGAACTTCTCTCTGTGTTTGATCTTCAAATGAAAGTAGGAAAAGCATAGAGATATACAGACATGCTATTTGTGCAAAGGGGTTTAACCAGTAGGGAGGGAGAAACAAGTTTAAGCATTTTTTATTTTCATCTGTCAGAGCTCAAGTTTGAAATGTTGGTGTTTGCAAACTTTTACAATCTATCTGAATTTGAAGAAAAAAATAGTTTCTTTTTTTTAAATTTTTCAAATTTTTTTCTTTGGTTTCAATTCTATTGGAATTATTTAATTATAAATTGTCATCAAGAAATATTCTACTCATTTCTCTTTTTCCAGGGTTGCCACTCGACAGGGAGAACAGGAAAAACCTGGAAAATACAGGGAATTTAAAAATCACCTGAAAATGCAGGGAATTTTGATTTTTTTTTTTCTTTACAAACTGGGAAAATACAGAGAATTTTGATTTTTTTGCTTTACAAACTGGGAAAATACAGGGAATTTTGTTTCTTATTTTTGTCTTTTAAAGAATGGTGACCACTCAAAGCATAATCTATGGGATATTTAACCATGATATTTGAGCTATACAAAACTATTTCATTTACTATAGCATTATTCAAGTATGTTCAGCTGTTTTTCCAGCGATTAGATATAGTTAGCCCAATATAGCTCACGCAAGAGCAAAGTTGTTTCCTCTTAATATATTGTGTATAATATGTACAGGGAATTTTTTTCCAGATTTGAGTGGCAACCCTGTTTTCTTTAAAGTTAAGCTTGATTGCTTAGATTTGAATGATAAATCTTGATCTATATTGATGCCATGTTTTTCTTGATGCTTCTAAATACCTAACTCTTATGCTTTTTAAGTTTATTTTTCAAAGTTGATTTGTTTTATACCATTGAAAAAGACATGTTTAAAAACTATAACACTGTAAACAATTCTTTTTAGGCCATAAATCATCGTCCAGACCTTTGTACTGTAAAAGCTATTAAAAAAATGGCTTGGGCTTCCTCTTCGGGCTCAATGGAATTGTTACATGCCTCTCCAGATGAACTTCTAATGCAAGATAAAGTATGGCTGAAATTATTTTCTTTATAAATTCTCTGTAAAATTTATTTATTTGATTTATTGATGATTGTTTTACTTATAATTTCGCAGGTCTCAAAACCCACCGAAAATGAAGAGATTATATTATGTCGTGAAGCTTTAGAAGTCCTGACAATTTCACTAGCTCTATGTCCAGAAGCCTTAGACACACTTATGAAAGATAAAACTTGGCATCTATTTATAATAGAATTACTACTTATGTGTAAAAACAGGTGAGTAAATGTTATTTATATACTCTTATATAATGTTATTATATAGATAATATATAGTAATCAAATACAATGGGGCTGTAAAAGAAGTTTGAATTAGTAAAAATGTGTGTTGATTAAAATATAACATATAGTGGTACTTAATACATTTGACAAAGATATTTATTAAAAAATAAATATACCTTTAAATTGCATAATTTTAATGTTATACAAGTTGGATTATATTAAAATGAAATCAAAATCTATAAACACACTGCATATTAAGTGTGCAATGTTTTTAGGGATTTCTAATTTATTGTAAGATATATTTGTAAGATATATTTGAATTTAATCTTATACTCATCTAAGTACTTATTTAGTAAAAGCCAGATAAGGAATGTATTTTTCTGGAAATGGAACTAAACGTTAATATATTTGAATTTAATCTTATACTCATCTAAGTACTTATTTAGTAAAAGCCAGATAAGTAATGTATTTTCCTGGAAATGGTACTAAACGTTAATCACCTTTAGAAAAAGTGTGGCTTACAGTATATATTGTAAATATTTAAAATGTGTCTGTAAAATGTTCACAAATTTAGACATTGAAATCTTGTTTAATTAAAAAAAATGACTGACTTATTATTCCCTATAATTACCTTATTCAGTCTGAACGAATTTCCATCTAAAGTATGAAAATCAACTTTAAATTACTAAATTATCAATTTGATTATTTTGATTAAATTATAATGGACTATCAATATCTTACTTAACTGTCTAGGTGTCAAGCTAGGTTTACAATTAAGCTTGGTTAAATACCAATGCTTAAAAAATTTAAACTACAATTTCAAAGATTATATCATTTGATACTGAAAAAATGTTTTTTTACTTATTATTGTCTACTTTTATTTTGTATATTGTTGAATTTATTTTAATCTATTTTGTTTGTCATGTGCAAATTTTCCTTCTTTATTAAGCTCAAATTCATGATATTTGCGAAATTGTTGCTAAATACTAAAAAATCTTCTCAGGTCTATTAGAGCATGTGCTGCCGAACAGTTCTTACTTATTGCCACAAAGTGTTATCCTGGTCATCAGTGCCTTATATTTTCTATAACTCTACTATTTACTCAGCTAATGGTAAGTAGTTTTATTAAATATTGAATATCTAAATTGCATTGTAGTCAATCAAAATGATATTGTTATGATTTATTGCCAACCTTAATTTTTAACTATCTTTATCTTCATTCTCATTAGAGAGGAATGGAGATTATTTCATTTTGTATTCTTGATTTTGAGAGAAACTAATTAGGGATTCAGATTTTATGCATATATCCAGAATTCTCCCTAGAAATAAAATGGGATGGGGCTCTTCCTCTCTTGAAAGGGCACTTTGAGGTAACTTAACACTGTAAAAATGTAGCAAAATGTGTAATATTATGTAATAACTAAATTTTATCCTCAGTAATTTTTAAACTACCCTCTTGTACTATTTTTTGTGTATATTTCAAGAAGTAATTCTCTCATCAAAATACGAAAAAAAAAATTAGTTTGTAAAAATAATTAAAGGCATGCTAAAAGACAATATCTGTGCTTATTTTTTATTTTTTTCTTCAAAAAAGTAAACTAAATAAAAATTACTATTTGATAAACAACTCGAAAGCTTATTTTTGTAATTTAAAGTGAAATTTATAAAAAAAAATGAGCATTTGTGAAAAAAATTTAAGAAATTTAGAAATTGAAAAAATAAGATTTAAAATTGCTTAAAAATTATCTAAATAAATAAGAGTACTTGAGGGTACAAGTTGAGAGTAATCCTTACAAAGTAAATACAGTACAGAACCCGTTATCCGGAAAACCAAAAAACCGGAACGAAATTCAATAAACTTTCATGCCATTTTTTTTTAAATGTTTTTTTCCTCATAAGATTTTAGGATTTTTCTTTCTTTTTTGAAAGATGTTTACCTTACCATCATTTTGGAAATAATCATTAGTGTATTACTTCATCGTTTTTTCTTCTTTTTAAGATTATTTCCAAATATTTTGTTTTTAGTTGAGTTTAACAATTAAAAAAACGACTTTTCGTAGCGATTCAGAAAATCGGAAAAATCAGTTATCCGGAATAGCGATGGTCCCGATCGTTCCGGATAATCTGTTCCCTACTGTATTTGTAATAGTAATCAAAAATAAACCTATAAACACAGATCCAGTGTGTAGTTATTTAAGCAGTGAGTTAATGGAGTATGAATAAAAGGCAGTGTTTTTTAAGCAATAGTGTCTTATTTTTACAAAAAGGGCGCACATTTATTGGGATCAAAGGGCAAACAGGTGGCCATTCAAAAAAATGCTTGGGGAGACCCAGATTGACGTATATCTATGGTCAATCTGGGCCTAATGTGAAACACATTGAAAAATAACCAATTTTTATTGTAATATATGAGGTTTATTTTTTATTTTGTTTGAAATTCAAGAAGCTATTTTTATTCATTAGAAACAGATCTACTTTAATGAAAAAAATTGACTGAGATAATATTTTCTAATATAATGTTTGGCAACTAAGACACATGATGCTATCAGACAAGTATGACTCACATCCAACCAGTGTTATCCAAATAAAAAATAATTTTGGTGTGTATTTTCACCCCTCTAATAATTTTCGAGGAATGAAATTTGAATTTGAGGGTTACAATTCGAAACTGGTTAAGTTTGTAAATCACTGAATTTCTGCGATTTAATAACAAAAATTATTTTATAACTGACATATTTTTTATATTCAGTTTTTGATTGAACCTCAAATATTATCAATGTTTTTACAATGTTTTTACATTACTTACTGGTTAATTAGACTGAGGTTTCCAATTATTAAAACAAAAAATTACAAATAAAATTTATTGAAAATTTTTTATGCTCTTGCTCTTCTACAACTTTACAGTATGTCCAAAGTTGCACTCATCAAAATTTGTCTAAAATTACAAAATTAACACCTTTATTGTTGGCTTGAAAAGATGAGTCCTTCTTAAGATAACTTCAAAGGTCATCCAAATTCTTATCCTCAAACAAAACACATTTATATTTTATGCATGTTTATTTTATGATTGCGAAAACTCTTTCCTGAGCAGTTGCAGTTATTTGCAGTGTTGAGCACGAGAAACTATTTTCTGAATTCAGGATATGTGAAAGAGTTGTCATGTCACTCTCTTTCTACATTCATCACTGATATATTTATTAAAGTCTTTCAACTTCATGCATACATGATAAATAATTTAATCTACTGAGTTACTGTGGAATTTTCTTTTTCCAACAGCATGGAAAAAAAAATTCTTAATAGTTTTAACAAAAATTAAATATTTTCACTGATTAAAATTTTTGAGACGTTAAACTTAAATCCAATGTATAAAATGCACATCTAGATGTGTATTGGTAAACTTTGAGTCCAACTCTAAATCCAATTCTTTCCGTAATTTGGTGTTCCAGTCTAAAGTACCACATTTTGTTAATGTGCGTGGAATGAATTGGACTTTTGATTGGATATGCCATATGTTGTAACTAATGGCGCAGATATTGAGCATTTCTACATAGCATTTTTAAAAAGTGCTTATTTTCAATTCTTGTTTTTTAAAGGCCCTTAAAGGTGCTTTTTTTAGTGGGTGTTTTTAAAAAGTGCTTAATTTTCCCTTTTCGAAAATGAGATTTTTTTCTCTACTGTGTCGATTTTTGCCATGTATTATGAATGCAAAAGCGTAGTTTTCACATTATTTTATCATGATCATGATAAAAGATTTGGTTACACACCCTGCAGTAGTCTAAATATATTGTTGGAACTAGGACTTTCTTTAAAGAACACCATGTATTGTAACTGATAGTGATTACTTTGAGTGCCAGTAAAGGTATATACACTTTAGGCTATATATTTTGGTGTAGGAATTTATTTTTACTGCTAAAAAGTAATAATTTAAAAACTTTTAAATGGCAGTAGTAATTTTTGCATAATATATTTTTTTTTACACACTTAGTTGAATTTTTGTTTTTAGTAAGAAAATATTTTGAAATATTTTAATCTATGATAATTTTTATCCTTTCCTAGTCATCTGTGAAAGAATATGCGAAGAATTCTCATGAGTTTTTCACACTACTCTGCCGCTTGTTGAACTATGCCTGCTCATCATCTTGTCCATTGCCAACTGCTCAGAATCTTTTAAATAAGGAAATTGAATGGTTGAAAGCAGTAAGAGTAAGTTTTTTTATTTTATTTAAACCAGAATTTATTTTACAAATATTTTTTTGTATTTGTTATCTCTTGTATTTGTTAAGAAGGGAAACTGATGACATTTTTGATCCACAAGTCTGTTTTTAGAGGGTCAGTTTTTTCACGATTAAGTTATACAGTTAGACCCCGATTTAACGAATTTCGCGATTTAACGAATTTTTTTTCAACCTCAGCAAAAACAGAGTCTAAAACCCCTAATTAACGAATAATTAACCTCGAATTAACGAATTAATTCAGCATCCGGAAAAAATATTTTTCATTAATTTTGACCAGAAAAATATCGCATTTTTTTGTAATTGGCAGATTCTAAAGGGAAAAAATCTTTCCTGGGAGGAATAAAATAGAAAAAGTGCATATTCGTCTCAAACAAAAGAAACGACCGCAACAGGGAAAAAACAAAATTCGTCTTGGGGAGGTGGGCAGAGTTAATAAGACATATTACACTTGCAAGGTCATTTTCCGGGGTTTGTCACGTGGGCTATGAGTCAAACAGGAAATTCCTTTCTTATCTTTGATAGTGGTTTATAACTAGTAATTTTTGATAATACATATGTACAAAAAAAAAACAATTTTTTTTAACCCCGATTTTACGAATGACCCCGATTTAACGAATAAAATTTCCGGTCCCGATGAATTCGTTAAATCGGGGTCCGACTGTATTTATAAATTGTAAGTTTAAATAAAAGATCTATGCATTGGAGGTTAAAAATCCAAGACCATGAAAAAAAGGTATGTTTATTCTGAGAAAGTGCATTTTTGTGTCTGATTTCGTAACCTAAAATATCGTATGCACTAATTAATCCTAAATAATTAATAATATTTGAGATCGCCCCCTCGAACAATTAAGATTGAGTCCTGGAATGTAAAGATCCGATCATTAGATCAAAAGTTATTCAGGGGAGTGTGTTTTTTATTTTGCCCACTGTGCAATTTCAATAATGAATTACATAAAACAAAACTGGTGACCTGTGTAAAAAATCAACTGGGTTTTTACCTGAACTGAGTATGAAGTAGAGAAATAAAGGCGAATATAGAAATATTCAATTCTTTTCTCTCATTAAGTTAATATGCGTTATTTTTATCAAAATTTTTAACAACTGTTTATTTGAGTTCCATAGAAATATTTTTCAAAATATATACTCTGTTTTGAAATTATTATTGTTCTATTAAAAATTAAGGTAAAAACTGCGAAGCCCCTCAGACTTAAAACCTATAAGATGATTAGTATAGGAAAGAAGGAAGAAAATTTGTGTTGTGTTTTTTTCCCCTCCTTAATAATTGTTAGTTTTGAGACTTAGAATGGGAGGCAACAGAATGTGGAAAGGCAAAACAATGCTAATGTGCATATATAAATATTATCACCATGTACTGGTTATACTTTTAAGAGGGGAAAGCCCAAGAAGTAATTGTAAGTGTTGACTTAAATTGTTATTTTATTATAAATGTACACAAGCTTAAAAAAAAATATCTTAACTTTTTTTTCTAAACCATATTTGAGGAAAAATAGCTAATAGAGTAGCTTTGATATCTTAAACTCTTTTCAATGCAAGAATGTAAAATTTAAGTATTCAAATTTAATTTCTGTATTTAATTTTGTATCTGTATTTAAATCTTTTAATGTAATTTAGAGTAAGGTTCTTGCTACTGGTGACAGCCAAGTTGATGAAGCATTGCTTGAAGGGCACTTAGGAGTTACCAGAGAGCTTGTATCGTTTCTTGGGCCTGATCAAAAATATGAAGTTGGAGCTGATCCCAACTCTCCTAGAGGAAATCTCATCAAAGTAAGATGGAACAAAATAAATAATTCTGCCTAAAATAATATAAAACATTTTAACTTACTACTTTTATCAACTTAATGTTTGAGCAGACCTATGCATGGAGAATTTTCTCCACTTTATGTTATTAACCACTTCCCTTACAATTTTTTTTAAAAAAAAAATCAATTAATTTTTTATTTCATTAATAAATACAAGGAACTAAAGTTGAAACTTTAAGTTTTTTTTTTTTTATACTTAAGAAGTATTTATTTTACCATCAGTTTACTATCCTGAGTTATCTCGGGCAAATGAAAAAAGTTAAATTTAGTCTTTGTATGATGGTTTTTAAAGCAAAGAGCAACATAAAGTGAACGCCAGTGAAGTGATACACCATTTATTTGACTCTTTTTTTCTATGTAAATTCTGCGACCATCCTATTTTACAATCTCACTAAACACATGTGCAGTCCCACAATCCAACAGCTAACCCACCAAACAAAACTTGGCAAACTTTCAATCACAGCAGATTACTTATTCATACCCTCCAACTGCTACGGAATTTCCGTAGTTGCTACGGAAATTGGAGGTAAACTACGGAGCTACGGGTGAATAGTAAAATACTACGGATTAAACGAAAGCGCCTGTCCGATCTATCCGCTTCCGCTGTTGTCGTCTTTCAAGCATGGTGACGTCACTGATTGCGTATCGCCGAAAATGACGTCATGAGTTGTTAGCCTTGGTCGGGAGAAACCACGTGATTATGAAGGGTTACTTATCGGCGGCGCCATTGTAATCTGCCTGAATGCAGCTGGTCTTTGAGAAACTGCGTTAGTTTTTTGCTTTACACCGTGTGAAGTGAAGTGACTTCCATAAAAATTTTTGAAAACAACTTTGAATTTTGCTGCTCCGATGTTAAAAGAATGATACGTTTTTGTTTGAAATTTTAGATTATTTTTCATCCAGCTTTTATCGCGTTAGTTTATAAGTTGTGTATGTATTATTAAATTTTATTGTGATGGATCGTTATTTGAAAAGATCTAATCAGGATCGGGAAGTTTCTAATGACGATGGATTACGAAAGAAGAGGAAGAATAATCAAAAGTTTAGAGAGGAATATACTAAAAAGTTTCCTTGTTTAGTATCGGGAAAAGATGGCTTTGCGAAATGCAATATTTGTAGTTCGGAATTCTCAATTGTCCACGGTGGACTGGATGATTGTCGCCGACACGTGATCGGTCCTAAACATTGTGCTACTGCAAAAGCACAGGTGCATCAGCAACCTATTAACAATTTTTATTCTTCCAAATTAGAAGAAAATGGAGTGATTAAAGCTGAAGTATTGTTCGTACGGTTTTTAATTGAGCACAATATTTCTCTATCTGCTTCCGATCATTCTGGCGCCTTATTTAAAAAAATGTTCCCAGATTCCGACATTGCAAAAAAGTATGGATGTGGACATACCAAGACCCAGGCAATAACTGTTTCCACTGCTGAGGGGATAAGAGAGAGTACTCTAAGTAAGCTCAGAACATCATTATTTTCTCTTTCCACTGACGGAAGCAATGACATATTAGATAAAAAGCTATATCCTTTAATTTTTAATTATTATGATGAAGAAAAAGGACAAATCGTATCATCACTGGTTTCTTTATCTGAATCAACTAACAACACTGGTGAGGGAATTTTTCAACTTCTTGATGGAGAGTTTAAAAAATATCTACTGAAGTGGGAGAGTTGCATAGCATTCAGTTCTGATAATGCTAACACAATGGCTGGATGTAATAAAGGTGTTTTGAGCTATATAAAACAGAAGCAACCANTTGTTAAATAGAATATCGTGATTCATATTCACGCGATTTTAAAATCTAAGATCGCTATTTGTATTCTCTTGATTTTGAAATCCAAGATCGCGATTCTTGTGAGAAGTAAGTTTTCTTTCTTGAATTAGTTACTATAAGGCAGTTTTTCTATCAACGATTATTGGTATATATAGGCATTACAACATCAGCGAAACTGGATGAGAATATGTTACTGGTATTTTTGCTATAAATCACGTAAGATTTACTCATGTTAAAATCAGCTTTTTTGCCTTTTGGCCAATCTCATCCCTGAACATACTTTCTTAAATGGAGAAAATTTTGCCACTTTTTTTACCAGAGACCCTTTGCAATAGTAAACTTATGTACTTTTTGAATGAAAAATTATGTTTGAAATTTGTTTAATTTATAATTTGTTTATTTCATTTCAAATCTATAAAATGAGAATGCTTGGATTTTTTTTTCTTCAAAAAGTCTGATGTTAAAATATTAGATTTAAATATTTTTACTTGTCTTTGTTTTTCTTCCATCCATCCGGAACATCTCTTGCACCTCAGAGCCCAGGGTCAAGAAAACTGTGAGAAAGTAGGCCTTGGCCCTTCGTAGGCTGCAGTGCCACTGAGTTTAATTTTAATTGTTTAAAATTATATGTTCAATATCGGTTTGTTGACATGCACCATTAATCCTTTCAAAGTAATGAAAGATATTATGTAACTTAAGTATTACACTAGTATTTTTTTTCCCTCTAGAAATTATCACAATATTTTTTTATGGTCCATTAAAAATTTGACATTTTACTTTACAATCAAGTACAAATATAACAGTAATACTGGTTTGTAAATCCCTAGCTTCAACTAAACTTTAAAAAAGGGTGAGGAAGATATGTGCTAATACTGGTGACATTACTTTAGGGAAAATAGAAACTTAGGGGGAGGTGTATTGTGATACAAAAATGAGATGTTTTTTAGTATTATTTATTTCAAATGTGAACTGTTTTATTACTTCAACAGGAGCTTGTGGAAGATTTCATATTTCCTGCTTCAAGAGTTGTGCTGCAGGTGCAGCGTGGTGGCAGCGAACTGCCCTCTGAGCAAGCTATACCTGTATGCTCGTCATCCTCTTCTGTTGTAGCTGCTTTTGAGCTGCTTGTGTCCATCTGCACAGGATGTGCTCCCAATTTGAGGTTACTTGTTGATATGCTCTGTGAAATGTTTTACTCTGGTTAGCATTAATGTTTGAATTGCCTTGTTTTACACCATTTCTTCCCAATGTTGTTCCAATAATTTACTCATTTAATTTTTTTAGCAAATGACCCACCTTTAACAGAATGGGAGTACCTTCCACCTGTCGGACCAAGACCTCTTCGTGGATTTGTTGGCTTGAAGAATGCAGGTGCCACCTGTTACATGAACTCAGTGCTACAGCAGTTATATATGATTGAGGATATTCGAAATGGAATTCTTTCTGTAGAAGGTGCTTGCACAGACCCCAATGAAGATTTCTCTGGTGAAGAACGTGTTGAAAGCGAGGTAAAATTCATTTGAACTTGGACACTGGTCTAGTTTAAGTCTCATTATGAAATCTTAACTTTGAATCCCAGATATCTTTTTTTTTTCTTCGTTATCATGTTTCTTTTTTATGTCTTTTCTACTAGTTGAGTTCAACCTTTTTAAGAGAAAGACCACTGTGTCAAATTGGTGATTTTCAAATGCTGCAACATTTAAAAAAAATAATTAATTTGAAAAATTAATTTAATTGTTCCTCTGACAACTAACTGTCAAAGCAACTAGTGGCTGAAACTATGAACAATAACATGTTGGCCGGTTTAATAAAAACATATTTGTGATTGATAATCTGTTTTAGGTTCATCAAACTGTCGGGTTTTATTAGATCCTAAAATTTTTTTTAACTAACTGAGATGTCGATTTTACTGTAAAACGTCCAATGTAGATTCTGTCAAAGACATGAGTGACTGAGTACTCCAGGCTCTAACCTTCTAGCAGTTATACCAAAGCCCAGGTATAACAAAACCCTACATTACAAACTGCATTACCAACATGCTTCACTTTCTTCCAAAAAATATTTTTTTCTTGTTTATTAGATAGAGGAATAGAGTACAAAAAATTTAAACATTTAACAAATATGCTAACAAAGAACAAATATCCTAAGTAAAAACAGAGCCATAGGGCTTATAAGCTAATTCTTGGTTTTAATAATTGAGTACCAATTGCTTTTAAAACTCATTGAGATTGAACTCAGATCGGCCTTGTCATTCAACTTGAAATCTAAGAAATATTTAAGCCAAAGTGATCAATCACTAGAAAAGAAAAAGATGACCACCACGTAACATACATAAATATAGCTAGACTTTATGTTTTTAAATTAAAACATGTAATAAGGTTATTTATATTAAAAAAAGTTTTAAAAAAAGCACTTGGATGTAAATTCTGTTTCCTGGGGCTAAAAATAAATTCCACACTATTTAGATGACATTAATGCTTAATTTGTTGTAATGATAGGTACTGTAGTTATAGGTTATTTTACAACCCCTCGAAATGCAATAATATCCATTTTTTATTTTAATTGCAAAATATATTTTATTAATAGAAACACAAGCTGAGAAGAGAAACTATTAAATCATGCAATTAGCTTTTATAAGAATGCTCTACCACATTATATACCTATGATTTTCTTTTATTAGAATGAAAAAGTAAAACTTCACTTTTTATGTTTTAAGTTAACCATGTGTTGTATTTGAAGCTGAATTAATTTGGTAATTTATTTCCTTTCCAAGCAACAGAGTATATCAGAATCTGACACAGAGGGAAATGAAGAGAAAGGCTCAAGAGAAGAATCTCGTAAAGAGTACAACTTAGGAGTTCTCAAACAGGTCCAAGCAATTTTTGGACATTTAGCTTGTAGCAAGCTGCAGTATTATGTGCCACGAGGATTTTGGAAACATTTCAAGTATGTGTATTATTCAAATATAAAATAGTTGTTTGATGCAAAATGGACTTTTTAGTTACACGTTTTTTTTTTGTTTTTTAAGTTGAACACAATTCTTTTGAATATGCATAACTTATTTATAAGGAGAATGACAAGTACAAGACAAATTGCTTGTTAAATAGAGTGGCTAAGTATCATATTACGAAATTAATGGCTGCCACTGGCTATGAAACGACTAAATGTAAAAGTTTGTGATTAAAAATTTCTTTGTTGAGCGCCACCTTTTTTTTTTTTTTTTTTTTTTTTTTTTTTTTTTTTTTNTTTTTTTTTTTTTTTGTGCCCTTAAATGCTTTTTAAGTGCTTTCAACTACTTACCATATCATTGCTTGAAAAAACTGTAATTATCCCTGAAATATTCTGGTGAGTTAGTGAAATTGCTTTAAAAAAGCATGTCTACTCAAATGCTATAAAATTCATATTTTTTTCCAAAGGAGTATATTTTATAAGATTTTTTTTCTTTATTGATAACATTCTTAAATAAAATCAAAATAAATTTTAAAATGAAAAGTTTAATTAAACTCAATGTAATATTTCTGCATGTAATCTTTATTTTTGTTTCAGACTTTGGGGTGAGCCAGTCAATTTACGAGAACAGCATGATGCTCTTGAATTTTTTAACAGTTTGGTTGATAGTTTAGAGGAAGCTTTAAAACTTTTAAATGAACCTTGTATATTGTCTCAGATTTTAAGTGGTTCTTTTGCTGATCAAAAAATTTGTAAAGATTGTCCTCATAGGTAAATATATTATTTATTATATATTTTATAATCAGTGATTATTAGTTATGAAAGGTTTTATATTTTTCAAAAATCCCTCAATTCAGAAAAGACTACCATTACTAAATATGGAACTCAACAGTTTCACTTCTTTTTTTACTTTTTGTTAGGCTTGATTCAAAATTCTGTTTAACTTACCTCAAACATTTAATGATTACATGTGGTGCAATATAACCAATTTTGACTCTTGGGACATTAAACTGTACATTCAATCCACTTCTTGAATTTCAGAAAAATACTGTCCTATTTTTGTTATTAATTGTAAAAAGACTCCATATTTTTCATTGTTAAGATTAATTTTGTTAATTTTTGAATAATTAAATAAAAATTTAATTATTTTGATTCTTCTACTAGTAGAGAAAATATTCATTAAAAAAGACTTTTTGATATATTATTCTTGAGTTGGTAAATTTTTTCTAGATCCTAAAAAAGTTATAGGTGAAAATTGTGTCGAGGCAATTTTTTGAAATTGCATTGTTAAGTTAATTGGGATTCAAATTAAAAATTGTTTCAGAATATTCCTAATTATTTCAAGTTTATGAATGAGTTTATTTTCAGTTTTGGCTTAAATTCTCAATGAAATTTTTTTTTTATTTAAAATGTGAGGCCATCAAACTTTGTAATTTAAACTGCCAATTCTCCCCAAATAAATAAATATCAATGTCAGTTTGATAATTAGCATGCTGTACGGACTGTACTCTATTTTTTTAATAATCTTTATTATGTTATGTATTTACTTATTTAAATGAAGAAAAATGTTTTTTAATAAAAATTGCTTCCTCGATTGATTACTATATGTAGCCTCATTTAATTTGAATTTTTTTCCCCAAGGTATTCCAGAGAAGAATCATTCACTGCATTGAATATAGATATAAGAAATCATAGCAATTTATTAGATTCCCTTGAACAGTATGTTAAAGGAGATTTATTGGAAGGAGCTAATGCTTATCACTGTGAGAAGTGCAATAAAAAAGTAAGATAATTTATGATGCTTTTTAAAAGTATAAGGTTTTTCTAACTTTTATTTTAGTGAAATAATATTAACATTAATCATACTATACTGAGTCAGTGATAGCCTGGTTTGTAGGGCACTGAGCCCATGTCCAAGAGGTCGTGGATTTGATCCCCGCCGGCCGAAGACTCCCTGTGTAGTAAATGGTGACTGGTGCACGTTAAATCTGGCGAGTCACAAAGTCCTCATACCTCTGGGGGTACTGATCCCATTGTCTTAAAATTACCATTGCAAACTTTGCCCTTTTTTAATTAATGACTAATAGGTCAAGCAAGCATAGTATACTAAATTGGCTTAAAATGCTATTTAAATACTTATAAAAGAAACTCAAAGAATTATTAAGGAATGTGTAAAATATTTTGCTGAAGGCTATTAAAATATATATAAAAAATTACTAAAAAATATAGCAAATGTTGCATTTTGTGTAATCTTATTCTATTTTAAAGTATGTCTGTGTTCCTTGCAATCAAATCTGTTAAAAGTTAGTGTCATAAAATTTAGTTTACTCTACTGCAATCGTTGAATTGTCTAGATTATGAGTTGATTTTGACATGTTTAAATTAATCATTATTTGCAGTCCATTATTTAGTATTATATTTGCAGTGGTAACTTCCAAATCTAAAAATAAGTGTTTTTTTTTTCTTCCCTCCTTGTAGGTTGATACTGTGAAGAGGCTGTGTATAAAAAAGTTGCCTCCCATTCTTGCTATTCAGTTAAAAAGATTTGACTATGACTGGGAAAGGGAATGTGCTATAAAATTCAATGACTATTTTGAATTTCCCCGAGAGTTTGATATGGAACCCTACACTGTCAGAGGTTTAGCAAAAATTGAAGGTATGTGCATGCATCACTTTACTCTTATTAACATGTTTTAAGTTTAGCATGTAACTAAAGATCTTGATGAAGAATGAAAGCTCTTAGTGATATTTTTGGAAAAACAAACATTACTATGAGAAACATCTTATTAAATTGTACAACATTAACAGAAGTCAGTTTCTCCTTCCTAAATTGGGACAGTATTTTTAAAACAAAAAGTAGTAATTAGTGTTTCCCTTTAAATTATGCTAGTTTAAATGTTATAAAAAGTAACGATAATATCTGTGTTAGTGTATTTCTAACTGCTGATAGCTAGTGTGTAAAATTTGTGTCTCTGCAAAGGGCTTTAAATAAATTAGGCTAATTTATCATAAGAAAATGCATTATCTAATTAACCTATAGGTAAATTGGCTCATTGTAATAAGCCTAAAAACAATGAAGCTGTTTGGAAAATGCTGTTGATTTTTCCAATTAACCTGGTATGTTACAAAATGATCTCATTGGAGGAGCTGGAGCTGGTTTTAGAAATAAGCCTACAACATGTATATCAAAAATTATATTTATATCGTGAAATTGTTATGGATTAATTTATTGTTATTATTATAAATTTTTGTTATTGTTATAAATTATTGTTATTGATAAAATTTTAAAAATTAACAAAATTTTTTACGAAAAATATATTATATTGCCTTAAGTATTCATAATAAAATATTATCTATTGTTTTAGGTGAAATTATTGAAGAAAATTTTAATATTGATAATGAAACCTGTTGCACAAAATATAAACTATCTGGTATAGTAGTTCACAGTGGTCAAGCTAGCGGTGGTCATTATTATTCCTATATTTTGCATAGGTTAGTAGTGAAGTTTTGGAATTTATTGTTGTTACATAACTTTAATCTTTTTTTTTTTTTTAACAATTATTCTTTTACTTATAGGCATAGTGATGGAAGTTATAAATGGTATAAATTTGATGATGGGGAAGTTATGGAGTGCAAGATGGAAGATGATGAGGTATTTTATGTTTACGAAATATTCCTAATTGTTTAATGTTAGTTTTAAAGAATAATTCTGCTATTGATCTATGTTTTAATTAACTTTGTGAGAGTGGAATTTTACGATCAAAATTTTTAACTACCCTAAAGCATTTAAATCTGTACTGAACCTTTGTGTCTGGTAGTATAAATACAGTAGGGAACGGATTATCCGGAACGATCGGGACCATCGCTATTCTGGATAACTGGTTTTTCCGGTTTTCGGAATCGCTACAAAAAGCCGTTTTTTATTGTTAAACCCATCTAAAAAAAATTTTTGGAAATAATCTTAAAAAGAAAAAACGATGAAGTTTTTTAAAAAATTGCGGGAAAATGTATCGAATTTCGTTCTGGTTTTTTGGTTTTCTGATTTCCGGATAACGGGTTCTGTACTGTAATAGTTTTAGGCATGGTTCTAGCAAAATGTATTGCTATTTAATCATTAATTAGTGAGATTAATATTTATACGAATTACATTTGAAAAATCCGAAAAATTTAATAGATTCTGTTATTTGAATATTTTGTTTTTATAAATGTTATCCATTTAGCAACACTGTTGTGTTTGTATTTTAATTTTACCAGAAAATATTTAAGTTAAATCTGATTAAAGTTTGGCTCCAAAAAATTAAACATTGCATTTAAATATATAGGAGGCAGGTATTCTGTAAATATTTCAAACTTATTTATTTAATTATTTTTTATTGACAATTTATTAAAATTATTTATTAATGAACTAATCATTTTTCTGATCAATACCTATATTAAAGGCTTTGTTTAAACTCTATGCATTTTATAAATTATTAGGAAATGAAGAACCAGTGTTTTGGTGGAGATTATATGGGTGAAGTGTTCGATCATATGCTAAAAAGAATGTCCTATAGGAGGCAAAAGAGATGGTGGAATGCATACATTTTATTCTATCGACGGGTCGATATGGCGATGAATATTACTAGGAGCCTAAATGAACTAGCATTAGGTAAATATATTACAAAAAGAATCATTTTCACATTATCATTACATTCTGCAATTAACTTACATCTGCCTAATATTATATATATACTTTTGTTTAAAAAAATTAGTATGGTATATTCTAAAATTGTCCTGAATTTTATTTTGCTCTACTATGAAGCCCGAAAAATTGCAGAAATTGAACAAAATGATGAAACAAAAATGACTTAAAAAACTGCTTAGAAATAATATAAAAATAGTTTAAGCAAATAAAATTTAATGAAAAGCAAGAACATCATTTTTCAAATTTTTTTTTTTTTTCAAAAACTATTTTTTTTTTCAATATTTACGTTTTAAACAAAGTTAAAAATTTTTTTACTTGTTATGTAATATATATTTTTTATTACTCTTTTCCTCAATACGCACTTGCTTAAAGAAGGAAACATAATACAGTATCCAAATAAATTTTGAATTTTAATGCAGCAATAAGCCCCTTGTGCATGTTCGCATTCCTGATGCTTCCTAAGTATAAAAAAGAAAAACTTAATGCGGAGGGAGAAGGAAACCAAAAATTGGAGGTAGTCAAGAAAAATCCTAAATTCTATTTTGAAAGCTGAGAGAGACTTATTCTAAAAGAAATAATCTTTGCAATTTATTAGCAGGAAAATAGATCTGATCTGGTGGAAAGGTATTAAGAAATGCAATGACACACCAGCTGAAATTTGCAAATGCATAGTTAGCTTTTTGGGTCTCCTGCAAGCAATATAGAAATAGTACATATTTTCCTAATTTTCAGTTGTACACTCCATACAGTAAAACAAATTAGGATATGAAACTGCTACAAAACATTTGCTTTGCTACAATATGTTGCACCATTGAGTTTTATTTTTAAAAATGAATACTTCATTAATCAACTTTAAAAAAGCACTTTAAAGTTTTCCAACTTATTAATTTTTTTTTAAATTATATAAAATTTTTCAGATTATTTTTAATTGAAGATTCATAATTAAAAATTCTTATGTTTTTTTCATAAGTTATGTATAATTTTAAGAATCTGGTAAAAATTTTATGATTGAGAAAAAATAATATATTTTAAATATAAAGTCCATTATCCTTGTAGTGGTTCTTAATATTCCTATTAAAAAGTATTTGATTATAAAAATTAGTATGTCTAATTCTGAATAGACTACATAATTTGTAATTGTGTAATAAAGATAAGCATCCATGTGATTTGTTATTTTAATTGCATTTATAAAATTGGGTTAGGATGTTTCCAAAGTTCTTAATATAATTGTGAAATAGGATTCTACTATGCTCCTTCATTTAAAAAGTTGAAAGAAACTAGTTTTGATTTCCAAAGAAATTCATTAAATTTCTCCCTTTTAATTGTTGCTTTATAGATTCCACTTATTTAAAAATGTTAAATAATTTGAAAATAAATATTATGAATTAAACTAGTTTACAACCATTAATTGATTAAAAACTTGTTTTAATATTTGATATGTTTTTAAAAAAATTTCCTCTTGGATTGGAAGAAACCTATTTGTACTGGAGTGTTTTTTTCAACTGTGAAAGAAACATGCCATTCTTGTTTGAAACAGTGGCGTCATTTTGGAGAGGATTTGGAACCCCCTCCGAAATTATACATTACTTGATTACTGAGCTATTGTACGATAAGAAGGATGTAATTTTTAAAAAAAAATTTCATTATTAATTTATATATCTATATCACTGTTGTAAAACAATCCATCCTAAAGCGGACCTTTACATTTTCCCAAATTTTTTTATAATTTTTCTAATTATGTTACGTTGTTTCTCTCTCTCTCTATATATATATATAATTTTTCTTGTTTCTGATAATTAATCGTTATTTTGAAACGTCTCGATCGCTGTCATAAAGGAATACGTCCAGGAGAACCGTTAACCGTTCTCCGTTAATTTTTTTAATATTTTTCTACTTATATTATGTTTCTCTCACTCTCTCTGTATATATATATATACATACATACAAATCTATATAATACCTCAAGGAGATAAACCCCCTCCAAACATACATTAAAACTATGTCACTGGTTTGAGATATATTAATTTTTATTTATCTGTGCGAACTTTATGTACATAATATTAATGCCAGAGTCTTTAAAACTACTAATATTTTAACATTTTTTTTCTTTTCTAGCTGACAATAAACAATGTATAGTCAAAATGCCTGTTGCAATAGAAAGAAGTGTCCGACGACAAAATATAAAGTTTATGCATAATAGAAACCAATTTAGCTTAGAATATTTTCAATTCATGAAGAAACTTATTATGTGCAATGGTCCTTACGTTAGTGGACCACATGAAAAGTTGGTAAGTTATTATTTATCTCATTTAGTTTTTAAATTTTATAAAATAATACATCAAAAAGTTTTAATGATAAAAGGAAATGGCTTTTTAATTTTATATATAGTTGCAATTTCTTTATATTGTTATTAGTAACATGCTTTACATTAATTTAACTCAATTTCCATATTACTATGTAATAGAAGTTTTAGGATTTTTTTTTCCTTTGTTATTTAGAAATAAATTTGAATTGTTCTTCACAAAATTTTAATAGTACTGAAAGTATTTTTTTTTATCAAACTTAAACTAGAAACTATAGTGACAAAACTGCAGTGTATAAAAACTAATTTTCTCTCTTTTTGTTATGTTTTAGAGTGCTGATGGTGAAGAATTAGCACTAATTAGCATTCAGTTAGCTTCCAAATTCCTCTTCACTACTGGGTTTCATGCCAAAAAGACACTAAGGTAATGTATCAAAAGTTTTTCATTTATATAATGTCATGTGTAGTTTATAACCAAATATTTTAATGAAAAATTTTAGATGTTTATTTTTTCTGTAATAAACTCATCTATTTAATATTGATTAATTTAAAATCCTGTTGAATGTCTAAATAATACAGTAGGATATCACAAAAGCTTATTCAATAAAACCTAACACTCGTGAAACATGGATGTTATTTAAAGAAACATATTTTCGATGTACTTAAATTCTCAGAAGAAATAAAAGAGCATTAAAGAATTTTAAAAAAAAGCAAGTATTTAATAATTTTGCATTTCTTAAGTTAAATATTTGCTGTCAAAACAGGCATAAAAAGTTGAAGGTTAAATTAACAAATGTGAAAAAAATGTTTTGGAATCACAATCTGGTGCATGTAAACATGAATAGATATTTCTTAACTATTCCCGTATATTTAATGTAAGCCAATTCCAACTTAAAACTATTTTGAACAAAGGTGTAAATTAAGCTCTCCAGCAAAATTCGTCTCTTTCAACTAGTGAAGTAGTTACTACAATTCTAAAGTAATATGTAGTCACTACGTTTTTAAAAAAATAGATGTAGTAAACTACAAAAATAAAGTAGTTTTTCCGACCTCTGTATATAAATATATATACACAGTCTTTGCGCAAATTATTAGACTCAACATAAGATTCTATGTAAAATCTTAATTATCAGGTGATACTATACAGCAATATTGTTTTTACACGGCTGAAACTGATATGTATTTGTTTTTGTTCGTGTATCTGTTGGTTAAGATTGTAATGCAATATGTTAAAAATAAATACAAATAGGAAGTATATAAAAAATCTTCTGAATGAAAATCCTTTACGTGTATATTAAAATATAAAGGTATTGCATATAAACTCGTGCAAAAACATGCAATTATTAAAACACTACAGTGCGTCTAATAATTTAGTCTAATTATTATAATTTACTAATTCAACACCTGATATAATAAATAGTATTTATTTATATAATATATCGTCTTATTTAACCAATTGGTACACGAACGTTAACAAGTGCAAACAGGTTTCAGTGGGGTAAAAACAATAAAGCTGTATAATATTACCTGATAATTAAGATTTTACTCAGAATCTTATAGTGCGTTTTATAATTTGGCCAGGGACTGTGTATATATATATATAATGTAATAAAGACGAAAAGGATAAAAGAAAAGAGACATTAATGAAGAAAACTAAGAATAAGTTTTATACAGAAGCACTTTTTATTTCTTGTGTGCTACTTTTATTACTAGAGCCTACTAGGGCTGGGCAATGTCAGAATTTCGATATTGTGGTATATTGTGAGCTTCATATCACGATATTATGATATACCGCGGTAATTAAATTGTTATGTATATTATAAATGCTAAGACTATTTTGCAATTAAAAATTAATGTGTTTAAAGAGCATCATTTAAAAAAAATGGGGTACTTATCCTATATTAGCTCGCAGCATAATTATCCCATGGAATCAACTAATTATAAAGCATCATTATTTTAAAACAGAAAAATTTTATTAATATAAACATCAATTACTAATATAAACATCAACACAATTATAAACATCAAAACAGTTATAAACATCAACACAATTATAAACATCAACAATTATAAATATCAACACAATTATAAACATCACAAGGAGATCCGACAATCTCGGATATTTTTAAAATCAGAAGCACGCTATTCTCAAAATGAAACCAAAATCAGTAACTAAGTATACCATGGAGGGTTGATATAACGCGCGGGTGTTTGAAATCCGATATCGCCAATACCACGGATATGACGCATGCGCTTTAAAGTCAAATGATACCACAATATATTGTAGGAGAAATTTCTAGCTGCCGAGAGGAGGTACCGTAAATATTACGCGCAAGCCTTTGAGTTCTTCACCCCTAAATCAATCACGTGCCATACCAATACCTCCTAGATACCATACCATACCGCCACTTCCTCGCCGCCGGTCGGCCGAAGATATTGGCTAGCGGTGAGTACCGAGAGGTGCAGGCATACCGAAGTTCAATAACTCGGTATTGCCGAAGAATATACTTCCGAATATCATTACCGCGGTATCAAAGAAATACCGGTAAATGACGGTATTACGGTATATTGCCCAGGCCTACTNAAAAATTTAAAAAGAGCTTTCTAGAATTCTTTTTATTCATTAGCTTCTTTTACATTTTAAGATTAATCTCCCTATGTTAAGTATGCTGAGAATAATAGAAAGATAATGAACTTTATGATCTCCTGTTATAGGTAATATGTTTCTATTTTTTCTATAGGGGGCCGGCTCCTGAGTGGTATGATGCTCTCTGTATACATCTTAGAAATTATTGTTCTGTTCGGCGCTGGTTTGCCAACAATGTTTTATTTACCAATCCCCATATCTTCTGTGAATATCTTTTAGAATGTCCCGGTTCAGAAGTAAGATTATTTGTTTGATAACTGAATTAATTTGATTTAAAAGAAATATTAAGGAAGTTAGAGACACCTTTTTGTTAAATTTGCTTGTTAAAGAATCTTGTCGAACTAAACTTCTGTAACTTTCGAAACTGAAACTTGTTTTGTTGTTAAAAAGGTTTTCTTCTCTTGTTTAACTTCATTTTCAGATTTTCAATTTAGAAAAATGTATATATATATTGATAGCAGGCATATTTCGAGACAAAATTTGTGACATAAGAACCAACAAGTTCATTTAATAGTTTACATATTTGTAACAGTTTTTGAACTAAATTATCTTACTTATTTTGAAAGTTATAAATATATATCTTGGAGCTTCCAGACTTTAAGTTCAGATCAATAGATATATATTAACGACCAAAAATCACTCTTATATCTAAAAAAAATGTACATTTTGTGTCATGTTAGCGCAATACGGTTTTGGCTTTTATTAAAGCATTTTTCTCATTGCTAACAATTTTGAAAGTTTCAGCTTATGTTCTATAGGTTAAAAAAAATATTTTTGCTTTAATTAATCGTTGTTAATATTTATACTGCTTGCAGTGATCTGCTAAGTAAGAAAATTAAGGACTCTTACTGAAATTTGTTTTTCAAAATCTAATATTTCAAGATTCTTGTGTCTCAAACTTTCTTTGAACAGTTAAAAGTAAAATGTTGTAAGAATATATGATAATTATCCAAATACTTTTTTTTTATCTGTTTGATTATTAGTAAGCTTGATTTAAAAACTAATATTTTTTTTTAAAAAAAAGACTAAACTGCACTGAACTTGACCTTTTAATAAGGACAAGGTTCTAATAAAATTGTCAATTAATTGTTAGATTATGTAGTAATGGCTATTCCAATATCTCTTATTTCCATGATAGTGCCAAAATGTGTTTCATATTTGCAGAGGTGCCAACTGCTGCCGATTTTCCGTATGTATTCAATTTATTTATTTTTTTAAATACAGAACTACAAAGATATTTAAACTATCAAAATTGGCCTGCTACCTTTTATTCATAACAGAATCTGTTTTTGATAGCTTTTGCTATATTTTTCTGAGAAAAATACTTTTTCTTTTCTCTGCCTACTACTAACATCATGTGCGACTTCTAATTCGTTAAATTTTCTTCTTTTTTCAGATCTTTATGTCTTTGTTGAACTTTCCTATTGGGTTTTCATAAGATTTGTATTACGAAATTGCAAGTTTTGCAATGTAAAAATTGAGAAATCTATTTTTGGTCAAAGCTTGAAATATATAAATAAATCCATTGTTTCATATTGTTTTACGCTAATCTAAACTCTGTAAGTTAGTAGTTAAGTAATCACATTACTTATCTCTTTTTGTAAGTTGATTTTAATCCAAATACTTTACTCTGATTTATGTATACTAACTCTTAAAATAAATCTGAATATATTTCCTACAGTTTGGTTTAGAATTCTTTCTTCAAAAAAACAATAACTCTGTTTATATTGTTTGTCTTAATCTATTGTATTTTATTTGTATATTTTAATTTTTTAGTTTAAAAATTGCTGTATATCTGTTATAAATTATCATTATACATTCTAGTTTGTAGGTGAAGGTCAAATTCTAAGCAAGCAAAGTTACTGTTCAAAAAACATTTGTGTAGTAATTTATAGGGACAAGGCAGAAAAAAACAAAAGTAAACTAAGAAATTTACTTACGAAGCAGCATTCCTGACATCTGTTGAACGAACATGAAAAAGAATGAATAGCTATTTTTAAAATGTCTCTCGTAAGCATATAATTGTTAAATAATTATTTTCCCTTCTACCGGGAGCCAGAGCACTTAAGAGCTGTGTTTTTTCTGGAGCTGGAGATCTAAATTTTTCCATGCTTCAGCAATTTCACTATCCTATCATACAGACATTCAAGAGGCCTACTTCATTGTAATGACATTGCTCAATAATAAAATTGCTATGCAAAGACAATTCTTATCATTTACAATGATTTAAGGTTAAATATGAAAGAATGAAGGAGAATTTATTAGATTAAGTTCTTTTCTTAAGATTAAACTACTAACTCAACAGTTAATTAAATATTTTTAATTTCTGTGCTAGCTCATGATTGTTATTATTTTTTAATGTTTCTTCTTATAATAGAAATTTGAAATTTAAAATATGAATCTTAGAAGCACGTATGAATATATAATAAAAATTTTGAAGACCTAGCAGAGCTGCAGCTTTCAAAAAAATTTTCAGCTTTGTGTCCCTGCCCTTTTGGGGATTTCTTATTCTGAACATTGTTGCACAAAACAGCAGATGTATAAGTGTTTCTTTGTACTGAGGAGACAACTAAGATCGAATTTTCTCAGCCAAAAAACAAAGTTAAAACTCTATAAAACACTCATACTTCCTGTGCTGCTTTATGAAAGTGAAAATTGGACCCTAAATTCAGATATACAGCTGACACTGGACACCTTCAAAAGAAAGATCCTCAGAGCCATCTTTGGCACAACAGCGCCATGAAAATCGTCACCTTTAATAACTCCGAGGGGTCGCGTCCCAAAGGCAGACCCCCTACTAGATGGCTCAACAACATAGAAAATGACCTGAAAACCCTAAAGATGAAAAATTGAAAGGGAGTTGCCATGGATAGGAGGCGCTGGTTTTTGTCTGCTGTTGAGGCAGCCAAGGCCTGCAAAGGGATGTTATGCTGACAAAGAAGCAGTAGACGAATATGTCTTTCCCTTCTAAATGCTTGTGTGAAGTAGGTGTAATCTTCTGAAGGACGGTTTCGTTTTTTTCACGCAGTATCATCTGAATTAATGAATATCAATTATTGAAAATTAAATTAAATCATATATAGTGAAACTTTTGGGAAAGACCATCTCTAAGAAGCGACCTCCTCTATTTGCGACCACTTTTGGGAAGGGCGCATTTTTTTCACCATAGACTTTGTGTTGAAGAAAACCTTGAGGAGAGATCATCAAAACCTCTCCCAGCGACCGGGTACCAAATAGGGAGAAGGTCAAAGAAGGCAACACGAAAAATATCAAAATGAAACATATTAACAAAACAAATAAGTAGATTAAAATGTATTCAAATTTTTGTGTAAGGTTCTATTTTAGAGAGCTCTTTTTGACGATCTTTGAAAGGGATCTGCAACCTCATGTTGCAATCACAGTGTACTAAAGACGAAGCTATCAATAATTTATTTTTAGAGTTGAAAGCTGAATTTTAAAAAAAGAGTTATTTTTGAAAAAAATCTAGTTTGTTTTTCCTTGTATTATATCAGTAGGGATAATGTTTATTGACGCTGAATTTTAATCATCAATCTGGTTTTCATGACTCCATCACAAGTGGCATTTCTGCACCAAGGAAATGACACTAACTAAAAGTGAAATCATTTTCAAAAAATCATGCACTTTCAATTATATGTTGAAGTTAATGAAGGTAATCCCTAAACCTCCATCAAAGACACTTTTGCTGTGGAACAGAGATCGGTCGCTCCAAAGAGGTTTTGCTGTATTATCTTTTCTCTTAAGTGTTTTCATTAAAAACTTAGTTTTATATAATTTTATATTGTCTTAAAAAGATATAGTTGAAAACGGCATAGTTAAAAATTTTCTTTAAACGACTTTGACATAGTTGAAAACGTCTTTTCCCACATTACCATAAGTTCTCAAATATTTACAAGAGTATTTATTCTTTACTATTCTGTCCTTTTTAGGATTTTTTTTCTTTTAAATTATGAAATTTTAAACTTATAAAGAAATATCTTGTAAAATTAATAAAATCTGTGATTAGAAATATTTAGCAACTTAAAAATTATTTTAGTTAGCAAAAATATTTGTGTTAGAACTGTTAATATTATGTTAATATATTAATTTTTTCAGCAAAAGAATTCTTTTAAAAACTAAAGTTTTTTTCCATGTTAAAATTTTTTATTTACCATATTCACCAGTATGATTTACAAATATCTTTTTTTACTATATTTGTGCTACAAAAATGAGTTGCTTATATCCATTTTACTCTTTTCCAGGTCCGCCTTGCGTTCATGCGTATTCTTGTATTTATAGCTCATTTCGCATTGCAAGATGGCCCCTACACTCCTCCTGCTTTAGCCAATCTTCGTAAGTTTTACTTGAAATACACTAAAAATACTATTTATGTGTTATAAAATGCATTACACTGCAATTATTATATTATGCTACATGTTTATTTTTAATTCTTTTATTTACGTTGATCCAGGTTAAACCTAGTAGGCCGAAGTAAGACCTGCTTCTTCCCCCCACTTTGAACCAATTTTTATTTTCTTATCAATGGAAAAATAATCCTCCACATGAAAATTTTTTCAGAACTTGCATGGAATTTAATGAAAATTTGCATACATTCAAGAAAAAAAAACCCGAAAAGCCGAATTTTGCAGGGTCTTTAATTGAAGTTGGGGGCAGGCAACATTTTGTAATAATTTAGGATCTTAAATATAATTTGAAAAGAAATGTTATTGTTAATCACAAGTTTTCTTTTGTATAATGTTGTAAGTAAATTATTTCTCTACATAACATGCAGTTGTAAATAAAATTACTAATAAGGTTTTTCAAAAGATTAAAGCAAATGATATTGCACCAAAAAGTTTAAACAGCCATTTTCTTATATTTTTTTAAATGTAAACTAGATTGTATTAAATGTACTAGCTTGATTAAATACAACTTAAATCAAATAAAAATATATGTATCAAAATGAAGTGTGGAAAAGCTAAAAGAATTATTGTTGCCAGATTATTATTAAAGTATTTACCTCTTTATTGTAGGCTACAATATTAAATGGTGCAAATTAACAAATAAGAAAATTGTTAGTTGAATTAATTTATATTATATTTAATCAATGTATGTATCACATATTAAGTTCTGCAATGCAGTTTGCCTGGGAGAAAAATTATATGTTCTTTATCATTACAGCCTATGCAGTTGATGCTAGTGCAACTCTTGCTGATCACTTAATAGTAGCTGTTTTAAATTTGCTCAAAAAAGAAGTTTCCGAACACGGAAGGTCCCTCACTCAATATTTTAGCCTCTTTTCAATGTTTGCTTCCCTTGGAGTTGCAGAGGTAACCTTTTAGTTGTGATTTTTTGATTTTGTGATTTCTGGTTCAAAATAAAAAAGAAGCACCCTAATTTATTTCAATATTTTAGCGAACCATGCTTCTTAAATTAAATGTTCCTGCTACATTTATGAAAGTTGCTTTAGACGAAGGTCCGGGTCCTCCTATAAAATATCAATATGCTGAATTAGGAAAGTTATATCAAGTGGTCAGTCTACTGATAAGAAGCTGTGATGTTAGTTGCAAAACACAATCTTCCCATGTAAGTCAAACTTTTATTTTTTTTAAATGTTTTTTTTATTTACAGTTCCTACTATCTAATTGATGATCATTGTATTTCATGAAAATGTGCATTAAGTTAAGATACCACATATCACATTTAGTGAAAGTAACAATACTATAGACTTCCATTTTAATACATAGTTCTCCCCACAATTTTAAAGATGTAAAACAATTACTTTATTTAATAAGAATAAACAATCTTGCTGTTTTAAGCAAACTTATTTTTGCAATGTATTTACAATACTATATAATATTTGAAATTCTTCATTTGTTCTTCCAATTTGCGTTAAAGTCAACTGATTCCGGTGGCTCATTCACAGAAAGTATTATTGTAGGGCTTGTGACAATATCCAACTGTTTTTTTTTTCCAAGCTTTAATCGATTTACCTTAATATTATTAATATTGAGGAACTCCTCTTGCCGACAGGCTAACCATGGGAGGTTTTCGTGGTTTTCTTCCATGTAATGCAAATGCTGGCTAGTTCCAACAGAAACTGTTCCACAACGGCAGTATTTCTCTAAATACTTGATCCAGGAGTTCCCTTGTCTTCTGGATTGGGTTCAAAATTGCAAGTATACGGAGTTGAACATTGGTAGTCGTAAACACAAAAATCGGGCCTGCTATTTAGCGACGGTTATAAAAGCTATTCCTTTTTTTTTTTTTTTTTTTTTTTTTCTTTTTCTTTTTTTTTTTTTTTTTTTTTTGGCAGAATATAGATATTTTACAAATTTAGCAAATTTCTTCAAGGTAACAGAACAATACCCGGAAACATCTGGTTGCCTAAATTGTGTTTTTCACCATAAACACTTTCCTGAACAATTTTAAATGTGGCTTATCATGGCCGAAGTCGTTAAATTAAATTTTTCTTTAAAGAGGTGAAAAACAAAACCATCCAAGTTATGTTTTGTTGTTTTCCATAATCTTATGTCACAGCTTTAGTTCTTGCTTATTGATTGAAAAAACAATTGTCTGAGTTGAGAGATTTTTAATCTTCTACTTTAATAGCTTTGAACTGTTTCTTTTTGTCGTAATATTTTATGTCTCATTTTGGTTAATTTTTTTTAGTTTTTTTTTTATTATGTTAGTTTATTATTGAAATCATTAAAAAAATTAAAATTCATAAGTAAATTAAACCATAATAAATTGAAATTCGTACGTAAATTAAAAAATCGTAAAATCTATGTAGTAACAGCAAAATAAAAATTGATGGCGAAATCAAACGAATAGAACTATTTATAAAAGAGACTTAAATAAGTGCATGTAAAGCATGATGTTCTTTAAAGAAAAGAACAATTAAAGAACATCGTTTCTAGAGCAAACTATCTTTTAAACTTTCGCGATTTCTTATTTTATATTATTAATTTGAATATCTAGCTGAAGCCAATCATTATGGACTTTTTTAAAATCCCGAAGGAGAATAGAAAAATTAAGATTTTTTCTTTCCTCTTTGATGCGCAAAAAAGACATCTTAGGAGAAAAAAATCTGCAAAAAGACATTTTTCAAAAAATATTGTAGAAAGGAAAACCAAAATGTTTCCCTTCCCAAAGGAAAAATCTTTCTACGAAAACTTAATATCGCTCTGCATCAATTTAGTCGCAATTCTGTCATGGGGATCATAAAATCATTTGTTGTTGTTTTTTTGTACATTTTACACTATTGTTATGCGTGAATGATATATTTGAATATCACTTATCTTTATAGGGTGGAGCACCATTGCCTAATCCTTTTGTAGGTGATAATGTTCATCAAGATTATATAATGCCTATACAACCAGAAGTGGCTGAAATACTTTATAACAATACATGGTAAATTTCAAAACTTTTATGGTGTTGAATAATTTCTGTGAATATTCCTTTAAACCATATATGACATGGTGCATAGCATTTTTAAAAAGTGCTTTAAGTTGCTTATTTTCATTTTTCGTTTTTCAAAAGCCCTTAAAGGTACTTTTTTCATTGAGTGTTTTTAAAAAGTGCTTAAGTTTTATTTTTCGAAAATTAGATTTTTTTTCTTTATCTCTTCCCCACGTATTATTCTAACGTGTGCTTTTCACATTGTTCTGTTCAACCTTTTCACGATTCATTCATCCACAATCAATTTCGGAATACCGTTGGTCCGTAGCATACACAAGCACCAATCATTTTTTTTGTTCAATGAAATAATTTGCAAGTCCGCATGTGCGTCTACTGAGCTGGGTTCGGAGAGATTATTGCACTCTCATGTGCAACTCTACTGCATTTTGCAAGATATTCTCAATTTCAGGCTTCATTTTCCACCATCTGATATTGAACTAAAAAATCTCTTTATATTTTTATTATGGCTAATATAATCCAGAAACGCTAATATGATCTTTTTCAGAAACTAGTTATTTTATCATGATCATGTAAAGTCTTTGTTAATGCATACTGTGCTCAAAAAAAATTTTTGAGTTATTAAAAAAGTACATAAAAGATGCTTATTTTTTGTTGAGAGATTTGGTTATGCACCCTGTAAGAAGTTAATATAAAAGTAAAAAATATAAACTAGTTAATAAAAAAGGTGAAGAAATTAGTTTTGTTATAGTTGTAGAAATATTTTAAATATTCTTAATGTTTTTTTAACATTGTAATTATGAAATTTGTAATAAATATATGCACTTGATTTCCCTTTTAGCTACCTGAAAAAAATCATAGAAGATGCAAATACTTCAGAAGATACATTTAGACTTCTAAAGGTATATAAATTTTAACTCTTTCATTCTTTTTTAAATATTTATTAAATATAATCCTTCCCTTCAACTCTGATTTTCGTAAATGGGGATAGAGTTTTAGATGTCTTTAAGTAAGACATGAAATTTAATGTCTGAAACTTTACAAAAATCCATTAACTATATATAACCTGGACTTCTAAAAGCACTATGCGATTATTATAATAAATAATAATTTTTTTAAAAATAATTTTTAAAATTAACTGAACTGGCAGAAAAAAGTTAAAGGTTTTGTTTATATCTCCGTAATCTGTTACTTTTTAAAATTATTAATAAGTTATTCGCATATGAGTCATTATTTTTGAAAACGTAATATGCCCATTTAGTGCTAAAAAGTGGTATTTTATTTACAAGTTTAATAATCATTGTTACGTATTGATACTTTATCAAATTATAGTGTTTAAATCATCACCAAAATTAATTAAAAGTTTTATTAAACTTTGTGTTTTTTTATTATAAAAACTTTTTTTTTTAAATATTTTTGAAAAGTGAAAAAAAATATTTAAGTTTCCTTTTATAGCTGAGTAGAAAGTTCTTAAAAAGTTTTTGTCCTGTATAACTAAAATGTGTCATGGATTTTTCTTTTAGTTTTGTTCGTGGGAGAATCCTCACTTTTCTTCTATGGTGCTGAATGAATTGCTGTGGCAGGTTTCTTATTCATATACATACGAGCTTAGACCCCATTTAGATCTATTATTGCATATGCTTCTGATTGAAGATTCTTGGCAAAATCATAGGATACACAATGCTCTGAAAGGTAACACATACACACATCTTATTGTCACACGAAGATTAATAATAAAACTGCAATCGATATTTATTAATAGATATTGGTTTTTATTATTATATTTATTGCAACGATTGAAGATTACTTTTTTTCTAAATTTAAAAGCAAAAGTACGAGTTTGACAAGACATTTTTGAAATTTTAATTTATTTATTTTTTTTGTCGTTTCACGTATTGAGTGTTTAGATGAAACTAGCCTAGATGCATTGCAAAAATATGATACATATATTTTTTTTTGTATATACTTTACGTGATTTATTTTGAAATATAAAAATAAAAAAGCTTTAGCGTTCTATTTTTTAAAAAAAAAAGTTTTTAGAAATTTTAAACTCTCAGTCATTTTCCTTTCAAGTTTAATGAAACACTTTTGAAGAAAATATGGTACCAATTGGTGCTACAAATTTATTTTTTGACGCAATAGGCAAAAAAAAAATTTTTTTTTCTTCGGTTTAATAATTTATAGGAAATAATTATAAAACTTACTTTGTTTAAAGCAAGCTTCTAATATTTAGCAAATTTAACTGTATAAATATTAAGCTAACATAAATGCTTTATTTATTTATTGAATAAAATTTTTATTTAGAGAAATTGAGATAATGCAATTTCTTAAAATGTAATTTTTAAACATTTGAAAATTGTTAAAGTGGAGCGTTTTGTAATTATCTGAGATCCATTTCTTAAAAAAAAAAATTTATTTACTTGCCTGGACCTATTATTTTTGAAAAGAAAATAATGCACTTTTACTGGAACAGAAATAAATTGTTAAAAACTAATTTCTCATAAAAAGTTAATAACAGATTGCGATCCTATGTCAGGCTAAACCTGACATAGGATTGCAATGACAAATTTATAATGTCATACTGTGTCCAACATATTATCGCAAAGAGTTACTTAATGAACTCTAGTTATTTACATTTATTTTTACTTGTGTTATGATATAATAGATAACAGAATTTCTTTTTAAGCAGCTAAATTGATTCTTCAATTAAAATAGTCTTCCTAAATTTGTTTTTAAAAGTGGTAAGAAATATTTTAAAATATGCAATATATTAAATATATAATTGTAAAAGTGTCATTTCTTTCAATATTAATAACTGTTATTAATGGGTTAGATGTATTTTTATCATATTTTTTTTTTTAATGAATTATACTGTACTAAGTCCCAAAATGTGAATATAGTGTAACATCCCATATCCGGACGTCCCTTTCCCGGAAGGATCGATTTCCTGGACACTTTTTAACAATCAAAATAAACAAACATCTCTTGATCTTCCCCTCTCAAAAAAAAAACAGAAAAGACCACCAAGTCCGTGGAGTGACCATTAGTGACGCTCCTCTTCTGGAATGCAGGGAAAGAGGGTAATTTGTTTTCAATAGAGCACAACTGAGTCCCCTCCCCCCTTCTTCTTTCGTATGCAGCTGGCTAGTAGATGAGGCATTTCCTGGAACCTTTTTACTGTAGAAAAGGGTAANCACAAATGCAAATTGTTTACAATTGGTAAAAGTGCTCGCCCTCGCGCCCTAAAGGGTGTTAAAGTGTTACCCGTAAATTATTGATCTAACCGAAAAACCTGGATGACCCAGCAACTCATGGAAGAATGGTTGGACAACGATTTTGTGCCGCAAGTCAGAAAGCATTTTCAGTCGATTGACTTGGAAGAAAAAAAGCCACTTTTAATACTGGATAATTGCTCTGCCCACAAAATACCGTTATTGATGGAAAGGGCAAATGTTTCTGTTGTGTTCTTGCCACCCAACTGCACTTCAATTTTGCAGCCGATGGGTAACGGTATCTTGAGATCCTTCAAGTGCAAATATAAAACGCAATTCTTGATGTCAATGCTGACCTCTTTAAATGATGGCCAAGACTTCGTTAAGTCTTATTCCATAAAGACTGCCATATGGAATATAGCAAAAGCGTGAGATGAAGTTGATCAAAAGACCCTTAAGAATGCTTGGAATAACATTTGGCCAGCAACTATTTTTTTTTTTGGTAATGATGAGGATGAGCCCCTCTTTGAGGGTTTTCGTCCAAACAAAGAGAAAGAAAGTGTGAGAGAGTTGTTGCACTACATCAAAAGTCATTGTGAGAGGGAAAAGTTAGATGAAGAAGATGTTGTAGAAACACTAAACTGCGACGATGATGCCCCAACTATGTCCCAATTAACCGACGAGGAGATCAAAAACATAGCTTTAAACAAACAGGATAGTGAAGAAGAAATAGCAGAAGAGAGGATTTCAACTGACGATTTAGTTAATCATTTAGATATTGCCATTAAAGGACTGGAACAAAGAGACTATATTTCTGAACAAGAAATCATGTCCCTTCATAGGATTAAGGAAAAATTGCTCAATAAGAAACCGAAAATGAAACAGCTTTCTTTAAAGGATATGTTTAAAAAATAAAATATTTATAGTGCCTACGCATTTTTTATTAGGAGTTTTTGATTTCTATGTAAGGTAAATAATTGATCTTTATTTTACGTAAGCATTTTTTTAATATTTTGTTTGATTTAAATCGTTGAGAAAAGCAATTTTTTTTCTGGTTTCTTGTAACATTAATTTAATTTTTTTTGTTGTCATTTTAAAGCTTTTTAAATGATTAGTTGCAATTTATTTACGTGATGTGTTACGGACTTATACTTTGCTTATTTTAAAAATCAGAAGTTTTTTTTCCTTAGATGGTTGAGTCAGTAATTCCCTCTTCTTTAATGCATTTTATAACTGCGTATTTGGCGTAATTTTGATAAATAATAAATTTTCTATGATGCTAATGGTTAGTTGATTTTCCCGACGACCACGATAAATTGACAAATTATGTATTAAAGTTTTAAAAAAAAAAGAAGAAATAACAGTTTGGCGTGTCGATAATCGTGACGTCGATTGTCGTTTTCAATAAGTACGATGGTTTTTTGTATTTTTTCTAAGTTAGTGTTGTCAATTATGTCTCGAGGTGTAATATTGCGCCAGATTATTTTTTAAACGATTAAATAAAGCATAGTAATATTTAAACATTATTAATGAATAAAGAACAGACATATTTCGGCCGTTTTAGAATTCCAATGCAATTCTTTTATTCACCTCATTTAGTAAAGGATAGCTGTGTATTTTCTTTAAAAGATTTCTTTTCAACTTGTCAAGTGATAACAATCCTCCCCCTCTTAAGCCAGGCGAAATTAATATGCCCTTCCTTAACGTTGTTTTGACAACCACTAACGTGATTCTTTCAGTCCCACAAGAAAAAATAAAGATAACTCCATCAGCATGCCGCGCCCTAACGCTTGATTGATAACTTCCCCGCCCTCAACTTGAATGATCTCTTTACACATATTTTCTCTACACAAATAAGGAGGGAATGGATTTTTCTCCCCCACCTACCCNTCATTAGTTTTCTCACAAAATAGATGTTTGCATTTTTTGATCAGGAATTACCCCAGGTCACCCTAATTGTAAAAGTGTCATTTCTTTCAATATCAATAACTGTTATTAATGGGTTAGATGTATTTTTATCATATTTATTTTTTTTTAAATTAATTATACTGTACTAAGTCCCAAAATGTGAATAGTTTCATAATTTAGTTCATTATAGTAGTCGTAGTCAGGGGTCTGTCTAGGTTTATCTGAGAGGTATCTATTTTGTGAAAATTTAGACATAATTTGTGAAAATTAAAATTTTATTAAAAAAATCAACACAAAATGTGGTAAAAATATGGATTTATCGTTTCTTATGGTATACAAAAATAAAATTTAAGGATAAAGTATTTTGTGAAGGTACTGCTAAACGGTAGTAAATTTGGCCTGAACAGACCCCTGGTAGTTGTTAATTTACGTCGCACTAGAGCTGCTCGATGGGCTAATGGCGGCAGTCTGGGAAACATCCCTGAGAATAATCCGAAGACATGCCATCACAATTTTGATTCTCTGCAAAAGGGATGGCATCCCCGCTTCAGTAGCCCGAGGACCTGCACACAAAGTTGAGCACTTTACGGTAGAACAGTTTAATGAGGACCTGTACCACACACTCTCGGTCCCTACGCAGACTGAGCCATGTGATCACCCACCTGCACACTGACTGCAGCCAGTGATGGTTGAGTGCTGGGATCTGTCTTAACGATCAGTTCACTGTGGGACTTAGTTCAATATAATATTAACCTTTTGCTCTCAAATTAATCTAATATGCTTTTTAAACTTACGTAAATACTAAATTATTTATATTTTACAGTATTTTTATATAATTTCTAAATTTCATAAAAGAATGTGGTTACTAAATTATTAAGAAATAAAAATTTTAAGTTTTAGAGTTGTGACTTTCGATTTCAGTGTATAGGTGTCAATGAAATGCAGAAAGCCAAGCAACATTTATAATTCCATAAATAATTTTTTTTTGTCATTCAAAAAAAAATAATTATATATTTTGAAGAAAGAAAATATAGGTATATAACTTCCATTTCACTGACTTTAAGCCCTTTATAAATTTTTATATTAATTTACTTTCTATGTTTTTAAAAATAAAACATAAGTTTATTTTTAAAAATAATTAATAAGAATGCTTCGTTGTATTTTATTAAATAAGCAATCAGTGAAGAAATCCCTTAGGCATAAAAAAATAGAATGCATTTAAGGAACTCAAATTTAGTTGGAACTAAAATTTTGCAATTTAAAAGTTTTGTAATCAATGTATTCTTTACTGGAAATATTTAAAGAGTTGTTTTCAATTGTAGTGTGTGAACAAAGCAATTTAAAATACTGTGTTACTTTGTATAGTTCTGAAGTTTTATGTATAACAAATAGTATGAACCATAGCATTAGTAGGAACTCAAATATAATGGGAACTAAAATTTTGTTATCAATGTATTCTTTACTGAAAATGTTTTAAAAAATTGTTTTCAATTGTAGTGGATGTGGACAAAGAAATATTAAAGCACTGTTACTTTGTATAGTTCTGAAGTTTCATATTTAACAAATACTGATTTCACGATATTTTTATTGAGCCTTTTTGATTCCTTAACTCTTTAAAAATTCTATACTATGTTAAAAAATGTAATCATATAATTTTAATCATAAATTATATAAATGTATAATTTTTGTATTTCATTAAAAATTCTTTACTCTTTGAGAAAATGTGGATGCATTGTTATATTATTTATTTTCATAGCCTCTTTCAGGAACTGTGAATGCTCAATCTTTGAATTTTAATTTCTACTTACTTGAATGTTGATTTTCAGATATTAAAACAAACTAAAACATGTTCTTCCAAGTTTAGTTGTTTGCGTAGCACTTCAATTCAGGCACACATTTAAAAAATAAATAAAATTGAAATATCTTAAGTTAAATTAAGATCATGCAACTATAGTTTCCTGTAAGGGTTTTGAATCAAGACTGTTTTGGGAAGCAATTAAAAATATATTTTTGTGGAATATGAAATAGTAATCAGTTTCTAAATTTTACATATCTATTTTTTTTTCATGTGCGATACATATTTAGTTTCACAGATTTTGCAAATTTAATACATCTTAGACTATTTAAAGAAACTTAATAAGAATGTCTGAATAATTTTTAATTATAAATAAAAGAATTGTCAGTTAAAAAAATGTAGTAGTTATTTCTTAATAAGAAATTTTTTTAGAAATTTGTGGCGAATGATATTTAGCAATTTATAAGAATAGTTTTATTTGAATATTATGAAATTATTTTTAAAAAAATATTTTAAAAACTCCCTTAATAATTGGACTTTTTGTTACTCTATAATCCCCAATATATTTTGTTTATCTCAATTTATGATGCTAGATAATAATAAATATTCAAACTATTTTGATTTTTCAAATTTAAAAAAAAATAATAATTAAATAAAAAAAACTATCATAAGCAATAAAACGCTGTTGACAGACACATTATAGAAAAAGTTTTTCCCGGCATACACTGACTACCAGCAAATACTCATAACTTACCAAACATCTAGAAAGTTTTCACATTTTTTTTATGCTTAAAAATATGCTACAAAAATATAATTTTCTTTAAAAAATTTCTATATTTCTGTGAACACGCACTAGGTTTACAAAACTGTTTTTACATACTACGCACAGTAAAGATATACATGTGTACAAGTTATCGCAGCATTTTCAAATATGTATTTTCTGGTTTTTCAAATGTTAGTGGTCCCCTAAACTCTTTTCTGCTTATCTATGTTGAAATATATGTGTAATCGCATGGCCCTAATGTACCTAAAGCATTCTAATCATAATACAGGGTATTTCAAAATGTATATAGCGATTTCAAACAGCTATAACTATTTAATTAAAAATAATTTATCGATAAACAGAGATCTCTCGACTTGACAACCTGCGATTTCTATTTATGGGGTATGTGCTTCCCATGCCCAAAACAATGGAAGAACTTCTGCATTCCGTGTAAATTTATTTATAAATTCTTTTTAATTAAATACAGTGCACTCCCGATTATCCGGGTTAATCACCGGAACAGGTCGCACGGACAATAGAAAAACACGGATAATCCGAAAACTCCTTTTTATTAAAGAAAAAATCAATATCAGTACAAAAAATATACAAATTTCTGTTACTGTATAAATCACTGTATAAAATCAAACTAGTAATTTTCCATTCAACATTCGATGCTTAAAAAATGTGTAATGCGCCATATATTGACGCATACTTTACGAACCGCAGTAATGTCACCGTAGTCAAATCCTCCCATATAATCTAATAAAGTTTCCACAGATTGAAGAGAAGCATAAATTGTATTTCCATCATTCACTACATCTTCTGCATCAGTTACTATCATCACTATTTGATTTAACTACATAATGATGTCTTCATCTGTCAAATACAGGAAACCAGGCTGACATGCATCACTTTAAAATCAATCTTCTAAATTTCCTTCATTGAGAATTTCTAAACCTTAGATTTCTTTTGCTTGTTCGAGAATACTGTTATCATATTCTTCTTGAATATCTAAAGAAGATTGTTCATCATGCGTTATGATCTTTCTCCACGATCGTGATAACGTAGACGATTTTACCTTTGACAATGCTGCTGATATTCCATACACTGTAATCCAATTACGAATATTGCTATCCAAAAATTTGGTAGTGTTATAACTTCATGAATCAAATTTTTTAATCTTGAAAATGTTTCTCTTTATATTTTTTGTGTGACTCCGAAATGAGCACGGATAATCCACAAACCGGATAATCCACGCACGGAAAATCGAGAGTGTACTGTAATTATAGCCGTTTGTAATCACCATATTAATTTTTAATTACCATGCATTTAAAATCTTTTAATTTTGGCTACTAATAAGAGTTAAAGGTTTTTATACATAATTTTTATTAAAAGTTAAGCATATTTTAACTGTCAGGTGTCACAATTTTTAATTTATAAAATCTCCAAATTACTTTTTACCAAGTTTTTTGAATTTTTGATTTCACAAAATTTTACAATTTTTAAGAAGTTAAACTTATCAAATATGATTCAAAATAGTTTATTGAATGTAAGTTTGCTATGTTTTATATTGATATTGGTTTAATTTAAAAATATTATTCTCAAAAATAGTATTTTGATAAAAATTATCTGTTGCAATTTTCATTATAGAAATTGAAAATAATTTGTGAAAAGATTAACGCTCTAATGCACAATGCAAGTTTTATTCCATCTTATTTTAGTCCTGGAAACCTTTATTTTTATAAATATTGGTTATGGGCAATAATAAGACATTTATGTTGCATAATTTTTATATTTATTTTAATAATCTAACATTTATATTCTCTTAGTAATGATCTATTTAGTGCACCTAATCAAGCGATTGAATGATAAAGGTTCAAATTTGGAAACTAGTAAGTCAATCCATAACAAATAAATTTTTCGTACTGAAATATTAAATAATTATTGATAATCGTAATTTCTTTTGTATTTTTTTATTTAAATTATTAATGGAACATTGTTATTGATAACATACATTTTGTTTTTGTATTTAAAGAAAAGATAGATTTTAAGATAAATTTTTTATAAAAAGTACTAATTTTCTTTGAAATTTAATTTAGAATCATTCTGCAAAATTTTTGATGAAGCTGTTTACATTTATGTCCCTTTCCTTTTTAGTTTTTTAATTTTCATCCATAATGTTATATTTAAAATAAATTTGAGATCTGTGATAAGATTTTTTGAGACAATAATATTAGTACTGTAGGATGATCTTAATGGGTACGAGGAGGTTAAAAGAGACATTGGAATTTAAATGAACTAATACAATTGTTGCAAGTTGAGAAAAGACCATTGCAGTAAAGCTTTTAAAATTCAAACACTTCAAACAGAAATTTAATTTTTGTCTTGTATCTTTTATGATAAATATCACAGAATTATTAAGAAGAGGGTTATAGTTTTGAAGTCTTATTGGAATCCTAGACTTGCTGACATATTTCAAAAAATAAGGAGAATATTCGTTCTTGAGAAAGAAACAACTTTATGACATTGCAAGAACATTTTGATTTGATTGGCCCACTAGAAATGGCAGTAACAAATAAACATGCCCGTAACAAATAAAATGCGAGATTAAGAGTTTTCACTGTAGAAGAAAATAGTCTGCAAGAAACAATATTTATTATTCTTTCATCAGTTATTTTCAATGCAAATTGAAAGACGTTTGTTATGATTTTTAGATATTTTTATTCATATTGTTAATTGATTATTCAATAAGTTTTGTTTTCCACCTTCCACATGATTGAAGAAAGCAAGCAAAAAGAAGGCTGTGCAAGGTTGTTTCAAGAGTTGGCTCTGTTGATATGTGTTTGCGCTGGGAGCTTGGCATCCATTTGACTTAAACTTTGATAGAAGCACTCTCTTTCTCTGAGATAATGGTTTTTTCTTAACTTGCAACAGAGTGTAGAGTTTTTATATCTAAAGAGAGTTATGCGACGCAACTTAAAAATTACCCAGATGAGGGTTATGAAAGGGATTTAGTTACCTAATTTTTCGAAATTTCTATTAAATATTACTTCATCACTAAGCCTCAAAATTATGTTCGATATATCATGTTTGATATTTTCCGTATTTCGTTTTTGCTAAAGGTAAATGTTTATTTTTTTTAACGTGTTTAGTTTTTTTTTTTTTTTAAGGTGAAAACAATGAAAAAGATGCAAAAATTATTTCAGTTCTTGTTAACGGTTCGATACTATATAACTTCATTTTTAGCTTGTTTACTAAATTTTCAAATAGTGTAATAACTAAAGTGATGTGAGAAAAGTGTTAAGTATAGCATTCAGAGTTTTAAGATATTATTATTTGGAAAATGTAGGGTTATAATACATTTTATTTGTGTTTTTGATTGGTTAAAATTAATTTTAAAAGCAAGAGAAAAAAATATGTATTTATAATTTTGAAGATTCTACCAAATAAAAATACCCTGCCTATGTACTGTATGTTAATTCAACTGGAGAACTTTGTTTTTATTTCCTTAGAATTAATTTTAGCTTTCAACTAATCACAAATAGCTTAAAGTACCTTATAACTCTCTTTAGATATAGAAACTTTAATTTTACCAAATTCTTAAAAGTTACTTGATGTATGAGCACTTCTACCTCCAATTTATCAAAATTAATTGTAGGCTCAATTGTCAACATTTAGAACCTCTTATAAATTCTATGCTCTTTCCTATACCTAATTTTCCAATATTAATAATATTTTCTTTCTAACAGAAACTTACATTTGTAAAGAAGTCAAAACAGTATATCTTAACTACGCAGTATTAAAGGGAAAAAAAACTATAAAAATTGGCTTTTACATTGCTATAAATTTAATCCAAAATATAGTCTTATGATTTATATTTCCTTTTTCAATTTATGTAAATAAAATTAATCTTGTAGCAAATTTAGTCTAAGTCCTGTCTAAAGGCAGGAAAAAGTAGTATCATCTTCCATTTTGAAAATATGATTGTTTAAATCTTTTTCCTATTTTGAACAATATTGATGCATTAGAGAGTTAATTTAAATAAGTTATTCATTGACTTGCATCTTTGTCATTAGTCAAGTCTATTATTATTGCATAGTAAATAAAGCGTCTGAAAGCAAACTGCATTGATTACTTAATAGCTCAGAAAAACCTTTTTATTGTGCAAATTATATTCCAAAGTGTCAGAAATAATGTAACAATAATTATTTAAAAAAAAATTCCAATTTAAATGTTGAGAAAGAAAATAATGAGAAAGCAAATGAATGAAAAGAATTGGTATTCAAAAATTCAAGTAACTGTCCATCCTCTTAATATTTCTAATTTAGAGTTAAACAGTATACGTTTAAATTTTATAAGAAGTGGGTTGAGCATCTTATATAGACAGAAATTGGGTAATCCACATAAAATATTCCTGTAGAACAATATATGCTTGCACTTTCATACAGTTTTATGCTTAAAGAATTGATACCTTAGTAAACACGATATGACTCTTCAAGTTTCGAGCTATTTCTATCGATTTAATTTCTTTTTGCTGTTTCTTCAAATTCCTCAAACTCAAAAGCATGATGAGTTTTTTTTTTCTCCCTTCTAATTTGAAAAGTGAAATGTTTGACGAAAAGTCTAAGTGTTGCCATTGAGTTTTTCTGTTAATTGGTAGGTATTCATTCATGCATGTTGCTGTTTTGTAGGATTTAAGTATTTACATTGATCAATAGTAGCTTGAATTATAAAGCATTTGTGTAAAAAGAATGTATTTTTGAAAGTGGAACTGTCATTTCTATGAGTATAAAATTTAAAATATTAGTTCTTAGCTGATTAAACATTAGTGATCAACATAATTGGTTAGCCAAATAATGCCTCAATGTAAACAAAAATACAGACCATTAATTTGAAATGTTTATGAACTACATAATTTCATAAATGTCTCACATGCACATTTTAAGTAATTACACCTAATTATTGTCTTATCAGCTAAAGGAGGTGGGGCAATATGTTAAACCACACATTGAAATAGTTTGAGAGTTTTTTTTCTGAAAAAAATGCCATTATTTCCAAGTGGGAAGTAAAATGCTTGTATTGTTTCTGTTAACTAGTGAAAGTTCATTAAATATTTTTTTTATATGTCGTTCTTTAATTGCACTTTCAAGGTCAAGAAATCTTGCCGGCTAATATAGATATGCACCTCAAGGTGTAAGAGTTTCTTAAAGTTATAAGTATGGGCATCGGGAGGACGGACACTTGCCAAGAACAGTGCCCAACATGAAACTTGTTGCTTGTTACGAGTAGCTTAGTCACTTCAAGTTTTCTTCTTTAACCGCTTAACATAGTCTTTTTTCTGGCAAATTGGGTAAAAAAATAAGCATATTTTTGAGAAACAAATTTCTGTTAAAATCGATTATATAAACTCATAGCAAGAGTCAAAACTATTACAATTATTGATTTTATGAAATGACTTTAATTTTTATTTAGAGCAAAAACAAATGCATTTTTACTTAAAGTTGACTTTTCTACTAAGCTAGTGAAAACGAAATTCACGCCTTTTCCCACGTAAAAGAAAAGCGCCAAAACCTTTTGCAATCATACCTCTACTGGATTACCAGAGCCATCTGTTAGAAACATTGTAAACTAAAGAAAGAAAAAATTCGGGCAAATCATTGCTGTAGAGTAAAAAAAAATCAGTCGCACGAGCAGCGCTCAGGCAAAACAGAGAAGGCCCCTTTTCAAGTACCCGAACGATGTTCGGTCAAAACTGGGAAGTGGTTAATGTTTCTCAGATTATCAGGTGGTGCTAATCTGCAGAGTAACTAACTATTCTGGAAAAGTTTGACGTAAAAATGTCACATGTGGATAAAGTGTGGCTTATTGCTGTATTGCCCCAATCCTTTCAATTTAAAGTATTTAAATCATATTGAGACTTACAACTTAAGTTGGATGTTTCTTATGTAACAACCTAATTTTTATTTGTTTCAAATGCTAATGCATGCAGAAATTCTTTTCCCCGATGTATATAAACAGTAGACTCTTTTTAATCTGAACTTGGAATCATGGATATTTCATTATGAAATATATTATATAAATCATTCATCTGTATTGATTTCTAACCTGGAGGATCAGGGTGTCCCTCTTTGTCTGGTGTCTACCTTTGACCTGTCCTGCTTGGGAGGCCCTACCAAGAGCAAAAGCTTCCACCAGTACAGCACTTGGGTGGACATAAGCATGCAAAACCACTTCAATGTTAATACCATCGCAAATGGAATCATAAGTTAAGTGGTCATAAGATATTTTGAGCCGTAATAATTTATGATGTCAAAATGGATAATTGAAAATTTAAAATGGTCAAATACCTTTTTATTTATAGGTCATGTTTACCTTTAAAATTAAAAAAAAAATTAACATTTATTTATTGAAGAGAAATTTAAAAAAATATTCCAAAACGTTTTTCTCTCTTGCAGTTGGTGCTTTCGCTTACATAACTCAATTTTCATCTTGTGAACTTGAATTTTTCTTTTTTAAAGTTTAGTGGTACATATAACCCCTTAATTTGAAAACACAAAAGATTGGAAGAAAATAATTTCGCTGCATTAAACCATGTATAATTGAAGTAGAACTTTTATTTCTTGTTAAATACTTTTATATAGTTAGACTTTATTCCTTAAATGTTTTTTTTTTCCTGTAGTAATACATGTTTCTGTTCATTCAGATTTCTGAATAATTATAGCATTTTAGTATTTTTGTGATGCAATTAAAAAGAGTCTACTGTGTTTTATTACTGTAATTAGTATTATTTTGCATGGTGTAAAATATGTTTGTATATTTTGTGAATTTTTGTTTTAAATATCTTCTGTTCTTAAAATTACAATTTCTTCTCAGAAAGGAAACATCTAGTTTTTACTTTCATCATTGTGGCATGTTTTTTTTTCCAATTTTCTTCTAGTTTCCTGATTATTCTTAAGTAATGAAAAACAAACTGAATTGTTTTAATATTTGAATCTGTCCATCTTTTTTTCTAGAATTCAACTCTGTTTTTTCGTGCATTATATCATTTCCAAAAAAAAATTCAATCTCTTTTTTTTTTAACATTTCCATTCTATCTACCTTGTACCTTTTAACAGTAAAGTTTTTATTGTTTTAACTGTTATACCTATTCCAATAGTTGCATATAAGTTTGTATTGATGTAAGCATTTTCAGTGATATTGTTTGAATTTTTTTTATTTTTAGGAATAATGTATTCAAACTTGTCGATTGCAAACTTAATAAGCGGTAAATGTTTAAACATTTATTTTTATATTCTATTCTAAATCCTGCAGTAAATCTTTTTTTTTTCATATTTCTCTTAGCGTGATGTGTCTCTGTTCCTCATAGCTATTTTAACACTTCAATTTCATTTATAACATCCATTTTATATTTTTACTTTTGTAAAAATGTTTTATATTTGGTGTATTTTTAATTATTTATGCTTTGATATTTTCTTTAAACACTCTTTTTAAAAATAATCCATCTCTTCATATGATTTTCAGAAGTAAATTTCATTCATAATTGGTAAGAAATTTACCAATTATGAATGAAAACTGAATGATTTATTTTATTAGTATCTTATTGAGGTGTCTTATTGCTTTTAAAATGCTATTTCTTTTTGGCAATATCAATAAAAGTATTGCTTAATTGTATTCTTAAGTAATAAATTAATACATTTGTTGATAGTGCACAAAATTCGATGAACTTAGTCTACTATAATGAACTTCTAAGCATAGCCACTTTTGATAATTTTAAATTTGAGAATCTGGAATTATTTTCACGGGCTTATTTTCATTTTGCTGTTTTTGTGATAAGTGATAAATTAATTGAATTCTGCACACTTATTTGTTCATATTTTATTTCCAAGACAACTTTCATCTGACATATAAAGATAAAGCATTGTGAATAAAAGTTTTCAGTTAAGATTAAGCTAAATATTTGTAAATACAATGAAACCTCTCGGGAGCAACCACTCTCTGTTCCACAGTAAAATGTTGTTTGATAGAGTTTGGTTGTTTTTAGAAATTACCTCTATTGATTTCAAAATTGTTATCAAAAGTACATGATTTTTCGCAAACGAATTTAATTTTAGTCTGTGTCATCTTTTTTAATGTCCCCTTTGTTGGCGTCTTATAGAGATGAATTATTGATGAATAAAATTTAGTGTCCATAAAAATGATCCTAACTGATGTAGTTATGAGTATAAAAACAAATTTGCCAATTACGAATTCTAAAGATATTTTAAATAAGTAAACAATTATGTTTTTTTTTGTTTGTTTAAATTTGCATTTAGTTTTATATCACAAAAATTAGCTAAATTTAAAAGATGAGAAGAGGTTTGTCTGAGTTTTTCAAAAATAAAATTTTTTTCTTTCTAATTTAACTTTTAACTCTAGAAGTAAATCATTGATATCATCTTTAGTGCGCTCTGACTGCAACATGAGGTTGTATCGTCAAAGAGAGTTCTTTAAATAAGAGTTTCACACAAATATTTTTAAAACATTTTAATCTACTTATTCATTTTGTTAATATGTTTTATTTTGATATTTTTTCGTGTTTCCTTATTTGACCCTTTCTGCATTTGATGCAGATGCTTGCCCGGTCGCTGGGAGAGGTTTTAATGGTCTCTCCTTAAGGTTTTCTTCAGCGCAAAGTCTATGAGAAATAAAAATTGTGCTTTCTAAAAGTGGTAAATAAAGGTGGTCTCCCCTGGAGGTTTCACTGTAGTATCTTAAAATAAGTTTTTTAAAAATTACTGAAATGCACCAGTGTCGTCACTTCATGTGTCAAAGTGTTATTTCAAACAAGGAATTAAATAAATGTTCTGCCACTTTTCAGTTAATTATACCTAAATGAACATCCCATCGGACAATTTCACAATGATTGCTTTATTTTATTCATTTCTACCCGTCTGAACTATTTGAAAAGAAACTTGTTTGTTATGCAGAAAAACAAATTCAAACAGTAAGAAAAATTCTGTGGCAAGCGCTTGGCTATTATTTTTGTATTATTTAAGCAAGACTTGGCAGTCTGCTTATTTGAATCTCGCCTAGAACCTAAATTGTTAAGCTGCAATTTCCTAACAATTTGAACTGCTTAATAGGAAGAAGAAAAAAAGCTAATATATCTTAACATGCATTTTTTGGCTTGAAAAAAATTGATAATACATCTTGAATATTCTGTTAAGTGCCATTTGCTGACCGATGCGATGGCATATCTTTCATAGAGCATTGAAATTATGTTTTAAGGTAAACAATTGAAAAACTGTTTTTTAAAAGACAGTACGTTCATCAATAGGAGAAAAGTGGCTTTACTCTATACAAAAATATATTAAATACCAGAATAATTTACTTTGCTGTTTTATACTTGCCTTATTTATTAAAAGGGGAAAGTAAATAATTGGTTCAAGCTTGGTGTTTGTAAAGAAAATTCATTAATTATCATGCTGATCTGAGAAATTAATATGCAGTAAACTACAGCAAACCATTGGACCATTCAAAACTTTGCATTGATTCTCTTTTTAAAAAAAGCTGTTTTTTTTTTTTTTTTTTTTTTTTTTTTTTTTTTTTTTTTTTTATTAAGTGCAGAATATTGCCATTAACATATACTTAACTTTATCCAAAAAAATATAATTAAATATAAGAATCAAAAAAATTTATGATGCAAAAGAGACATTTGCAAATATTTTGAGATGACGGTGGTTTGCTTAGTTTTTAAAAATTATCATTGTTTTATTGATTTTTTTTTCAATTTGTTATTTAAAGTAAATTCAATTTCAAGTCATTTGAGGAAGTATATTGTTTATTTCAAATTAAATTTGTCCTTTTTCTAAACACTCTTTTTCTTTTGCTTCTTATTTTCAAATCTTAAGATTAAATTATCATTAACAAGTTGCATAAAAAAATTTCAGCCTCACATCCATTATCTTTCCTGCCTTACATAAAGGACTTATACCCGAAGATTGGTAAGAAACACTTGATAAAGTTAACCAAAATTTATAGATGTCTAATGAGGTAATAAATTAATACCTTCTTTAATTTCCCTTCGCCTGGGAGAACATTAAGGTGATACATAACTATATATTTGTATTTTGTGTTTAATAAAATTGTTCTTTTTTCTCCCCATTTTGTTGCTAAATTAATCTCAGGGCAAATAAGTTATAGTTACTTTATAATCGAATATCAATAAAACCTTTACTGCAAGAAAGAATTCTCTTTGAGGACTTGATTTAACAAATATCTTGATTTAACAAATCAAGATATTTGTTAAATCAAGAAACAATTTGTTGTATCAAGATATTTGAGTCTTGATTTAACAAATATGACTATAAAAAAAATTTACCACTTGGACATAAATGCATCTAAATAAAGGTCTGAAAATCAGTTGGTAGTTTTCTTAAGTGCTAGCAAAATTTAAAAAATTTATTTTAGTAAAATAATTTCCTTAGTTAATTTCTTCTAGGAAATATTTTATAGGGTCTCAATAAAATCAAATTTTCTAATTATTCTAAAAGAGTGAAGGAATTCTTTAATTTTTAAAATGAAGGAAATTCTTTAAAATGAAGTAAGTATTTGCTGCATATCATTGCTTTTGACTTAATGAGTTAAATAGCTAAAGCATATATGTTTTTACCTCCCTTTATTTTTTTTAATTGAATTGCATGTTTAGGAAACCTTTAATTGCTAATTCTAAATTTTGATAACTTTAGTTGTTTATTGAAATGGAATTTTAAAAGAAAATATCAATGTGTGACTAAATATTTTAATTTTAAGCATTAATTTTTTCCCCACTGTAGTTGACTCTTCAATGTATATATGTAGGAAATCGCTGTTGAAATTCATTTCAGTTGATGTTCTGTTTTGTTTAATTGTGGGATTATGTATTCTTAGACTCTACTAATAAATAAATTTTCTTCAATAGTTTAAATTCTTTTTATGTATGTTCTGACCAACTGTAGTCAAAAAAAAATTTGGGAAATTTTCTTTTAATATTAGTATATTTTAGTATAATTGTTTTTTTTTTTCTGTGAAAAATGTTATTTGATTGTAATGTATGTTTGCAAGATTTTTAATGAGAAAAATACTTATTAGTTATTTTTAAAAAAACTTTCTGCTATTTTATGAATAATTCTTATTTTTCCATTGTTGATGAGCTTATAGAACTATGTATATAGCTGTGCAATGTAAAGCGAAATATCTATATTTTTTACAACATTATGATATTTTAAGAAGTATTCTTGCTATATATTGTGAATATTATGTCTTCTCTTAAGTATAAAATGCGTAACAATTATCTAGCAATGATAATATCACATCAATGTCAATTATTTTGGTTATCCATTACAATAATGTCATAAATATTATCATTATAAATTTTAAAATATCATGATTCTTACCCTCGGCAAGATTGATAACCATAATTATCAATAGGATATTATTGTGGTTGTTTATAAATTTCACCTTGGTGACGGAAATATTAACCAACGTATAAATAATGTAATTTTTTTAATTGAAAAATATTGTTATATATATTGTAATAAAGTAATTGTATATTTCCTACTGATGTAATTTAATATTTCCTAATGATGTACCAAAATATTAAAATTCCAATATTGCCCTGCTCTGACTTTTTGGTATAAAATCTTTTTTAATTTGTTTACTTTTGACTTTACTATTATTACTATCACTGCTTTATGTTTACATGAAAGTAAGTATGTTTTTTCCTTTGCATTTTCAATAGGTATTCCGGAAGACAGAGATGGGTTGTTTGATACAATTCAGAGAAGCAAAAATCACCACCAAAAAAGAGCCTATCAATGTATAAAATGTATGGTTAACTTATTTATTTCCTGCCCTGCTGCTGCTCAAATGTTGCAAAGCAATGGAGATTTAAAACGCAAGTGGGTGAATGCGGTAGAATGGTTACATGATGAGCTAGAGCGGGTAAGTTATCAACTTTTCCTTTTCAAATAATAATTTTTGTTTGACTTATTTGTTACAAACGCTTAAGAAATCTAAATACAAGGTATGTCTGATAAATTCTGTAAATTAAAACACAAAACAATTCATGGCAATGCCTTAATTAATTTAGGCTCTTTGTGCCATCTGGCCCATTAAGCTTTGCTCACGAGTTGTTGCGAGTTTTATCCTGGCAGCCAATTTAATAACTGACATGTATATGCAACAAAGTCCTGTCGTTGATTATGGAAGCTATAGAAAGGAGTACCTGCTCATGCACTGACCATGTTGTTAGATGGGGCTCAAAATAATGTGGCATTCTTATCATTGCCTTTAAAACTCTAGAGCTCTAAATAATTAGGCTGAGTGCTTGGTCTTCGTTGAATGGTGTGTGATCCCTAATCTCTGATTTTATTCTCCCACAAAGTAATATTAGTAAGTTACTATATATTTTTAATATTAATGATAAAGTTGCTTGTTATGATACTTTGAAAGCATCTTTTTAAATTGATCAAAACAGGAACAAATCTTGTGATTACCCAATCTTCTTGAAAGATTCCTCATTGCTGACTCTCTTATTCTTTCATTATCCAGTGGCAATCTGTCTGACCTGCTTGATATTGTCGGACTTCATGAATAAATGTCAAATTGAACATAGTTTGTCACCCTTGGTTCCCTCCCAAAACTAGTCCTTACAATAAGTTGTAAATGCATTTTCTATTTTAACCCAACACTTCAGCCAATATTGCACCCACCTGTTTGTTGAATTCTTAACAAAAATTGCTTTCTCTTGGTTTTTGCAAATTTTTGCACGTATACCAGTAGAGTGCCTGTAAACTGACTAATCTATGTCGATTTCTTCTTACCTTTGCTATATGCCATTCCTTCATAAGTCTCTCCATACAATACAAATTTAATACGTGATGCTTTTTATATTCATCAATTCTCCAACTTTTTTTAGGAGCACCTGGTAAAAATCATACCTACAACCTAAACTAGTGCCAACTATTTAGCAGTATTAAGATGGATTACACCTAAAATAAATATTACAATTGTCTAAAAATGTTTTTAAAAAAATCATTTAAATGTGCAATTTAATTACTGTTCTGATATTAGTTATGAATAACTGCAGTGATTCTAGATTAAATTTTTATAGCAGTTGCAATTTAATTTTGTGCAACATTTATAAATTAATTACTTTTTCTTTAAATATCTGATTTAATTTCATAAATCTGTAGTTTTTGTTCGACAGCTGTTGCATAAAAAAAATTTTCTTTTATAATTATTGCTGTTGCATTTTTTTAAAAATATAAATAAGTAAAAATCTATATTTTTTATTTGTGAATGATCATGTTGACATTAAGTTTTNAGTTGCAATTTAATTTCATGAATCTGTACTTTTTGTTCGACAGCTGTTGCACAAAAAAATTTTCTTTTATAATTATTGCTGTTGCATTTTTTTAAAAATATAAATAAGTAAAAAGTGTAATCTATATTTTTTATTTGTGAATGATCATGTTGACATTAAATTTTTATGAAGCATACTTAAATGTGATTATTATTTTTATAGATAATATTTTTAAATATTTTTTTTTTATTAACTATAATTATTGCTTATGCAAGGTTGTCACTCCATAGGGAGAATAGGGAAAACCTGGAAAATACAGGGAATTTAGAAATCACCTAAAATAACAGGAATAATAAGCAGCGAATTTTGAGTTTCTCCTTACAAACTGGGAAAATACGGGGAATTTTATTTCCTATTTCCGTCATTAAAAAGTGATGCCATTCAAAGTGCATTCTATGGGATATTTAAGAATGATATTTCAGCCATACTAAAATATTTCATTTACTATATCATTATTTGTTTTAAGTATGTTAGGCTGTTTCTTATTTAAAATTTTTCCAGCAATTAAAACTTGTTTAATTGGTGTTTCGTCTTAATATATTGCATATAATATGTACAGGGAAAACAGAGGAAATTTTTTTCCAGATTTGAGTGGTAACCCTGATTATGGAAGGTCACAAGAAATAAATTTGGTTTTCAAAAAATATAATCAATTAAAGGCCTGGTTTCTTACGACAAGCGCCTTCTTCGGGTGTCAGCAGGAAGTTGACTTACCCTGATGCTAACAAAATGCTGTTTTGCAAACTCGGCATGAGCAGTCGTTTCAACAACGACGTTATGTCGCATTGCGCATGCATCAGCGACATAAACAAATATTTGATTTTGTTACTATCGACCAGTGCTTTAGAGAACAAAAAATGACCTTGTCCAAGAAAAAAACACATTATAGCTTAGCTAAATGAAGAACAGGAAGAAGAAGCTATGTTTAATGTTAAAATCAAAATCTTGGCTGATTTCAATGCTCTGTTTGATGTTGTCCACCATCACTTCTGTCGTTAACGTTACGTTGTAATCCAACTGCAGTTGATTCGAACGTCAGTTATTGTTCAAGCTGAGCATTCGATGATGTATGCTGTCTAACTCACAAATTGACCAATCACAGGTTAGTGCTCGCTTCAAGCTAACGTTTTGTAACTCTGACATGTCCCAAGAAACCAAGCCTTTAGTTTTTATATCAATTAATCTAATTATTTTAATGTTGTTTTTTCTCTCAAAGTTTAATTTAAAAAAATGTATCTGGTTATGTTGTTTTGATTCAAAGAGCAGAGCACTAAATGAGTTATATGCATTCTCATACTGTGTTTTATATTTTAGAGGCCATATCCGGCTAATGCCCAGTATGGATACAATAGCTGGTCTCCACCTGCGCAGTCCAATGAAACAACAAATGGCTATTTTCTTGAACGATCTCACACAGCTAAACTTACTCTATCTAAAGCTTTTGAATTCTGTCCGGATGAGGTGCATTTCATTTACCTTTTCTCAGAAACTTGATATTGTAAACTAATTAGAAAAAAATTATTGATTAGAAAAATGTTTTATTGTGGTTGTTAAGTTTTGGTTAGCCATTTTTACAATTTTAATCAAGACATCAATGTCTTTTCTTGTAATTTCATACATTATGTAGTTTTTCTTTGATAGAAGTTGTTAAGTTTCATGCAGATAGCTAGTATCTTTACATTTTTTGTTTGTTTTGCATTGTTATTTTAATAGGGTCAGCCACAGCTTGTCATCCGAAAAAATGTAGAAATAAAAAAATTCTAACTGGTTTAGGAAGGGAAAAAACATACTAACTCCTTCACTACTAAGCATGCATTTTTTTCATTTTGAAAATCTTTTCATTTATGTCCTAAAGAGGGGTCTGAAATGCTTTTTATTCATTTATTTTTTAATTTGGTAATTTTAATGTATTTTGAGATAGTGAAACAAAAAATTTAATAATACTGATTCCTTGATCTGAAAGGGCACTAGTCATTATACTTTTTTAAATTTTGTTTCTTCCATTTTGCAGGGCTGATTGTGCCCCGGATAAAATCCGGATTTTTCGCTAACCGTGATCCGGAAGTTTACGGAGATCGAAGGTTCAGACGTTTCAAAAAATCATTGATCACAAAAGTTTCCTGAAATCAAATTTTCAAAGGTGGAACTTAAAAACACAGTTTATTTTATTTATAGAGGAGGGCCAGATACTTTATAAGCTTATATTCAAGATTAATATTCATTTTTTATCAGTAAATAGTTATTATAATCATAAACTCAAGAAAGACATATTTGTAAATTTCAATTACTTCTCCAGGTCATCATAGGTATGTGTAAAATTTTAAATATATTTTAAGTAAATTAAGAAATATTGAGAAAAGGAAAAAACCTTGTTTAAATTTTTTTCAATTTAAACTTTTTTTTAATTTTTTTTTTAACTCAAGAAATTTTCCAGAATTTTCACTTGGGCTCACAATCACCCCTGATTTTGGTTCTACATCAGGCTTAGTCTGTCACATGATTCAATTATGTTATTTTATTTGAACTTGGATCAGTATATCCCATTCAAGCTCCTATGCCATAAAACTACACTCACATAGCTGCCAACTCTACTAGATTTTCCAGTAGACTACTGGATTTTGCCAGTTTCTCCTGGTCTACTGGTTTATTTAAAATTCTCCTGGTTTTTGTACATTTTAGAAAATTCCCTAAAATTGAGGAAGTTTCCTAAAAAAACCTATTTAAGTAGAATTTTTGTACTGATTATTGCTTGCTTGAATATTTAAATAATATAAATTTCATGATATAAAGCGAACCTCATTTATAGAAATCAGTCCAAAACTTTTTTTACTCTAAAATGTTCAGTATATTTTTATTCTTCTTATATAAACTCTCTTTTGATGACTTTAAAAATCCCTAAAATTCCCTATGTGTAAAATATTTAGTACATTATACAACAATTATCATGAAGTTTATATTTCGTAAAATTTTCTGGATTTTTTTCCTATCCATGTTGGCAGCTATGCATTCAATTCATTATTGCTTACATAATTCATTGAAAATGCAAAATAAAGCACACGCGCACTTTTTTCAGGATGTGGAAGACCAAGAAATGTCGGAAGATGGCGAGAGTCCTCCACCCGAAGATAAAGTGCAAGTCTGGCAGGGGAATGAATCGAGCACCCCCCAACATCCTAGTCCTCCACCTCCTGCTCCGTCAGAAAATGCTCCTGATGCACCCAAAGTATAATTGCTATTCTGCTCTCCCAAAGATAAGGTTAAGTAATACAAATAAATGAGTAACAATCAGTTTTGAATAATTAGTTTTTGCAAAAATGTTCATTGAGTTCATAGATGGGTTTTTTCGACAGAATTTCCCCTTTTTTTGTTCAATTAAATAAAAAGAAAAGACTCGTTTTTCTTCTACGCTCATGTGATTTAAGATTATTCACACAACACATCGCCATTCGTATTTACGCGATTTAAATGTGCACATCGCTATTCGTGTTCACTAGATTTACAATTACTCATCACAATACATATTTGCGTGATTTAAAAATCTCACACGGAAGTTCGAGTTCAGACAATTTGTAAGAAAATTTTTTGCATCGTTCACACTTATCGGTTTGAATTCACACTCTTCAAAAGTACACATCGCAATTCTTATTCATGCAGTTTGAAAATTAAACTCTGTGTTCTTTTCTCATGAGATATAAAATTACACATCGCCCATTCATATTCACGTAATTTAAAAACCTCACATCGAGATTCATATTCACTAAATTTAAAAATAACACACTGAGATATATATTCTCACAATTATATGTATATATAAAAAAAACGTGCATCGTTATATGTTATTAAAACGTTGTTAAAACGTGCATCGTTATATATTATTAAACGCTGCTGATATATTCTTGCTACATAACTTTTTTCTTGCACAAATTTCAGGTATTTTCACCAATTTTTCAAAAATGTGTTTGTGACACATCTCTCTCTACTTTGTGAGATGTTTTTACCTCGGTTCGCTCAATTATTAAATCACTCTTAATGATGACAAGGAATTTTTCCATATATATTATTTTAATTTATAATTCTGGATTTTACAATTACATATCAAAATTCTGGATTTTACAATTACATATCAACAAGTACATATAACAACTCCGGAGCTCTATTGCTCCCTACTCCCTAACTGCATCCAGTCTCTCAGGTCTCCGCATTCAATCTCTCTTAAAAATACTTTTTTCTCACAAAAAAAATGTCCTTCACTTCTCCTTAGTTCACCCCTACTCTAGGGGAATGACACTTTCTGTGACCCTCACCCTCTGGTCAGGGGTCGATCAAATGTGTGGGAGAGGAATCAGAATCCTGACATTATGTTTGTTTTTTTAATGAATTCTAGTTATCAAAAGTGTTTATTTTTCTCTGCAAATATACTATTTTTTATATGAAAATTTAGTGCTAGAACATCAGAATTATCATATTTGATAATTAACATAAGAATTATCATATTTGTTACCAACTTGACTAAATGGATCATGGTATTAAGTCATTTGATAAAATGTTAGTCATATTTTTGATGAATTTTTGTTCTTATTAAGGCAACTATTTACAGTTTTCAGTAATTATTTTCATGCTTTAGGCTACTAAAAGCAACTATTTTGTTCATTTTTCTCTGTGGCAACCCTGCAACTTAATAAAATTATTACAAATTCTTTTTCCCCCCTTTTAGCACCAGCCTACATTACTGTCTTCATTTGACATGCTAGAAGAACCCTCTGGAAATGTGCTTGTGACCTCCAACAATGACAATCCTTCAGATGAGCAACACACACCAGATTCGACGTCCAGCTCCATCACGACCACCGTCTCTCCGACGAACGTTTCCATCGGTGGAGAAACAGTGTCTTCGCAGGGTACCCAGCCTGTTTCCTCTGCATCGGAAAACTCTCCAAAAAATCTATTGGATCTAAAAGAACTATTTAAAAACGGACAATTTGTTCCAGATGTCTCACCCATGGAAATTCAAGACTTCCCTGCCGAAATTCACAAGGTGCGCAGGGTGTATCAGTATAAGGAACCGATAAGGCGCAAGAACCGAGGGATGGACGACGTGAGTTCGCTGGAGTTGAGGAGGATAGTTCCGAGAACACGACACGACAGGCAAGATCTTAGACACATTAGATTACAAGAGAGTCTAGTCCTGCAAGGAACACAGAGTGTTGCAAAAGAGAAAGAACATGAGAATAAGTAAAGAAGACTATTTAATAAAAGTGAGATTTTGTGCTCAGTGACATTAAATTCCACTTAGTGAGTTAATAATTGACTGTATGAAAAACTATGCAGAATTTCATATTTATACATAAAGAGAGCTGACCCTTCCCCTTTGGTTTGCTGATGCCATGCATTGCTGTATTAATTGTAGATATTTTTTAAAATGAATTTAAAAATGAATTTTTTTGTAATATTTTTATTTTATTATTGAACAATTGCTTTAAAGATGGCCCCATTTTTGTTAAATAGGTTTAAATGAACTTTGACTCCCCTTTGTAATAAAACTTGTGTATAAAGTCATTTTTTTCATATTTTTAGGAACTTTTTTTAATTTCACTTAATTATTATATTGCATCATAAGGCTTGCCATCTAATAGACAGTTTTTATCTGTGTGTTTATGCGTCTTTGATTGGAACTTAGTGATACATTGGGTCAGTTCGCAAATGAGTAAATTATTGAAATGTGCTCTGTGATGAACTGCAGCTGTGTAGGGGGGATAAAATTGTGGGTTTTTATGTTCCCTGTTTTATTGTTTTTGTATATTTTTCAAAATTAAATTTAGTGAAGAGAAAAAAAATGGGAAATTAAACAAAAAACTGCCATTTTTTTGAAATTGTAATTAGTAGTTGAAAAAAAAATGTTTTGAAATTACCTAGTGGATTTTGAGTTTTCCCTAAAAAGTAAAGCTCATGACTATGTGATGCTTTGGTAATGCTTTAAAACTGTAAAAATAAATATTTCATTATTATGTAATTTAATTGTATTATCTGAAATAAAGACTAATTTTAATATTCAATTTGCATTGATATTTTTTTTTTATGTTTAGTGTATCAAATTATAGTGTATTTTCAATAGTATTGGTTTTAATTAACAATTTCACCGGCCATGCTTTTCTTTTCAAGATTTAAAACTGGGAGAATTTCACAAGTGTTGATTCATCAATTAAAATATACTTAAAATCGTTAAAAACAATGCTGAGGGATCTGAAACTAGGTACCCACTGCAAACTAACCACTCATTAAGGAACTTCTTGTCTCATTTTATTACTAGCTTGTTTTTACTGATTTTGGATATGGAATGTGAGAAAAAAGTTCAATCTGAAAAAATTTTGTGTTCATTTTTAAGTTCTATTTTTAGATAATGAACATTTTACCATACATTATTGAATCAAGCATTTTACAGTTAAAATTTTTATCGACATATTTTTAAAAAAAAAATAAATTTGCTGTAGAAGTATTTAATGAATTTAATTTATTATTCAGTTGCAATAATTATATGAATTTGTGATATTCTTTTTGCGCCATTGGATTAGTTATATTTTTATTATTTTTTTAAAAGTAATAATGAACATGTTTTTAGTAAGTTATTATTTTGAATAATATCTCTAAGTTTGTGTTCAGTTTAAATCAACTGCCATTTTAAGAACAAAACTATTCCTAAATCAGCATTTAAGGCAATGAAAAAGTTAAACTAAATGTGATGGGAAAAAAACAGTGCAAAATTTGCTTTCATTTTTCATTTCCTCTATGGATTAAAATCTTAATTAAGCAATTATAATATATCTGATGCAAGAAGTAGTAGATTTATTTTAACTGATAATCGGTAATATCAGTTAGCAACAAAAATGGAAAAATCAGTATCTGTCTCTAATCTTGTATTTCAAATTTATTTATTTGTAATTATTGCATCATTTCATTTATCTATAAACTGTTTAAAAAATAGTTTCAAATTTTTTATAATATCCTTAAGTTCTAATTTAATAACTTTTGAATTGAATTACTGATTTATTTTTTTCGATTCAAATCAAAAGTTAAAAATCTTTTTCTCTGAAAATCTCAATGTCAACAACCCTAGCAGCAAAATAGCTTTTAAGCTCATTGGGCCAATATTCACCAATCTTGGCTCAACAAGATCTGCATAAAATTGACCGATTGACCCGATATTTTATAACTGTTACTCAGCCAATATAGATTAAAATTTTACGATTCACCCGATATTTTAAAGCCGTTATATAGTCAATGTGGGCTCTATATTGAATAGTGCGATTTATCCAATATTTTTTAGCCAATATAGACCACATTTGAAATTGTCCAATTGACCCGATATCTTATAGGCGTTACTTAACCAATATAGGCCATGTACAGAATTCTGATATTTTAAAAAGTTTATTCATCCGATGTAGACCTTATTTAAAATTGGCCGATTAATTTGATATTTTATAGCTATTAAATAAAAGGTAAAATAGTAAACGCTTTTCTTAAAATCATACTTAGTTGTTTTCAAATCTCATGGGCGGATAGCCATCAATATAACTCTAGTGCTACTTTTACAATAAAATCGAAACATGCAGTGCTCTTGGTAACTCGATTTTCAACTATCAGAACTTCATTTGACCAAGGTAAATGTTTTATTTTATAACCGCCGTTGAACGACCGACCCAATTCTGGGCTTGCGACTACCGATGTTCATCTCCGTAGACTTGTAATTTTGAACCGAATCCAGAAGACAAGGGAACTCCTGGATCAAGTATTGGGAGAAATTTGCCTTTGTGGAAGACTTTTTGATGGAACTAACCCGTATTTGCATTGCATGGAGATGAAAACCTCCCAGGCTTAGCCTGACGGTCAGGAGACTCTAACCCATGATACGTCTACCACTGAGGATGTTTTATGCCAGCTCGCACTCGGTACAACCCGGGTACGTAATTCGTATCGGTCAGCCATTGTTGGGATTCGAACCCGGTTCACCTCAATAAAAGGCTAACGCTCTATCTCCTGAATCACCACAGCTCTAGGTGAAATGTTTATAGGTATCATTTCCAGTAATTCAGTAAAGACTGAGTGTTCAATTGGATAGCACATCGCGTCTTCTGAATCCCACTCTAAAATATTGCAAATAGTTCAAATGCAGCTTGATTAATTTAATTTTTTACTCTTGCAACATCAAACATAAATTTTGACAAGAAACTTGCCCTTTTAACCAAAGTGAAAATCATTTCCATTGATGTTGTAAAGGGAATGCTGAATCGGATTGCTCATTGTATCTTCTAAAACCACTCTAAAATGTAGCCGATTGTTCAAGTACAGCTTTAGCAATTTATTTTTTAACATCCTGCAATATCAAGAAAAAAATAAATTTTTAAGGCCCCTTACATCGCTTAGTTTTCTACACCAAATCGCACTGTATTGCCTCTAAAATCGGTATAATGAGTAAAACCAATTTTTCCTTATTGAAATATGTGTGTTTAATTGTTCTATTAATTAATTTTCACGATTGTATCAGCTGAGAGTTAGGCAAAGCATTTAAGCAGTTTTTTTTTCTTATTTCATAATAAATAATCCTAAAAAAAAATTTTTTTTTTCAATCCTGCACAATTTTACCAAAATGAACTATCAGAAATTTAATAGACTAACAAAGAAAAAATATTTCGTTTCAAAAGGTGAATGTTTATATTGTACTTCGACTATTGTGAAACAAACAAAAATGTTTTATGAGCAACGAGGAAAAATCTGTTATAGGTTGTTTTGTTTGAATTGCAAACCATTTATACAGAGATGGATATTACTAAAATACTTTAATTCTTTTTAGATGCTAATACAAAACTGTTTCTTAATTACAAGTCTGTAATGGTCTTATCTATTTCTAGACAGTGATCTTAGAATGGCTTTCGATATCGGACCGAGATTGAGGTGTATAAGTTTTGTAATAATAGGTCATAGAATGGCTTTATATTCTGGCCAAACATTTGTTTTTATGTAAGACCGTTATAGGTTTACAATAAAGGGCCACTATTGGGGTGTCAAAATTTTTTTAATATTGATCCCCGAGTGGTTCTAAACATAGGGTCAATATTAATTTCTATATATGACCCTTGTAGGCTTACGATTAGAGTATGTAGCGTAGCTACCGTTACAATTTTTAAATTTCAGTTCCCTAGTATATAAGATGTTAACTTTATTCTATCTTGAGTTACTTCTTAATAGATGAAGGATTGACATTGTCGGTAACTTATCCCCACGAAGGCTGCTCGCAGGCAGGTTTGTACCTAGATGACTTTCGTCCGTGATCTGAACACGTGTATCTCGACAGTAACAACCACCTCTATAGGAATGCGCGTACTTTGATGGATGGAACACTGTAAATTGACTTGCAATTTGTGATTGCAACATTGACCTTGTGCTGTAGCTCAGTCTAGATCAGACACAACGGGGTCGTTTACCTAGCCCCACACGAGCGAGGTCTGATTACACGCGCTTCAAACGATAATTAATCTGCAAAACAATTTTGGGGAGTCTAAATTTTGTAATATTGATCCCAGAATGGCTTTCAATAATGGACCAATATCAATTTCTACGTAGGACCCTTATAGACTTAAAATGTTGGGTAAACATTGGGATGTCTAGATTTTTCAATATTGGTCCTAGAACGACTTTCAATAATGGACCAATATTCTTTTCTATGTAGGTCCTTTATAGATTTATAATGTTGAGTAAACATTTGGTTGTATAGGTGTTTCAATATTGGTCTTAGATAGAAAAGAATCTTGTTCCAATACTGAAAGTCATTTAAATTAAATTAAATTTAGGACCAATATTGAAAAATCTAGATAGACTATGACTTTCAATATTGGAACAAGATTCATTTCTATCCAGGACCAATGTTGAAAAATCTATACATCCCAATATAGGTCCCTTGTTGCCAGGGCCGGATTGCTTATTAGGCCTGGGGCCCCCTTAAAATGGATTTTTTGAAAATAAATTAAGAAAAACAATGATTTTTCAAACTGTTATGATTATTTTTTAGTTCTAATTAAATAAAATAAGGCAAAACTTAATTTATTATTATTATTATTTATTTTAATTTTAAATATGCTCCCTTAGATGAAAATATTTATAAACACTTTTATATTTCAATAAATAAAAAATATACGAGAAAAAAAATTNTTTTTCAAACTGTTATGATTATTTTTTAGTTCTAATTAAATAAAATAAGGCAAAACTTAATTTATTATTATTATTATTTATTTTAATTTTAAATATGCTCCCTTAGATGAAAAGATTCATAAATACTTTTATATTTGAATAAATAAAAAATATACGAGAAAAAAATTAAATCTAAGGGCCACAAAAATTTGAATGGCCTAGGGCCCCGCGTACGCTTAATCCGCCTCTGCTTGGTGCACGTTCCAATGGGACCCATATTAGCCAATTTTGAGCCTAACTTGGACCAGTGTAAAATTGTTGCTAAGGTGAAGGGATGTTTCCCAGACCGTCGCCAATAGCCCATTGTGCAGCTCTAGTGCGACGTAAATGAACTACAACAAGGGTCTAAGAAAAAAAAAAATTTTTTTTTTGACATAACTATCTAACCTGACCTAAACTACGATGCGAACTAAAAGCAATTGAGGTCACGTGACTAGTTTCACTGTGGTATTGTAACCAGTGTGAATATTGGAACGCAACTTTTATGCCATATTTTAGCTGATCAACTTGTACCGTAGAACATATAAAAATTCTCTCAATTTCATAACTTAAAATCTCCTTCTACTAAAGTTTTCAATTGGCTTCGACTACTACGGGTAGGGCCGGGGCACGATTCCATGTGCTGAAAAGCTACATCATTAGACTGCATATTCTTCAATCATGAATCAGTGTTCACTGAATGCAATTCGCATATGTGATTGTACTTCGACGTGATTCGTGCTTGCGCTGGCGTCCTTCTAAACTTAATTGTGCCGTTACGTGCATTGAGAATGCTCCCTTAGCGGGATCAGAAGGCTAATTAATATTTACAAATAACTATGTCAGTATTGTCCTGTCCCGCAGTGGACTGATCGTTAAGACTCGGTTCCCAGCAGATCACCGAAGTCAAGCATCACTGGTTGCGGTCAGTCTACGGGTGGGTGACCACTTGGATCAGTCTGCGTAGGGGCCGAGGGTGTGCGGTATTGGTCCTCATTAAACTGTTCTACTGTAAAGTGCTCGACTTCACGTGCAGGTCGTCGGGCTACCGAAGCGGGNATATCAATGATTGAAATTTATAACAACAAGCTATTCATTCTGAATTATAGCACCCTATGGGCCCATCCACACTGTATGAAATTGCCATAAATACGAATGTTTATCATTTGTAAAAGACAACTCTCCATGAATGCGATTCGCGTACCAAATCGTTGACGGGAGAAAAGGAAAATCTGTATGCGGATTTATCCGTTTGATTGCGAATGCAACGCATAAATGCATATGTGGGTTTACTCACATGTATGCGTGTATCAAGGCACTCAAATACAGTGAGAATGAACCTTGCATTAATGTTTGCTGTTATCTGTAGAGCCATTTCCTGTTTCCTGATCTACGAGTTGAAAGCGTCTGTCTGCTGTTTCGAGTTTGTTTGATTGTTTCGAAATCATGCGATTGTCCGATTTTTATCTTTGCTTATATTTTAATTTAGCTAATCATTAATCCCTTTTTTAAAGAATCTTTTTATTTGCTTTAATTTCGCTTAAAAATGGTTGATTACCTCCGCTCTTTTATTCCTTTATTCATATCAGAAAGATGCTTCGACGAATTATTTGTAAAATTAAATATTACGGATGGTTTGTAGTCGTTTCTAATTAATGAGTTCATTAACTTAGATTTTTTTTTAAAGAAATATTAAATTCTTTCGTTACAAATTCTTATTTGATTTGTTCATATTTTTAGAATTGATCAACATAAATGTTGTTTTTTATTAATAATTTGTTTTTCTTGTTTATTACTACTTAAATGTTCGATTTTTTGCAACATAATTTTTTGTATCTTTTCTATATGGGTCATCATTTTCAACTTAATCAATTTCTGTGTTATAATGTACAGTCGAAAGGTTTCTGATTTAATTTATTTTATAGAAAAAAGAAAAGGATATTACAATACTCTAAATATTTGTTATGTTAATATAAGACTTGTCAGAAGTGCAAAAAATTCTTAGATAGCTCCAGAACACAGTGTTATTGGTTTGAAATTCCCCTCCCAAGTTTTAGCATTTTTACAGTACAATAATTTTTTCAAAATATTTTTTGCATGCAAAGTTCGTATATGCTTAAATGTGTTGATAATAATTTCTCTTTAACGAAGAAAAAAATGCATTTGATTTTTACAATTCTTGAATAAATTAGTATGTGTGCTTAAAATAACATGAAATCAAAATTTTTTGAATAATTTTTAAAACTAAATCTAAAGTCTTGCTCATAAACTTAAGGAATTCAAACTAATAAGCAAAAAAAATTACAAATTACTACGTTATTTGTGAAATATTTAACATAACTGAGAATTTTTTAGACACTAAATACCGTTATAAGCAGGGGTCTGTCTAGGTTTATCTGAGAGGTACCTATTTTGTGAAAATTTAGACATAATTTGTGAAAAATTAAAAATTATATTAAAAAATCAACACAAAAATATGGATTTATCGTTTCTTATGGGATACAAAAATAAAACTTTAAGAAAAAGTANTGATATATAGGGTTTAATTGATTGAATTTGTGAAACTACCGTTTTTCCTAAAGTTGAATTTGTGAAGGTACCGCTAAACGATAGTAAATTCGGCCTGGACAGACGCCTGATAAGGTACTTAAAAAATATGTCCAAATATACTTTAAAAATGTATGTTGGAATATTTCTTTACTGGGAAAAATTTTGTAGTGCTACAGACTTTTTTTTACAATAAGATATTTTGCAGAAATTATTGTTTATTGATTAGATTAAAAATTTTCCCAGAGCTGCCTGAATTTACCTTGAACTCTTGTTCATTAGATTAGTCTTATTCTGCTACACTATGGAATATTTCTGTTAGATTTGGGAATATCCATCTTTAAAATTATAGAGTTATTTCAGAGATATTTTAATAAGAGTATTTATGACTGTGAGGAAACCATTTAAATTTAAAAAGTAAATTCTTGTTTCGTAATATGATTATAATAAATGTGATTAGAGATAAAAGTAAACTTATATATAATTATTCATTTAAATTATGCTGCATATAATTTATTTAGAATTTCATGTTTTGCGATATCAATGATTGAAATTTATAACAACGTTAATTTTTTGAAATGCGACATTAATGATTTTACTCAAGAAATTTTCAGGATTTTTAAGTTGGGCTCACTATCACCATTGCAATTGTAAAACTGTAATTTTTTGTCGTTGTAGCTCATTTACGTCGCACTAGAGCTGCACAATGGGCTATTGGTGACGGTCTGGGAAACATCCCTGAGGATGATCCGAAGACATACCATCACAATTTTGATCCTCTGCAAAGGGGGTGGCTCCCTTGCTTTGGTAGCCCGATGACCTGCATGCGAAGTCGAGCACTTTACGGTAGAACAGTTTAACGAGGACCAATACCGCACACCCTCGGTCCCTTCGTAGACTGATCCAAGTGGTCACCCACTCGCACACTGACCGCAGCCAGTGATGCTTGACTTCGGTGATCTGCTGGGAACCGTGTCTTAACGANAAAGATATGAACACTTACCTCCACTAATGGATTGGAGCCATCTCTAATATGATAAATATTTTGGGGATATTTCTGTATCATCTGTGGCAGAATAATCGCCAAGTCTTAGAAAATTCCAGGCAGTAACCCTCGCAGAGCAAAAAAAAAAAGAAAACCACAGGAAGGTATAACTTGTAGCCACCCCCGGGCAAACATTTGCATGTTTTTTTCTTAAAAAAAATTGCTAGTTTAAAATCTATTTGGTACCTTGGAGATTGTAGTTGGCGCGACACATCATGATGCAGAAACATCCCGAATATTTTTTTTTAAAGAGGATAAAAAATTATCTGCTATAAATGTCAGTGATAAATTTTCTACCTCTTCTTCTTACTATTAATGCATACATAAATAAGAATTCTGTTTATTGATAATTAAAACAAAGAATTTCTAAAAAGAAAAAAATTGATTTTTTAATCAACCAATCAATTATAGAATAAAATTTGAAGAAAGAATTAATTATGAAATTAATTTTAAATTTTATGGGAGAAAAGCTGCCATGTAATTTGGTATTCATGATAATTTTCTCCTACAAAATTTTCCTTTTATATATAAAAATTTATACATTAAAAATGTAATAAAATTAAATTAAAAATTACAAATTAATTTAAGTTAATTAAACATTATATAACTTATATTAAATAGTTATTAAAAAATATTATTTTTATTTTAAAGTTAAGTTTAATTCTGTTTACATTAATCGGTTGGTGCACTATTTTTTAAAATTATTAGATGTCATAAAGGATGCCTTACAACTTTTTTCTTTCATGTCCCTCATATGGTTTTTGGCATATTTGACATGCTATAGTGTGTAAGCGGATTTTCTGGCTAATACATTTTAGTTTAAGTTATGTTTTTCACTAATTTAGATATAAAAATTAATTGATTAATCTCTGTACGACATTTTAAATATTGATTGTCCTGATGAAATTTCTTTTTTAGGTGATTGTTTAAAGCAAACTATCAGTAAAGCACTTGGAACTGGAATAATCCTGGGCTCTACATTGGGTATGCATTTTCTAAATTAGATTTTTCTTGAAGAAATTAAGTAAAAGGTTGTTCAAATATCTAAGTTTAATTTCGAGAATTTATTACTTTATCTCGTTTTGTTTTTGTAAATAGAAAGTGGGTATGAGACATTATGAAAAATTTTCATAATAGGAAAAGATTTTTTTTTTCCAAATTTTTTTCGAATTAACACAAATAAGCTTTTTTCGGATTTTTTAATTTTTTTAAAAAAATGAAAGATCTGCTTTTTTATGCAAAGATTAAATTTTTCCTCTTATTGGTGAAATACCACTTTTGTAGAAATTTTTTTTTGGAGAAGATTTGATCTCGGTGAGCCTAATTCGTCTTTTTTGGTTTTTCTATCCCTTTTAAAGGCTTCTTTCTTAGGCTGAATCACAATGATGAAAAGCCAAGGTCAATCACCTCCAGAAATGTAGAAACTCCATTGAACTCATGTTCAAGAAAGCATTCCTGTGATTGCCTGTTTTGGTGTTTTGTTTCTCATTTGATTTCTTAGTGTCGCAGTATTTTTTACTCTCTATTTCAGCTTTACTTTCAAAATTTTAGATTTTATCAGTGAAAGGCAGACAGTATTATTATATATATATATATATATATATATA